AGCTCCAGTGGTGGAAGCCCCGGTGACAGCAGTGGTGGAAGCTCTAGTGGTGGAAGCCCCAGCGGTAGCAGCGGTGGAAGCTCTAGTGGTGGAAGTCCCAGTGGTAGCAGCGGTGGAAGCTCCAGTGGTGGAATTCCCAGTGACAGCAGCGGTGGAAGCTCCAGTGGTGGAAGCCCCGGTGACAGCAGCGGTGGAAGCTCCAGTGGTGGAAGCCCCAGTGGTAGCAGCGGTGGAAGCAGCAGTGAAAGCCCTTTTGGCAATCTCTTTGGTACTGGAGGCAGTGACAGTGGAAGCAGCGATGGAAGCTCCAGTGGTGGAAGCCCCAGCGGTAGCAGCGGTGAAAGTCCTTTTGGCAATCTCTTTGGCACTGGTGGCAGTGACAGTGGAAGCTCCAGTGGTGGAATCCCCAGTGACAGCAGTGGTGGAAGCCCCAGTGATAGCAGCGGTGGAAGCAGCAGTGAAAGCCCTTTTGGCAATCTTCTTGGTGGAGGCAGTGACGGTGGAAGCAGCGGTGGAAACCCTTTGGGTAATATTCTTGGTGGAGGCAGTGACAGTGGTAGCAGCGGTGGAAGCCCTTTTGGTAATATCTTTGGTGGAGGCAGTGACAGTGAAAGCAGCGGTGGAAGCCCTTTTGGTGACATCCTTGGTGGAGGCAGTGACAGTGGTAGCAGTGGTGGAAGCCCTTTTGGTAATATCTTTGGTGGAGGCAGTGACAGTGGAAGCAGCGGTGGAAGCCCTTTTGGTGACATCCTTGGTGGTGGTAGCCCCAGTGGTGGCGGCCTTGGTGATATTGGTGGTCTTGCCGGTGGCCTTGCACGCTAGTTCCGCGAGGAGGTTCAGAAGCTATATTGGTACAGCCATCTGTAGCGTGAATTTGAAAATGAAACCCCGCAGGTATCCTAGATATGATAGTATAAAATATTTATTCAATCTTTCCTTGCTATCATGATCTGCACTTGAATCTCCGGCTTCAACCCCGAGTCTCTGACCACCAGGGCATTTAAACCACAGCCCTTTATCTATATTCGATCTATAATTCAAAGCCGATCTCTACAAAGCTAAAGAAATTGCTGTCGCGGGGCTTACGATATCGGCTATACGTTATATTGTCGGATCAGATTCTCTGGGACACTCGGATTACCCTAGAATACCGGATTCCGGAACGCAAGCTCCAGTTAGTTTCACATAACCCAACCCTTCTAAACAGTTTCACGATATGTAGCAGCTCTGAACTCTATATCCCAGGTAACATTGTACCAGCTCCGCATTTAGTTTCGGCCCAAACTTCGGTGGGCCGCCGGTCGAACCTTAAGTCGCTTCTTACAGCCGTGGTCCCTCAATGGTCCCGAATGATAGCGTCGATCGGCGCCCTGAGAAGGTCCTTCGACACAAAGGAACCTTCAAAATACGAAAGTTAAACGTCGTTGTCGTAGCCTATTGAACGAGCCCGTACAGCGAGGACGAGATTTTACGAGCTGGGTCTTTACATCTGAATCATTCCCACATCAATTAATTCCTCATATCCCTCCACCCTTCCTTCTCCCCTACCTCAGATAAATAATTTTAACTATCTCAGAAAACAACACAGGGATACTGTTTTAAACCCGAGCGTGTTCTAACTGTCGATCCCGTCAATGAGGACCCTGTAAGCTTTGGAAATATGCCACAGTTTTCATTCATGGGTTGAGAATACGTATTTTTTTCGAAGCTAACGAGCATCCAGTATATCATAGAAATTATCTAGCAGAGTGCTATCCATGAAACATAAATACTTTCGAATAAAGTCGGTCGGGGCTTTTGATACTTATGCCACACAATACTATAGCCTATGTCCATCACCCCCTCCTTTGTCTTTCTTTTTTTCGGTCTTTTAATATCACACGGACAACTACAGGATAGTACATGGCACGTTGCTTCTGATATTAGTCAGGACGTCAGCTCTTCTTGAGAGCTCTTCCTTTGTTTCAGGCCTCAAAGATATTAAAGCTGTTGAAGAAATGAAGTATATAGCAAAGCGGCTTTCTCGCTACTCAACTATCTCCTTTTGGAAACCCTGCATCTATGAATTTATGTAAGGATTATACTCAATGGAATGTAAGATGTTCTCGTATCAGTAACTATTGTACTTTTTGCTTATAATTCAGCTCGTTTGAAGTAGCGTGTAATGTATTCTTGCTCATCTCGGGCTAAGGTCTATGTCCTAAGGCTGAAGTAAAGCAGAGTTCTGATTTGAGACCACTCCGAGCTTGACTCACTTTCACTTCATATTGTTTTATATTACGAACCACGTCACAAAAGCCCCTGCTGGAAAGATATGTCCACGCTGTGGTAGAACTGTCTGCTACAGCCACACTTGCCATGTTCCCTGCCACGCTACCCGCCCTATTTATTATGAAGGTTTACTTCCAACCACATCGACTAGAGCATCTTTATACCAAGTTTCTTGTATCGTGAAGTCCATGAGACTGAATCGAGTCCCTTAGCCAAACTTTTAGTCCATATCCACGTTGGCCAATTCGAGGCCTTTCATACTAGAACAGCGAGAACCCTTACAGAGCTTGAAGGTTACCTAAACGATATATTTAAACACTCAACTTCCTGGAAAGGGCCTCATTCGTTTCCCTCGCCCTTTCCTCACCTTCGCACCATCGCGCCTGGAGCACCTTGGCCGCCTGTCGACGCTTCCAAGCCTTAGAAGGAACCCAGACACCCGCCAACTATGGGCCCGACTGCGATGCCTACTTTAGTACCCTTGGACAGGCCAGCGCTACCGTTGTGTATGTTGTTGTCGACTTTATCAGAAGAAGACCTGGAGTCAGACTCATTCAATGCAGAAGACTTAGCTCCCTTGTTTCTGATGGCATTACGCCACCAAACGATGCTATCCGGGAGTCCCAGAGGTAAGCTAGGGAGAGCGCACCAGTTGTAGAGAGCCAAGCTTCTTTGTTGAAATGTCCTTCTTGGTATTCACTAACGTCTATGGTGCCCCAACTGAAGCTGTATAAGTTGGAAGAGGCGTCCGAGATAGATGTTTGGTCACCAGCCCTCTTAAGAAGCGTTCCCCTGTGTCAGATCCTTTGATTTTGACTAGGTGCACCCCTGCATCGGTCGCGAGCACTTTCCACTACTCGCTTGAGCTGACGAGGAAGTTGCTGCCTGACTTCTCAACAGCTGAGAAGGAGTGGCCCTGTGTGTGGATAGCTGCTTTGGTTGATTCGGTTTTTGGAAATTGGCAGCGGCACATTCGTAGGCATCAGTGACGATAGTGAAAATCTCATTAGCTCGCTCCTCCAACCAAGAACATGCTGACGTTTATAACAGACGTAGAAGGGACCCCAACCGTTAGTATTAATAAGGAGCACGTGATTAGGGTTGCTGATAAAATCGTCGGCATAGAACGTCATATTCACACTAGGGACTTTACCATCCTTTGAGTAAGGAGACTGTTCGGCGTAGATACCACCCTGGAAAAGGCCTCCAATGCATGGCGGAAGTGATGTCGTATAATTACCCACTTGAGCGATGGTGTCTGCAACACCAAGTATCTTTCATAAGGAGTGGTGGTCAGTACCTGCTCTATCGCGGGTTAGGTACCTGGCAAGTTACCTCGATGATGATTTGCGAGAAATTATCCAGAGCTGCTACTTTTGTAACTGGAACTTGTATGGCTATCTTTTTTCTTTCTTTTTTTTATGCCGATTGCAGATGCTGGTGGAGCCTGGGCAGCTGCTCTGGAGGATTGGGGTACAGGGGTTACGCTGGCATGACTCACAGAATCTGCAGGACTGCCTAGGCAAAGGTGGTGACTAGATAACAGTATACATATGGAGCCCCTGAGCTGGAAAATTACGATTTTGCCTGTCACGTTACAAATGCCATTGGAGCTCAGGGAACAAAGAGGTTTGAAGTCAGAGTGACCCATACGAACGATCCAGTCCCAAAGGTCTTGTCCAGATGAACATATTAGCAAGTACTGGCAGTATAGCACAACATCCCCAGAATCCTGGATTACTTCAAAGAATGATGTCCCCGTCACAAAGGATGATATCAAGGTGATCTATAGCATTGACAACATGAACGGGAATCTTGGCACAAATACTGCAGGCCCGTCTGCTCATAATTCGTATTTCGGCGATATGGCCGGTTGTACTTGAGACTGAAAGTCCGTAAATTTGACTGTAAAATCGGGGGATTGACTTTGCCGTTTCTACCATTGCTTGGGGAAGGGTGGCTTGATATTCCAGTTGATGGACTTGGATATGCTGCGCTCTCAACCAAATTGGACCTATACGCTTTGTGAGTATTAATTGGAACCTTAACTACTTTTGGTAGCCTCCTCTCTTATATGATACGTCAGCTGAATGGAGTTCCTAAGTATAAAAGATTAGTTGGGAAATCTGGCCACTCTTGAGTATATGCCTACAAAGTCGAGGGATAAAGGAGTGGGTGTAAAGTTAATAGAGTTACTCTATTGCGTGCTACTAAAAGTGTACAAAATTGGCCCCCTTATGTAATGTAAAGAATTAAAAGTATCATATGACGCAGGTTGACCTATTTTAATTGTTTTATTGTACTTTTTGTAAGTAGCTATATCGTGGATGTGCTACGCTACTGGATCGGCTTCAGCGACTGCTCCTGGTACTGCACTGGAACAGTGATTGAGTCAGCCATACGAGACGTCACACAGCTCGCAAAGAACTTTATGCGCGGCTCATATTCTACGTAGATAATCATGCATGGCCTTATCCTGTTCCTCTACAATTCTCAGAGGCCATGACATAATACCGCAACCTCTCGTCGGCCATGAACTTCGATCATCTACGCCGTCAGACATTTTAATTTAGCGGTGCCTCTTGTACGGCCGGGATACTCACGAAATTTTGTTAATCAATAGATTTAGGAGAACGTGATGTCTAACTAGTGCGCCATTCAATATAGCTGCTTGGTTTTCTTCGACTCTCGTATACCAGTCCAGTTTACCTCACTGACGCAATAATTACTGTTAGTATCGTTATATAAGGAGTGGATTAGCAATACGCACATGATCTAAGCTTACTTTGCCTAATACTATAGCCACTAATATGCGTGGGCCGTGTGACAAATAGGCGAAAACAATCGGCCGCGTAGAATACAAAGAACAGAATAGTTAGCAGTATCTAGCATAGCAAGGGGGATATTTGCCGTAAAGCAAAACAGTTCCACCGTTTGTTCGAGGCCTTGAGTATGCTCCTGGTGAGCTCTGATCTCCTTTTTCGTAGCACCGGGTGTTTCGGCAGGAGCTGTAGTAAATGAAAGAAGACAAACAGTACAGAAAGTGTCCTCGTAAGCCCTGACACTGCAGTCTTCTGATAAACTAAAGACAGAAGACTTGGTCATGAGCGTCGTCGATCGTCTCTCTCCAATGATATGCATCCTACACATCTAAACAAGTATCTATGTAACCACACAAAGTCTCCCAAAATCCTTGTGGAATTATTGCAGCATTTCTTCTGGTGGCCAATGACTATCATATTGAGATTCTCGAAACCTTGTCACCGATATCCAGACCATGCCCAGGCATCGTATTGACAATGACACCCGATCAAGTATACGAACTCGTGTCTCGAGGCTAACGCCACATTGCGAATACTATTTGCAATTGTGCTACTATCCCCTGCGTCACTGCAGTAGCCCTTCATGACAGGTCTGACCTCCACATGGGAGACCGGCTATAATTCGCTACACCGGCCGAACCTGTTCACTGAAATGTCTGTCTCATGACGAGCATGTAGGGCCCTTGGTCGAATATAAATTCAACGCAAATCTCATTTCAAAATGGGTCTCACTACGCAACCATCGACCCAACAATTCTCTCACTTCAAAGCAAAGCTTAGCCTTTCCTTATGCAGCAAAATATGACAGCTTACTTCACAGCTGCCTTTGTCTTAACCGCTGCTCTTTCAAGTGCGGCGGGAACCAATACCAGCCCTCCCGGCCCTGCTGATCCTATTCAGACAGTCATCGTGGGTGGCGGAACCTCCCTTGGCTTCAACCCGCCTATCCTCCAAGTCGGTCAAGGCAGTCGCGTTCACTTCGACTTCCGGGCTATAAACCACACCCTGACCGAGTCTACGTTTCAGTCGCCGTGCACAAAGCTTTTCGGAACCGATATTGATACTGATTTCAATAATCCAAACCCGAGCGACATACCAAATCTGCATCCATTTGATTATACTTTTGCATCCAATAAGCCCCGCTTCTTCTACTGCAAGCAAGGGGCCGGGACGAGTGATAGTCATTGCCGTCGCGGAGAGGTATTTGCCGTAAACGTGGATCAGGCGACCTTTGCCGAGTTTCAGAGACGCGCCATGAATACTCCGCTGTAATCATCAACTACCAGGCAGGGTAATAGTTGGGGGCAGTATTTGTTTTCTGTATGAGAGTCAGCCAGCAGAAGAGCTCGGATAGTATGTACCTTCGGCAGACTATCACTACCGCATATGTATGTTACTGCCTTAGTATGGGGCATTTTAGTCATTTTGCTGTTCATCTATACCGTAGTTCAATTAAAGAGGAAACATGTTTAATTTACTGGGACTTATACCATGTCTTTCCCCGGACTTGTGCTCTGAAGGACCGGGAGCTACATTTTGTACCTGAAATCGAATCCAACAAGACAATATGCTTAGGGGGAAGAAGTCTCATGCACATTGATCATGGCACTATACGAAGACCCAGGATTGGATGTCACACACCATGGTGTCCCTTGCCGATACGAGTCTGACGCATCATATCTCCACAGCGAATAAGATCGGTGGATATCATATCCCCAAGAGGAGCGTGTCGGGCACTGCATAATCAAAAGTGAGATGTCCCCAGATCCCCGTCCTACACGGGAGAGAATAATAACGCTATACGACATGATATTTACAACGTAAACACTTTGCGCTTTACAAGCTCCTAGATTAGTGAGCATAAAGTTCAACAGTTATGATACTATGCTACTGTTCCGTTGGCATGTAAGCAGTACGGCGGATAATCCGTCCGGCAAGAGTATATAAGCCACAAAGTTACCGAACGCGACTTATAACGTCCATTCATTTCTTACTATCTCCATCTTTCCCACTCTTCAATGGAATCACCAGTACAGCTATCCACTTTATCAACAGCCCTATTTGCTTTCCTCCTTTACATCGCTGGGTCTTCCCTGTTCCACCATTGAGAATGATGGAGTAGTATCGTTAGACTTCAAACAATCCACTTGAAGAGCGGAAGACGACGGCATTCGTCGTTTCAGCATCTGAGCAACAATGTATCAATTCATGGGTCCACGATATCGGTAATTCGGGGGCCACGTTATGTCTAATGTCCTGTTCAAGGTGATCTTTCTTATTTTGAAACTAACAAGTCAGAGAAGGGGTATATTATTGCTGGCTCTTCTGGCGAAGGCTACGGGAAGTGTTGGTTGGGGGGGGACGGCATGAAATCGAGGTATTTGGCCAGGTGCAGCAGTATTTATATTTGTTGCTTTCCATTCATGCTGTTGTCCTCAACTCTAGAAGACAGGCCATGAGAACCCTAAGAAGTTGAGAGAGATGTGGCCATTTTCCTGCTCTAAGCAGTGGATTACTAAGCCTTATATAACTAACGTAATTCCCGGGCGTTCCGTAGTTCCCGGGCAATCCGTAGTTTTCAACCAAGAACTCGTGCTTGCTCAAGTTTAAAGCTCTTTACAACAACCAAAAGCAATTTAAATTAAATAAACTAAATATTCTGACGATTAGGATATCTAGTTCTAGTATACCCTTTAACATGACAGTCTGAACATGTTGGTGGAGCACGTTTTGGTCTATCCAAAGTTTGACAAGTAGAATTGCCAGGTGGCCCAGAATTATCACCATATGCCTCTAATTAATCATTTCTTAACAATATAAGGTCTCTAGCTTCCTGAACTGACAGGCCAGTTGTAGGAGTTATTTAGCATTTAGAATAACTCTTTTTTTATCTGTTATTCTTAATGGCTGCTTAGAGATCAGAGTTTTCCTGTGCTAGTACACTAGTATTATAGATAGCTAACTTATATTCCTTTATAAATTTATCTAGCGCTTGTTTAGAGAGAGATAAAGGACTTCTAGGCCCTTTCTTTAGAAGTTTCTTAATTAAGGAAGCCTTTTAATATACTTGGCGGACTGTATAAGGCGTACAGAGCCAGAAGAAAGAGGTTAAAGTACCTTCTCTACTCAATGGAAGGGTAGGTATTAAAAGCCTAATATTTAACTTTTCCAGCACAGTATATAGATTAAAAGAAACTAATCCAGTTGCTCTGAATTCGCTTTAAATATTCTCCTTAGTAAATACCATTTCCCGAGCTGCTGGATATATCTTTAAGAAATCTAGCTTATTAATATGGTTATATTCCAAGTGCCCTTTCTGCTCTATAAGCTTGCCGTACACCTTTTTTAAAGGGCCAAAACAACCAATATTAAGAGACTGCAGAAGATGAGATAAATAAGCAGATATATAAATAGAAATAATATTGTTTTCCTTGTAGATATAGTTAAATTCAGGTGTAAGGTGGCTTCTATGGCCGTCCAGAACTAGCAGTCAATATCTCCCTGTTATATGCTTATTTATAGCTGGAATAAAGACTTTTTGAAGCCAGTAAAGACTAATCTTATTAGTAGTCTATCCGTTAGCACTTAATTTAATTCTCCAGTTACCAGGGATTCTTGTTTTATCAAACCACTTCTCTATATAAATCTTTCCCTTGAAGATGATAGTGGTAGGTACTGACCATTCCCTTGAATTAATGCATTTGATAGTAGTAATCCATTCCCGATTCTCTGGCTGTATCAGCCATGGTTTACCAGATATTTCAGCTCTAGAAACTATCTTAGTAGTTGTAATAAGTCCTATAGTAAAGCCAGTTTTATTAAAGTTATAGATATCTTTATCCTGGATTCTTCACTAATCTTGGGTCTCTTATAGCTTATTAAACCATAAATTAATAATCTTTAGATCTTTATATATTGCTCTCTTATAATTAATCTTTCTAGTAAATCTGCCTTTAATCTCTGGCCGGTATTTAGTAAACTCTGTAATCCAGTTCTTTCTGATTACTTTAGATAAAGTAGGGCTCTCAGAATTCAGAAGAATCTAAGCTATTTTTTATACCTGGAACTGCCTGGGAGAGGTACTATATATATTAAGTAATACTATCCAAGCTATCAAGGTCTCTTCTTGACATAGAGATAGTCTATATATATAGTTGCAACATTCTCCTTGAAATTTATGGCCCTTCAGCTAATCACGGAATGTTAAAGTAGGTAGATTATAAACATGTATAGCTTGCTCAGTACTTTGAATTTTTCCATCTTTTAAGTCTTGAATAGCATATTGGATCCTGCTCTCTTGCTCTATTAATCCTTGCTTCGTTTTACGCGTTTTTCGTGGCATGGTGGGTGTTTGAAATTGGTAGGTGGTAACGCGTCGAAAATTTTGGACTTTCTACGGATTGCCCGGGAACTACGGAACGCCCGGGAATTACGTTAACTAACGTAGTTCCCAACCGAGCGCCGCACCCGACCGAGCGCCGCACCTCACGCGTTTCTCGCGCGGTTGAAACTCTTGCTCAGTTCAACCACTCACCATGCCACCAAAAGCGCGTACAAGTTCAAATAATTCAGCTGAGAAGGAGGAAAGGATCTTGCTTGCAGTTTCCGCTATTAAAAAGTAAGAAATAAAGTTAATTCATGAGGCTGTATGTATCTTTAATGTCTCTAATAGAACAATATATCGATATTTAAATGGCACTCTATCACGCACTGAAAAATATATAAATTGCTATAGATTAACTGAAATACAAGAGAATTCACTTGTACAATGGATATTATCTATAGATCAACGTAGAGCAGCTCCCCGGCTATCTCAGGTCTAAAATATAGCTAATATTCTTCTTATAGACTCTGATTTCAATATATCTTAATCAATTAGTAAAAACTGGGTTAGTAGTTTTATTAAATACTATAGTAAGATAAAGACTATTTATTCTTGCTACTGTAAAAGTAGTTACTAGATCTGATCTATATAGAAAATGTCAAGTTATTCAGCCAGGAAATCAAGAATAGATTACTTTAATTAAGTGTATTAGCTTTACTGGATATACTTTATTACCTTATATTATCTTCAAGGGAAAGGTTTATATACAGGGCTGGTATAAAGATTCTGATATTTTACATGATTGGAGATTTGAAATCAGTAAAAATAGCTGGATAACTAATAAAATTAGACTATACTGGCTTTAAAAGCTTTTTATTCCTGCTATAGCTAGCTATACAGTTAGAAAATATCAGTTACTTATTTTAGATAGCTATAGCAGCTATCTTATTTCTGAATTTAATAAAATATATAGTAAAAATAATATTATTTCTATCTATATACTATCTTATTTCTCAAATAAATCTTTAACTACTTGATATTAGTATTTTTTCACCTTTAAAAAAGGTATACGGACGCTTAGTTCAAGATAAAATACTTGGAGAAATTAACTATATAGATAAGCTTGATTTTATCAAGATCTATCCTATAGCTCATGATATAGTATTTACTACAGATAATATTTTAAGTACTTTTCAAGTTACTGGTATAGTTCTATTTAATCCTGAAGAGGTTCTTGAATGCCTTACTATAAGACTTAAGACCCCTACACTACCAGGCAGTTAATCAACTAATTCAGTACCGAAAACACCCTATAATATTAAGCAGCTACAGAAATAGATAACTATAATTAAAAAGTTATTAAGGGCTTATATATAGAGCCCTTCTTCTTCTACAAAGACTGCTTTGAACTGGTTGATTAAGGAATGTGAAATGGTATATAACAATAGAACATTTTTAGCTTAAGAAAACCAATATTTACGGGCTATAATTAATAAACTATAGCAGAAAAAGAAGCAATCTAATCGCTAAATCACCTGTACTGAAGGTTTCTCAGTCCAGGAAGCTCGGGAGTATATATAGCATGAAAATGAGGCTAAAGAAGCTCAAGATACTATACTTATAGATCAAGAGCTATCTCTAATTAGGCCGCGCGTACGAGCGCCCCCGTGCTGTAGTGATTGTCATATTCTAGGGCATACTCGCAGACAATGTCCTAATTAATATCCTAATTCGATTTTATATAGAAATATGATTGTTTTGTTGATAAAGGCCCTAATAGTTCAGCCACGGGCAGAATTTTATATGAGGTGCGGCGCTCGGTCGGGTGCGGCGCTCGGTTGGGAACTACGTTATTCATTCCCAACCGACAATTGAACATCTGCCCCGCCATCATCACCCACAACACAAACCACAGTTGACCCCAATTAATAACAACAACATAACCAACTCAAGATGAACCACATCCACCAGTACTGCGTATTCAGCGCCCTGATGCAAGGGTTCTCCTCCGACGGAGCCACAGTGTCCGACATTCTCTCAAAATGTAACCACGGGCTCGGCACCGTCTGCAACATGAATGGCGAAATCGTCATCATCGACGGGGAAGCCTACCACTTCACCCCAGACGATAAGCTGCACAAGCTTGCGCCTACAGACCGCATGCCTATGATCGTAGCGACAGACTTCCAGCCCACAATGACGAAGTCGCTAGATACGCTGCGTATGGACGCGCTCAAGGACGCCTTGCATCCGTACTTCCCAGCCAAACAGAACAATTTCATCGCCGTCCGTCTAGACGCCTCCTTCAAGCGGATTGTCTATCGCATTGGCGGGCCCCAGCTACGGCCCAAAGAGTCGTTGCTAGAACTGGCCAAACGGCAAACAGTAAAGTCGTATGAGAACATCTCCGGCACTTTGTTCGGGTTCTACTCACCCCCTTATACTAATGGGCTCTGCGTGGCTGGATTTCACCTGCATTTCCTGTCGGATGACCGTCGGGCTGGTGGGCATATTTTGGACTTTGAGGCCGAACAAGTCGTTCTTAAGGCGGCGGTGAATACGCATCTTCATTTGGAATTCCCGCAGTCTGAGGAGTTTAATGAGGAGTTGATACTACCGGAGTTGGCAAAGGATTTGCACTTGGCTGAATAGAATTTTCACTGTATGAGAGAGTGAATCTGCATTAGGGGGTGAGATGTCTATATGCCGTGAGCATAACTGCGAGTGGCGATATATGAGAAAGACTCCGAATAACGCTACAACTTCGAGAAGAGTACCCGGGCATACTTGTGGAAAACATAAGCATATATATTATTAAAGGAGCAATAAAAAGTTGTCAAAAAACATACAACAGCCGGGATTCGCTGGTGGCCTGCGTGACAGCGAATTACTAGAAACGGCATAGCGTGCCTATTCGGGGAAAGCGCCTGATTGAGGCTTGGCATCGCGGTGCGTGGTCTACAGAGTGGATCGAAATCACTCGGTGGAGCACGTAGGCACTTACAGCACCGAGTAGCCTTCTTCCTGTAAGATGCCAGCTACTAGATATGCATGGCCTTTTGGGTTCCGCTTGACTGTCGTAGGGCGTAGGATTTTCCGGGCAGTCTGATGGACTTGGATACATTCAGCAGCTCCAGATACTCAACTGCACGGCGGAGTGAGGTGCGGCACAATGTGTCGACTTGCTAATATGTAGTCATGTGCTCGGCGGCCAGAGATCAAGAGGCGAATCCGTATCCCCCTAGCATAGCATAAATGCACTAAGGGCTAATATCGCTGTTCTGGTCGAGTAATTGTGCCAGTAGCAAGGCATTGCGAATGCCAAAGTGATCACTGATATAACGGAGCATGTACGTGACCCACTGTCTCTGATCGACCGTGGCAGCCTTAGATCGAGCGGCAATATACATAGGAAATATAAGAGTGTAGCAGTCGAGGAGCTCGGACGGCGTATGCACTTTGTTGCAGTCCTTCTGCGGGACAACGGAGAGATCTGTGTTATCTGCCTGTCCTTGGCTGCGTTTTGATCGGCAGGCATAGCTTGCATATTGCGGAACGGAGGCATATACCTCGAGCGACAGTGATGCAATATTACTCAAGGCAGCTTCAGATGCAGCGAGCTGGTTGACTCCGTGGATTGCGTTCAACGTCTCATAAGAGTCTAGGAGATACTCGCTCGGCTGAATGCGAACCTGCCGCACGACATTCCAGGCCTGAGTGGCATGACAATCACGATAGAAGTCCATTCCTGGCCATACACATGGGGCAAGGGGTACCGCAGAATCCGCTTTTCCGGCTGCCAGTCTGGAGGTATGTCCCGGGAGATCGCTAAAAGGGCCTGGTCAAGATCCTGTGCGCGGGCCATGCTACCCTGAAGTGACCATCTGCCAGTGTGGACTGCATTGAGGAAAGAGGCATACCCAATCGTCAACCCTGAGATCTTCCATTTCGGATCGTCTTTCAAGTCCAAATGATGCTCGAGATGGTCACGGTATGGGAACGTCATTGGAGACGGCATGCGCGCTGGCCAAGCAGCTGATCATATAGTTGGTTAGAAATCGTGATAAGATCCGTAGTGCATAGTGATCTTGAAAATGCTCTCCTCTGATCTTCCGAATCAAAGCGAGTGTCCACATGCCTTCGTGCAGCGGTGGTCTGCCATGGTTATCGGGACCCACAGGCAATCCGTATTGAGGATCAGACGGAGGACGCGCGGCGCAAGGCTCTGCTGAAGTCGAAGCCTGCTCGGCTGACAGAGGCTTCGCTATCAGTCTCCATCGACATCCAGACCCGTATGGTATTCTTCGCCCATTATGTGTCTGTGGGCTCCTGTGAATGGGGCTTTCTGATTCGATGGAAGCGTGAGATGGAAGCGGCGCCTCGTTGGTTAGATGCGAGCATTGATGCAGTGAGCTCAGCTCTTCTGGCGCACCACCATGTCTCGGATCCTTTATTGTCCTTGGCTCGTCAGCGGTATGCTTTGGCATTGCGCGTGATGAAACAAGCTTTGAGCGTTCCCCCCACTGCGAGAGATAACCTGATCGCGGCATCTCTACTGTTGGACCTATTCGAAAAGATCACCCACACTGAAGCCAGCGTCGTTCAATTCTGGCCGAGCCATGTCAACGGGTACATGAATTTGGACGGTAGTCACACTGGTCTCTGTTACATACATACAGTCTGGGCTGCGTGTGCGAGGAAAGCATACCTTTAACCGCCGAGTCCGACAGCGCTGGCAGGCCTTTGATGGACGGCCGCGAAAGACCATCAGGATTAATCATAGGTAGATAGATGTGTTGTTGTAGCCGATGGCAGAAAGACCAGGGATGGGGAAATAAGTGTCCAACCCACGCTAAGCTATTTTGGGCAGGCATTTCGACACCAAGTGGACCATTCTCATATGGCAGCAGAAGACAGTAGATGATGAGAAGTGGAACAAGAAGAGAGAGAGATATCTTCTCATATATAAAGGAGGTCATGGTAATGCTCAGACTGTCTACTCTTCCCTTCTTGTAAGCATTCCTCCGAGCAATCCAGTCTTCCCCAACACCATTATCACATATATATTCTCATCTTAATTCTCTTCAACTTCTGGTCTAGTACGACTCACTGAAAGATGTCTTTCCTTTATAAGCATGTCCTGCTCATTGGAGCCACTGCTGGCATTGGTCGTGCCATGGCCGATCGACTGGTTGAAGCTGGCGCCAAGGTCACAGCTGTTGGTCGTCGGAAGGACCGCCTGGACAAGTTTGTTCAGAAACATGGAGAGCAAATGGCCAGCGCAGTTCCGTTTGACATTTCCGTGCAGGAGAATATCCCGAAGTTTGCAGCTAAGTAAGTAATGCATACAGCCATATGGCCCTGCTGACGGACCAGAATCATCGACTCGTACCCCGACGTGGACTGCCTTTTCCTCAACACAGGAATTCAACTCCCCTTTGAACTCGACGACCGGGGCCAGTTCGATTTGGAGCCATTCAACAAGCAAATGAATGTCAACTACTCTAGTCTGGTCGCGTTGACGCATGCCTTTCTACCCTTTCTGATCGAGAAAAAGAGCCCCACCAGTATCATCTTGTGACTACCGTCCACGACTGCATGAACTGTGAGTATCTGACCGAATAGTACCGGATCGAACATGGCTATCGTCCCAGCTGCATCTACGCCAGCATATTCGGCATCTAAGGCTGCATTGAACGTGTTCACCTTGTGTCTCCGTGATCGGCTGCAGAACTCCAACGTGGCGGTGATTGAAATTTCGCCCCCGGTAGTGCAGAGTATGCCATCCCTGCATCCTTGACCAAGGAGATTGGCTAATGTTGTAATAGCCGAGTTACACCACTATAAACTGGGCATGCCTCTGGACAACTTTGCTGACCTTGCATTCAAAGGTCTCCTTGCGGGACAAGACCATATCGTTATAGGCAGTATTGGGCCTGCTGAGAGGTTCAATGCGATTGTCGACCAGAGGCGCGCGGCGTCTGAGGATTTGGCCGAGACGATGAGCGCGCAGCAGAAATAGTTGTATACTGCGGACACCCCTCTACAGGGTCTATGTTAAGATGTCAATGACTTCTCCACCGACTCAAGCTGTCCCTGTCGTCTTTTTTCGGTACTGTCTATCTGATCTAAGAATTGCTGAGACCCAAGTCGATGACGTAGATAGGAATTGAGTATTTCTTGCGTTGTTTGACTGATCCGGGGAATCGCCGGGATATCCACCGTCGTATATAGAGTATATAGCTTCCTCCTTGTCCCCTCGAGATTAAGCCGACTTTCGTCGCTGTTTTCCACCCTTTTGCGGTCTTCCGACTCAAGACAATGAGGAATTTTTGCTATTGGGCGATAAATCCCGTGTTCTTCACTTCGCCATCTCCCTTTGCGCCCATGAGTTGTCTTCGCGCCCGTGGCCTGACTTCCATTGGATTTCATGAGGTTGAATTTTCTGCTTGCTTGGGAGCTTAACTGGCTTATGATCCTTGTTTTGATAGATAATGCTGCATGAAAAACAAGAGATTGCATAGAACTGGTGCTATCAGACTACCCTGGGCTGACTAGCATGCTTTCTCACTTCTATGATTAACGCCTTTTCTTACATTTGAGAGGGAGGCTTGACAACCATATCCTTGGCGTGCGATGCTGACGATAAATATGGCCGAGGCTTCAGTTCCGTCCCAGATTGGCCCACCCTCTCCGTTTGAGCTTGGTCTTGTGAGATGTGTGGTTTAGAAGGTACTCTAGGTGCGCGTCGTATGAGGACCGGCAGGGCTGTATGTTGCGCAGTGGTTGCCGGGATAGCAGTTGCTAGCAAGCTTTCAGCGGGATGAACTGGGTATACTGATTGGTCATATGGGTCGTCTGCGTGGCGGCAGAAGCAGTTGAAGAACTGGATGATGATGTGGAGTAGGTTTCCCATCAGAAATGGCTACTGCTGTGTGGTTGATAGTGTCTTCATATAAATAACACGTCAGCAGACTTTGTTAAGTATGTTGAATACAAATGCCAGGTGGGCGCCCACCTAGTTTCTCTCCTCTGACCACTTACGCAACATGGAGCCAAAGCAGATGGTTAAGGAAAGGCCAGCCTGAGCGGTTGTTGTGTCAGGATTGGATAGGGTGTTTGACAGAAGGGTTAATATATGGATGACTGGGTAGGACAAAATAAGACTAAGGTTTCAACTAGTTAGTTGCTACATCCTGTCTAGATCCTTGGATATACACACCTGATCATATTGTAGGGGTTGCCCATTTGGCAATTTAGACCAGTGCTCTAATATATAAATTAACTAACAGGCTGTATTAAGTGATGATTTAGGAATCTGCTGCAAGGGATAGGATGTTTTTATAGATTGTTAAAATAATATGATTAGGAAGTGGCTACTAAAGAGGAGGTCAGCATAAAGACATGTGTCTACCAGCTCTACTATAGCTCCAAATAAACACTCCTTCCTTTGTTAGTGGAAGAATATAATATAGATAGTGATACTGAAAGACATACTAAGTCCCATTCAGCTACCATAGATTTGAGCTTAAGGACAAGCTCTATTACTTAGTCCTCTAAATCAAGACTATGTGTATCAAGAAATTCTAGAAACCTCAAAGTAATAAACGCAAATCTCATACTAACAATGAAATACACTTGAAGGGAAGATTATGGTGTGACTCCATCCGGATGGAGAGGCAGGTCAGGAAAGCACACACACCAGCTACCAAAGGGTATAACTGGCAATTTGCTAAAGAGCTGCCTAAATAGACAGTCGGTTTGCAGTAGCTGCTAGGACACGTATTCATTTTGGCTTTTGGTTAATGTGCAGTCAGTCAATGTACTACCATATTCCCCTGGCACATCTGAGCCCTCCATGTATTCCACGTCAACTGTGAAAATTCCTAAGTGTCGTCCAATGGAGCACACTTGACGGTAGCAATCCCACGAGAGATCGTAGTTGAAGAAGCCTGCTGCCAACCAGCTCTTCAAAGAGTCGTTAATTGTGTTCATTTTTGAAGAGGGGAATAAACTATGTTTGATCCCGGCAAAAATTAATTGACTCACCAGTAAAAAAGCTGCTTGGAGATCTATGGGGCGTTCCCCTGCTTCAAGCTGCCACTGTTCTAGTAGTTACAGATATTCCGAAGAGGACCTTCAGGTTTGCTCATTCGTTTGGTACGATCTGAATGCTGCTTGCGCGGTACCTGCTCGTTGTTTATTCTTCGCTGCAGTTCTCGTGTTACATTAATCGCCTCCTCATCAAAACCACGACTTTACCATAACGACCACATGACGTCCGAAATTTGTATAAAACTTAGGGGGAAGGCCAAGGTCTTTATGACTAATAAAACGTCACTTAGACTGATAGAAGGGTCTCTAAGCCTAAATCCAAAGATGCGGAGCTCAACCATAGAAGAAGGAGTGGGAGAAGGGAGTACTCATAGACGAGGCTTCCAAGACTAATTACCGAGATCGACTACATAGAACGTACCCAAGTTTCTCCAAGTTCCGGTACTATCTCGCGGAAGGATCTTTATAATTATAAGTCTTTGACAACTTGATTACGACGTCCAAAAGGTCGTTGACCAAAAATCCTCCCCGGTTGACTCTCCGATAGATAGTAAATCAGGATGGATGGCTTCAATCCCATTATCTGGAATACCGAGAAAGTCCTGCATCATTGGCTCCAAGAAGGCCATTTCAGTGGTGAAGCCTGCAGCAGGGAGAGGTGAAACGCCACCGTTTTCGATGGCCCGGTCTCTTGTTGGAGGGAGCGAGAAGGACCTTTGGAGCGATTGTCGGGGTAACTGACCGTCTTTCTCGAAACTTTTACCGACATCGCCTGATAAAGATTGTTTGACTTGCTTGAGATTCTCGTGGAACTCCGCAGCCGCAAGGTTTCCATGATCACTCATACGAGACAATATTTCGATCGCTACCTCGAGGGAGTCGAGATCTGCGGGGTTGCCGAAAGCTGGCAGAAGCCCGGATATGACAAGAACTGTGGCAGAAGAGAACAAGTACTGAGCATAGAAGTATCCGTATATAGGCAGAGAGCCATTGACCCATTCTTCAATGATGAGAGCATGCGAATGCCGTGCAGCATGGATACAGGCTTCACTCAGGGTAATGACAGGCTGGGGGAGGGGGTCTTCGCTATTTTCTTGATGACCTCGTTGATGGAGAAGAGCGTGAAGAATAATAGGGCGTGTAGCCAAAATGACACACTGTAAGTCTTCAGTAAATTAATAGGCTTGCCGATACAAGTAAACTCACCTGGTTGAACTGCAGATGAAGAGAGACGATATGCTTCGGTGGGGAACCTCCATCGGTGTGTAGCTTGATGTGTGCTGGGAGTGACTGCAGCCACTCCTGCTGAGCAAGCAACAGTTGCTGTTCTCTTTGCAAGAACGACTCTGGATGCTGCTTGTGGCTGTAGATTTTGTCAATAACTTGACCGATGATTCGAGCTAGCTGAATGCTGGCGACTAAGTATGAGGTATCGGAGAACTGCTCCTCATACGCAGGGCAAGAGACTTGGGATGGCATGTCGACATGAATATCATCATCTCGGATCTGAAGTGGAAAACCTATTTTAGAACTCCACATACGATCATAGACATATATCGCCCACCAGAGCCGAATTCGGTGCTGTCGCTCTGTGGGATCCGTGCATTGGCGCTCAGAGATGTTATGGTTTAATCCTAGTATCAGACCAAGACGCACGGTGTTGCCAATCAACATGTACGCTGCATGACGTCGATTGAGGAAGTATGAAAAGAGAGACTAGGGATGCTGCGTGTTAGTATAGTTGTATATGCACGGCATTGTATAGTGACGAGGATACAAACCAATAGCAACAGACTTTCGATATGAGTCAACGCAGGCCGTTCTGGTAAAATGGATGTCAAATTCATTGCTCGAACATAATATTTGGTACCTGGCACACGATCTTGAGACGAAGAATCAGATCGAGAGGAGTATACCTCCCCTAAGGCGAAAAGAGCGAAAAATTTGCATGTCAAAGACGGGTCATCACGTTTAGATGGGTCTCGATAGATTGACTCCAATTGCTCCATGGTAGACTTGCGCAGGAAAAGATGATAGACGCGGCTTAATTGGTTGAAGGCAATGCGGAGGAGTAAACGAGCTTGTGGAAGCCCCGGCCATTGGGTCTCTCCCTCGAGCAGTAATGCCTCCGGTGTGTATTGAGTTCGAGCAATGTGAGCTGCATTCGGGTTCCGGGTAAGAAATTGCCGCAATCGCGTCGCGAAGGCCGTGCAGGCAGCGGCTCCCATATATATAGGAGGGGCTGAAGGATCGTAAGGATAGAACCAAGCGCGCTCTCCTAGCAGTAGATTTTGGACTGCGCGATAAGGGCCTTGAGCATAAGATGAGATTTGGTCTGAAGTAGCAGGTGATGAGCGAGAAGAAGTGAGGTTCTCCAATCGATCTTTGAGATGAGCGTTCTCAAGGAGTATCTGATCAACATAGCTAGGTGAAAGAGTGAGAATTGTATATTAGATAGTGTCGGCTGCAAGAGCAGGAGTCGTTACCTTTCATTGACCTTGAGCTTCCTGTCACGCTGCTGATATTCACACAGAGCACCACAGCCAGCTTGACGACATCGGGCACATGGCTGTTCGCCGGAACATCTAACTTTGTGAGTATGACATCGATTGCAACTAGTATCCAGAGGTTAGGGCAGAGCAGAAGAGATGGTAGCAAGCAGATGAAAGGGGGCGCTTGTGACGCACGAGACTGGCTTTTTCTTCTGCCGCTTGGGCTGATGTCTGTGAATAAGCATTGCCTGGGAAGACTGAAGTTTTTCGTCGATAAAGTCCCCTACTATTACTATATTTGAGAAACCTGTATATGGAAAACGAAGGGAGATGGAAATCTCTACAGTGGGGCAAAACCACACTCGGCATCTTGTAAGTTTGCCGAGGGTGACAACCCGGGCGAAAACTTTGGGTCGTCTCAACAGGAAAAGGGTGAGCATTCGCCACTGAGATCATTGAACTTTGACGTCCGGTAGACTCTCGGAGAACACGACAGTTTGGGCCGAAGCATGCTAGGGGGATATTGATAACTGGTAAAATGAGTTTGGCTTGAGAGGATATGGCGTTCTGGGATAATGATCGAGCCATTATGAACCAAATGGCTCTTGATGGTTTTGCAGGAGAGCTCTTTTCACATGGCGATCGTTCATCGGATAATTAGACCATTCTGAGCAGAATATACAGCGTCGACGATCGCATTCAGGGCACAGTAACATTTATTCCATCACAACCATTGTCCCTGGCCCAGTTGAGTGTTTCGCTAGAAGGTTCGCTTTGACGATCTGGAGCTAAATCCGGACGGCAGTACACTGATACGTACACAGGCAGGACCAAGGTCAAAATAGATGGCAATGAGACTAACATACCCGTCCCCTGGTCGATTGGAAAACATCAGTTCCTCCATTTGGGGCAGCCTTTGGAAATAACCAACTCAGATTCTGGAGCTCGGAAAGCAATATCGAACAGGTTCGAATTTCACTTGCCTATGACACTGTTGAGTTCCAAAGTATTTTTTGTGCTGACAGAGATGGCACACTAACAGCCTCTATGTCGTGGGCATAATGCGCGTTTTAATTAGATGGGCCCATCAAATAGGGATAATCGGGCCAGGGCTCAACAGCAAACGATGTGATTGCGTTAAGCTCTAAACGAGCTTTTCGAAGGTCTGGTAAAGGACGACCGCTTGTGGTCTGATACTGGAAATTTATCCTGACGCTTGTGGTGAGTGTGTCTGATGTTGAGTTTGTCTGGCTAGGGGGGCAATAATGAATAGCCGCTGGGTGTGTGGCATGGACGGAGAGGTCGCCAATTCGCCGCCGACGTATCCCTTCGGAGATGAATCTACGCTGGCTCATGCGATAGAGTATGCTATCTTCGGCGATCAGAAGAGGTGGCTGTTCTATGCGAGGAGAGTGTACATGTGTCCAATGTGCCCATTCCCCGATTGCTCGCGGTACGCCATCTTTGCGGGTCTTGAATATGCGGGAAACGATGCGATATGTAATAGAAACGTTCCCAGGAGTCAAGTTCTCAGAACGAGGGATTCGGTTCAGGACGACGGCATGCGGACCGAAATATATACTGGAGTTCTTGATTTGCCGATAGTTCTCCCGGACAAGCCAAGTCTTCCACCTACCTTTCACTCATGTCTTGTTTCTAGGACTTACTCATTAAGGCTGGAGCTCTCTTTTGAACCGTGCAGTCAATGGACAGCGTCAAGCAAGTTGTTCTTGACTGTTCCAGCCCAGATATGCTAAAAAGAACTCACATCGTTGCATTACCTTATAAGATATCCCTTGGATAGGCCTCGACGAGGATGTATATTAGGGAGTGATGCACTCTCCACATACGTACGGGGACACATATAGGTTTTATAGGCTGCATTCCGCTTCGGCGGCGGGTCAGGGTTAAGGAAATCCACTTTACTCAAGAAGCCTAGGACTTCCCTTGAATAGCTCCCATGCCGCTCACCGTGTCTTTCCCGCATACGGCCTACCTAGTCCCAGGCTCCGAGCTATATGTCCATTCACTCTGCCTATCGCCGCAGTAAGCGCTTGGATGCCCATCAATGGCATGCAGCCACGGCTGGTGATTAGTTGAGAGGAAATTGCAACGGCCTCACCGAGATTCACATTAAATATGATAATATTTCAAGTCTTATGTTTAAGGGAACCTGTACATCCCAACCTGGATGTAATAGAAGGATAATTATAAAACAGCCATTCAGGCAGATATCTGCATACTCTTGTCTATCCCGTAAAGGTATCACGAGCGCGCAACTTGCAATTCAGTTGTATACCAGTTTTGAATCGCCCGAATATCATAACTCATTGCCACAGTATCAAACACTTTCAGATGCTCCTTGCACAAAGCCCCGTTGTTTGATAATCGACAAACCCATTTCCCATGCTTCCTGGCTGCAGTTACGATCTTTTCTATGGCGTCGACAAATTCAGGCTCGGTTTCTTTTGCAGGAAGATAACCAAGGACTGATAGGGCAAGGTCATTCGGCCCAATGAAAATCATATCTTGATAGAGGTTAGCGAAACCATTCTCCAGGTTTGTGGCAATCACTAACCGACACCAGGTACAGCACAGATAGCGTCAACATTCTCGACCCCCACTTTCGATTCAATTTGAACACAGGTGATGAGCGTTTCGTTCGCTGTTTCCAGGTATGTCGCGATGTCGGTGCCATGAGCGATGGCTGGAAACGCTGAGCCTTGTCCTCGAAGCCCTTGTGGAGGGAATTTTGAATGAGAGACAACTGTCCTGGCTTCTTCGGCCGTATTGATCTGAGGTACAACGATGCCGCTTATAACACCTTTAGTAACTAGAATAGTATATATTAGTGTCCCTTACTGTGCACCAGCATCCAAAGCTCGTTTAATCAAATCTGCGTGAGTCATTCGAAGACGAACAAGCGGCGACACTCCCAAAGCAGCGATGGCGGCAGTTGCGCTGTGCATGGAATCGTCGCTGATATGGCCATGCTCACAATCGATGATTATGCCCTTGACGATCATTAGTGAGATTATAAACTATAGAAGGAGGGCAACGCTGACATCAACGCCGGTCTGAGCTACGATTTGGGCTGTGCGAAAGGACGGAAGCCCTAAAAAGGTCATAATAGGCTTCGAAGTGGCTCGAAGAGCATTTAGCAGGCGCAAACGTGGGTTGTAAATCGAGGTTGTCATGGGTGATGAGTATAACATTCTGCGTTAGGAGCTTCCGATAGATTATGGGGACGTCTAGAGAAGACCGCGCTGCAATACAAAGAAAGGAGCAATGAAGACGGCTGGCATAATAGGCAGCGATATTTATGTCGAGAGTGACTTGTAAATTTCATCTGAAAATAGTCGCAATGGGGCAATGGGAGAGCATTCGAGTTACTCAGTATCGGGAAAACAGATTTAGCCCGAGCTGAGCTTGAAGCCGACGCCGAAACCAGAGATCTAGTCCCACAAGGAACGGGACTTGGGGCGCAAGACAACCTAAGCCTTATTTCCATGGCTTGCAACCTTCATAGGCCATCCTTATTGAGCTAGTTTAGGTTCCCCTTAGAGCCCACTCAGTGCCAGCTTAGGGGTTAGGATGCTCAGTAAGCGGCTGACCCCATGATCTCAGAGCGATCACCGGTTATCTACAGTAGAGTATGTAGAGTTACATGGGATATCCACCGGTATTTGTTCAATTTCCAGTTGGTAGCTTTCAAGGGCCAGAGGCTGGTTCATTAGTCTTAGAGAACCCTTATTATTATTATAACCGAAAAATTATAAGCTGGCTCTCCCAAAAGCTGAGGGTTTAGTTTGAATGGTGCATATGAGACAGGTATAACTGCCTAAGGATGTATAAACGAAAGTAAAAGATTACAACACCCCAACGTTAAGTGATGGTAAATCAGGCACTGAAAATGGCTGCTTCTCTTGACATCAATTTGTAATTTGGAAGAGTGTTAACTAAACCAGAGGAAGCAGCTTATGTTCCCAATGTCTCGTCGCCAGGGGACCTTTTTCTGCTAACCTTTATCCCTTACGCTGCAGTGTGTGATAACCGAGCTTCTCTCGCGCCTCTGAGATTGTGGATCCGCCAGCGATCATTTCTCGGATTCCGGCTTCACTTTCCTCGATCCTTCGTGCGATTTCGGCCACCTCACGCGCTCGATCGCGTGGAACAATAACGACACCGTTTGCATCGGCAACAACGATATCGCGAGGGTTGACACGTACCTTGCCGATGCCGATCGACTCGTTGACCCCTCCCACCTGAACCCGGTCCTTGCCGGTTCGCATCCAACGTCCAGCGGTGAAAAGCGGGTAGTCATCCTCAATCGCACGGTTCACATCGCGGCACACACCGTCGATAACAGCTCCAGCAACGCCTCGTATTCCGGCGTACTGAGTCATTATGTCGCCCCAAACGGTACAATCGGAGCGGCCACCGTTGTCGATGACTACCACATCGCCTATGGCAACGTCGTCAATGAAATCGCCAACGCTTCCCGGCGGCTCGCTGGCGGGTACATAACGAACAGTGAAGGCCGGACCGACGGTAACCTTTTTGGAGTCAGTCAGAGGCATAATACCGAACGCCTGTCCCGGAATCCCAAGCTTATCAAGCGCGTCAGAGACTCCAGGGGTGTCTGAATCAGCGAACAGCGCTACCAACTCTTGATCCTCGGCCTTAGCTTTCTTGGGATTTCGGGTGGAAGATCGCGCGGCTGTCGCGACTGCCAATGATGGTGTACTCTCGCAGATGGCTTCAAATTGCGTGTCATGCATGACCTCTGACACGGGGTGACCGGCTCGAACGGCCTGGATCATAAGGCTCTGGCGACGGTCGATCCGCTCGCCCAATTCCAAGACCTCTTCAATGCGCTTCGCCGGGACGAACACTGCCCCGCATCTATCGGCGATAACATAGTCGTCTTGGTTGACCATGATGCCGCGTATCTGCAGCGGTGTACCGGAATAAACTTGCACCAGTCGATTACGCGCGCTGATCATAGTCACGCCACGACCGTAAACGGGATAGCCGACCTCACGGCTGCCGTCGATGTCGCGACTCATGCCATCGATGATGGTTCCACGGATGCGTTTCGCTTTCGAGGCATTAGCGAGGATATCGCCCCAGCACGAGATGCCATCTATGCCTCCGGAGATGACGAGAATGCGATCATCCGTCATTACCGCATCTATCACCGGGGTGAGAAGATGGGCCGAGGGAGCAGCATCAGTCTTTGGGCCCACTTTCACTGTGCTTGCGCGTCCAACAATCTTTGGACAGTCCCAGAGTGGCCGCAGGCCGTATGTGGCTCCTTGAAGGCCTAGAAAATCCAAGGCATCAGACAACGTATTGGTGTCGAGCGCCGAAAGTCGGTCCAATATGCTGGATTGACTCATGGTGTCGACTTCGGTTGGTAATCGAAATCATGAAGGTTGTCAATAAGGAAATGCCTCGAGTGAGTAGTGGCATGGCTTTTATTCACCAAGAAAGTAATCAAAGCTTCATCATATCGGTATCGGCATGGGTTCGCCGATCCCGAACTATGCGAACTATGCCGATCCCGATTTCGCTGGAAGTCTCCAGCTGATAGCAACGTCCGGGGACCCCATTACCACCCCGTATGTGTTGCGGAACCCAGATCGGTAAATTGACAGTGTGCCGAGGCTCGACAGGGCGAGCAGCGAGTTGCGATACGCATGGCGGCATGTAACTCACCCTCACTGGCTATAAATCCAAGTAGCATACAGCACAATTTTAAGAGCGCTTTTGACCACTTTATTCCTTTCATTTCGGACGCGCTGTGAATCACCTCGTCGATGTCCCAATTTGCTGGTCTTTCTGAGGGAACGCTCGACGTTGCTTTTGCCTTGATTGAGGCGTACAAGGAAGATCCATCGCCTTGCAAATTTGATCTCACTCCGGGGTTCTACCGTGACGAAGATGCAAAGCCTTAGATCTTGCCGTCTGTACGAAAGGTAACGTTAATCACTGCAGCCTTGACGATCTCTCTTACTAAATATGTCTAGCTATGGCCAAGCAAGCCTTGCTAAGCGATCCAACCGCGGATCACGAACATTTGCCGATCCTCGGCCATGCTGGACTGCTCGATAGTGCCCAAAGACTTGTATTTGGTGCAACAGCCGAGGAGGTCAAGACCATCGCTTCCATCCAGACTATTGCGGGCACCGGGGCAAATCACCTCGGTGCCTTACTTTTGACCAAGTCTAGCTGCCCTCGGACAGTCTGGATCTCGGACCCCACGTGGATCAATCATCACGAAATCTGGCGGTTACTAGACAGCGGCATCAAGCGTCAGACATACCCCTACTTCGATAATAAATCATTTACTATCGATTACAACGGGATAATATCCACCCTCCAGCTGAAGGCCACAGAGGGTGACGTTGTGGTCTTGCACGGCTGCGCACATAATCCTACTGGGCACGACTTTACCAAGGATCAGTGGAAGGCCATTGCCAATGTTTGGGAACAGAAAAAGCTTGTTCCTTTCTTTGATCTGGCCTAGTGAGTGGCGTTTCCCTAATCCGAAATTGCTCAATAAGCTAAAATTCACCCGTAGCCAGGACTTTGCCACCGGAGATTTGGCTGAAGATGTCTGGTCCGTACGGCATTTCTTCCGCAACGCGTCGCTGGAAATTTTAGTGGCGCAATCATTTCCCCAGAACTTTGGTCTGTATGGCGAACGTGTCGGCGCGCTCCACGTTGTATGCCGGACGGAGGTCACTAGATTGAAGGTCCACAACATGCTTACACGACTGTCTCGCGCTGAGATAACAACATCCCCTATCAACGGCGCTAGAACTATGGCAAAAGTACTCGGAGACAAAGACTTGAAACAGCAGTGGCAAAATGATCTGTTCCATATGAGTGACCGTATGAGGTCAATGCGAGAAAGATTAGTGAATGCACTTCAGAAGCGTCAAACACCAGGTTCGTGGGATCACATATTGATGGATGTGAGTTCTTCTGCTTCTTTCATGTGTCCTGCTTCACCTTAGATTCGCTAACGTTCTGCAGATTGGAATGTTCTCAATGACATGCTTGCAGCCAGGACAGATCCGGGCACTGAAAGAAGAATATCATGTATATCTTCTTCCTTTGGGAAGAATATCCACAACAGGCTGTTCGTAGAAATACTTTTCTACAGCTCCTTCGCTCACAAGCTAATTCGCATATAGTGACTGAGCATAACGTGGAATATGTTGCGCAGGCTTTTCCACACTGTCATTGTTGCTGCCAAACCCGAGTAACACAGCTTATATGGGAGGAGAACTGTTCGATGGGAAAGAGGGGTCTTTCAAGAGAGCCGGGATTTCAACTCTCAACCCCAGCGCTTCCAATCGTTGATTTGGTTAAATGCAGAGTGGTTAAGTTGTAACGAGGGAGGTTCTGATCTCTGCGTAATAGAATAAATTGTTTAGGTAGCAGCTTCCTATATGAGTGGGTGTAAATTGGTCTCCCCTTGCTACACTGCCCGAAATCACACTTGTGCCTGGCGTGGTATCATTTCTGTCTTTCAACGGATCTCCTCTGCACAAGGGCAATCGCCATTAGCAATGTGCCTGAGAAAAGCGACAAATTGCCTCGAAACTCAAAGGAAGTGAAACTTACCCTTGTTGGTGCTGTAAGGATGTCTGGCTGTGCTGCCTGGGAGATTACCCCTCGGCCCTGTAGCTCCCAGAACGTCACGCTAGAATGATGAAAATAAGATGAAAACATAGACTCACCTTGCTACGACTATGTGATGGCAGGAATTTAGATTGTCCGTTCAGGCTGTCAGCACCTTATGTTAAAAAGGGTGCCCACCGAACCCCGTTGCACTCTTCAGCCAATTTGTTCGTCGCTCGTCCTATATTCTTATTCGGCTCTATGCCTATAGCATATTTACCTAGCCTAAACTAATACTGCGTAGGAATACCGCAATCCGACGGAACATCTCGACTGGGTTGGAGTACATGGGAAAGTGCCCGCTCTCGGAGATCTCAGCGAGCTCCACGCCCTGCTTCTCCAACCTCCCCAGATACGACAAATCCCGATTCGCCTCCCCAAACATGAACATCTTCGGGCACGGCAGCCCCAGGAACATGCCCAGCAGATCCTCCTCGTCGGACAGGCGAACCATCGACTCAAAGATGGGTCGTATAGCCGGCGCGCGCACCCGCGCACGCAGGGTGCTGGCATACAAAGCGCTAGCAAAGGACTTTGACTTTCGTATGCGGTTGATAAATTCATTGAAGAATGCCTCCGGGTCGCCCGAGCGGAAAGTGAAGATCTGGCGGCTCAAGAAACAGTCCTCCGGCGCAAGGTTGCCCTTGATATCTACAAAGCTCAGGACTCGGTCCGGATAGCAATGTGCGAGGAGGAGCGCGGTCAGTCCGCCCATTGAGTGGCCGATGAGGTGAAAGCTGGTGATATTGAAATGGGCGAGGAGCGCTTCTGCTGTTGCCACAAGGAAAGGGATGTCTATACCAGACAGTTTGTCGCTTGTTGACTGCCCGCAACCCGGCGCGTCGAAGGCGATGAAACCATACTGTTGTAAGGCCGGATGGAGGGGTAGATCGGCTAGATCTTCTTTGCAGGAGCCGAAACCATGCAGAAATAGAATTGGCGGCTGGGAGTTAAGGCTGTGGATCGTGGACAGGTCAAGGTTGACGCCCTTGACCTGGAGCGGGATCGTCGTGTAAGTGAGAGACATGACATGCCAATGAATACTTGATGGGTATGGGAGTACTAGACAGTAAGTATCTTAGCTGGAAAATTTGTTCAAGATATAATTTTCGGAATACAAAGAGTGCAGTGGCGAAAATAAAGTTCTGTGGACTCGGTCGGCGAAATGCCATTTTGCCGCTGCCTGCATCGGTCGACAGTGAAGCTTAATGAGACGTCGGTTGAAGTATGAAGCAATATGACAGTTGAGTTACGCTACGTAAAATATGCTTACTATGGTTCAGTTTCAGGATTCCACCTCCCATAGAACATATCTTTACCTTCTTCTCCTGCTCCTTTTCGTCCAAGGGAATGCCATGACTGCTTAATCCTTGCGCCATAGTCCGTAGAGTTGATATTCGCATGAAAGATCTTTTCGTTATACTTCAAAAGTGTTGTGATCTCAGGGGAAAGATGGGCAGAATGATGCTGTATCAGCTACACATACGTAGCCTACTGAGGACCGGATGCCATTCCGATAGATCTCAATTCTATGGACGACTATATCAACTATCTTGACTGCTTCTTCTCTTTTTCCGCTAATGGGTAAAGCCTTCAGGGGCACAAGAGTTGGTGATCCGGCCAAGCCGCTAGGCGATCACGTGTCTCCTATAGATTCATAACAAAAAGAGACTATGCTTTACTGGTATAGATGTATGCAATCTTGCGCACGGATGGCAAAGTCAAGGAAGTAGCAAAGCTTCCACATAGAATGCTCAAATGACTGTATTGGGGGATTTGAAGGTGTTTCACTGTACCTCTCTAAAAAGAGAATAGATCAGGGTCGACAGCGCTAAACTAGATTCGGTTAGCGTGTGTTGTTTCTCACGTGCTGATACGCCAATATTATTATCATCTGGCTGTAACTTTGTATCTGTGTTAGCACTTCTAGTTCTGTTTGCTCTCTGTTGGAACTACCATTCATAAGACGCCTTGTTTGATGCCAAAACCCCACGTGCCTAGCCCCAAAGATGGGAGGGAATTCAGTTGCACTTACTGCCAGCGAACGTTTCGCAGGCTGGAGCATTTGCAACGCCACACAAGACGACGTTTGTACAGTCTCTCACGGTAGTGACAATCACACTAAACAGTCTTGATCTAGATACAAATGAAAGGCCTTTTGCCTGCCATTGTGGCGCATTATTCTCTCGACGCGACCTGCTGCGTCGGCACGAGCGTTTGGCTTGTCATTCGGAACCCAGCAGTTTACCAGTGCAGATTTTGAATGAGAATCAGCACCTGATGCAGCACCAAGTCGGGTCATCCTCAGCTTTTGAGCCTAGACGTTCCGACAAAACCCGTCCTCGCCGAAGACAGAGTCTGGCTCCGGAGCAAATTCCCCAGCCTGCGGACTTTCTCACTGGCATACATCATGACCAGACGTCTGGGTAAATAATCAGCACAAACGATCAATGGTTCACATATGCCCTAACACAATCTAGGACTGAACCAGGTCTGCTTGATAATCATTCCATTTCTCCCTTAGCACAGCAAGGAGCTCAAGCACGGGGTGAGTCCCTTGTGCTTCTTAATCGCGCTACTGCTGATGAGACAAGGTCAACAGGAAGGCGATAGCCAAAGGCCACAGTTCGGGAACAACAGTCGTGGGCCTTCTGCTCCGGTATTTCCTAGTATATTCCCCGCTCCCCAATTGGCTCTTGGTGAGTGTTGTTCCCCTCCCCGATGGCCTCTTGGGACGGCAACTGACAACCCCATCACAGCTACTCAGATTGTTCCGCATTTTGCGAGCCCCCGTGTTACACCCTTTGACCGCTCTAGACTGCTTTCTTCCCTGGGAAGGGTAGAGAAAATATTCCCCAACCCGTGTTTACCTTCCAGCGATGCGTTGACTCGCTATCTGGCTGGATACTTCACTGGATTCTACCCTCTTGTCCCCTTTACTCACACTCCAACATTCAAGCTTGAATCATGCTTACCAGAGCTTTGCTTAGCTATGTTGGCTGTTGGTGCAATGGATAGGTTTGAGGTCACACCAGCCACTGAGTTGTTCTATCTTGCAAAGGCCCTCCTGTCGGATAGCCAGCAGCGCAGGGCACGAGCTGAGATGAAGCAGTCGACAGGCTTAGTTGACAATGGCTCCTCATTGGCCAGGCAGTTAATCGACGAGCTGAGGTGCTTACTCTGTCTCGCGCACTTCGCATCATGGCAAAGAGACCCGGCCCTGAGAAACGAAGCTTGTGTCTTGCAGAGCTTGCTTGGGCAGTCTCTAAGATCGAACCCTTTGGAGGAAACAGCGCAAAGTGAGCAATATCTTGACTGGGAACAGTGGGCCCAACAGGAATCAGAAAGACGTACCAAGCTGTTTGCCTTCTGTTTCCTTGGAATCCAAAGCATTTCTTTTGATGTGCCACCTAGCATTTGGTGTGACGAGATTAACCTGAGGCTACCGTGCTCTTGTCCCGAGTGGACAGCACCAGATGCAACAACCTGGAGCATGCTGCGACGAGCGACTCCAAACGAACAGGGGCTATACCGTGATACGCTGGATGCACTATTGTCTCCGCTGAATCAAACCAACCATGGCACCCCACCCCCCACACCCGTGGGAAACTATGTTTTAATTCATGGACTGCTGCAGAAGATTCTCTGGACGAGGAGATCTCTCTGTGGGAACTTATCGCGGACGTTGTTGGAGGATTATGAGTCAATTTTTGAGTAATCTCTCCGCCCTGTCCATATCTGCTTTCGAGCCTTATTGCCGGGATCTATTGCTGACACTGTGTTGTGCTTGCTCAATTTACAGGTCTGCTCTGCAGAAATGGACTTCGTTATGGCAACAAACCCCAGAGTCGAACTTAGAACCTTTAGACCCGAACGGGCCCTTACCTTTCACATCGAGTGCCCTACTGAGCCTTGCGTACGTCCGCAACTGTTTTGATATCTTTCCGACAAGGAAGATATTCACCTGGGCCCCCGCCGAGATTGCCCAAGTGCTTCGAACATCGCCGCCTGTGGATCGGAAATGGAGCTCGCTTTTAGCAGCCTATCATGCAACTAATCTCCTTGCTACATTGGTCAAACTGGGCGTTCAATACTTTAAGCACAACCAGTCAGTCCTCTGGAGCGTTGAGGCTACTCTTTGTGGTCTCGACTGCTCTGTCTTCCTAGAGAAATGGCTTCGTCGAGTGAACGACACAATGCAAGATTTACCATTATCAGGTTTGTGCAATTCCCTTCTTGGGATGATTATTATAGCCGCAAGTAATGCCCAGGCACTAATTTCCTTATCAGACTATGAAATACAACTGGTTGATTGGATCAAAGACGTTGTTTACGAGGGCCTATCATCTGCTAATGACGGCTCTTTTGACACCACTTCCAGGCCTGCTATTCTACCCGACCAGATCATCACAGTGTGGTCCCACATCATGCAGGGAAATTCCCCGTTCACATTCATACGAATGATTGGCGAGGTGCTTGACGAGTATAGGCAGCTATCTGTTAGGAGCTAATTAGACCCACAAAGGCAGATTCACTACACTGTTCTCATGCTGGGATAAAATAGTTGTGAGCATTAACATTGAATAACAAGTAAGTGTTTGAAGCAACTCGCCGACGTGTTGAATTATATGTCTAAACACTGCCTGTCGCTTCAGAGGTAGCCGGGTTAACCCCCACTTTGTTATCTTGTATGAAACACACTTCATATCCCAGAGTCGTGTAAGACTTGCCCAAGATGAATTTGTCCTCGTCGGCCATGACAACATACTTGTAGAACAGATCATTGAGAGTGTTCGCTATACAGTCAAGCGAGGGCACGTAGGTTGCTCATGACCATCCCAGTGCGAGATCGAGTCAAAGCCTTGATAGTTCCAGGGTCTGGCATCCTCGGCGCGAAGTTTGGGCGGCTGGTGGTTCTGAATTCGACTGAGAAAGGTGAGAAGAGTATTTGTAAGATCCTGTCATGCTGCTTATGAATGTAGTTTACGACTCCGTGGCGACGCGGCCATTTGGAGGATGGCCGGCCCATTTTCTCCAAAATTGGAGAACGCCCAGCAACTGATATATCTACAGTGGCATGTCAAAAGTCTTAAACACCCCTTTCACGGTGCCAAGGCACTAATAAGCTAAAATTTAGACCGCTTTTCTAATTAATATATACTAAAGCGAGCTAACCTCCATAGCCAGTATGAACAATGATTGAAAGAGAGCTCTGTGGATATTGAGTATGGATTCTCCGACAGCCCCGCCCTTATTGTAACCGACCCTCCAGCTAAGCCTACGGGGTCGACGTCCTAGAGGGATCGGTCAGTCTGCAGATTATGTAATACAAGCTAGACACTAAGGTTGCTCAGAATTGCCCCAAGATTCATAGCCCAACGGGAAACCCAACTAAGAGGTTATACAGCACGGGCGCGACTGGCCTTATAGGAGGCGACTTTTTGGTCGTCCCGACAGCAAAACACCCAGAATGGGGAATCTCACGCTCATCAAAGACATTGGGAAGGCTCGTTTTGTCACCAAGCATTTTCCTAATGCTCACATTGTTCAAGGGTCGCTTGAGCACTTGAATGTTGTGGAAAGGGAGACAAAGTCGTCTCGATGTTGTTTTGAATATATTAGTGTCACAGCTGTACGTAGGGAGGTATGTACATGTGGTTCAGGCAGTATCAGACCGCAGGGTCTTATCAAAGTGACCTTGGTACAGTTAGGAACACACTTGCCTGGACCCGTTCTCTTACACTTACCAAGCATCGTAGATCAACGGGTTGCACAGTAGAATTTGGTTCAGTTGGAGAAGTGGGTTCGAGCGGGGATTTGGAGAAGCCCTACAACCACCTGCAAAACCGGAAGCATATGGGCCTCAGGTCGTCGGCAACGCTCACTGGTTATGACTTCTTACATAACTATGGGTTTTCAACGGGCCTATTCGAATAATCTAAATGATGAATCATGCCGATTTATCAGCAATAATGTAAAGGTGGATCACGCAGGTCTATAAATGAATGTCGACGCCCTATCTGTAAGGTGATACTTGTGCCCATCATCGCATCATTCCAATTTTTATTCAGATTCCGAACAACATGTCTCAGACTGTCATTCGTATTGATGGCCCGCGGACCTCAATCCGCAACCTGAAAGCCTTCAATGAGAAGATCCCCGTGCCCACCAAGCACGAAGTGCTGATCAAAGTCCATTCTGTTTCGCTGAACTACCGCGATATTGCTGTCGCCACTTCCCAGTATCCGTTCCCTGTCAAGGACAACGTTGTACCCTGCTCTGATGCCGCCGGTGTTGTCGTCGAGGCCGGCGAGTGTGTCAAGAATCTCGCCAAGGGCGACCGTGTGGTCGGTACCTTTGACCCTACCAACCTCTTCGGCCAACAGATGGACTGGCTGAACGGTCAGGGCGCGCCTGTTGACGGTGTCCTCCGCGAATACATCACCCTTCCTGCTATTGCTGCTGTCAAGCTGCCAGAGAATTCTCCACAGAGCTTCTCTGAGTGGTCCACCTTGGTTTGCACGGGTGTCACTGCATGGAACGCCCTTTACGGTATTACTCCACTGAAGCCCGGTCAGATCGTTCTCTGCCAAGGTATGACAAAATAATCCCCATCAAGGTATATCCCAAGCTAAGTATCGACCGTTGGGATCCAGGAACCGGCGGTGTGTCCATCACCGGGTTGATCTTGGCAAAGGCTGCTGGAGCCACCACGATTGTGACGTCGTCTAGTGACAAGAAGCTCGAGTTTGTCAAGTCCAAATTCGGTGCTGATTACTGCGTCAATTACAAGAAGCACCCTCAGTGGTCCAAGGAGGTCCTGCGGCTTATGAACGGCGAGGGCGTCGACTATGTCCTTGAGAACGGTGGCTCGGGCACCATCGCCGAGAGCATCAACTCCGTGAAGATGGGTGGTAATGTTTCTGTTATCGGCTTCCTTTCCCAGGCCAACGCGATGCCTGATGTTGCGGGCCTTGCGCTGGCCAAGGCTGCCGTAGTCCGTGGTGTTACTGTTGGATCGACTCAGCTTCTGCAGGAGCTTGTCCGCTATGTTGGCCGGAATGGTCTTCGCCTGCCTGTTGATAAGGAGTTTGGCTTCTCTGCTGAGGAAGCCATGAAGGCCTTTGAGTACCTCCAATCAGGTACTCACATTGGCAAGGTGTGTATCAAGGTATCGGAGTAAAGGTAATAACTTGGCCAGGAATGGTGGCATAAAATGCTCGGTCGAGATGGACCATCTGCTTCTTTCTAGCCCATAGTCATTGCCGATGAAGCCAGGACTTATATCGATGTGGAGATTTAACAGGTTTCTTCTACCAGTGTATAGTAGTGACGAGCCAGTGAAAATCAGTATCTCCTATGTCTTACTAAGATTACATCTCTTGATGTGATATTGACTAGTTATACCCTCGTCTTGAACGATAGCCACCGTCCACTCACCAGTCCCCTAGCCGTGATATAACATAACCTCCAAGGAAAACAATAGCCGTTAACGAGCCTGCCAGTGATTGTCTTCCTAGATTTTCGAGCATGACGCCACTCAAAGGTAGAGAGTGTAGGACTCCAAAACTGATCATGAAAGTCATAGTTCCTGTTTCGACTTAACGTTACGAAGCCACAAACTGGATACAGCACGTCCTCACCGTAGAATCTGCCATAATTGCGCGTTTCGCAGGTCGCACCCATAAATACTGCAAGGTCAGTTCTTGTTGTCTTAAGCAGTCCCATCGTGCAACCACGAGAACTAACCTAGGGCAATGGATAAGAATGAGCCGGAGCCGAACCCACCCCCAAAGTGCAGAAAACGCGTAAAGGGTTGGTTTTGACTTTTCCGCAAATGGGATAAACAAAGTTCCCATGAACAATAGCGTGAAAGCAGCCATGGCAAGAATGACATTGAAAGGCGAGATTATATCACCGACCATGCCAAGTAAAATTCGTCCCACGCAGGAAGAAGCACTTAGAATAGCAATCAAAATGTACCCAGCTCCTGGAGGGAAGCCAGCGCCGGTGGCGAGGGTTGGTAATAGCCCGGCGATTGCAAAGATAGCAAACTCGAGTAGAAACAATCCGAAGGATACAAAGAGAAAGGAAGGTGACCGGAAAGCCGAAAAGTTGAACAAGTTACGCATTGTTACTGCTGTAGAACTCCGCTGGACCCGCACCAAATGAGAGTATGGTAAAAAGCAAAGGAGACCCATAGCTGTGATCTCCGTGATGGCAATTGCTATTATTCTCATTGACCACTTCCACCCAAGTCGTGGAACGTTGACTGGAGCATGATGGGGATGATGATTGAACCAACTGAGAAACCTGTCAAAGCAACACCCATTGCCAATCCACGACGACGGGTAAAGACCTTTGCAATGACAGATATAGCTATAGTTGCAGTTGCTGCACCTCCCATTGCTCCAAGTATGCCAAGGCAGAGCATGAATTGCCAATGTGTCTTACACTCGGCCAGTAAAAGAAAGGACATGACGCATGTCTAACACTAATCGGACCCAAGGTCTCAGGTCCGTAAGAATCGCAGGTAGGTCCAATAATGATGTTAAAGGAGTAGCTCAGAAACAGGTACATTCCAGTAATCCATCCAACTTCGCCACAGACAACATGCTCAGCTAGTTAAAATGGAGAAAGGATCGGACTGTTCCAATGGATTGCATGAAGCCTAACAGCCGCATTATGAATAATAGATCTATTGCAGCCTTCCTGAACCTGTCTCACCGTATGATGGTATAATGAAGGTGAATGCACCAACTACACAAAACCTTGCCCGCCATCCAGTTTCTTGACCACAAGGTCCATGGAACATATTGACAGCCTCATTCAGGTCATTTACACTTTCGTGGTTATTCTGGCCTTCAGGCAAAGAAGATAGCCTGTACTGAGTTGACAAATAATCACTCCCTAGGGTAGCCATATTATAGCAGCTTTGGTTGACTATCTTGGTGAAGTGGTATGTTATGCTGTCAATGTTTGCAAGATCAGATGCTTTGCTACAATTAAAACCATGTGGGCAGGGGTAGATAGCCGACTACTGGTTCCATGGCTCACCGTCTGGCATAGTAGGCTTGCCTCCCCCTGCGGAAACATGGCTGCTAGAAGGTCTATTGTAGAGAGCTGAGCCTCCATTAGGTCTGGTGGGAATCGCTGCGGTTTGCTTTGTGCCATTTTTTTGGGTTGTTACTCGTGAATATAACACAAGATATAAACATGATATAAACATTATAAATGTATGCTTGAAGGATTAGAATGGAATCTAAATTGTTACTGGTGGAGCCTCCCATTGTGGAGGAAGCGGAAATCAATCCTCCAGTGTGAGTATGTTTTATGTATGTGTGCTGATTATTTTCTTCACAATGACTAGGTTTTGGAAAACCTATATGAACAGGATACCTCCAATGTTGCGGTATCTTTTTTTTCTCTCAAATGCTCGTAGATTTATTCTAAAATTTGCAAACATCGCTGATACAGCACCCCTGCAGCTGTACAGCTCTGGCCTGAATTTCGCACCGCAAAAAGCGTTGATCAGGAGGAATTTTGAGAGAGAGCTTCCTGATTGATTATCCAAAGACCTAAGAGTGGAAGATACTTGGAGTCCAGAATTAGAACCCCTGGAGGGCCATTCTGGCCGGGTTTGGTTGGCCGCCTTCTCAGGAGATGGCCAGCTTCTGGCATCGGGCCCTCATGTAACACCATCAAGCTCTGGGACTCCGTCACTGGCGCCCTCAAGCATACCATAAGTACTGACAGTATTATCAAACCCGTTCAATTTTCTAAGCACCTGCCGCAATGATTACCAACGTTGGATCTTTTGATATCAAAGTGTGCTATGAACCCTCAAATCCCTCTGGAAAAAGTGTCTCTGCGGGCAGGTCGGTGGGTTACTATTCTGGGTCAAAGGGAGTTATGGCTCCCTCCAGATTATGAACCTAATTCCTCAACAGCCAAAGATGGTACTATCGCACTTGGATGCACAAATGGTAGGGTTGTCATAATCGCGTTTTCATTCATATAAGGTATACTGCATTAAATTACATTCCAGCTCTCTTATATTTCTGAAACTCCTCCCTTGGAAGAAGGGTCAGGGAGAACATAGCCTTATATAGTTATTTGCCGAATTGATAGGATTTTCGCGATGTTTCGACCTTTAAGTGGCACGGTGAAGAAATCTAGAGTCACACTAGCTTTCCTGGTACATTAGGCACGTCAAGGGCAGGCTTCTTTTCAATTTATAAAAGTGCATAATTAATCCATAGGTTAAAGAAAACTAGGATTTTCAAATTCCGTCCCGGACGGATGGTGTTGATAATAGCTCAATGGTAATCTCGCGCTACTCCATTGACGGTGCGGCCAGAAAACAATCATCATGTGTTTCAAGGTCCAACCGATTTTCGAGAAAACCGTACCTGCAACGGAAATTCTTGCTCGTTCCACATCCGGCGTACCAATGAAAGCATTTGGCTCCAACAAGCTTAGAACTACAAGGCCTTGTAGGCCTGAAAACATATCTGATTCGAGGCAGCCAAAGCACAAAAGCAGGCGTTCCAGAGCATCAGGAGATGCCTCTGAAATGAATGTAAGAATGGATAAGCGGTGCGAATGAGAAATCACAATCCAAGTAGATCCTCTTTTACCATCTTCAGCTGTGTAGCTAGTTGGCGTTGGTCATCATATCATCCATTTCAGTAGCAGAGGAGTCAAGATCTTCCATAGCGTAATAGGACAGATTCAGTGTCGATAGGGATAGTGAGTCTATTCAAGTACTATTCGGAGGGCAACAGTTCGGCACAGCCACGATAAACTCCCTACTTTTAACGCCACACTGCGCACTTTCGGCGACTACATTTATATCATAAGAATAGATTTACTTTCTGAGCAAGGCAGTCAAGCCTCCACTAGCCACATGAGAAACATCCATTCTATTACTCTTGGCAGATCTATCAATTCCCTAGCCGAAGAAGATAATGATTCACTGTACCACTAATTCTCGGCGCTTCCCTGACTGTCAGGACCAGCTATGATAAGGAAGCCCCTTTCAACTAGATGACTTAAGAGACTTCGTCGCATTCTTCATCCAAAGCTGCTCTCTTTAGAGATGGCTCATTGCAAGCCTCAAGCTTACAAATCTACTTCCTCTTCCGAGATACACAGTTTCGACAAGGTTCTTTAATAGAATAGGCATCAAAAAATGTCATTATAGGAGCAAGGTACCGTTGCTCCGAATAACGCTACAACTTCGAGGAGAGTACAGTACCCGGGCATACCGGTGGGAAAAATAAGTATATATATTCTTAAAAGGAGCAATAAAAAGTTTGCAAAAACATACAACAGCCGGGATTCGCTGGTGGTCACCCACCCAACTACTAACCGGCCGGCGCGTGGCTTAAGTACGGCTGAGCGGACGGGAAGCCCTGTTCTCCACACCCTGTGGTCGTATGTACCTGTCCTTCAAGAGAAGAGAATATATATAGTATGGATGTCCAAATAATTCACGCAGCTCGACTTCGATTTTACCAATTATTCCCTTCCCAAGCACCTCTTGATCTCTTTCTCAGGGGTTTAATATCTCGTTGGAAGGTACTTCGGTAAATTACAGTAGTCTACCATGTGTTATAGGCAAGAATCGTGCAAATACACTGTACAATCCTAGGTACATGAAACGATATATTTTGTTACACACATATCTATATGACGTTTGAGAGTGATGTTCTCGGAACATCACTAACCTCCTCAAATCATTATTTATTCCGATCAGCGTGTCGAATATGCCTAGTGGATAGGGGCTCTTTGGATATAGGCAGAGCATTAAAGTCTTTTGTCATCAGGCCATATATAAAAAGCACTCATGATTCCCACCGAGATAGGCCTCCTCGATAGTTCTATAGAATCATTAGGTCTAATCTTTTGTAATCTTCATATCCATTTTACTTACTATATCCTGTACACAATGTCGAAGCTATCTCCTTCTCTCATAACGGCACAATGTAGCGACACCGGAAGTCATTCCATTGGTCAATTCCTTCTAGCTGAACCCCGCTACTCGAGTGCCAACTCTTGTCAGAGAGGAAGATGGGACGAAGTCACTGTATCATTTTCTAGCAGCTACGTCTAGTTCTCTTTTTAAATCTTGTATATAGAGAACACGATGGCAAGATGGGTCCGTCTTCACAGCTCAAAGACCGGGGGAGTGAAAAATAGCAAAGGAGCAGGTGACAGTGAAGTCGTACCAGTTTCCAACTCGAAGCCCACGGTCACCACGACTATCGCTACCGACTCGCCTCCTGACCGGCTGACTCCTACAGCCCTAGCCTCAACGACGAAGGGAAGTGATACACACACATCCTCAACGGTTAAGGATCCCGACCTGTGGATTCACGCAAATAAGATTCTCCAACGGAGAGAGACCGATTGAGTGACAGATTATAAGAATCACTCGAGCACCTTGCACGGTGATGCTGGAGTCGACGCGGAACTCCCTGGCAGGCAATGGATCGAGACAACCGTGGATAAGCTATTGAAAGTCCGGGAGGAGAAGCGGTTTAGAATGTCGGTGCCAGGTCGCGATATTACCATACGGACACAAGTCCAGAGACTAGCAAAGTTCTTATTATGGTCGGATCCATTTGTGAAGACGGCTGTGAGTACCCAGCCTTACCCAGCGCTGGCATGGTCCGGATTTTCGGTACTACTACCGGCACGTTATATCCTGCTGTAACCCATGTACTCTACCAAAGCTGAACTATTGAAGCTCCTTACAAGCGGCACTACTAAAAATGAAGCTATGCTGCAAGACTTTAATGCGATCAGCGACCTCCAAGTGTATTGGAAGGTCTGCGAGAAAAGCTACGTTCGCTCCACCCATCGGGGGATTATCAGGATCTCGTTGAGCCCATCACCATTTTGTATTCTTACATGCTGGAATACCAGGCCCTTGTCAATTGCCATCTCTCCCAAGCCCAGTACTTGCGCGCGTGGCAGGTCTTGGCGGGTTCTACTAAATGAATTGAAACGATAGAAAAGAGCAACAAATTGGATGAAATCTACCGCATTCGTTACTTACCAATTGGAGAACAGGATGAGCTTCGTAAGAACAGGGACAGTCTGCTGAAAGGTACGGAAGACTTGCGAAATCCAGCGAGATATCCTTCAGACCTGGACGGAAAGTCGACAAGATGAGAAGGAAGTCCAGCTGCTGCAAGATTTGGCCGCGGCCGGAACCTACAAGAAATACAGGGACAAAAATACAAAATGATTCCGGGGACCTGTGAATAGTTCTTGAAGGATAATCGATTCCAGCAGTGGTGTGGCGGCAAATCTTTTGAGTCTCCTCTGGGTTTCAGCAGGGCCTAGGCATGGCAAATTCGTTCTATCACGGTCCGTGGTTGACGAGGGACAACTATGCGCTCTTACTACCAATATCGTCACGGACTCGACTATCTTATTGTCTGCTGGTACCGTTCCATACTTCATTTTCAAGGATGTAGGGGATGGTCCCATGGATGGTGCTCAGGTGCTGTGTGCGATACTACACCCGTTGTTTACGAGCTCCTCTCAAGTTGGTGGCAAGTACGCATTCCCACTCCACAAAGAGAATGGCCTGAGTCTCACTAATATATCCTCCGTTCTCTGGGAAATCCTGGTCACGTGCGTTGTTTGTTCAGATGCGGAAGTAACTATCTGTGTGCTTGATGCCCTCGACGAATGTAATGAGGAGAGTAGGCGTAAAATAATTTGGACACTCGAGGCTTTCTATTCTGCAAACCAGAGATTACCAAGTTCTTCAAAGTTGAAGTTCCTTGCCACAAGCTGCCCATACACGAATATCGAACAATCCTTCCAAAGGTTTCCAGGGACAGCAGCATATCTGCATTTCGACGGCGACGACAGGTCCGAGCAAATTGGCCGCGAGATCGATCTCGTAATCAATGCCAGAGTTCGAGACGTCGCAGGAGTCTACACCATCGATGATCAACACCGGATCTCCAAGCGCCTTAAGCGCATGCAGAATTGTACATACCTATGGCTACACTTCTCGTTTGACATTATCGAGAAGAGCCCCACGGACTACGGCAGACGGTCCGATATCGAGGGGCTATTTCCAAATCTGCCATCTGAAGTTTCCAAGACATACAAAAAGATTCTGCCCAAAGTACAAATCCCCTGCGGAGGAGATTCTTCTTCAACTAGCTCTCACTGCTGCACAGCCTCTTTTCCCTTGACGAGGTGAAAGCCTTGACGCTAGCTTTTAAAAAAAGGGAAGATACTCGACGCAGGATGCACTTCGTCCAGACCTGTGGCCGAGGGACATCTTCAAAAACATCATCACAAAACTGCGGGGCATCTTCCTGAGCGATTATGATCCAAACATATCATTCATCCACCAGACAGCTCGGGAATTCCTTCTTGATCATAGCTAGCAGGGTATATGAAAGGGACATCTAACCATGGGGAGGGCACATAGTACTGTATCAAAATCCTATCTGGACTACCTTCTGCTCCCAGGTGAACCTAGCACTGCCACCTATGACTACGCTTTTCTAACGTACGCTGCCTCCAACTGGTCCTTGCACTATACGGCGCAGGATCCTGTGTTTGCCGAGCAGTACCGGACCGATGCTCGCAAGCTTTGCAAAGTAACCAGTAAGCAAGCGACAAACTAGCTGTATCATTATTTCAGCGGGTTTGAGCCCAGCAGCTGGATTATTTGACTGTAGCAAGTGTCTTGGTCTGAAGCAAGTCGTCCAAGCATTGCTAGACGAAGGCACCGACATCAAAGGCCAGGATGATGAGCACGGCACAGCCCTTCAGGTTGCCTCTGAGAGGGGGCATGGCAAGGTTGTGCAACTGTTATTGGAGAGGGGCGCTGACGCAGAATTACGAGGTAGGCATTATGGCAATGCTTTGTATAATGATTCACTTGCAGAATATGAGGAAATAGTGCAAATGCTGGTGGACAATGGGGCCAACGTCTATGCCCAAACTGGACTTCAAGGTAGTACTCTGCAGGCTGCTTCCTTTGAAAGACACGACAAAATTGTTCACATACTCCTAGAGAAGGGAGATGCTACTCTCTCACTAGAGGTTTTCTTAACACGTCCCAAAGACGATGAGGTTGTTGAGCGGTTGTTTCTTCAATTGATGCGAAGAAGAGGGTGGCACAATCTCCAGCGACGACCAAGGGGCAAATGCTTGGCTACACGGCTTCAAGAAGTGGGTTTCCGTGCACCAGGATAGATTGTCCAGGCACTATTGGTTAGTTTGGGGCCAGCGAAGCATTGTTAGGGTATGAGGACCTCGATAAGCAGATAGAAAGGTTCCTGCAAAACGGGCTCATGGACAATGAAGACCTTCTAGAGGAACAACGAAGCATTGGGGAAAGTATTACTCGGCTAGCTTAGTTTATACACCTAACATTCGGTATTTCATCTAGTCATAATAGCTATGGCATATGTTACTCTTCTTGGTAAATATAGAAAAAGTATGTATAGCGAAGTGCTACATTTTCCCCGAGGGATAACTAAGTGTTTCCATTCAACAAGACGATATCAAGCCTATACATGTTAAATAGGTGCTCAGTGACGGACCGGTTCTTTTATCGGCCAAGTTCAAGCGCACTATTTATCCATTTGAGCATGCCTTGCTCCCTTATCGCTCTGATCCAAAACATCCTGCCCTCATACACTCATTTAACAGGCGGGAAGCGGGCCTATGGAGCCGTTAGATTTCCCCACACCAATGCTCTCTAATTATAAAGATCAACTCACTGCTCCACGTAACATATGTGCCATACGCCAATGCTACCCAATAACCATTCGTCAATTTACCCCAGCCCCTAGTAGCATGAAAATTAGGAAACTCCTGGCCCTCATCATCGATCTAATCCAAAGATATACTTACTTGTCGCCGTTAACTGGGGTCGTGTTGGAGCGAGTGTAGCAGACCAAGCTGATCTTGGTTCCCTTTGAGTACTGCCCAACAGCATTGCAGGAGGTCTTGGGACAGGTGCGGTAACGAAGCCCGTCTACCACGACAGTACCGCTAACCGCTCGCTTCTCTAAGTCCCGCGATTCAAGATCAATGGCTGGAACCTCTGGTTCCGCGTAAACTGTGGGAGCAGCGTCTTCTGGCATTGCTGCGCCCAAGGCCGTCGCGGGAAGGAGAGCAGCAAGAGCGATGACGGAGAACTTCATCTTGATAGCTCGTTAAGAATATGAATAATGGACTGGAATGTATATTAGCTGCTGGGATGCATATTGATCTTACATTGGGAGGACTTGAAGACGCTTTAAATAGTCCAATCCTGCTATCCGTGCAAATAGATCGACACTGGAACCATGATACCCACGCAATCAGGACGGAACCATCACTCGGAATCCAAGCAGCGTAGGATCGTGCAACAAGAATCTATACGAGATGGAAAGAAAGGATGCATCCATCCATACTCGTGTTACTGTCAATGCATTCGAAGTCTAAAAGGCGAGTTGTTCGTATTTCCCCTTTACCGGCTTGGCGAAGTTGATATCCTTCATCTTGTTGTAGCGACAGAAGGCGACATGATTGGACTGTTAATTTATATCTTTGCAGACCCGGGATGAGCCTGATCACCATCCTAGTATTAGCCTTGGGAATAGCTTTGCAGAGCTTCGTATCTATACCTAATTAGACCTTGCCCCGCTCACTAGACGGAGGAGGGAGGGGAGGATACGACATTCATCCACCTCTCACATCTTGTTAGCCCCTGCCAAAGTCTCCATTGTAATGCTAGTGTTCTTGGCAACAATTCGTTTTCCCTATCTCGGCCAATCTTCGTATTCAGGATGTAGATCTTATGAGGGAATGTGTCTCCTGTTCGCTCCAGCCTTAGTTCTTCAGAACAACCACTAACTGAGTGAGCCGCAAGTCATAACGGAATGTCCGGATTCACTGGAACTTAGGGCTAGGCTTATTTCCCGATCACAAATCAAAGTAGTTCCAACGAGCTCCGACATAACTCTAACAGGCTGCTACCCTCACGATCATCTACTCAACTACCACATAAAGCCAAACGTCCGATCGTATTGTTTGCAGCACATGAATAACTACTGTGCGGCGCGCCACCGCTACAGAATGCCTACCGTATTCGGTCTAGTAAGAAATTCTGCGGTTTCTATCTTCTATTTCCCATTTCTAATATCATCACTAGGTACAAAGTATCTACTGGCAGCAGTTCATCCCCGGCCCTTTGCGAACATCACTGCGCTGGACGTGTAACCGCACGGTGTAACCTAAGGCCATCGAGACCTTGGCTATTCCGGCCTCTTATGTAAATCGATATTTGTTTCTAGTGTATGTATCCTGGCGGTCTAAAGAGGCTTCAGGTCTAATAGGCCGCACGAAACTAGTAACATCTATATCCTTGATTCGTTGGACGAAGCGAAGCTGACGCGTAGATAGGGTAGGCTTCGGTCATGGATTCAACCCGAGATATATATACCGTTTCAAGCAGGTTGAGCGTAGAGTGTTCACTCCGTAAATCAATATATATATTTATATATATCTGAAGAAGAGAAAAAAGAAACAAGAAGACAAAAAATGATCGGCCCGAGCCGCGGATCGAACGCGGGACCTCTCGCAGATATGCTTGGGTTATTTCCCTAAGCGAGAATCATACCACTAGACCACCCGGGCGACTTGTTGAGAATCGAATATTTATCTTGCACTATAAAGCGCAACTAAAGATATACATATCTGAAAACAGAAGCGATGTGGAGATCTAGACTATGTAACAAAATAACCCTTGGCACTAATTGTCTTCTACAACTAAAATCAAAATTGACGATAGATTGTCTAGTAGGATAAAAAGAATTAAGTAGGAATAATTACAGGTTGAAAAGCCCGCTTCTCTGTTTCCCACGGGGATAGACCACCAACGCGGAGAAGAACAAACCAACTGTAATTCCTAGCGCTGTCTGGACCATGCTGTAACCTAGACCATACAACGACTGCTGCACGGCTGCGAGGGTGCTAGCACTGTCACTCACAGTATTATTCTTGACCGACTCGGCATAAGCCAGCCCCGACATGATCGATCCACTCGTCGCGAGACCGGACGAAACCAAGGTAAACATGCCGGGAACAATGGCTGCCGCTGCATGCCCATGCCACAGCCGAGAGTACAGGTTAGCCAGCAGCCCAATGGCAAATGCAGAAATCGTGCTGGCCAGTCTGCTATCCAAGGCCTGACTGAAATAGTTAGCAATGTACCCGCTCACGCCTAGGAATACCGTGACCGGGAGTTGTTTCCACCTCGCCTGGTTGAGCACCGCCGCGATTGCACAATAAATCGCCACGAAGACAAAGTGCTGGATATATTCGTTACCGTAGATCGCGAGACTTTCCGATGGGCATGAAGTCTCAACCGTCGCATTCTTGTCGAGGATGCCGTAGATCGTGATGCCTACCGTGATTCCATACCCCAGGAACAGGGAGTAGATGATTGTATACACTAAGCGTATCGAACCGGCCACGATCTGATGGGACTGCAACTCCAGACTACTGCATAGGACAGAAAATCCGGGGAGTATCAGCGCGATTGAGGACTGGGTCATTGCGGAAAAGCAAAACACAGGGGTTCCCCCAACTCGAATGCTGCCGAACGCACGGCCTAAGAATGACATTAGGATGGCAACGGACACCTCAAAGACGTTGGAATAGACAGGGGATGCTGGGGCGAGCACGTTTTGCATAAACCCGAGGAGGCAACCGAGGACAAAGATAATTGGCATATCGATAGGCCGCGCGTTAAATGCCCAGGGCCCCACAGCAACGCTGGCTAAGCCTGACAGGAACACCAAGCTCCAAGCCGTATGGTAGCGACTTTTGCGCTCCATCAGCTGATTGAGGTCGCCAATCGCATGTTCGACGCTGATCCGGTCATGTACCACGTTCTTATAGATATTATGCGTGTGCGCCAACCGCCCCAGGTCTAAGCCTTGCACGACGGAAATCATGTGGACCTCCGCAGTCCTAGTGAGAGAATCATCGAAAGAGACTATCATGCACCCAGGGAGATACATGAACTGGCCTGGGATATCAAGCACATTGGCCGTCATCCGCATGTACTCTTCCAATCGATGGGTCGGGGCGCCATATTTCATCATTGCCCGACATAGAAGCATGATGTATCGTTGACGAGTTAGAATCGCCGCGATATGCTTGGTCAGCCGGACCTGCTTTGCAGGCCGTTTGCCCTTCGACCGATCCCCTTCCTCATCCTCATACCACTTTTGCTTTCGGCGCTTCTTGTTGTTCGCTGGCGGAGAAGACTCGTCTTGGGACGTGTATGTGGATATGCTGCTTTGGCTGATATTTCGACGATGGCCCATTTGGTGCTGCAGAAGGTATGAGAACACGCCTCGATCCGCGCCACGGTCGTTTGACTCGAAGGAGTCCTCCGAGAGCTTCCCGCCCACACCTAGCTTTCGAACCATAGTTTGAGCTTGTGAAACCAGATTACTTTGCAGCTGTGACTGGTAAGAGTCAGGCTGGGCTTGTTCGTCCGGCAGCATATTCAGCAGCTGTATATCCTCCCTGGCCTCGTATTGTTCAGGGTGAAGAGCAGTATCAAGGGCATCGCCTTGGTCGGCTGGACGGCCGAGGCGGGCGGCGACCCGTGCTCCGGATTCTCGAATCGACCGGAAAGGATTAGGGAAGGAATTCAGGAAGGATGGTGTAGAGGTACGGGGCGGACCGGGGATATTGCTGTCATCGTCTGTCACGCTCCTCGAGTGAGAGGGGCGATCGGCAGCACCATTGTTGGCTACATGATAACGCTCGTCCGAATCGTAGGGAGCCTGTGACATGTTGTGCAAAAGCTGCAATCATGACCTGGCTGATTAAAATCTGGCTGAGGTGTGGAGTCCAGTCAGAGACGAGGATTCACCGGCACGAAACCTGCCACATTCCTCCCCCGGGAAGGTATTTGAGGGGGTGAGGGGAGGCAGGCAAAGATGTTGGAAAGGAGAGGATTTGGGACAAAAACATTCTCAATGTGACGTCGGCTCCCTCGGACGAGAGGTTTCTCAGCGTTGCGGAGTTTATGGGGAATGATTTCGGCCCAATGGCCCTCTGGGAAAGCGCTTGGTTGGTGAACTGTGGAGCTCGAATGATGCCAATTACCAATGATTGGTGACACAGAGCCGAGACAGAAGCTTGTCTCTTGTTTTTCTCCTTCACTTTTGCAGGTCAGGTTCTTCAATGGCTGTTGGAGATGTGGATCAACAATGGACCAGGTGGCCAGAAAGACTTCCTGATTGGGATATCTTGCTGAGTCACAACCCTAAAGATCACGTAACTCCTTCTTCTTATTGGACACTGCATGAGAAGAGTGGATTACAATTGACAGAAATGAACCGCGGTTGTTTTCCAATTGGTCGAACCACACAACACCCGCCAGGAACCAAGACCTTGGAGGCTTCTAGATGTACGTATGCATCGATATATATAGACAGGATGTCACATCGTCGGGAGCTGGGCATTATCAAAGAAATCTCTACGTATGGCGTGAGCCCCTATACTATTATTGGGCCTTGAAACCTACAATCCGAAGAATATCACTAAAGTAGCGCTGCTATATCGTAGCCGATGAAGATATATATATTGCATTCAACAAAGCGTGATATCACAATCTATCTCCTACAATACATTTAAATACTAAGAACTACCTATTAATTTCCGGCTAAAAAGGATGTGCCAACATGAACAGGGTATCTCTGCTTTTGATGTTTGGACGTCTCAAATCGAAAACCTAAATGGCGCTCTACGCTCCAGATGTAGTCGCTCAGTCATCATCAGACTGAGTCGTGTAGTGAACGACCATACCGATGTCGGGGCTAACCAGACTAAATATGTAGGTTACTCGGTGAGCATTTTCCGTTTCTCAAAATTGACACTGCTAGACGTACTCTAGCTGTGTTTGTTCTTGTAAGTGTACTTTATGGTCCTGGAGGTCAAGGTAAACGGACTTTTCCAGATGCTCCGTGCATGGTCAATTGCTCTTGGAGGCAAGGGTGACCCTCCCCGGGGGTAAATGGGCTCTAAATTCAATCAGCCACAGTGGCTAAATAAGAAGAGTAAAGCGAAAGGCCACCTTGGAATCTGTCAGTGGCCTCAACCTCATACCTAATGGCCGTCTCGGCAGAGCGTTTGCTCCCGGATGGAGAGTGCTGCTCTTTGGCCTGGCGTTGTAGTTCCAGCAAGTAAAATAAGCTATTACTAATATACTTAATAAGAATATCTAGAAGCTTATTACAAAAATATACAATCTCTATACAGAGAATATCTTGCTTAAGAATAAGTATAGCAGCCTTGAGAACGCCTTAGTTAATAAAGTAAAGAAGCGGCAGCGAGGAAAGTCTTTACTCTTTAAACTTTATACTCCTGAAGATAGATATACAGTGTTTTACTCACCTAATAAAGTTCAGCAAGCGCTGGAACTTCAGGCAGTTAAGGATCAAGAGATAGAGCTTACTAAACCTTTAAAAGAGTAAGAAAAGCTTTACTGTCAGCAGAAAAAGAAAGAAGAAACAGTGCTTAGCTCAAGAGAGAAAGTAAAATCAAGAAATGCGGCATGCAAAAAAGCAGCAAGAGATAGAGACAAAATAGCAGAAGAAAGAGAAAGCACAGATTACTAAGAAGGCCTCTGTACAGCTTTAAAATAACTTCAAATTTGTTAAAAAAGCAGTCCTGAGACAGCTAAATGTTCTACAGTTCAACATACTACAGATATCGCTCTTACGCTGCTTGATAAGGTTGTATAGACCCCTACGCCTTAGGGCGAGGGTCGAGAGCTGCAAGCAAGCATGAATAGGCACGGTCCTTGAGGAACGGAAGAGAGGAACTCCGAGAGTGAATAGCGGGAATAGAATAACAAAGACAAGGATCATAATCACTGCATGTGTGATTCTTTTCTTGTTGGTGGATTGAGAGCTGACGGTTGAGGCGGCTTGTGCGGAGCTAGAGGTAGGCATGTCTGATGAATTTAGAAATGGGTTTTTGGAGCTGCCGCTAGTTGCTTGCTTTAGGTTGACAGACACAAGACCGAAATCATCATGCATAGAAATAACCGCGGATGGACTAGTTGAGTTCAGCACGGGGCCATATTTTACAGCCCATATCCAGGGGCTGGATGGACTGGTCACATCTTCTTTTCCTCCGGGCCAGGTAATACAGGTGTCGCATCGGATATTAGCCGTTATGACCACATTCTTGATGCCACTGCCACTTAAGACGGAGATTCGGGCCCGTAGGTTATAAAGAGTCTCGACGTGCTGGGCTCCCAACAGCGGAGAGACGGTTATATTTCTCCCCGTTGTATAGACGACAAAAATGTTGGTTCCTCGCATGCCTATCCCTTGGCCCACTGCAAACCATCGGACTTCGCGCGTGGATTTCGTTTGGATGAAAATGTGGCCCGATCCAGAGGCGGAAGTTGACGGAGGGGTATTAACGCTATATGTGATCGCATTCTGACCCAGAGGAGTGAAAGTTTGTATTTGAGCAAACGTGTATTTACACGCGAAAGCAAGCCAAAGCCACACACCGCATATATTAACCATATTGCAACAGCTCGTGGAGTACAGGTTTGTCGGGCGCCTAAGGGAAGCAGGATCATGGGCCACAGTAAATGGGATTGACACTGAAGGGTTGTCACTCTTGCGAGACAATGAAAACGGCGCATTCAGTCTACCCTTGGCCTTCATCTTGGCCCAGACAACCGGATAACGACATGTTCCGAGCTTCCGTTCCTAATCCCCAATGGGCAGGCTGATGGACAGCCTGTTTGATTGAAAGGCGGATCACATAAATTGAAAAGCAAATAGGTTGAAGGCTTCAACAAAGAAAGTCAATTACAGCCAGCTGACTGTCGAGAGAGAAAGAGAAAGGCAAACGCCCATCGAACAAAGAGGACAGTCCAAATCGCGAATTTGCCTTTTGAACCCTATATGTAGAGGTCAAGAATGGCTGAGAGAAATGTAGCGATCAATGGCTTGCAGATGAGGCGGTGCGAAACTTTTCCGCAGGGAATCCCAATCACGCATCGTACTTTTAGAATAATAAAAATAGATCTTGGTTGGAGGCAACTGAGGTGCGGAGAACAGCCAGTGCGAAAAGAGTTTGGTTGGCTTTAATCAAGCCTTAGACAACGTAAACCTAAGCTAAAAGCTCAGTGGGACTCAAAAGATAATTCGCTATCTCAGAGCGAGGGATCCTATATTTGAAATCAAGTATCCATGCGTGGCCTGACATAGATCCTGAACGAGGACACCTTCCATGGTACCGAATAAAATCCCAACGGAACAGCAACCTCCTTTTGAATCAGCAAATGTAAAATAATTCACTATTCATGTTTTTGACCTGTTCTCCCTGGGCTTTAGATTCGCCTCATTTACCTCTTACATCACGTAGTATGCTGGATCTAACATTTCGTATTCTCATAACTGTGGCTCTCATGTCTCAGTCCCGTTACATGGTCGTCACAAGGTCATGGGCTCTATCTAAGGCTCTCGTAGTAGAAGCAGGTAGATTATTTTCCTATAATGGCTTCCCAGACCCCTCGAGACGTGAGTGATCATACTACTCCTCGGTGACGCTTGAGTTGAGCGTAGCATTTGGAGATAACGATACGAAAGATGGAGCATAATTCTTTTCCTCTGCTGGCTTCCTCTTATCTACGCGCAGTATGATGAGCCAACCAGTACGGCTAAGGGGTCCTCTGCCTCACATACTACTACTTCATCAACGTCAGCACCCAGCGCTATTCACTCTGTCGACGTAGGAGAAGATGGCTTTACATTTGATCCTGATACATTGGCCGTCTCCCCTGGCGGCAAGGTTGAGTTCCACTTCTATCCCGGAAACCACTCCGTAGTTCAAGCTGCTTTCTCTCGCCCGTGTCACCCCCTGAGCGAGTCGAATTTTTTCAGTGGTTTCATACCAGCGACGGATGGCGAGTCGGTGAGTGTGTCCAGACTCCACTTAAGAGCAAATTACTGATATACAATTTCCTGCGGCACAGCCAGAGGTGTTCACGCTGACCGTCAATGATACCAAGCCCATCTGGTACTACTGTGGCCAGGTTGGTCATTACCAGGATGGTATGGTCGGGGTCATCAATCCACCGTGAGTATAATATATCCAAATTGCCTGCAGTGTCCCTACTGAGAGTTCTTTTTACCACAGAGGCAATGGCCCAGATACGCTAGATGCATTTAAGTCAGCAGCCTCAGAAGCCAGCGACATCACGGTGCCGACTACTGTCAGTGGTGGTATTTTCGGAAAGCCAAGCAATGAGTCAACAACAGGCACTGCCATCGCGTCTTCAAGCTCTGGGTCTACAAGCGCTAGTATGTCAGCAGGTACTGGGTCTACAACCAGCCCCAGCCCCAGCCCAACGGCTGAGAGTTCGACTCTCCGCGCTTGGCGAAGTCTGAGTCTGGCCCTCTTTCTGTCCCTTCTGGTAGGTGTACGTATGATGTAAGTCTAGGACTATCTCATCTCTTCCATGATGCGGTCAAGATATAGCGAGTTTTCCCAAACTGATAACGTATCCCGTAAGCGAGTCGGCCACGCCGCTCCGATATCCACCACCGAATCGAATTCTAGGGCCTTTATCAACAAAACAATTGTATTTTTATATAAAATAAAATTAGGAGCTCAATTAGGACATTGTCTGCGAGTATGTCCTACAATATGACAATCACTGCAATGCGGTGGTGCTTGTACGCGTGGTCTAACTGCAGAAAGCGCTGGATCTATAGGTATAGTATCCTGAGCTCCTTGGACCTTATTCTCGCGCTGGAATTGCTCTAAGCCCTTCTAAATAGTAAAGTCCTCTGTAGTAGCTAGCTGTCTAGTAGAGCACTTCTATTTTTGAACTTGTATTTTATTAGTAGCACGTAATTTGTGTATTTCATCACATGCAAGGATTGCTTTATTTAAGGCCAGTTCATGGCCTTTAATAATCTTGTCTAATCGTGTCTCTATTAAGGATTAAGGACTCCCTGCACGCGCTTTAAGTAGCCTTTTCACTATAGATACCTGTTTTTCCAGTTACCTGGTTGTATAGGGTGTTTTAGGTGCTGAATTCGTTGATCAACTTCCAGATAGTATAGAGGTTCTTAGTTAAATATTTAACTCACTAAGTATTCTCTCTGGATTAAATAGAACTAGACCAGCTCCTGTAAAACTATTCTGAATAGTTTCTGCTTTAAAAGTATCTTTATAAGCTTCAATAAAGATTTTTAGAAAGATAAGCTTATTAATATAGTTGATTTTATAGTGTATTCTCTTTGCTATATAGCTTCTGTATGTATTCTTTAGAGATTTAAAACAGTCCACATCTAAAGGCTGTAGATTATGGGAAGAATATGCAGGCATATAGATAGAAATAATGTTATTCTTACTGTATAATTGATTAAATTGAGGTGTGAGGTAACTGTCATGGCCATCAAGAATAAGCAGGCGATAGTTTCCAGTTGTATGACCAGTAGTAGCAGGAATAAAGAGATTTTTAAGCTAGTAAAGGCCTATCTCATCAGTAGTCTATCTATTAGGACTAACTTCAATTCTCCAGTTGTGTAATAGGTCCTTCTCTTGATACCAATTCTCTATATGAACCTTATCTTTAAAAATAATGTATGGTGGAAGTGCCTATCCAGTAGAATTAATATATTTAATAGAGGTAATCTATTCTTAATTACCTGACTGTATAAAAAGTGCTTTTCTATAGTAATTAGCTCTAGTAACTACCTGAGCAGTAGCTACTAGACCTATAGTAAAATCAGTTTTATTAAAATTATAGATATCTTCAGTTATAATACTATACTGTATTATAATGATTTGTACGCGGTTAAACCACTTCTTAATAATTTTTGGATTATTATATTTAGCGCGCTGATAGTTATACTGTTAAGAATAGCAAGTTTTTATTTCTTCATGTCATTTGATAAAAGTTATATACCCATTTCTCTCCAACAGATTAAATAGATGTAGTACCGCGCTCAGCAAGTAAGAGATTAGCTATTTCTTATATATAAGATTATCTAGAAGACGCTCCATGTTGATCTAGAGATAGAATCTATTGCATAAGTAACTTCTCTTCATTTTGGGTTATCTTATGACTATTAGCATGTGTTTCTAAGTGATATATTTTCCCATGTAGCCGATCTTGCAAGGTAATACAAGGAACATTATAAACACGTGCCGCTTCATGAATATTAGATATTTTTTCATTTTTGAGAGCGGAAATAGCAAGTAGAAGCCTTCCCTCTTGCTCAGTTAAATTTTTTGAATTTTGACGCGCTTTTCGAGGCATGGTAGATGGTTAAATTGAGTGAGATTTCCGACTGGAGTCAAAACGCACGGAATGGCCGACTCGCTTACGTGGCCGACTCGCTTACGGGATACGTTAATTAATACTCCTTACTTTGCCGCAATGATATAATAAGCGGTCTTCTTGTGGTTTCTCAGTTATTTCGACCATAATCTGTTCAAATGTACTGGCAACCGATCGCCTGAGGAGGGGCCTTGATCCAACAGGCGCTAAGCCAGGCAACTTAATTGGAGGAAAGTCTAGACTATAAGCCACTAAGTGTTTCACTATGACTGCATAGCCACAGCCTTTCCTTCCTTGGGAAATGGGCCAAAGGTTGGGCTGGGGCACCCTTTTGAGGGAGCCTGCTTACTTTTATGCTGTAAGTGTACATCGTTGTTCAGATGTTCTTAATTGTTGGATGTACCGAGTCCTCTAAGCATCTGCTACTTCTATAGTAGGGTTATGTCACATGCGTTCCGGTACAACGACAGATTTCGGAATTGAAGAAGCTTTAGAGTAATCTCCCATTGCCGCCTAATGCACGAGAGATTTCTTGAACTTGGGCCCTTGAGGGTTATAACCCCTCACGGGCTTCTGTCATCCCGAATGTTACTATGATGAACACCCGTCCTGGATAACCAGAAAGTCCGGACTGATGGTGGCCATATCAGTATTGTCCAACATCATCGCGGCGAGGTGCGAGCTGCTGATATATTTAAATGGGTGAGAATGGCCTTCAACAGCAAAGCGAAGTGCGACATGAATGGATAGACACAAAGGGAGTCGGTTGGTTGCTCTCTTCTCGTTTCCCCAGGTTTGACTTCTTTCAGAAAGGGGGTTTGCAATGCTACTGCCTTATCGCCAATTTTATTGGAGCACAAAGTTACATATTCCATACATTCCCCAAAGAGGCCCTGCTCTTCGGGGGCCAAGTCGACTTCAGTGCCGGACTTTTAATATGTTAGATATTCGGTCAGTCCCGAATATCAGGTAAGAAATGATTCATAGAACGTCTTAAAATGATCAAGTCTAGGGCCTTTTGGGCTCTTCTTCATGATATTGATTATTCTGGTGATATTTATGATTCTTGTATGATTCTTGACTTTCTTATGTTCATAAAATGCGAAGGGCTTCGTTTTTACCCCTCTTTAGTCGCATGACTCTGGTCACGTATAGCCATTTTATCTGACATCCCCCTTAAAGAAATCACGTCAACTTCTTCCCGGTGAGTAGCCTCCGCCATTCCGGTTGCAAGATGTCAGGGATCTAATTTTTAAGCATAAGTGCTCATCGGGCATGTTGTCCACGCCCTTGGCGCTGATCTTCCAGCAAATCATGATAGACAATCGGCAAAACAGTTGGTTAAATCACATATATGTCGGAAGAGTACGATACATACGTCAGTTAACCCAGGGCAAGTTTGAACCTCGTCATATAGCATAGTCAAGCAGGTAGTCTCCGCGCCGGGATCACATTCCCGATACTCAAGCTCAATCCCGGACGCCCTGATGTCCAATAGGCTCTCCCGAGAGGAATAGCGGCAAATCATTAAGATTGGTAATATGATGGAATATTACATTGCGGGAGCCACCGAACATGGCGCCCCAGAGCCCCTGATGGGCTTCATTACTACTCAGTACGGAACATCTATAGTTACTCGTCGGGGTGATAATTACCGTTGATTGGAGGAGTCCTGTTCGTTTAAAAAACTCTTGCTCACAGTAGGCAGCCTAACCCACCAAATCCGATAATTGAGCTCGACGAATGGTCCCACCCCTGGCTGACAAAATTTCTAAAATGACTCTTCCTTACTCTGGCTGACCACCTATGCTCCAATTTCCGGACATGTTTAATGAAATATACACCCTGTAGAATGAGATTAATGAAGCTGCATATTTTGTAAAATACTTGTTACTTCTAATCAGAGATTAACGACTGTCTTGATAACCAGCTTAGACTCTGCGTCTCGTGTCTTACTGGCAGTGTCGTATGCATGTGGGACAGACTCGAGCCCGGAATACCGATGCGTGATGAGTTTTGTCACGTCTGGCTTGAGGGCGTGTGACTTCACAGCGTTCATTATCTCAATTGCTCGAGGATAGCAATTCACGTAGCGCCACACTGACACCACATTGATCTCACGGCCAGTGAGCTCTGCGACTGGCCATGTTTGGATAGCAGTTCCCATTCCCACAAGCACAACATTGCCGCCGTTTTCGGTTGCCTGTAACTGAATGAGTTTACTTGGTTGGGTTAAGGATTGGAAAGAGAACTCACATAGATCGACGTCTGCACGCAACTCTCAACTCCTGTACACTCAAAAACATGGTCAACCCGGCCCACATCTTCACCTCCTGGCCATTTCAGTTTCCCAATCTCCAGAGCTAGATCCCTCGCAATGGCAAGGCGGCTGTCGATGGTATCCGCTTTCTTCGGGACGACCACAAATCCTACATCTGCAAAGCCATGCTCCAGTGCGAATGCAACCCGACCTTCGTCAACGTCAGTAATCACCACACGACATTTATGTTCGATTTTTGCAACCGCGGCGCACAAAAGACCGACTGCCCCAGCCCCAAAAACCACGCAGCGCGCTCCCTGGTCCACACCGGCTCTGTTGACAGAATGGATGCACACGGATAAAGGTTCCAGCAGAGCACCATCGTCATATGAGAGTGCGTCGGGCAACCTTGAATCATTACTTATCAGCCATAGTCATTTCCGCTAAGGACCACAACACTTACTTATGACACCACTCTGCGGGGTGGTCGATGTATTCTTGGAGTGTCCCTTGGAAATGGGGAAATGATGCTCCACTGCTTCGGAAGCGCATTTTGGCGCAAATGTTGTATCGGCCAGATCTGCATTTGTCGCATTCCAAACAGGCAACACCGCTTTCGATCGCCACTGTATCACCTACTTTGATTGCTTGAGTCTTCAGAACTGTCGGACCTACTTCCACCACCTCACCGGCTGCTTCATGCCCACCGCACAAGGGCTCTTTTACTTCGATTGAGCCATTTCTGTGGAACTTGAAATAATGCACATCGGAGCCGCACAAAGTCGTTGACCGGACGCGAATTCTCACATCTGACGGCCGAATAGAGGACATCGGCCGCGCCTCCAGACGCAGCTGCTGGGGGCCATGGAGGTATTGGCCCTTGCTGGTACTGGGAGAGCTAGTCATTTCTTTTCCTCGAATTGAGGACCTGAGTCACCGATTCTGTCATGGACGTCCTCGAGTTGGAACGGGAAATCAAGTTAATTACTTGTACTGCAGGCGTGAAATGACTTCCGGTCGTCGGAAAATGACTTCAAGGCCTCGAGGATTCAACACCCAGTAGCAAATATTGGCGCATACTGGCGTCGGCATTAGTCTTCCGAAAGCAGATCAACTAAATCCAACACTAAAGACAACCGTAATATATTGACAAGCGTCTGTTTCTCAAACTTTCAGGCCTTCCTTCGTCTCCGATCATCTGTTGCAGTATTATGTGTGGCGACAAAATGGCGTCCTCTTACGTCCCCACCGCCATAATCATTGGTGCCGGTCCTAGCGGTATTGCGATAGGGTACGCATCGGTTGAAGCACGAACTAGGTTTTAATGATTTTCTGGTAATATCTGCAACTTGTTCACCGGTTATGCGGCGGAATTTTGGCATGTTACAGATATATGAAGAACTGGATATGGTGTGGGAGACACGGCGATCAAACGCCTGTCTGGGCTGGCAAAACTCTAGATAATGCTGGTCTTAAACATCACTCATATTAATGGCTGTGACCTCGCACCCCTGAGCAAAACAAGAGAAGGCTATAATACCTGATTTCCCACAAGTCTACTGTAGAGAGAACTTTAATCTTAAGTTGGTGTGACAGCCGCAAGGGACGCATTTTTGATCCGGGATACCTTGATTCCCTGCATTAAGTCTCTTGTGCTCGCGACCTCTGGCTGGGCCCGCCATCGGCCAGTGGTTAGCGCTCACTCAGTACACACCAAATTGACCGCGAATTCAACAACCAGCAACAGAGCGTGTCAAGCTCCGCATTAGTTCACCCCGGCGATACAGGTCCTTAAACTCCCACGCTACAGAGAAGTGCAAAATCAGCTTCACCATTTCATACTCTCCGAATTCCAGACCTCACGGCAAAGACGCTAGGCTGAAAAATGGGGAGTAGTTTTATGGGGGTCGCCTCAAAGAAAATGTATTCAATCTTTCACCCAGCATAGAATTCTCGACACATCAGAAATTATCAAATTGGGATGTTTTCCAGAGCTCAGACTCGATATCAGGCCAATTATGATCGGTTAGGTATGTGTCGATGGCTAGATCAGTATATTGATCGCCAATAAGGTGAGGTGAACGTCTTCTTGCCTCGGTCTGGACGTAATTCGCGGCGACATCATAGAGGCCTTGAAAATGCGCAGCTGTCTAATGCAGCTGGAATACCGAGGCGATCGTGCCAGCGAATGCAGACTGTCAATCAATTGTTGTAAGCGCTCCAAGTCTGACGGGTCAGAGTTCCCGACAATGTTGCAGACTAGAATTAAGAATGCCATGAACGGTGCTAACAGAAGGATCTCATTGACCCACAAGTCAACACTGGGAGGCCATGTTGGTGCATCTGCAACAATGGAAATACAGACTTTGCTATCTTCAAGGGCTGCCCTGGCTGCTGTGATACACTCTGTACAAGAAACCATGCTGAAAGGTTTCTCCAACGGAGCACCTCTATAGATGGATGCCAAGGTAGAGTAATCGAAGGCCCGGTTGGCATGTATGATAAACCTACACAGCCCAGGATGTATTACATGGTTAGTCCATTGGTTTGGCCGTTCCTGAGGAATAACGTTAGCCGGAACATGCCCAAGCGACCAGGATGACTTGCATAGAATTCAAGTCTCGCAGCTATCATTTGTTGTAGCTCAGAAGCGAGCGTAATGGCACGAGACACAGACTTCTCAAGTACGTAAATCGCCCAGAACAGGCTGATCTTCCTCTGTACACCTTCTGCTGGCTCTACTGCCACAACGCGGTTGCTATGTAACCCAAGGGCCTGGCTCATAAGTGACGCCCTGGAAATAAACATCCACGCTGTGAAAGCTCTTCCACAATGAAGACAGTGAAGGGCCTGCCAAATTTAGCACTAGGAATACAACTACGATCGGGAAGGGCAACGGGGATTTCAGAGGTAAACATACAGCCATGTACATAGCGCATATAGAGTCCATATTCGTATTTATATGGAAGGAAAGGCTTGATATGATTGTTTCCAGGCTGTCCCTGCAGGTCAACGCCTGCACCTCGTAATCTCGCCTGACAGCATCACCCACCGCTCTATTCGAGCACTCGGTAAAGAGCTAGGACAGAACATAGTGGACAATAATTAGCTCCATATCTGTGATGGGACCGGGCGAGCAGGCTTTGATGACGTATTGAGTGAACTTAGTTAGGGATCCAAACTCGAAGGGCCAATAAAGCTGACTGGGCGTACTCTCTGAAGGATACTTAGTAAATACAGCGCCTCGTAAAAATAAGGAGGCGCGCACCTTGAGCGATCCTTAAGTACGTCATGGTTTTTTCCAAGGAAGGGATAGGCAGATCCCTGAGACTGAAGCCTGAAGGAAGCTCCTTCGGAAACGGACGTGAGCCTTCCAGGGTCTCATTCTTCTGCCTTTGGACATTGACTGTCGACCACAAGAGATTCAGTGCGGAAGTACGTTCAGTGACAACGCTGCCATACGAGCTGTCCACCACAGTAGCCTGGAGAGCCTCATAACTTGGGCAAACAATGAGGACTCGATAACGTTTGCCCGACTTAGAGGCTGTTCGCGGGTTTGAGCACTGCTGGGCTGAAGCAACGAATATGATGGCACTCGTAATTCAGTTGGATTCGCGAAGCCAGGAGTACCAAGGCGCTTATCACCTAGCCGCTTTATTATCTCGCCAAGCTCGTCAATTTTGTTGGAAATATGCTCAAGTCTTCCCTCACTGCCAATCATCACTCAACATCAGTACCGAAATGAACGGGAATTAACAGTTCGAACGCACTATTCACTCGAGATGAGGATTCGTTGCCGCTTTGGTTTGGCTTTATGACCGAGTATGTAGGTGCAACGCGCTCCAGTCTTGACGCATTGTCTACATGGGTTAACGCGATCACACTTGGTCTGTCATAGAACAAGAGAGTCAATAGAAAGCTAGGTGATAGGCCGCTCTAGGTATAGTCTCTGGTCCACCAGTAACCAGCGAAGAGAGGTTTCTCACCTTGCGCTGACGGCAACGATCACACTGTCCACCATGATTAGCACCCGTAGTCCATACAGCATGAATCGAAGAAAAGGCCTTCCTACAGCCACTTTCTCAGTTGCCGCAGTCTTATGCTCAACCGAACCCTTCCATTGTGAGCCGAAGTCTTCCTCCCTAGGCTCCTGGTCAGTGGACCTACAGCTGTTGTCTACGGCGCCGCCTGACATCATAAGAACGGGTTCCGCAGGGACCGCCAAGAGCGCGCACTCCGGAAGAGTCACGACCGTCTTTGGCCATATATACTTCGCTATTCCCTGCCCTTTCTTGCGGCTTTTCCCCGCAAATTAGCTTTCCCTAACGCTTAAACAAAGCATTTAACCATGAAGTACCGTGGTGTTGTTTACGATGTCGGTCTCAATTTCAATGGGGATGGATTCTCCGTCGAACCATTCGATCCCGCTTTGGTAGAGTACGACATGCGCACCATCGCCAACGATAATGCACGCCAACGCCGTGCGCATTGAGGGAGAGGACATCTACCGGTTGGAAACCGCTGCACTAATAGCCCACTCTATGGGACTAAAGGTGTTCTTTAATCCGTGGAAGATGAATGAGGGCGTCGACGGGACGCGCGCCTACTATGAGGAGGCCGCGGAGGCGGCTGAAAAACTGCGAATCAAAGGCATTGATACAGTCTTTATTGCCGGCTGTGAATACACGATCTTCAACAAGGGAGTTTTTCCTGGCGAGTCATTCAATGAGCGTGCAATGTTCCTCGGCTCTCAGTTCTCTAGCGGCCACATGTCGAAAGATATTCCGCAGGCTTTACGTGACAAGTCTGTGGTACCGAATCATGTCTTGCAATCTTTTATTGAGGTTATTCGGGCCCAGTCTAGGGGACCAGTCACGTACTCGGCTGGCTCCTGGGAAGTTGTGAACTGGGACATTTTCGACATCGTTGGTATAGACTACTATCGGCGAGGTGAGACCGCAGAGGAATACATTTCGGGCCTTGAACGTTATCGGCTCAACAAGCCTCTCGCAGTTCTTGAAGTCGGCTGCTGCGCCTACGAGGGAGCAGCCAGGCGAGGAGATGGTGGCTTCATACTTCTAAAAGGCACAAACCAGGACGGAAGCGGCGTGTTCGAAGGCGACATTGTCCCGACGCGGAGTGAGGAGGAGCAAGCTGACTATGTATGGACACAGCTCAATCTTCTCGCTAAAGCGAATGTCCACGGGGTCTTCATCTATGTGTTTTCATTTCCCTGTATGCGGAGTGGAGAAGGTGCCAGAGACCTTGACATAATGTGCTTCTCGTTGGTCAAATACTTCCCCGAGCAGGACCCGAGATCAAAGGCTATGCCTCCATGGGCGCCCAAGAAATCTTTCCACCGGGTCGCCGAATTCTTCCGCTCCTTACAGCTACAGGGCCCTGCTGCATGTTAACTGTGTCAGTCTCAAAGCATCTAATGGAAATTCCATGTGTGCCACGGAACCAGGTTTTAGGGCAGTGTAAACAGTGAAATGTAAAAGGTCTTATGGTTTAATTCGCGGCCTCCTTATGAACAAAACAACGTTATCCTTTATACAGGATTAAACATGATGTCGTTGATAGACCTCCTGCAACAGCCTTCTGGCAAAAATATGGGTGGCGGAATTGTTGCGGCAGGCGGCAATAGTAGCACGTACATGTTGTGAACCAGAGCCCACTGACCCGCACTCAATTCCCGGACTAGCATTTTGGCGGTGCGGCTGAGAGTTCAGAGAAGAGTGTGCAATGGTGAAAGGTTTCGCACTTCTCTGTACTCGGGGATGTTGCTGAGGAATCCATTTCCCCAAGGTCGCGAGAGACAGTTTCGTTCCCCATTACGAAGCTCTCATGCTATAAGTTAACCGGCTGCGACCGTCGCCAGTGATCTACTGCCTTTTTTTGTCAGCGCCGCAGACGTTAATCCAGTACGAGGGACAGCCTGACTGCAACGCAAGGCGCAAAATATGCTGCTCAGACCTTTGACAGCGCTTCCAGCATAGTGACTATCATACGAAGAACCGCCAGAGCGCGAAATGGGAAGACTTCATCGGGAAGATTCCGGCCAAATTCTTTAATGTATCACGCGCTGCAGTCGCTCGATCGGTGAAGTCGCAATACGTTGATGACTTCTCTCGTCATAAATCGGGAGAGTACTCCGGTCATTAGGAGGATAAATCCGTGTGAGGAACTGAGGATAGACTAGATTGAAGCACGGGCCAGACGCTTAGTGGTCTGTCTCCTCAACACACATTTCGAGAACGAGACCAAGCAGCCGCCACCGTTATATAAGAGTAGATGTCCCTAGACGACGACGATGATGATATCATTTACACTGACCCCTCGCTTATATCGACTTTATACCACAAGACCAAAATACGAATCCGTACCCAGTATAGTGGGTAGTCGGTACTGGGTAGTGGTTTAAAATCAACTGCTTAAGTTGTAACCCTCAATTGAGGTACAAGTGTGATGGTGATCCAACTAACTATGTGAGCAGCTACGGCTATTTATAGCCAAAGTAGCTGCCTTCCTACTGCCCAGCTCACCAGCTGCCTCCTAGGCTACCCCTGGTAGCCTACTACTTCACATATGGTGTATCATATGGTCACGTGGTCTTGGGATCCAGCAGCTTAAGCGATACGCAGGCTACTACAACTATATCCCCACCTCTGTGTCTCTATCGTACACGATCCCATTTCTTACGGGTGACCCTTAAGCCTCGCCTAAGGGCCTGTATTGGCCATTTGCCTTCGGTTCTGTCCTTGCGGCTCCCTTGGTTCGCGGCGCTACGAAACCTTCGAGATGCTTCTGCAAAATCTAGTACAGCCTTCATGTGGCTGATTCTCCCCTTTTCTCCTAAGCATGGTTGAGACGTCGCCGAATGCGTCGCCGACCTCTCAGTGTAGTTTTTGCCGTGGTATCTTCAGTCGCGGGCAGTCGAGTATGACATGGGTGACAGTTCCTTTGCACCGCATCACACTTGTCATCATCTCGAAATCAATACAGTTTCCTGCAACACGCCAGCCAGCAGTGACCAGCTCGCAGCTGCGTAAGCAGGTAGGCACGGTTTCGTGGCAATGGGTCGAATAGTGGCCGCTTGATGTCATCATGCGATTCGCGTCGCAGAGTTCCATAGCACGTCACGTGGCCCTCGGAACTTGGTTCCCGAGGATATTCTCAACTGACAACCTGCCTCAGTAGCATGGAGAAGCAACGAAAGGAAACCTCAATATCAAGTCTGTTCTAGCAGTGCAATGCAAAATGCCACTACGATCCTCGGCATCATCTAAACCCATCCGTAAACATGTCACAACAGCCTGCAATCCCTGCCGCGAAGGCAAGGTGAAATGCGACGGTGTTACCCCGGTTTGCAGGAACTGTCGGGCGAAGGGGAAGAGCTGTAGTTATCGGCAGACTAGCGATAAGCGCAAGTAAGCGGGCCAGAATACATTTTCGAAGAAACTGCATCCTGATGTGGGATGTTTAGAGTCCCCCTGCGAGTCACGATCCATGTCCTTGCGCAGAGAATCAATCGACTCTCGCGCTATATCCAGGACCAGGGCCTGCAGGTGCCGCAGATGGAGGAGAGTGATTATCTGACTATCAAGGACATTTTTGAGACGATTGAGCTGAAACTTGACGATGCACCTTGTAATGACAGGGACAAAGATACTGAAATGGCCGCGGCCTCAGTCTCCCACGGTGGCTTTGAGGATGCTCTGATACCCGAAAATCACTCTAGGGGCGATGGGACTTTTGATCTACAGGCGCCGTTGACTGGAGCGGCTGGTGCGGGGACTGTGGATGCCCAGGAGCTGTTACCACCGGTAGGATCGTCAGAATTGCACTCAGCGCATTCACGGACACCAGAGGACACCTCACAACTGCATTATTATGGCACCGGAATGAATATATCTTCTGCTCCTGCTCTGGATGATTCCTCGCCAAACGCGGCGTCTGCACTGCTCGAGCTGGCGGATGCAGGCCTCTACCATAGTACGGCGCCCATTGGACGGGGTGAAGAAAGCGCACCGCATCCAGAGAATAACGCTGACGAAGAGGAGGAGGATGAAGTCACAAACCAACTTTCGTGTCGGTTAGGGAAACTCCAGGTAACGCATGATGGGCGGCTGCGGTATTTTGGGTCCACGTCGAACTTCACGTTACTGGATATACTGGTTGATGCTGCGCCTTCGTGCCAAATTTCGTCTCAGCGAGCGACGCAGGACATGCTAGAGGATGCGGGACTTGGACTGAAAGTAGACGAATCTCTTGAGACGCATCTGCTTCAGTTATATTTTACCTGGCACGGCCCTTGTTTGCATGCCGTAGATGAGGAGATATTTTGGAGGTCGAGGGCGCAGAAGAGCAATAATGATGGGGTTGACTCGCCATATTATTCTCGTACGTTGTCTGATGCAATGTGGGTCGAAATTCCTGGAACCACAGGTTGGTCGCTAACAAATCAGGTGTGCGATCGGTGCTAAGTATGAGCCAAAATATCACCCCGACCTTGTGACCTACCCACGATCCCTGGCCGAGTTTTTCAGTGATAGAGCAAAGATTTCACTCGAGTCAGAGTTAGAGAACCCTTCCCTCACGACGGTACAGGCGCTGGTTATCTTGGGTGCATATGAAGCGTCGTGTACGAGGGACACGAGAGGCTGGCTGTATAGTGGTGAGTGGGAATTTCGTGACCTCGGGATTTCTATTAAGAAGAGTAGGGATGGCAATGCGGCTCGCCTTTGACCTTGGATTGCACCTTGATATGGCTCCTTATGTGGGAAGGGGTACTATTTCGTGTAAGGATTACGATGTCCGCCGAATAACCTTCTGGGCCGTCTACATGAGTGAGCAGTAAGCAACTTCCTTGCTATCTCTCTTTTGACAGCTGCTGATGTTTAGATTCTGGGGTTACTATCTAGGTCGACCGACTCGGAGCCCGATGGATGGAGTCACTGTGCCAAAGCCTGACAGGGACAGTCACCTTCCTCCGATGAAGTGGAAGCCGTATGGCTCTCCGTATCTATCCATGAATATGGCCAACCTCCCGAATCCGCTGGGGCCAATGTGCTACCAGTGGGTTTCATTGTATGATTACATGTTACCACTTACGAACATTTTGTGAGCACTTCCCCACTCCTATTAAATAGCTCAGGCTGACGAGATAGATACGGCTGTTGTGAGATATCGAAACATCAGCTTCAAGAGCTTACCTCCAATACAGTGGAGAAGTTGAGACTATGGAAGGCAAATCTCCCACCGGAGCTGAAAATCCACGAGAAGCCAGATTTTCCACAGCCGCTACCTCATGTTCTGGCTCTTCAGTAAGTGTTGTTGGCTTGTCTCAGATCCAGCACTAAGAAGTAAAGCATGCAATACCACCAATTGATGATCCACTGCCACCGCCCATATATCTCCCGGCACCATATCCAACCACAACCACCCCAAGGCCCAGGCTCCTCGCATGCCCGCATGATGTGCATGGAATCAGCCATTGCCATTGCCCAAACTCTGGCACTATATGAGCGATACTATAGCTTCCGGCGGGCCAACTTCCAAGTCGTGTCCTTCATCTTCTCTGCCGCGCTGATCCTCATATTTGCTATAGTCCCAACACGGCAATATGAACATGACCGGGAATTGGTGGCTTATTTAAGTACCTGTTTTCGCGCGCTTGACGAAATGGGCAGCCAGTTCGAAAATGCGAACCGGACGAGTACCTTCTTGAATACGCTGCAGCGGGAATGGCAGGCTTGTCAGCGGAGTAGGATGGCCCGCGGCGTGAAGAGGAAGTTTGATATTCATCGTGAGCCGTGGAAAGATATTCTTGCCAACCAAACTCAAAGCCTGCAGGGCTCTGCGGCCAGCGCGGGGTTCTGCGCTGATATGCGACCTGGCGTCGATTCCACGGTAGAAGGCTCCTTGTACTCTGTCGATTTCATGGAGCCTGATCTATGCAATATTCTGCTCAGCGAAGGCATTCCTCGAGCGTTTGTGTAGATATACCTCTAGATAAGAATCAACTCAAAGCACTTGTGCATGCCACTGTCTATTTTAACCGAGGACGAGCTACAGAGACTGCCAACCAACTCCCCTCGCATCTCTCCCATTTAAGAAAGCCAAATACCTCTTCAATCTCCTTACAATACCCTCCGCATCTAATTCAAACCGCGCATAATTACTCTTATTAGATGCCGAGTACCCGAAACCACTCATCCCAATACTCGCCGTCACATACCGCGCCCATGTCGTCGCCACATACTCCTCCACACTAACAATAGGCTTCCCATCGAGCCTAAATACACCCTCTCGATACTCCCTCTCCTGACGATCGAGAAGATCGAAACTCGGACAACTCACAATTCGACATTTAACACCGTCTCCGCGCAGGATCCGAGCAGCGTCAACGACATGGCACAAACTACTCCCACAGCTAGCAAGCGTGATATCGGCATTCATGACTTCGTCAATCACATACGCCCCACGCAGGACCTGTAGTCGATCTGTATTTGGAACGTGGGAAACAGGGTCCCGCGCGACGGATATCATAGTCGGGCTGGTCTTTGCGTTCGCGCTAGTGAGGGCATAGATCCACGCGCCGAGCGTCTCTTCGGCGTCGCAGGGCCGGATGTATGTCAAGTTTGGCATTGCCCGGAACAGGCTATCCAGTTCGACGGGCTGATGCGTTGGGCCATTCTGACCTTCGGCTGTACGAGGTATATTAGTGGATCAAGAACGAGGCGGGCGAGTAGGTGAAGGTCCTGGCTTACCGAACGAGTCATGGGTGGCGATATGGATGGTAGGGAGATGGCTGAGCGCGCCCATGCGGACGCCGGGAGCGGCCTATTTCGTTTCTTCCATTAGTTTTTTCGCATGTATGAGGAAGGGGGACGCACGTATAGGTAGAACATCAAGAACGTCGCCGTGACAGGGAGGAACGTGCGCGGGTGATATGCTGCCAGCCCATTCGATATCGCCGCCATTGCGTGCTCGCGGATCCCATAGCGGATATATCGACCCTTATATCCAGCTCCAGTGTTTGGAAAGAAGATGTCGGTCTCCGAGTAGAGGAATTTATTCGAGGTGACGAGATCAGCCCCTCCGCCACAGAGAGCGGGACACTCCGCCCAGAGCTTCTGCAGGATGAGTCCATTGGATTCTCGAGTTGCTGTGCCCTCGAACACTGTACTGTCTAGCCTCATGAGAATTTTTGTGATCGAATCTGTGTCTAGATTCCCCGAGCGACGAGCGGCAAATTTCGCAGCCTTGACTGGATGCTTCTTTGCGTATTGCGAGATTAGGTCATTCCATTCCTCCTCCAGGGTCTCACCGGCTGCTTTCCTCTCTCGAAAGAAGGCCAGGCCTCGTTCGGGCGGGGAGTGCGTGCTAGAGGGATCCTGGCCAGCGCGGATCTTAGATGCTGCGACACTTTCCGTATCGAAGGCACCGTGATGGGCCGTTGCTGTGCCTGCTGTGCTTGTCCCGACTCCAATCACTGTGCGGATGTTGATGAATACTGGCTTTCCTTGAAGATTCTTTGCGTGCTGCAAGGCTTCCCGTATACTTTGAACATTGTGGGATCCATCAAGTACGTCGAGCACATACCATCCAGAAGCACGCATCTTAGAATTCACATCCTCGGTGTTGATCCAGGCTAGCGGACCGTCACAAGTCACACCGTTGTTATCGTATATCAGAGTTAGGTTATCCAGTTTCAGGTGCCCGGCTAGAGAGATCGCTGCTTACCATTAGCATCAATTATACCCTAAAGTAGGCCTCGTAGGTAAGGAAGCAGACAAACTCACCCTCCAACGCGACCCCTTCCATCAAACATCCGTCCCCGGTCATACACCAGACCCTCGACCGCACAACCTCAAAACCCGGCTCATTGAACGTCGACCCCAGGTTCTTGGCCGCGATCGCCAACCCAACTGCATTCGCAATCCCCTGACCTAACGGCCCTGTCGTAACCTCGACACCAGGACACTCAATTTCAGGATGTCCATGCGCAAGCGTCTCATACCCGTTCAGCTTTGCGTCCCCATACCCTTTCAGCTCCGCCATTGTCCAGGCGTCGTACCCAGTTAGGTGGTTGAGGGCATAGAGGAACATTGCGCAGTGCCCTACAGTCATCCTAATTAGCTTTCTGACATAATGACGTATAAAGATGATGACCAGAAGGGGCGAATACCGTTTGAAAGTACAAACCTATCCCTATCAAACCACTTCGGATTCGACGGGTTGTACCTCATGATGTACTTCCACAATGCGACGCCGATAGCTGCCATGCCAATGGCAGAGCCTCCGTGCCCACCGCCATTCTGGTTGCATATGTCGAAGATTAGGTTACGGAGAGTAAGTACGGCGAGTGCGTCGTCTTCTTCTATGAGCCTTGATGTTACGGGCGACATGGTGGGTAGATGGCAGTAATGGTGAATATAGCAGGACAGCGTGTCTCAGTTCATAGACTGCTATTGAGCAGCTTATGATAGTGCTGAATGGAACCATTGATGTATATATATATCTGTGCATGTGGGCATAACCACCTCGGTGCTCGCTCAGGCCTCGATTCCATGCACGGAATTCCTTTCCCGAACTGCAAGGACGGTCATCCTCCTGTGTCTGAAGCAGGCTTTGCGGCGGTAATAATCGAACCTTTACATTTAAAAAGAGGATTCTATGTCAGAGAAAGAGGTGTCTGGGCCTCAACATGGAATCTGGAAAGCATGCTGGGTATAGGGTTGGAGGAGCACTATCAATAACCCTCCTTTTGCACGTTTCTCGCATTCGTATTGCAACCAGCAGAGTACTCGCTGCTGGTTTTGGAAGCAGGAAATTTAATTCTAATGCATTGGTTGCAAGTACCTTAGGCCATGGGGTCGGAAAGCGGGTATTGTTTGTAACTGACTGGTTAAATCTTTTTCTCAGAGACAAGGCAATTTGTGCTTATCGACCTGTCTCCTTTGGTCTCTGTTTGTTTGAACATGGGTGTCATTCTAAATCTTTCGTTAAACTGGAAGGCCATATTATTGCTGCAGTAGGATGTCATATAGTAGTAACTAATTAAAAACAGCCTTGATGACCAACTGCGACATTGCATCTTGAACCTATGTGTAATGAGCTTCCTTACATACGCGGCCAGTTTTTGGCGGGGGTACGGCGTCCATGATCTCAATGGCCTGAAGAGAGCAGAAGGCATACCACCAGACCGAGATACAGTAGTGGAACCCGCTTTCAATGGCTACTTTGTCACCCGGCCTGGGGAGACTAGATTTCTGGGTATCTTGGCCAAGTGCGACGATCAGGTCAGCTGCTTCGTGGCCGCCGGGGGAGTTCTTGATCTTAGATTGAGCCGTTGCGGTTATAGATGTAATAGTGTACGCCCGAGTCACAGAGGCTCGTGGAGCTGATGGCGATTTGGACTTCGTTGTTCTTCCAATTGGGCGGGTTTTGCGCCGCGAAGATAATGGCCTTTGCTAGAGGTTGCGACGACCATTGTGGATATGTGAAATAGATGAAGTAGATAATACAACAGTATTTGACATACGTGGCAAAGGTAAGGACTAATGAAGTGAAAGAAAGAAAGCAACTATGCAAATGGAGCGTGAAACTAATCCCGAGGCCGGTTAAATGACCACATCGCGTCTATCTATAATAACAAACCTAATGGAAGAAAGAGAGGAAATGGGAAAAAACACGGGATTACGCTTCCGAAGACCATTTCATATCTATTCGGAAACTTGGAGTGTTTAAATTCGGTGATGCAGCTTCGGTCGAACAGATTTGATACCGCTCTGTCTTCCCTCGTACCATTGCGAAGGACGATGGCTGCAGCTGATTCCCCGAACACGATTATCATCGGTGCCGGTCCTGGAGGCATATCCTTGGCGTACCGGCTGAGACATGAACTCGGGTTTGACGACTTCCTAGTAAGCATCCTCGGATCCGTTGCATGGGAGTCTGGCTAAGGAGGTAGATGTATGATAAACTCGACGGTGTAGGAGGAACATGGAGGTGCAACACCTATCCGGGCTGGTATTCTCCTTCTGTGCTCTTTGTCTCTATTGGGATGTTAATCGTGATTCAGTGGCTGTGATCTCCCTTCACATCTATACTCCTTCAGCTTCAACCTAAATCCCAACTGGTCAAAAGAGCTCTGCGAGCAGCCAGAGATTCTACAATGTGGGTTAGCCCTAAGCCCAACAGTCTACCAGAGCTAAGCTTCGTCTCTGACATCCGCTTAGACATCGAAGACACAGTCGACAAATTCGATCTCCGCAAGCATGTCATTCCCTCTGTTGAATGCACAGGCGCAGTATGGGACGAGAAGAGCGAAAAATGGACAGTCCATTTCCGCGACGTGAAAACAGATCTCAAGTTCGTGTGCTATGCTAGTATCTTTGTTTCAGCCGTCGGGGCCATCTCTTTGCCCCGCGAAATTCACTTCAAGGGTATGGAGCAGTTCAGGGGCCCCATCATTCATACAGCACGGTGGGATCACTCGGTCGACTATAACGGAAAGCGCGTGGTATGTCGCTCACATGGATCTATTCCATAGAAATAAAGTTGCTATTACCAACTAATTCGTATAGGCGGTCATTGGCAACGGCTGCAGCGCAGCACAAGTCGTCCCAGCCCTAGCTGAAAAAGCCGCCTTCGTGCAGCAATATGCCCGCAGTGCGCAATGGTACCACCCACGGGTATGCCAGTCTTCCAAACGCGTTCCATGCCCGGAGCTAACACAATATAGCCAAACCACCAGTTCACTGTAGCCGAGAAATGGGCCTTCCGCTGGATCCCCCTCTGGCAGCGCTGGCTGCGTCTCCAGATTTTCATGAAAGCAGAGAAAGAATCGAATACGTACTTTCCTACACCCGAAGGCGTTACTGCTCGGTTGGCCGCCGAGGCCGAATCGAAGGAGTATATTTTAAGTCGCACGCCAGAGAAGTACTGGCAGTTTATTGTGCCAATTTTTCCTCTTGGTATGCAATACCTTCCCCTTGTAGTTAAGCGCAAGAGGCAGTTGACTTGAATATGGAAATAGGTTGCAAGCGCCGCATCTTTGACCCGGATTACTTGGAGAGCCTGCATAAATCCAGTGTTGTGCTACGGAACGAGGGGATCCAGGAGTTCACAGAGAATGGTATCATTGGTTCCTCCGGGGTCGAGGATGCATTCGACATTGTAGTCCTTGCCACAGGTTTCCAAGTCTCGCAGTTCCTTGCGCCCATGGAAATCAAGGGCAAGGGAGGGATCTCCCTGAATCAGCAGTGGGAAGAGTCTCGCGGCGCGCAGGCTTACTTTGGTACTTATGTGCATAATTTTCCGAATATGGCGATTATGTTCGTCAAGCCCTCTTACCTTTTAACTATCAAGAAGCGAATGGTCACTAATTCTTATCTACAGCTTCGGACCCAACAGCTTCCCTGCAAATAACTCGGCCCTTTTCGCCTGCGAAACTCAGGTCGTCTTCGCAGTAAAATCCCTGTTCGTCCCCATCCTCGACCGCCGAACCGGCATCGTGGAGGTAAAGCAATCTGCTGAAGAAAAGCACACGAATCTAATCCACCAGCGGCTGAAGGATACTGTTTTCTCGGGCGACTGCTCAAACTGGTATATCGGCAAACACGGGCGCAATGCCGCCTCTTGGCCTGCAAAGGCCGCGAAGTTCTGGTTCGAAACTTATTTCCCAGACTGGAGCGCGTTTATCTGGAAGGGCGGTACCATTTTCTGGCCTGTGCATCGGGTTAAGAGGTGGCTGAAGATGAATCGCGGGGCGTGGGGTTTTTTGGCGCTTCTGGGGGTGTTTTATATAAAGTGTGTCCGGAATGCGGCTGTTGCTGATGCGCTCAGAGCCGGGCTGCGAGGTCTCCGCACTCAGGTAGTTCAGTTTATTAGATAGTGGAACTGGGTGTCGATTGACGATTGTATTCCTTCTTCCTGTGGAATAACCTGAGGGATTGACGGAACTCATATTCCTCGGGACTTGTATCCCGCTATCTAGGGTTTCTCCAGTCTCAACCATATAAGTATGACCGCAAGTATCTCCATGCAGTCTGTTCTTGAGGTGATATCGCCCAGTCGGTTTGCATTGCATCTTCATCAATATGTCTTCCTACACCGAAACAATCCAGAAACTGAGCCAGTCGGGCCTCTTCATTCAGAATTCGGCCTTCATCGATGGCAGGTGGTTGGAAACGGAGACGACGTTCGACGTCTACGGTACATCTTCTCTAATGTCCCTTCTAACCTCGATCACCATCTAACAGAGACACTAGATCCCTCCACCGGGCAAGTCCTAGGCACAGCGGCAAACAGTAACATGGAAAACATGCAAACCGCCATACAAAGCGCCCAAACCGCACAGCAAGAATATTTCGCCTCAACAACGGCCGCAGCCCGCGGCGCACTCCTCCAGAAATGGCATGGTCTTGTCATGGCTAACATCGACAATTGTACTTCCCCCCAATTTCGCCTGTCTTGGAACAAGACGCGTCTGCTAAACCAAGCCAGTGGCAACTCTCCTCTGCCTCGAGAACGGCAAAACCCTTGTTGAGTCCCACACGGAGATCGCTTACGCCGCTTCCTTCATCTCCTGGTTTGCCGCTGAGGCACCCCGCGCCTATGGCGACACTATCCCGTCCTCAACAATGAATACCGTGATAATGACACTGAAAGAACCCGTCGGCGTCTGTGGGATAATCACGCCCTGGAACTTCCCCGCGGCAATGATAACACGGAAGATTGCGCCCGCGCTTGGTGCGGGATGTGCGGTTGTTGTCAAGCCACCCTCTGAAACGCCCTTTACGGCGCTTGCGTTGGCGAAGTTAGCCGTTCAGGCTGGGTTTCCTGGAAGAGTGGTGCAAGTTATCCCGACGAAAGACCGCAGCGTGGCGAGCGAGGTTGCGGTGAATCCGCTGATCAGAAAAGTAAGCTTCACAGGTTCAACCAGGGTTGGGAAGGCGCTTGCGAAGTTGGCCGCTGGGTCGCTTAAGAAAGTGAGCCTTGAACTGGGGGGCAACGCGCCATTTATTGTCTTTGAAGACGCGGACCTGGACCTTGCGGTTGAAGGCGCGATGATGAGTAAGTTCCGATGTTCGGGACAGACTTGTGTTTGTACGAACCGGTTTTATGTGGCACGGCCTATTGTGGAGGAGTTTACAAGGAGGCTTGTGCAGCGGGTTCAGGAGTTGAAGTGTGGTCCTGGGTTAGAGGGGAGCGCAACGCAGGGACCGTTGATCAATGCTGCAGCTGTTAAAAAGGTAAAAGAGCATATAGCAGATGCAGTGAGTAAAGATGCGGAGGTCAGGACGGGGGGAGTCGTTCCTGAGGAGCTTGGGAATGGGTTCTTCATTCAGCCCACAGTGATCTCGGGAGCAACGGCAGATATGGCTGTTGCAAGGGAGGAGACATTCGGACCATTAGCGCCTATTTTTGAGTTTGACAGCGAGGAGGAGGTGGTGAAGCTAGCGAACGAGACGGAGTTTGGGCTGGCAGGTTACTTCTACTCGAGGGATGTTGCAAGGGTGTTGCGAGTTGCGCAGAAACTCCAGGTGGGCATGTGTGGCGTGAATACAGGGAAGATTAGTGCTGCTGAGGCACCGTTTGGAGGGATCAAGGAAAGTGGGTATGGGCTGGAGGGGAGCAAGTATGGGATGGCCGAGTATCAAACGATTAAGACTGTGACTATTGGAAATGTCATGACCTAGACGAGAAGGGTAACCAGCCGGAATCCACTTCCCGGGCTGAACGTATCATCCATTCAATAAATAAAGGCAATCGAACAAGAAGGCATTCGAGAAGTAACTAACTCTACTGCGAAAAGTTCTCAACAAAATCATCATGTCTTCCAAACTCAACATTGGCGTCGTTGGCATCGGCCGAATGGGCCAGCGCCACGCCCTGAATCTCCTTCATCGTGTCCCCAGAGCGCGTCTCCTCTGCGTGTGCTCCCCGGCACCACTTGAGATTGAATGGGCAGAGCAACAGCTTAAGCCCGAGGGTGTACAAGTCTTCACAGACTTCCAGGATATGATTCACACTCCCAATCTCCAGGCCGTGGTGATTGCCTCCCCAACAAATTTGCATATCATGCATACACTAGCCGCCATAGAGCGGGGCATCCATGTCCTCTGCGAAAAGCCGATCACAACAGATATCACTGAGGTACATTATTCTCATTCCCAAATAACCATGCTATACCATTAACTCGCACAGCTGCAATCTGTCATCGAGACAACTAAGAAGACCCTCGCCGCCAGGTTAATGGTCGCCTTCGTCCGTCGGTTCGACAAAAACTACGCCGACGCCCGCCAAAAGATTGAGGCCGGGGTCATCGGCAGACCACTCATTATCCGCTCGCAGGGCACCGAAAAACTCGATAAATCCGGGTATTTCATCAACTATGCCCGGGTGAGCGGTGGTATCTTTGTGGACACTGTCATCCATGACATAGACCTGACATTGTCCTTCTTCGGGGACGAGGTCATCCCCAAATCCTGCTATGGGACGGGGTTGATTTCCCACCACCACGAGATGACAGAATTTAACGATGTTGATAATGCCGTGGGTGTTGTTGAATTCTGGGATGGTCGGATTGCGTATTATTATCATTCACGAACGACACTGCACGGATATGACAACTGTACGGAAATCGTCGGGACGGATGGCAAGATTGGGATAAATCTGATCCCGACAATGAATAAGGTGCAGGTCTCGGGCCCAAATGGGATTGTATCAGAGGCGCTTCCGAGCTGGATGGATCAGTATGAGGAGGCGTTTGTAACAGAGCTAGATGTCTTCGTGGAGGCGATCCTCGATGGAAAAGAGTTTCCCTTGAAGATTGAGGCCGCATTAACGGGGTTGAGAATTGCACAGGCGTTGCAGGAGAGCCTTGTCTCGGGGAAGAAGATTGAATTCAATGAGAGCGGGGAGAGGAAATGAACAGATATATTCAACTCTATATAATTTATAGAATAGACTTGAAATTACCAGAAGTAACGCTCATTCCCCCGTCAACTACCAAATCTAAGCCACTAACGTATGCCGACCCTTCACCGAGCAAATACAACGCAGCCATCTTCAGATCCTCTGGTCGTCCCATCCTTCTCATTGGCGGTGCCTCGTTAAAAATCCGATGGAGATCTGGACGGCGTGCTGCGATACTCAGATTCATCGCCGTGGCGATATAGCTGCCAAGGTTAGCAGACCTCTCAAAAATAAATACCAACGAGGGAGAGTGTGTACCCTGGGGAAATAGTATTAACCCTAATTCCATCAGAAGCAAGTTCATGTGCTAGATTTCGCGCGAATGACCAGACGAAGCCCTTGCTTCCGGCGTACGCGGTGAGCTGGTGGCCTGGTGAGACATGCTGTGCTGTCTGGGAGCAGATCATGACAATACTGCCCTTTGTGCCCTGTTCCTTCATCTTTCGGACCGTCTGCTGGATTGCAAAGAACGTTCCAGTTTCCTGTTTTCTGTCAGCATCACAACTTCTCTTTAATCCTGTCGAGGGCGTTTGAGAGGTACATTAACGGCCTGTTGCCGCTGGATATCCTCCCAAGTGTGCTCGAGGAAGGGCTTGTCGATGCATATTCCTGCTGCAGTAATACTGGAGCCTGTGTTAACATTACTGGTTAGAATGGCCATATGGTAGCAACTAACATCCCATCCACTCCTTGATGATTATGGAATATCTGGCCAAACGCATGCACTAGCTGTTCTCTGCTTGTAACATCGCAACTGTCATCTCTGTCAAAGGGAATATTCTCCTGTTTGGACCATCCCCCTTACGGATAGTAGTGCAAACGGCCGGGCATCTTTGCCTGGAGATATATGAACTCCTGGTCAGGCTGCGGGACGATATCAGTAACTGCAACCACCGCACCAGCTTCCATGCATGCTTCGGCGAGAGTTAGACCAATTCCACGGGCCCCACCTTCAACAGACTGTCAGCTACATCTGCACATCAATCGCGGTGTATATGTTCCCAATAGGCAAGATGGAGAAGGGTTCATACCCGTAACTATGATAACACGGCCGGTGAGGCTCAAGAGGGAGTTGATCGTTTCAGACATTGTGTTTTACAGAGGATGAAAAAGTGTCCCGTTTGGCAGGATGGACTTTCTTGCCTTCCAGCTCGGCAAAGTCATCCAAGTATAATACAACGGCTGTCCGATTCCGAACTGGTCACACTTGTGGTGTAGCGGATATCGAATCCCGTATTGAATCCCGCAGCACGAAATTCATTTTCCAAATTTGTGCCGGAACTGCACCAGATTGTTAGCCAAAAGGCGAAGATCCTGGGCAGTCTTAATTGCGTTATCTAGATTGGTGTGGTCCTTGACCCCATGGCTTGAGCCTGGTCCGCAAGGTCTCTGCCCCGGGATTTCATCATCAATCTCATATAGTGTCTGCCCACATATCGGCTATTTTTCTTCTTATTATCTGCAAATATGGGACTTCGCAGTCTCCAGGGGAACCGCCTCACCGCGGGTGTGACCTTTGCCACCGGCAGTGGCTTCCTCTTGTTTGGCTACGATCAAGGCGTGTTTGGCGGTTTGATTGAGAACCGCAGTTTCCAGGAGACTTTTGATTATCCCAGTTCTATGATGGTTGGCCATATCACGGCCACGTATGACCTCGGGTGCTTCCTCGGGGCTATCGCCTGCATGGCCTTGGGAGATTACTTTGGCCGTCGCCTTTCTATTGCCCTAGGCTGCTTCATCCTGACTGTAGGAGCTGTCCTACAGGCATCCTCATACCACTCCGCCCAGATGATCGTTGGCCGCTTCGTCGCAGGCGTAGGCAATGGAATCAACACCACCTCAATTCCCGTCTGGCAATCGGAAATGTCCAAGCCTCGCCATCGCGGCCGTCTCATTGTCCTTCAACTCGCTCTCAACCAGCTCGGCAACGTAACAGCCCAGTGGCTCAACTTTGGTCTCGGCTTCATCGACCATAGCAGCGTCTCCTTGCGCTTCCCCCTAGCCTTCCAAATCTTCTACGCCCTCCTTGCAGCGTCCGCCACACCCTGGCTCCCCGATTCTCCTCGTTGGCTCATTCAACGTAACCGCGAGCCCGAAGCTCGCGTCGTCCTCGCCCGTCTTTACAACAAGGCCTCAACTCCCGATGATCCAGAAATCACAGCTCTCCACGAGGCCTCCGTCCGCTCTGTCCAACATGAACTTGAGCTCACCGCCGCTATCAACTGGCGCGTCCTCTTCCGCAAAGACCGGCTTCATACTACCCGCCGCATCCTCCTCGGTGCAGGGACGCAGTTTATGCAGCAGTGGGGCGGCAATAATGTCATAAACTACTACCTCCCTGTCGTTTTTGCCTCTCTCAACATCTCCCGCGCCCTTTCACTCGTCCTTTCATGTTGCAATTCCATGAATCTTATGTTCTCAACCTGCGGAGGCGCCATCTTTATCGATTCCATCGGGCGAAAAAATCTCATGCTCGCCGGCGCCCTGTTCCAGGGCATCAGTTTCGCCTTCGTTGGCGGGTCCCTTGGTGCACATACAGACCAGTGGTCGAAGGTCGCCATGGCCTTCGTCTTCATGTTCTTCACTGTCTTCGGACTGACCTGGATTGCCGTGCCTTGGATGTACCCGGCCGAAGTAAACACGCAGCAATGGCGGAATTGGGGCGCGGGGATCGCGACAGCGACGAATTGGATCTGTAATTATGCCGTTGTGTTGGCGACACCCGTGGGAATTGAGAGGATTGCGTGGCGGTATTATCTGATCTATGCAGCATTGAATATTTTGTTCATACCCATTGTGTGGGTGTTCTATGTCGAGACCGGGGGGCTTTCTTTGGAAGAGGTGGATGAGGTCTTTGAGAAGATGGGATCTTCGTCTGGGATAGATAGTGGGATGGAACTTTCCTCAGTGGTCAGGGCTGTCGATGGACAGGTGGAAAAAGATGGTGCATTGAGCGAGTGGGTTGAGCATGTCCGAGCCTAATACGGAGTACGACGCTCCCTAGTAGATCTCCGCCGCTATAGTCTGTACATGGATATCATTTGAATAACTTCAGATACATAAGATACCTAAATCTTCGGAATCAACTGGGCCTCGGCCATCCTATCAAACACAATCTTGTACCCCTGCACCGTATCAATTCTCTCTTCAAACCCGACTCCCCTCGCCTTCTCCAGCGAATAATCACGGTGGAAATCAAAATCAACCAACATAAAATGCGTATGCCCCCAATTCTGCTTCTCCACTGTTCCCTCCTTCAATCCATACTTCTCAACGAGCCTTTGCCACTCTTTCATATGGCCTTGCACAAACTCCTCCATACTTTCCTTCTTTTCCTTCACTTCTTCAGGCTCAACACCAATAAGACCAAAATACTCGCAGATCCCCGGCCAAACACCCGCCCAGGTAACAGCCTCCCCATCCGCAACATTGAATACACTCCCATTTCCACACCTATCCCGGTTCACCGCGGCATATATCTCCATCTTACTTAATAGATCCTGAAACGTATCTGAGTGCTTTGAATAATACCCACGCTTGTTTCCAGGGAATGGAACCTTCGTACCCTCCCCAAACACCTCCCTGTATATCGAAAGGTAAAATGCAATCCCATGCGCCATATTCATCGCGTTACTCACCGGCGCAAACCCCACGATTCCGTCGGGGCGGATGTCCGAGAACGTCCAGGTACATCCGGCCTCCTGGGTCATTTTGTCGAGCAGATCATACTGGTCATAGTAGAAGATCTTACTCCGATACGGCTCTGGAATTCGGGGGAGATCTTCGTGGAGCGGAGTCTTTATGGAGACATTATCCGGGAATTCGAGACCGTACCCCTTTCCGCCTGTTTGGAGGATTATAGTCGACACTTTCTTAGAGGCAGTGGTTATAGCTTGCACGGCAGTTTTCAGGAGTGCAGTATTGACTTCGCGAAGGGAGGCGTGGTCGTTCGTTTGAATGTATGCTGTTTCCGCGTTAATCTCACCAAAACTCCACAATATGGGTCAGTGAAGAGGGGAGGGAGAAAAGTACCACAGAAGAAAACAATATCCACCTCTTCAACACTGGGTACTTTCTTCTTGAGTTCTGATACGACTCTTTCGTGGGGCGCGGTCAGGTCGATACCCGAGACGATGTTGAGGCGGGGGTCGTCGGGGAGCATCAAGCTCTGTTTGTCAGCGGTCCGATTGCAGAGCCCTGTGATATGGGCGAAGGTCGAAGGGGTTGGGTAGGAGAGGCATTGCTTCATTAAGGACCAGCCCGAGATACCGGAGGCGCCGAAGATGAGGGCGTGCTTTCCTTGTGCGGTCATTTCGCTTACTTCTGAAACAAGCAGATGGTATAAGTGAGTTGTAGATCAATGAGAATTTATCAGGTTGGTAACAAGTTATAAATAGCTTAAGCTGCTTTTAAGTAGTTGGGTTTGCGCCAAACTGAGTGGCGTGGATGCCGGGATTCATTTCGCGGCTTTATAAGCAGTTTCGGAATTCTCTTCATATCATGAATCTGCCGGGATGCCCTTGCGGCTTTAGGCTGCATCATCCCTCTCAGCTGACAGACGATTACGAACCCAGCAGAGTTTTTTGAAATGATGCTTGCTGGGTCTCTTCATTATGAATCTCGGCGAATGCGCTCTCCACCAGAACTGCTCCTCGAAACCCGCGAGTCATGCTGCTCAATCTTATTCCTAATATCATGCCCATTTCAACCACCACTTGTCCCCTCAGCTCCCTCTCATCAAAATTGTCCTCCAAACTCATCGTTCCTCTCCCTAACAAGCTGAGGTTTCCCGCAATCTCATCACTCAAAATGGGTGGCAACTCATCACCAGTGCGGAAGAAATGAGTGCAGTGCTTCAGGACAGATAACGCATCCCCATGCTTGGCCCCCAGTATCCAGTAGAAGGTGCAGTCTGCATGATCAGCTGTTTACAACGTTTCCTGCCTGAAGTGTGTACAAGGAGATTCTGGGGGAGACATGTTTCGCCTAAGAGAGTATCTTATTGTAACGAAATGTGGCGGGAGTGCACGCATCTTTCCTCTCGTGCTGGTACGGCCGCAGACATGGGTATGTACGCCGGAAGTCACTGCCCCCCAAAGATGGCCTTAAAGCACCAATCTACCTGACAACAACTTTTTGATAGCACGACCTCAGGCAAGGTACGAACGACCAGCTCTATGTAGTCGCACGGGCAGAAAATAAATTACCGCCATCGTAGCAACATCGAAGAAGTTCAACAGCTGCGCAGATTTCTAGGTGGCCAGCAGCATCCTTCACTGCAAATCTGCTGTTTCACGGCTTGGTACAATGCATCACTATGTTAGAAAATCCTAGACTGAACTCGTATAACAGGCTACGTTCAGAAAGCCTGACCCTGTCTATGGCCCACTCTTTGTAGTAGTAATCTTGCTCTTAATAACACGCAATGTAGGACTGACGTGCAATAACAGTTGGAATAATTCCCGGCCCAAAGAAGTGGAAAAGGAGAATGAAATTAGGTATGAAGATTCCTCGTAGTATGGATTGACCCCATTCTATGGCTCCTCATGCAGTTAATTAGCGCATGTACTCTGCATGTTATACATTAAGAGCTTTACTACGATTCGATTCATCATAAAACTAACTGATGCACAATTGCCAGACAATGCTGTCACTGAGCCGCGACATCTATTCTTTTTTAATGCTTGGCTGGATAGGCGATAGCCGATAGCCTCTATCAAGCAAAGTAGCTCGATTTTCAGGTTCGAAGGTTGGCGCGGCTAGAACTGGACCACTAACGAATGCTTTCGGAGGCGTGCTTGGCATCTCAAGGTAAGCGGGATAGTGGCTAAACTCCATAGATCATGAGCTCTTTCAGTCCTGAATACGCGATTGGGCAAGTATTGAGCATGATTAAAGAAGGCGGCCACCAACTGGGCTATTCAGATCCGTTTGCTGTTAAAGTCGACCTGTAGCACTCGCACCGAAGTAGCAAAACTTTGTTAAACAAGGCTAGGTCATCTGACTCTTGATGAAATAAATGTAATACCAAGTGTACGGGGCAAATACATGGTTTGTTACAACAGGCCCCATTTCATTGTGGATTGAGTTATCTGCTTATAGTATGGATTTACTCCCCCTCCGCTGACATTTGAGCCTAAGCTCTCAACATCGCAGGAACTGCTTAGCGTGGAGATGATGCTAATGATACTGCCCCAGGAATTATCGCAACTGGTCTTTGAGTAGGTATGAAAAGATATGCATGGCTATTTATTAAAACTAATCTGCCAAAGCTCTTAAGGGCGGACCTGTGGATGCTCTATAATACCTCAAGTGAATTGCTCCCAGGTGAGTCAAGAAATCATTACTGAGCCTAGAACTATCAAAAAGCAAGCAATAGCAAGGAGGGGCGGATTCTGGATTGTACTGAGGATGGCTTTTCCGGTACGGTTTGTTTCCAGACCTTCCGTTAGAAAGTCGGACTTCTGAAGAGAAGTAAATGTTCCTGGAATAACCAGATACCCAGCAAGCAGTGCCCAGTGCGCAGCGCTAGCCGAGGTGTTGTAGAACCATGGAATATAGTCAAGCTCGAGAAGCATGCGCACATAACGAGTCTCAATGACTGAAGCGCTTTCAGGCTCGGGCGGGTTTGTTTCAGGATCGGCAAATGGCTGTGTTTGTCCCATACTGGCCTGTAATGAGCAATAGTGGTAGAACCTGGTTTGCAGTATCTGATCTTCTTATACGTTGGTTGATAGGGAGGACGGTCACGACTCCGAAATAGGCGTGCAGCCTTCTTTATTGTGCATATTTCGCTCAAGGTGAGCTGCAATATCCAGCTATGGGTAACCTAGAGATTTCTTCTACTAGAAATTATCCGACTTCCTCTCCTTGCGAAAGATTTATAAGCTCTATTGACTCAGTCGATCGTGCTTCTCAGAGTCTACAGAGCATGGTCAAAGGTGTATTAAACAGACTCCAAAGAAGAATCTGTGACTTCGAAACAATGCACGCTCCCCCTCTTAAGTTTATATGCCTTCATCCTACCGTGGACCGGTATTGTCCTTCCTAGGACTCGTTATCGAGCGATCCCGCAGAGGACACTTACAGGACGCAGACACCACGGCCCCAGACTAATATGTAGGAAAGGATGCTAATCTCGATAAGTTGGCTGCCAGTGATATATTTGAAGATCTACCCACCTTTAAAAGGTCCGCTGCGGTTACTCTCCAAAAGCAGCCGGTGAAGTCCTCTGTGAGCAGTCCCATTGTCCCATAAATTACAGATGTCTCGTCTAGTCTCAAGAGCAAGCAAGCTATCAAGCAAACAGCCTGAAGATCTTTACTCTTTTGCTGTTATCTTGGTTCCCTAATCAGGCTGCTTCCGATGTCGGCTATGAAGTCTGTTAATAACAGGTCATTTTCAGTGTATACATTTCAGATTATACTAACCCAGTTTGACTACTCCATCTTGGTTGATTAGGACTGTGGAAAGTGTGACATTCCCATGGCAGATCCCAAGCACTTCATGCACGTACTTCAAAGCTTGCAGGATCTAGAGATATCAGCGGAGTTCCTCTCTGAAATAACTCCGAATTTTGCATACTTACCCCTTTTGAGATAGTTGTAAACTGCACCTCGCCCAAGCAAAACTTTGATAATAATTGTTGATTCTCCTCTAGCAAGATACCCTATGTATTATAAAGGAAAGAGACGTTCTGTTTCGCAATGAATATCTCTTTTAAATTAACCAGATTTAGATAAGATATTTCTTTGAAATCCTCAGCCTATAGGTCCCTTTCTTCAATCCGTTCTTGGTAGACGTAGGCCAAGTGGGAGCCTTCAAAAAACTCGATAGCGCTGACGGGTCCCCAAGTCGGTGACAGGCCGACGAAAAAGCGGTTCAGCTGGTCATAAGGGGACCCAGACTTCACGAAATCCGACTGAACGTCTAGAGTTTGGGGGAGTGTCATATGCCGCGGGACTCCTCGAACTGGCAATTCGATTGGAGATCCCAACTTAGGAGACACTGCCATGTTCGCAATGTCACTGAGATTCACAAAATTATTCCTGCCTTCGCTTTGACAAGAAATCGAATGTTGTTCTTGACAGCACAATTAGACCGTACATGACGTACATCGCGCCCGTTTTTATCTAGTACTGGACGTGCCGCGCCGCTTTTGAGTCCTGTGGGGAGCCAAAACTGGCGTGGCACCTTAGGTCTAAGACGGCCGAAGCACCCATCGACCCGCCGCGGCTTCGACCCTGATTCTGTTCATCACTGCCAATCTTGAAACCCCCGAAGGCTCTTTGTTCCCTGCCGAAGACCCGCGGACTTAATCCGCAGGTGTTTCCATACATTTGTCTGGCAGCACAGGCATGTGCATTTCCACTCAATAGTTGAGAGTTTTAGAACAATGTGTATACGTACTACTGTAAGATAGGACATTAAATTGCCTTCCATGCCCAACACAGCAAATTCATTCCAGCGGTAATGGAGAGAATTTCGTGAAACTGTCTACATACTATACTCGCTGGGAGTATCCGCTACGTTTAAACTTCTCTGGTTCCATACTCTTGAGAACCGTGAGGTTATACATCTGCAGCTACACTGCAAGGATACAGTATGGGAACTATCGCAATGAGTATTCCCCTGGACTCCAAAACCGTTATCGATGGCGAATTCCGACGCTTGAAGAATATCGCGGAGATTAGGCTAAGCGACGATATCACGGCTTTTCTAAACGATGCGTATTCCTCAATAGAGTCAAAAGGTGCTTCAAATCCCCGAGGCCCCTACAAGAGACCTCTCATTGACTACACGGCCATGGGAGATTGCCCCGAGCTTCTTCGTCATCTTTTAAGAACTGGTGCTGCTAAAGACGATCGCGACCAAAACAAGTGTACCCCTCTCTCTTGGGCTGCAGAATATGGTGCCTTATTAATTCCGTGAAGATTCTTTTGGAACATGGAGCGAAAATCAACTCCACGGATGATATGTATTCCACCCTATTATCGTGGTTAATTCATGCGGGTCCACATACGGATCAAGCAAAAGAGACTGAAGTCTACCTGAGGAAGAACGGTGCCGTTGGATCTTGAGGAAGACTAGAATGCTCTGATAGACTTTGTATGTAGATTTAGAGGCCGTGATCTATTATGAGACTATTCTTACTCCATGCCAATCAACATGATGGATTGTGATTACATGATTTGGTTTTCCTGTAATTCTCAATGTTCATTTTAATACCAGGACTCAAGGAACTGCAATTTTTTTTGACTCTCTTAGGGAACAATTAAGGGGAGTCATAGATCCTTTCGATCCTTTTCCAAATTTGGGGGCATCAGGGCCGGTGTCGAGAACACGTACCACGTCCGGAGTTAATGAAGAAATCTTCTACCTATATTAGATCGTCTATCCGGCTTCAGACCTCAGTCAGCGAAAACAGAATCCCAACGTTGAATTCACTCAATAAGTCTCTCAAGCATTCCAGCAGAGTCTCTTATGTAAATAATGAGCAGAATACGCCAAAGCCGTCGCGCTGTGGTGTATTACCAATAGTCCTTCGCTGGTCCCAGGGGATTTTACTTGATAAGGGTTGCCTGATATTGAACCGTTAAATACACTGCAGTTAGGCCTATTTTAGTGGAAAACGTGGAATTGGCACTGCTTAGGATTATGAATTTGTCTGAAATGACAACCAGACCCGGAAAGACTGTCTGAACTCTGAAAAACCCTTACAGGCAGATGATGCTCGACCATACGGTTTAAGTCGGTTTCTTCTTCCCGTATTAACCAATCACAATCCACAAATAAACAACTACCCTCGGCTCAGAGGAAATTTTTGAAATTTCTCGCTAAATAGAAGCTTAATCGATCTCAATTCTGGGTCAATATATTGACCAGGCTTCTGGCTATCGCCCAATACCCAGAAGTCATGGTCGGTGGGACTAGTTGGCCAGTGTTGGGGATCCAGCCTCTGAACCACCTCGAGCATGCCACGCAAATCATAGCCGAGGCCACAGCACTGCTGGAGCTTGACAACACCAAACGCGCCAAACACTAGCTAAGACAACCCGCAAGCAACCGTCGGCACAGGAAATCCTGGGGAAACTAAACAGCTTGCAGCCGATCGCAGAGGACATCACCCTCATCAAAAACGTAGTCAGCAATGTACTCGCACCGCCCGCTCCCATCACACCCAATATAGCCACCCGAATTGCTTCCTAGGCGGATGTAGTCCGCTCGGGCACGCCCTCGTGCCCGTCGACGCCGAATAGCAGAGCCTCCACAACCGCTAGCGTCAAGGATAGGGAAACCGTAGTGAAACTTGATGCGAACTCTGCGGCCGTTCTCCGCAAGGTATCGCCGGAAGACCTCCGCAATCGAGTGAATAATGCCTTGGGATCACGGATAAATCTGCTGGGGAAAGCTCCACGCGTCATTGACACAGCTGCTTTGCCTTCATTAGGGACCTGTTACCTGTTTTATAGAGCATAACTTACTGTTAATAAACTTAAAGCTCTAGTGTACATTCAGTATATTTCATTGGTGTTACTTACAGCTTTTGCTCCACTGGTATTTCTGCTACTCATGTATCAAACCAGAGCCAGACTATACCGATTGTATTTCATCGTAGTGATCAACTGACATCCTCTCTACCTTTCAGCCGGCATATAATAGACGGTTCTAGATGTCCACTTCAGCTATAGTTGATAGCAGCCATCAAGAGTCATGCCGCGGCCAGATAATAGAGCACTATTCGGTATTTTCTTCATTACCCTCGTCCGTCAAACGATCTGCCAGGTAAGTTAACCAGGTAGTCAGCTATTGTGAGCAGATTACTAAGGCATTAGGCTCTCTTTGAACTAATTGAAGTGAGGGTGTGGGATAACCCTAATTGTACGGGAAGACCTTCTTCAACCATTATTGATTCTACAAATCTGGCCAAAAGCATTTCAACCTACTACCGGCCGCTCAGCTTTCAGCTCAAACGGCCACCGCAAGGCCAAGAGCAACTTGATCTTTCAGTCACCCGAGACCTTTGGGAGCTTCTCCCAAGGCAGAACAGTAACTCGTCATGCGTTGACTTTCTTGAAAGCCACACTGCTCAGAACGGAACTATGGACTGTCACAACACACATGTCTTCACTCGCCACAGACTTTGGCTCAATCCAGGCTTATAAACATGACCACTATTTACATGCATCCATCGGTGGCTGCGGAAGCAGGGGGAAGAAAGCAGCCGACAAGTCATTGGGTACTTGTTTCTCTGGCATGTTCTGTGAGTCCTAGTTCTGCTTGCTCGCTGAATCTGTCAGACCCAAAAGAATATCTCAGTGGAACTGAACTGGGTTGCCTGAAACCATTTCAGTGCAGAGACAGAGGATTTGAATAATTATACCCATCTCTTTCCATTCTTCCATCTTCTGTAATCGCATAGCCCAATAATACCGGTCTTTGAAGGATTTAAAGGGTAGCAGTCGAAGAGAGTAAAGTCTGGCCGACCAATCCCGTCCTATTCCGCCCCTTTATACATTGAGCAAGAGAAATCCGAGCCTCACTGGGCGAACTTCCCTACAAATGGTTTCTAAAGAAGGAAGACCAGTACGAAGGGCGCACCAGTGGCACAGGGAAGACCAGTACGGAGGGGAGTCTAGTATAGAGGGCTAACCAGTACGGAGGGAAAACCACCCAAGAGTGAAGTCCTCCAATGAGGGAAGTCCAAACGAAGAGGAAGCTGGAAGGTATTGACTTGAAAAATAACGGTAACGAACAATGACCAAGCCTAACGCCTAACAGGGAAGGCTATTTTAACCCTAACACTCAACCTTCAAAACATACTTATCCAAAAGAACAGCCATGAATAGTAACCAAGATGAAAGCGTGAAAGAACTAGCACAGTTCTTTCATGGTTGTGTTAAAGTCACCTTTGAATACTTGTCATTCCCTCTATTGCTCTTCGGAGGAAGAATTTTGATAATAAAAATGTTGATTTATTGAAAAGAACCTTTCGATTAAAGCAGTGTGCACAGCTAGAACCTAGCAACTAATCTCAGCCGTCATAAGTGACGATGTTCTGGAGCAAGCCATGCTCCAATCAGGGATTAATGAGGCGGAACTGAAAGGAGCAGTTGAGCCACCTCTATTACTGTTGCCACATGATTACAAGCTTCAGTGCTTGTATGAAAAGCACCGGATAGAGGCTGCAAAGGATGTGCTATACCCTGGTGACCGTTGGTGGACGGTATATCTCTATAGTAACAGTATGTATGGCTTTAAGGTTCATACAGGTGCAGGCTAACTAAAGGAGGCCTCTCTGAACCTCTAAAACGCCGCCTCTGTGCGCTCAAGGATAACAACTGCAGTGCAGGGGATATCCTTCGTAACCTTCAGTATAGCAGGATATCTCACTGTGACGAAAGAGAAATTGCATTTTGGGAATTGAAGATACCCAGTCGCGCAATGGAAGACCTGAGGAGGCTAGAGAAGAGATACCCACGCATTGTACTCGGCTTAAGATGATTAATCCCTTATCCAGGGCTTTGGGCTGATATCCCCTTTAACTTTCTGAAGCGCTTAGTGGAGTGTGCTTCTCTGACAGTAAGAACTTCCTAGCACTGGGAAAGTGACAAGATGTCTAACCACCGTTGCAGGAAAAAAGCCATTATCTGGACATCATCTATGATACTTGGTCACCTTTGTTCCTGGACGAACCTGCGCATGTTGATACCACTTCTGTGCGTCTGTTAGAAAATCGGATGCCCTAGATGAGAGAAGATGCCAACTTTATCACCATATTAATAAATGCAGGTGAACTCTTCCCTTCCGTGGCAGATGAGAGCCACACAGCCACATTGCTGAGTAGCCTTCTAGACAGGAGAGGCCGAATACTCAGTCTGTACCCACTAGTCCAGGATACACTGATCTTACAGCCTTGCGCTAAGTCCTTGAAAAGACATGCGGGATGCTCTCATACGAAGTTTCAATGGTACCGGGAATCAGGTTGCAGAGAACGCCTTCAAGAGCGTACATGACGACCAGTCTCAAGAAAATGTCTCTACCGCTGGCTACGTACAGCTATGGCTGTTCTCAATTCATTTTATAGAAAGCTTGACCGATGTTAGACTCCCGGGCTCCAAACGTACTGACGATGCATATGCGTATAGAGAGACCCTGTCAGAGTCAGCTTATCAACTTGCCATCTTGGCAACGCAGTTGGGCTTTGATTCGCCTCAGATTCGCTCGCTTTGTGTGAGCTCAACTATAAAACCTAGTGCCCGAGCATACTTGACCGGCCGTCGTCCTCAGGAGTTATATGTCTATCCTCCGCGCTGGGAGGAAGAAGCTCCTGAAAAAGTTGTCGATCTCCTAAAGCTCCCTAAAAGGGATAGATATAAGATCATCGTTCCGCCTTTCTCTATTGACAGTGAGGATCTCATGGCAAATAAACGGTGCGGACTATCACAGAGAGAATCACACTGCAACGACTGCTGCTTTCTATTTGCTCTACAGGTCTATAGTGGGGAACAGCTTCCGAAAAAGTACCCTACAACGTTCGCCGTGCTGCGAGATATCATGTTCGGCTTCTTTAGCCGAGAAATATTATCTTCTCAATCACATCCTATATGGCGGAGAATAGGAACTAACCCGCAAACTCCTTATCACGATGAAAGTCATGTTGTCTTGTCGCCAGCTCCATGCGATCCTCATCCTCCGGAAACTCAAGGCAGAAATGAATATGCGCAACGCAATCCTGACGCAGGAAACGATATGGCGTTGGATAGTCCTAATCCGACTCAGGACTCTGTGCAGCAAGCACCAATTGCGTCTGGTTTTGAAGATGAGACATCCATCGCGTCGCTGAATCAACTCACACATATCTCACACATATCTCACACAGCCGAGGAGCCGAAGAAATTTTGAACGCCTGGGACGCATCCCATAGCAATGATTTAACAGTGTGCTACTTCTTCAAGAATCATCAGTATTGCAAATTTCTGTGTAAGGACCCGGAGCTGCATGAGCATCTTGGAAACTTCATTGGCCGATTCGAAAACAATCATTATTTTGCTACCTTGCGCGGTCTAATCAACTCAAGGGATATTATACACCGTATTGACACTCTGCCCTTGGTTTTTGTATATACAGAGACCGAGCACGATCCGCCACCTATGGCAAATCTTTGGGAGTACATCCGTTCTTTTGACGCTAGAACTGGGAAGCAGAAGCAGGGAAATAAGGAGGACTCTCTGTCAGCTATGAGTACCAAAAGACGCATCGGTGATAACAGAGCCAGCGATGAGGAATCCGAGATTTAAACCAAGGCTCACCAACAAGAGAAACAGATCAGCTCAGATGCATTGTTAGCTATATTAGAAGGGTGTTAATTAACCTAGATATCTTTAAAGAATTGTAAGGCATTTTTTCATGATAAGCCTTTTTCTTTACTGATCCAAAGCAATCCGTCATGTTCTCTGAGTCGAGAGTACAACTAACTACCGTAGGGAGACGAGGTTACTCGGCAAAACAATTTTTGATGCATCCCAGAAAGATTATGAGACTGTTTCCGTGAAACAAAATGATCGCCGTCTGTTGGATCGACCAAAATTGTGGGGTTTACCTCGGCAAGAGCCAGGGGCCTTTCTCTGAATAAGTCTCCCCGTGCTTAGGTTCTAATCTTGATGGAAATAAAATTAGCGAGGCATTAGCGAGGCATTAGCGAGGCATTGCCGTCAGGCTTATATAGTTCTGAAATGGTCTTGTTTCGGAGGCTTGGTAAAGGCCAACATATCCTTTTCATCTTCATTGTTTGATCCCTTTTTGTCCAGAAGATATGGCACACGTCAACGGCTACTGTGATCCAAAATTCGAAAAGGTGCGAAATTTGCTGGCCCGGAATCTAGCCTCTGGGGCCGAGTTGGGCGCCGCCATTTGTGTCAATATCAAAGGGGAAAACGTGGTCGACCTATGGGGTGGGGCAACCAATGAAAGCCGCAGCAACCAATGGCAGGAGAATACTATTGTCAATGTCTGGTCAGTTTCGAAGGCAATAACGTGCCTGTCAGCGTTGATGGTCGTCGATCGCGGCCTTCTAGATGTCCATGAAAAGGTTTCTAAGTACTGGCCTGAGTTCGCAGAGAACGGCAAGGAAGACGTGGAAGTGCGCCATCTTTTGAGTCATACTTCTGGCGTGTCCGGATGGGAACAGCCTATCACGTTCAGCGATGTCTTTGATCGGGACAGGAGCACAGCAAAATTGGCAACGCAGGCGCCCTGGTTTCAGCCCGGGACAGTATCAGGTTATCATGCTATGACCATGGGCCATTTGGTTGGGGAATTGATACGCAGAACTACAGGGAAATCACTGAAGGAATTTATTGAGGAAGAAATCGCGGGACCGCTGGGTGCAGATTTTCAACTTGGAGCTCGTGAGGAGGACTGGCCGCGGATTTCGGCACTCATTCCGCCCTCACAGTTGAATACGAGTTTCAATTTGACGGACAAGGACTCCGTTGCATACAGGACTTTAATGGGACCCATTCCAAATGCCCAGATTGCTCTGACCGACGGGTGGAGACGTGCAGAAATTGGAGCAGCAAATGGCCATGGGAACGCGCGTGCTATTGCTCGCATCCTTGCAATGGTGTCTCTTGGAGGGGAGGTTGACGGGGTTCGTTTCCTTTCACCAGGGACGATTGATTTGATATTTCAGGAACAATGTGACGGCATTGACTTGGTGCTTGGGATTCCCCTTCGGTTTGGAATAGGATATGCCCTCCCGAAGAGGGATACAGTCCCGTGGATCCCGGAGGGCCGCAAGTGCTTCTGGGGTGGCTGGGTAAGTATCCCCCACACTTAGAACTTGTCAAACCATAATAGGCTTATTCTTCTTTCTCTCTACCAGGGAGGTTCTATTGCGATAATGGACCTCGATAATGCGATGACAATCAGTTACACGATGAACAAAATGGCTGATAAAACGTTGGGCAACGCTAACACCGCACAATATGTCCAGGCAATATATGAGATCGTCGAAGGCGGACTATAGCTAAGGGGTTGCGTCATAATGGAATATACAATGGATCCTTGCACCATGAGCCCTTTAACCATGTACCCGGACGACCTTTCCCTGAGATCTGCATGGTCATATAATTTTGTTTACGTCTCTGTAATCCTTGTCGCACGCTATATTATTATTGTTGTTTGTAAAATGGAAGTTTCATGTCCTCCCTCACCAGTCGTTCACTACCCTTATGGTATCTTAGTTGATTAACCAACTTGTGATGACCAATTGTGTTGATTATAACCAGCAATGGCTTAACTAATCCAGCTATTATCACCCGAGAGAGGCAATGCGTGCCAGTGTGTCAGAGTAAGCCTAAAAGGATAGAAGGAGTGAGGTAGCTGTACCGGTGATGACATCGTACGTTTTAGAGAAGCCGTGTTTGAGCTATCCGCGCCCAGATTCAAATGACAGAAGCAATCACGGATACATGAGCACGAAGAAGGTCACAGAAGGTGGTCTTTCCAGTATCCCTTTTATGGTACGCAAGCTCATGCCTAGCCTGCTGGATAAGCCTCGACGGAATTGCAATATTGGTTAAAGATCGCGTTGAACTCCAGCCATGCTGCCCCGTTCTCTATGTTCTCCGGAAGAACACCAACAACGTTCATGTTACCATCCGGAATAAGCATAGAGGTCGCTGAGACTGGTAGTACCAGTTCACGGCTCGGAAACACAGTATCGCTTCCTGTATCTTCCGAGGAGAGCCCCTCTGGAATAAGGCCCTGATCATCTTGCAGTTGGGCCTTAGAGACCATCGCTTGGATCAAGGCATATGCATGATCGGCAGTAGGCCAGATATCTCGCTGCTGAAAAATTGCTTGACTGCACCAGCGGAATTGAAATCTTGGGTTATCACACAGTGCTTCGGTGCGACTGTTTATCTGGACGATAAAGGTTGGAAGCGCGGAAATGAAGAAAGTGGTGGCATAAGGCGGCAGTTTTTGCACCATGTTTCGCTCATAGAAAAGCTCGGCCATTCTGGCTGTTTCATCTGCTACATCGGTGACCGTCCGTTTCACATCACACCGAGGAAAATGGGCTTCGTAAAGAGGATCCCTATTTGCCGAGAGTAAGGGTCTATAAAACAGGCCAAAGGCCATCAATGAGAACATGCGCAGCACTGCACGATGTAGCAAAAGCACTCTATCGTCGGGATCTTGTTGCCGAGCATATGTCGATGGAGCTGGGAATACACAATCATCTGGCAGCGAATTTCGCCATTCCTCCAGGTTGCGACGAATCGAAATATTCATGCTCAGGTTGGTCAAAGGGTGATTGGGAGAGTACAGCATGACACTCGACACAGGGGATTCAGAAATGCTGGACAGTGTATAATTTTGAGTGAGAATTCGTGCAATCAAAAGACCAAGTTTTGTCTTTTCAATACACAAGCGCGCCAACGTTTGTCTGATTACCGCGTCATTGAGAAATGCAGAATCGCGTAGCGAAGCGATCCCGGTATCGATCGGTTGAGTCTCGAAATCCTCCAGCGTGAGCAATGGCATATTGATGTTCTCCTCCTTGAATTGCAACGGCTTACGTGTGGCAATGGCAATGACACGGTCTTGCAGTATGCACAGCCACCAGAGGCGACGTGAAAGTCTCCACGATTTTGGTGGGCTTCTCACACTCTTCTGATTCCTTCCCAGACCTATCCTATTTGCTAGTAGCCGACACACTCCTAGCCAATACCATGGGTCTTTCTGATCTTCTGGTGACTCAAACCAGTAGGTTATGAGCAGGAGTGCTTGTATGACCGGGATGGGATCCGGTTCCCAGTCAAGTTCATAGAGGTACTGTCTTCTGTCAGCCGTTATCTTGCGAAACTGCCGAGGGCTGGTAACTGCTCACTTTGACCTTAACGTAAAACGCTTTCCGAGCATCTCTTCTCGTCTGATATCCTGTTCTTTCAAGCAGTGGCATGTCCACAAACGCGCAGCCAGCAAAAAGGATTGCTTGCAGCAGAATGAGACTGACTGGATCAGAGTTCTGAGTCTGGCGAATGGAGTCGAAGAACTCCTGCAGATCGAGAACGGGCATGTATGGGTGGACATATAAGACGAAGGCCCCGATAAGTTCATCACGTACGCCAGCCTCGGGTATAGCCAGCGCGCCGCGGCTGGCAAGGAACCTTATTTTCTCAGATTCAAAGCTAGTGTGGACGGTTCTCACATAAGCTGGTAACTCGACAAAACAAGTACTACTCTCTTCAAGATGGAAAGGCACATTTGTCCCTTGCCTCGAACTATGTGCGGGCGATCTTGATGGTGCGTTGCTAAGTCGACGATTTTGCTGACGATATCTTCTACTCCTCTTGGACTCTAGCGCGATACATACAATCCCATCCTCGTGACAGTTACTGCAGGGAGTTCCGGTGATGACAAGATCGCATTTCACTTTTCTCTTCCGGCAGCCCCGACACACATAGCTTGCTCGACTTTTCTTGCAATGCTGGACCATGCCGTTGCGTTCCGGTAGACTCTCTTGGTTACCAGAACTGACTTGGTAACACGACGCCATCGCAGTATAGCCACTAGTCAAATTTTGAGGGCGGCCGGCTCAAGAAAGAGCAGGCTACAGAACACCAGATCTTGAAGTATTGCAAAAAGACGCTGTGAAGCAGAGAGTGAATCTCTAGAAAGCCTAGATGATCATCATGGGCTCCATGATATGGCTATGACAAGCGTCAAGTAGTTTTCAACGGGCTTTTCCGTGACATGTAGTAATTGATAGAAGAGCGACTGGTGCCAGGGAAAGTGTACCCTGACAAGGGAGGATGAATAACTGACTATGACCAAATGCGGGGAAAAGTGGATCAGGTCCCGACTGCTTACCCATGCCTTTTATATCTAGCCAGTTATTTGCCGAGGTCACCCAGTTAGGTCGCGCCCAATTCAAAGGACGCGCTACGATTGTACAGATGCTATTACAATATAGTTTAGCTGCTCCAATTCTTCCTACAGGGCGAAAAGATATACAATTACCTCTTCAAGAAAATATCTGCCAAGTCATGGTATGATTCAGGAGAACTCGCTGACCTCGGCTAGTTTATGTCACGGTTGGCAGATTGGATAGAAAAGACGAAGGCAATCAAGTCTTACTTGAGTCTTACCAGTTAAAGGACTATGGTGGAGAGAGTTGTGATCTAGGCTATATCCGATATTATTTATTGCGCTTTCCCATAGTAGATGGATTCGTTTAACATATACTTTAGAATAGCAACCTAACGTTTCAAACCAATACCGGCACTTAGACTAATTTTCTTCTTTTCCCTTCCTCAAACGACTGCTCCTCCGGGACAGTCTTTGACTCTTCAGGCTCCAAACTCCAATACCTTTTCCCTGTCACGCAATTAGAGCGAGGTTCCTTAATAGAGTACACATCAAAAAGGTAACGCCGAAAGCCTAGAACGCTGCCATACTCCTTCCCAGAGCAACAGGGATAAGGTCAAGTAACTGGGTTTCCCAATAGCAGCTGGAAGAGATATCTATCAATATAATTCAAGAGTGTGGCCTTGTTCAGCTATTGCTTAGAACACTCATCCGGTCTCTTGTTGCCATCCCTTAGACAGAAGAAACAGAATCCAGGAGCTACAAGGATATAGCGGAACGTCAGCAGTCTATACCGGGATTTTAGATTGGCTAAATAAAGACCACAGTGCTGATTCCAGTTTTCTTCGCTGTATAACATCTGCACGTATAAGTAGCAGAACTGAATAAAGTTTTATTGGACATGGCAGTAAGCTCTCTTATTATTCTTATAATACTGTTAATAAGGAGCTGTATTTAATGCCTTTCTCCAGTATTATAGAATATGCTTTATATAATTTTGCAGTTACCGGGCAACACTAGTAACTTGTCAGTCCCTATAGCTTTTAAAGTAAAGCAAGGTGCAAACCTTTCTATAGATTTTTAGCAGACCAGATATTGCCTATTGACAGAGGTTAATCCAGGATAATACACAACTCTCTTAGTTAATATATTGAGACTGACTATATCCTGAAGGTATTGTCTTCTTACCTCACTATTAATAGATATCTCTTTAAACAGGTTTTCGCGCAGGCGAGTTCTAGTCAGGATATATTTGGTATAGATCTTGAATAGATTTATTATATTATATTTAGTAAATCTCTTTTGAGAGATATACTCTTTGTAGCATTCATCCTACTATTGTGAAATATGCGCAGATTACTTTACCTGAAGCTTTTTTGCTTTCTATTTATATAGCCTGGATTGATCTTCCGCCAGTAATTTATAAATACTGGGCTGACATGCAATCCTTCACAAAAGATCAGCAATTCTTGTGTTTAGGCCAACAATTTCCTTATTATATTCAAACTTGAATAGTATCGCGGCGTTAAGGTAAAGAGAGATATTTAGATTATAATAATATACCATGCTCTGTTCCATGTCTTGACACTTGTAATCTGGTTCTATACTATATATTAAAGCTTGCATATCCAATGCCTTAAGCTAAGCCTGATATTTGAGGAATGTGTTATAGTCTTAATAGTCAAGCACTTAGCTACACGTAGCTTCCGAGGCTTTAGCTATATAATTAATCAGCACCGGACAGACATCTATATGAAGATGGGGAAATGAGAAAGTAAAGAGAAGATAAATAAATATTACAAACAGTGTTAGCTTATAATCTACCCTGTTTATAAGCTCTGGTCTGTTACGCCTGGGTATTCGGCAAGAGCTTCGTGAGTAGTTAGCTGCACTTGCGTAGCGAGAACCAAACCTGAGCGATGAATCCGATATGGTTCCGTGAAGTGACCGAATCCAAGGTCTGATCGAAGATGATGGTTAGCTGTAAATAGCTCAAGTCCAAAAGGCCAGGCCTACTAAGTATGTATACTCAGTAGTTAAGGAAGTGCGAACAAGTCGAATACTAACTAGATACCAAAGGTGTATCCTAAGTAACAATTTGGATTGATCACGAAGACCTAAGCTAGCTACATGAATAAGTGTCCTTATATATCCATCCCTGGGGTACTGTGGTAGCTGGGTTGGTATACCGGCGGTATACATGTGGTATACAGTATACCGATTCGTATACTTCCTAGCGATCAGTCGTATACCATTTAGTCAGTCACGTGATGTCAACCATTGGTCTGACATAAGTAGCGTTGGCGTCAAAAAGTTGACCTCAGCTCATCTGCAACCACGCAACGACGGCGCAGGACGACCGTATGTTCAAACAGGAAGCCATGGTCATATAATGTCACGTGCGAGCAAAGGGTGGAAGCTGAGAGGATTGATACCTTTGGATGGATTCAGTGACAACCAAGTACATCTCTTCGAACTGCAGGGCGCAGATGCCATTAAAAGCAGCTCAATCACTGTTTTCTTCTGCGGTCGACCGCTGAGTTCGCCTTCGTCACCCCCCTAGAGCCCTTGTCACCACCAGTGAGCCATCATCACCAGGGGTGATAGGGTCCTCACCCATATCACTAGCACTTATACTAAAAGCATCACGCCGCTGCTTTAGAGGCAAAAGGGCTTTCTGGGGGCTGACCACGTTCTCCATGCGGCTTAAGTACGGCTGAGCGGACGGGATGCCCTGTTCTCCACACCCTATTGTCGTATGTACTAGACAATAATATGAAGGGGATTGTATAGAGAATATTACATGGGTTGACTACTATGAGACAAATAGAATGGCAGCAGCAGTTCACTACGGAGCATTAACGCATGATTAACCACGCAAAAATAGCGACACTCAACTAGATTTACGCTCACATACTGGCTAATGATTCCCAAACTTCTTGTAGGAGGGATCGACGGGCTCAAACACGTCAGCGTTCTTGATATTAAGATGTGGCATTTGATCATCGGCCCAGTCATACTGAGAGTCTCCACGAATCACCGTCAACCATTTCACAAAGTCGTAGCATTCCTAGTCCTTGTTCAGACGAAGCATCAATTCCTGCACCAAGTCCCGCACACCCATATTATCTTTCCGACACAGCTGTATCATATTCATGAGATGCTCAAGCTGTGCCCCGACAGATTCAATGTTCTTGATCTTCGACATTGCCTCGACGAAGCCGAACCGTGTACGCATGTAATCGCGTGTTTCTAAACCCCCCCCCCAAAGGAAATATCCCACGTCGTGGGCGAAGAAATCCCCATCAATTCTTAGGGCCATTGCACAATTTCTGCTCTTCGTTTTCTATAGACTGCGCGGTGTTTTCTGACGACGGTACAGGCTGATTTATGGGACGAGCGGTGAGCGGCTTGGTGGTCGCGACTATAGTACGGCATCACCTTGCACCCCGCGCAGCGGAGGTCTTCCTGCTTGCCGTAGGCCCACAGCCGGAAGTGAGCGTGATTGATGCCATGTATCCAGTGGCCCGGGTAGAAATCTCAGAGAAATGGTGTCAACTCGTAGTATAGCCATAGTGCGGGTATTGTTGCGGTCGTGGTGCTGTAGGCTAATAGAGATGTTGTCCCGCAACTACGGAATAGATCAAGCTTGATTATCTACCCCCTTCCCAAAGTACGAATTGGATGTAGGAACTTGGAACAGAGTAATGGACGTAGAGATAGTGCCGTGGATCTTGGACCAAATAAACCTAAACGGATGTCTTACAAGGCATCCTATCTGTTTGGCTCTCAAGCTCGCTCCAAGACGTCGTCTCGGTAGAATGAAGAAGTTGAGCTATTGACAGACATGCCATTGCTGCGATTTAAACTAAAAATAAGCGTTCTGAGGGATTGGGAAAATCAAGGATTGAGAAGGCACCCCCTGGAAAACGGGCACATATAATCCTCTTACTACTACCGACAAGTACATACGACCATAGGGTGTGGAAAACAGGGCTTCCCGTCCGCTCAGCCGTACTTAAGCCACACGCCGGCCGGTTAGTAGTTGGGTGGGTGACCACCAGCGAATCCCGCCTGTTGTATGTTTTTGTTTTCCCCTGTTTTTTTTCTCAATGTGGATTATAAGCCCGCAAAATCCTATTATGTATAATATATAGAGTGAAGGTGTAAATCCAGTGTCGTATACAAGACCTATATGTTACAGGACTTGCAACCATACCCTACAAATCAGAACTGACAGGCCGGAGGGAGCCGCGCTAATGCAACCACGGGAACTGGCGAATCGCTAATGTACCAATCACGTGATATGGCATACAGAATGGTATATGGATTGGTATATGACCACAGGATATATAAGGACAACTATTCTCATATACTCAGTTTAGGTCTTCGTGATCAATTAACATTGTTACTACAGAGGTACCTTTAGTGTTAATAGACTAGCCTCAACTCGTTCGCACTCTTTTAACTGTTGGGCATATGTACTTGATAGGCCTGGCCTTCTGGACTTGAGCTATTCACGGTCTAGTCATAGTACTCACGATCGGGACCTTGGATTAGGTCACCACTACCGCACTTGTTATCGAGTCTCAGTGGATTCTAATACTCAGGTTTGACCCTCGCTACGCAAGGCAGCTAACTGGTCAGCAGCGCTCCGGCCCGGATCCCCAGGCATAACAAAGCGGTAGTATGCCTTTAAAGGATTTGTCTATTCTCTTAAGATACCACAGGAATGCTGGCGCTCAAGTATACTAGTGATCGCAAAACACGTACATTGCCAGTCATAAAAAGTATATTTCTTATTTACGCTATTTAAGCGTTACAATATTATTCCACAAATGCTATGTATTATGTATATTACAAACGAAATTAAGGTATATTGCTAGAGGCAGGTCATCAAAGGCTATAAACAAAACCCAAACCCCGCTTACACTCGTCGATTGTTTCAGCAATAGATCTTATATATCGTCCGGACCAAGCGTCTACCGGTTATCCTTCTAGTGTTCCCTCTATCTGGATAAAAAGTCTACGGCAACGAAGTTAGCAGTTGATTGCTGCTGCGTTGCCACAGAAAATGGCTCCTAATATAACTCGATCAATGCTGGACCCTATTCATGATATGCTGATCTGCGGTGAACCAATTACTTCGCAGATACCTGAACCCCCGCGGCGTGCAGTTGGAACATCAAGTTGATGGTAAGACCATGGAAGATTAACTTGCTGGCAGCTTTGTATACCTGGGGCTTAATTTTTTTTCTTAACTAGATAGCTTAATTGGTACTCATTGGTATCCTCTATTATTATGTATTCTGAATATATCTTATATCTCTTGGCGGTAATTGGTTTACTAAGATCGCTATATCTCTGTTGTTCAGCCGTGCCAACACATCCGAGGGTGGGGTAACAACTGTGAGAAAATGAGAAAATGAAAGAGAAAAGGACAACAGCACCCGAGTTTACCCATCTCCTCAACCTCCGGCTTTGCGATTACAAGTCTCAAGAATTAATATCTCCAAAGTCCTGTCAAATGATTTGAGATGCCTCTCTGAAGGCCGCTATATAAATTATGTGAAGACCAGAAAGATACCAGAACCAATACTTCACTACCATTATCTTCCAGCCAATCCACTATCCAGACTACTCAGTCAATTAGACCCTTCATACCACACAACTTGTGGCAAGCTGCCTACAAGCAGCTGGACAAGGAGAAGTGAAGAATTCTATCGGCAACCGAAGTTACTATGGACTTGATCGAGAGAGAAACCATCCCAAACCGAAGTTTAGATTAGTGAGGTCATCCACTTAATGAAAGAGCAATACAAGGAATTTCAGCAGAAAGCGAATGGAGAATTTCGGACATCCTCCAGGAAGATCATCAATGCAGCACTGTCATTTAAAGTTATGATCAGCACCGTTGCGGCTCTTGACCCTACACAGCATACAGCTAGTGCTTGGGCAATCATGTCACTTGGGTTAACAGTATGTAATGCCCATCAGCAGAGTAAAAGCTAGCTAACTCTGTGATTCGAAATGGAGATGACTAAAAATTATCATGATCTACGAGATGCCCTGTTTGAATCATTAGAATATCTGGCGGACATTCTTGCGCAATGCGCCTTTATTGAAAAGAAATATTATCTTGCCGGCAACTCCAATGCCAAACAGGACCTGGAAAATGCATTAATTAGACTCTACAGAGCTATCCTACACTATACAGTACTGGTACGAAAGGCCCAGGACGCTAGCATAGGAAGGAAACTGCTGGACTGTGTCACTGCTATCACGGACCACCGCTTAAAGAGCTTAAAGCATCAGTTGAAAAGGAAAGGGAAAAATCTTCTCAGGTAGATCAAACTATAGATATATCTCTACTATAAAGAGAAAGCAGAGAATATCTTATACAAAATTAATAAACTAGCTGAATCTATAAAACTGCTTGTTGAACAGTTTAGCTTTGTGAGTCTACATGTCACAGAAGGAGCATCTTATGATTCCTATATTAATCAACATGAGGATTTTTGCCTCCGGGACACCAGGACAGACCTTTGTCGTCAACTCTTGGAGTGGGCTGAGTCAGATGGTAAATTTATATTTTGGTTAAAAGGGATAGCGGGGACTGGGAAGTCTACTATTGCGCGGACGGTTGCTCAATCTTTTAAAAACCAAGGACTGCTAGGTGCCACTTTCTTTTTCAAGCAGGGAGAAGCTGACTGTAGTAACGTGAAATACTTAATATCAACTATCATGAGGTAGCTAGTAATGAGGCACCGGTGTGTAGTGCCTAGTATCTTGAATACTATTAAGAATAATCCGGATATTGCATCTAAATTTCTCAGTGATCAGTTTGACAAGCTTTTTTATCAGCCTCTTATAAAGCTGTATCTAGACCAGTCTACAATAATTATAATAGTTATTAATATCATAGACAAATATAATAGAGAAAATAATATACAAGTTATACTGCAGCTCTTGTTTAAGTTACAGAAAATTAGATCTGTATATCTGTAAGTGTCCCTAACCAGCAGACCTGAACTTCTAATTTGCCTTGGCTTCAAGCAGGATAAGAATTATCTGGACCTGATTCTCCATAAGCTTCCTGTTCCAGTAATTGAACATGATATCCGCCTGTTCTTGGAATATAAACTTTCGGAAATACGGATTGAGCACTCACTTCCCCTGGAATAGCCTGGAAATAAATATATAGAAAAGCTAGTAAAGATCGCTATTCCTTTATTTATTTTCGCGGCCACTATTTGCTGTTTTATTAAGGATAGAGACTGGCTTCTAGAAAAGCGTCTTCTAGCTGTTCTCCAAGATATAGCAGCAATATCTATCTAACATAGACAGGATATATCTACCGATATTAAATCAACTCCTTGCTTTTAAGAATCAGCATGATTTTACGCAACTCTTGTAAGTGTTTTAAGATATAATTAAAGTTATTATTCTTTTACTACTTCTCTTTCAGTGACTGCTCTTGCACAGCTAGCTGGAATACAGAAGAATGACATCCGCAATCAATTAAATAGATTTCACTCAGTTCTAAATATCCCGGATAATCATAACGCGCCGGTCTGTATTCTACATCTCTCATTTCGGAATTTCCTTGTTAACACCAAAGGTCACTTCCATGTGAATAAGGGAAAGACACATATGAAAATAGTATCACTATCACATTGCCTTCGTGTCATGAAAATCAAGCTGAAAACACAATATTTGTGGCCTAGCAAGCTACAGAATACAGCGCAAGGATATCAAGCCTCAGGTCATTAACCAGCACCTCACAGCTGATCTGCAATACTCCTGCCACTACTGGGTATATTATCTTAAGCAGAGTAAAGGCGGTGTCCCTTAATCTGAAATTGTCTCTTTTCTTAAGAAGCGATTCCTTCACTGGTTAGGGGCACTAGCTTTAATTGGAGGTAAATTTGACGCGGTGGGGACGATAGATATGCTGGAGTCAAGCGATGGGTAAGTCTCTATAGATTTACAGTTTAGCAGTGGCTGATATATATTCTAGATAAGTATAGATACTGAGCTGTTGGACTTTCTCTATAATGCAAGAAGATTTCTTCAAAACGCCTCTATAGCTGGTATTACTCTACTCCAAGTCTACTATTCAGGGCTGGCGTTTGCACCTGTACAGAGCATTATTAAAAAGGCTTTTTGGGGTGAGATTCTGAAACAGATACAGAGGCTACCAGTAGTGGAAGATTCATGGAGCCCAAGCCTACAAACATTCGAGGGCCATTCAGGTACAGTCAGTTCAGTGGCCTTCTCTCCGATGGGCTTACACTAGCGCCGGGCTCTGATGAGAGTATTATCAAGCTCTGGGATACCACGATGGGCACACACCGGCGAACATTAAAGGGCCATTCAAGTGATGCCAATTCAGTACTAAACGAATCTAATTATAAAGTTCGGATATCCCTATCAAATGATTGGATTGCCTTAGCCTGTAAGAATCTATTGTGGCTCCCTACCGAGTATCGCTCATTTGTATGCTCTGCTGCGAAAGACGCCACACTTGCTCTAGGGTATGCTGACGGGCGGGCCTCTATTATAGGATTCCATACACTATAGATTAATATTCTTTGTATGCTACGGGAGTCTATTATTTTCTAATCCCTTTGCGAAAAGAGGGCCTAGGATAGCTGAGCCCTTATATACCTTTTTTTCCCCTAAAATAAGAACTCTAGGGTGACTTCTACACAATTCTGTAAGATGTAGCCAGCTTGGCACTGATTCTTGGATCTGGATGTTTTCACGCCAAGGGACAAAGGCCCAAACAGTGACGGCGCAGTCCCTATACAGGCCGCTGTTGCGTCAGCGAGTAGGGACTGATTTACTCTGTTTGTATTCGTGATAGACGATATCCACAGAGCTTCACTCGTGGAATATCCTCTTCTTCAAGCGGTTCTCTCGTATTAGAGCTACCCAATTAGATCGATTTATCTACGTTGGCTTCAGCCATTACACAGTCTACCAGGTCATCCTTTTAGTCATCAGTACGTTGTTCACTTCGGGACAATCATTGTTTCCCTTCCTGTCCAGATTCAGCTTTGCTTGGTTTCACTCTAGGGGCTGCTGAAACAATCAAAGAGTATAAGTGGTGACACCAATATCAGGATAGCCAGTAGAAATAAGAGACTAACTCGTCAACCTAAATGTATCTCGATAACAATAACTTTATTTGAGTACAGACATACTTAAAGAGACGTTCATTAAACAAGTTAAATAGCCTATAGGACATGTACAGCTACCTACCTGTTCACAGTTCTCCCCACAGTATATATGGCTCATTTCATCAGGGTGGAGGCTTATAGCAGCGCATATCACGGAAAAGATGCTCTAAATTACCAAGCCCCAATGGTCTGCGTACCACGCATGCGTTGACCAAAGAATCTCCCTTCTACACAATCAAGTACGCAACATACTCTCGTCAGGAGGAATTTACAGTATCATATATCTATTAAGAGAGTTTGACGGACCAGCGATATGATTACCGGTGGTAGGTAGTCACTGATGCTACGTAGTCACTGGTGGTAGATAGTCGTTGATCATAGTGGGTCTTTTTGCCTAGTGGAAAGACTTATTGTATCGAATTGCTAACCCCAGGAGTAATCCTTCACAAGACGTATAGATATGGTGGTGCCAGGACCAAGTACTGACTGATACTTCAAGCTTAATATAAGTTTCAGGTCCGTAAAGGAGGCCCTGAAGGCCCGCTAAGAGCGGCCGGACGCCCATGACTGGCTCTGGATGAGCACAGTCAGACTAATGCTGTTGTATGCTTTTGCTGTCTTATTTTTTTTTGGATTGATTTCCACTTGGAACCTCTTTATTTACGTAGGGAACGTAGATTGCCCAGGTGCTCATCTTGATATACCTTATGTGCAGCCTCCCCTCCTGCCCCAGGTACTCCAGCTTAGTACAAACAAGTATGAATTATCTAGAGATTTTAAAGTTAGTTTTCAACATTTTCTCCGCCCTGTCCTCGTCGTTGGGACACTGTGGTCGAATTACTTGATCTATTTACCTAATCTGCGCCGTACGCGAATTTCGAAACTTGAAACATTACCTATATCTATCCACAGCAGGCTGTTAGGCACACGATAGCATCTACTTAAATCTGGAATCAAATATCTATAACTAGTCACATGGCTCAATAATGAACTTAACAACCTGAGATTATTCAGGGACAATCTATGAGTGCGTTGTGAAAACTTTCAGAGAATAAGTACTTGCCGTAACACAGGAGTTGCCAGGGAACCGCCTCGACCCAGCGCTTAAATACTTGGGTTTTTAGCAGCCAATCCGCTATGCGTACGAATTTGCTATACAGACCGTTCTGCTCGGTATGAAAAATGCAAAGTAGGCAGCCAGGTAAGGATCTCATTGCGGTGATTGATGTCCAGTACGGTTTCTATCTTGTTCACTACAGTCAAGCTCTAGTTAGCACCGCCTTCCTAAGTTCTTGTCCTAACCTCCTTCCTCTAGATCCTATGGGCATTCATACATTCCTCCTGAAACTTCCGCCGCAAGGGTACGCTCAGCAACTTCCTGGAGATGAATCACCGCTAATAGGTCTTTACCATAGGTTGCAGCAATTACTGCAGCATACGGCTGCCACTTCTTGCTTTTGTGGGAGTCGGCATAGTCCGCAATGCCCCAGATGACAAGATGCGGGAAGTGATCCAACAAGCCCGCCGCCTCCTGCTCAAAACGCGGTACCTTGTTCGACCTGCGAAGCCTATCTCCAAAGGTAGGGCATCTCACAGTCGTAACTGCGGAGGCAATCAGCCTATAATGGACGGAGGGACGGTCTCCCGGCCGCGGGACCCGATCCATGATTTGAGATGGGTCACAATGGCTGCAGTCCTCGCCTTCGTTCGGATGATGTTACGTTGCACAGAACAGGAGGTCATGCTCGCCACCTGGTAAGCGAAAGTACGTCAACCCCACTCTTACAAGACCGAAATCACCTCCTAGGTCTACTATTGTGGTTTTCCCTTCTAGAACTTATAGTTCAATTGAAGCTTTTGTGCTGCCGCGAACAAAGCTACTTGCGGATTGTTTAAATAGGATGTGGTATTAAATCCTTCGGGGGTTTGTATACCAACCTCTCGTAATGCGGAACTCCGCCTAGACCACACCTAGTCACTTATTAACTTTGTACATAAGCCTAGTGAGCATGGAATCTTGTATCGTCAACGTACCGTGATCCTTTTGGGGCTTACTGACCACAACATCCCCTAACCGGATATCGTTCCTCCTACCGAATTCATCAGGTGCCGTCTGTGGCGCCCCTCCGACACCTGCCAACAGTCCGAAATGGATCTGTGTAAACGTGCGAAGCATATTCGCCGCAGTGTCAGCGGTGTTGGCCTTTCTTAGTCCAATCAGTCTAGCAATGACAATGTTGTGCTTTCCCCTGCGGCCAACAATGTATGCGTTCTGATCATGCGGGTTAGGGAGACCTTCATGTTCTTTGTCGAGGAAAGCCCTGGCGGCGTCCTGTTCACAGCCCAAGACGCACACCCAGCCGATGGTGTTAGGGGGCACTCATTACAGCGTTGAGTGCTAGCCGTGGTGTGTCTGATCTCAGGATCTGACTTCATCGGTATCTTTCGAATATAGACGACCCGTCCAACAATATCCTCGCCGCCACAATGCCCATTCAGCAATATATACTCCTCGTCGCCTTATCTCTGGCTGCTTTTGCTGCCCAATCCCCTGAGTTTTGCCAGGATACTGATGAGAATACAGCATGGACTTGCGGCCTGCAAAGAGCCATGGTTTGATATCGCCGGTCGACTGGTAGCAAGCTGCCCTATCGGCAATGGGACAAGTCTTAATACCACATTGGACTTGAATCGTTGCTATAGTATTGATAACCAAATAATTGCCCGTTCAAGGGTATATATAGTCTTTTGCCGAAAATTCATTACTATTATCAGATACGCTAACTCCTCTCAATAGCGGGGACGCTTCTGATCCGAAGAGAAAATATACTTGCTGGGATTGCTGGTTCTTTGGTCGATCACCGGTAGGACTTTACGTGACCTGACTAAGGGACAGCAGGGTGGCTGTAAGTTTCTATTCCCCTGAGAGACATATTTATATACACTGCGATTAATATAATCTCTTAGCAACGAGGAAATACCATTTCAAAACTGTTGATCTCAACATGGGGTTTTCCCCTTGTGGCTTGTATGTGTCTACTGACAGGCGAGCTCGTTTAGACAACATGATACCGAATGATGTTGGCTACCCGGCGTGTTCCAATGTGACGGGGGTCTATGAAGAGATAACTTATTTGTAAAAGAGATGTATCCAGAGAGAGGGAAATGTTTTGCGAGTAAAGCATTGTATAGCACTTTATAGAACTCTATCGCTTAATTGATCGAGCCTTGGCTTTTCACAACGAATACTTGTTATCAACATAGCGGGCTTAGGTTCACTACTAGGCTCAAATGACTAAAATATCCAACTCCTTGTTTGGTACGTCTAACCACCATCTATATATATGGTGTTTTCGTAACAAATGTCTCCTACGCGTCCCCTATATTTCACCACAGTCCGTTGCTTTTGCTTGCGCGAAGCTAATAGTGCACAAAGTGCACTGATGCTAATGGTCCGCGCAACCTTGAATACCACCTCTCAATACCGATGTACCAAGCCGCTCACCATCCCAGACTTTCCGTCGACAAGGGCGTCGGTGTCGGCGTCGGCGCACCCACTGAGCCCTGTGGTACTGCTTCTTCTAACCCCAGTATTTCCTCTGCGTTTCCATCCCTGGTAGGCGTTGGGCTCGGAAAGCTAACAGTCCCATCCACTATCGGCACCAAAGTCACAGCTGGGATATACCAACTCCGATCACAGCTCTCCCACTTGGCGTCGATCTGCGTTACCGCATCCGGCATATCGATGAAAGGCAAATAATCATTCCGGATCATTGTACAGGCAGAATCATACACGCCACACTGCGACCCACCCCAATACTGCGGCCAGGGGATTAGAGGCTGTGTATAGTTACCTATCGTCTGAGGGAAAAACTCTGCAAAGTTAAACGGATACGCTGTTCCACGGGTGGGATACCGCGCATTTCTGTGTCCTCTCCGTGAAGTGATGGCTGTTGGATGCACAGAGATCATCTTGTTTTCATGGTATGCGCCACACTGCCCGGCGTGATTACTATTACCCCAGGCGTAAATTGATGTGAAGAAAATATAGGCACTGGGTGAGACAAGAGTTTGACTTCCTAGCAGTGCTGTATTAGGGCCGTTACCAGTCGGTGTAGCGGGGATTGTGGTTCCATTTTGAGCGCAGAGTTCGCCACTGGCGGTTGTAACGGGCCAGTAAAATAGCGTTGCGGTGTCGGGAAGAAAGTGGCAGCTACCGCATTGCTCTGGCCTGTCGCGTGTTGTCATAGGGCAGCGGCCGGGGACGAGGGGACTGTTTGTGTCGCCTGGGACAGAAACGGAGATACTTGACTTGTAGGCAAGTGAGCGGCTTTTGTATGTTTCCCAGACGGCCTTGCAGCCTTCGCGATGAAGATGGCAAGCTGGGGAGCCAGAGGGAGAGTTGTAGAGAGTTGTTGTGATAGTTGTGGGGAGGTAGAAGGTGCTGCATGGTCCTGTGCCAGGGTAATAGTCTGTCACGGTTTCTGGGGGGCCGAGGGCGCGCGCATGCCCGTCGCAAAGTGTGGTAACAGGGCCGGTATGGATATCGTCAGATCTTTCAAGGTGGCTGCTTGTCCTGCAGGCGCCTGTGCTGGTCGGGATTAGTTCCGTTAATGTTGATGTCGCGGTAGGGCCCAGAGACTCGAGGCCGCTTGATCGGGCATCATATTGCATCCATTGCGCTGCGCAGTCGACGTCAGGGTTGTCGGTTGGTCCATAGAGGTAGTTGGTGGAGGTTGGCCAGAATATGCTTGTACCGGAGATGACGAGCCATTGACTGCTGGTGTAGCAAGTTGACTCGCCTGCAGGACTTGGAAAGGCGGGTGATTCTGAGGATGGGACCTGGGAGCCGTCGGCTATGATAGAAGTGGCACGAGAGACTACTACCGCCTTGTTAGTTACGCCTAGAGTAGTTGAAGATAACGGAGCATACGAGGATTGCCCCATGCTGTCCCTAGGAAAGACAGCAACAGGATTGTTGGGACCATTTTGACCATGCGAAAATAAACTTGTTCAATACATGGCAAACGCACTTGAAGTTCAGGCAAGTTAATTCGAGATATTCAAGTACCACGTCCACGTCCCGGATTTTATCTGGATCTGACTGGCATGTTCAATGAACAGAGCAAACCCCGAAAGTTCAGCTGAGCCTGGAATACGCCACTTGGTTCAGTTGTTGTTCCTATTGGTCTGGATTCACTTGCAGGTGCAGAGGATGCGGCTGTGGTTCAAGAAACAGGGGGTTTAGTAGGCTAAAATGCCCGAGTTGCATGAAAACCTAGGGCGGGGAATCGTACCTCTGCCATTACTCATATTGATTAGGGTATGACTTGCCGATAGGTAGGAGAGAGCCAAGAGCGAGAAATCATCCCGCTAAGTTGTATTGCAGAAGGTGTCTAGAAGGGCCGATTATGTATGTTTACTAGTCTTTTTGGTGGGTTCCCGTCTTTCCTTGCGAACCTATCAGGCGAAACTGCCCTTTGACCCCTCCTGGTCCCACCTGGTGGCATAGTCTCGGGAGATTGTGTTCGAGATTCCTGGAAGTCAAGCATGATGGTTATAGTTATATCTGACTTTATAGCTTTACCCTTGACTGGCCGTCGCGTTAACTTGTCATCGAGCCATGAAAATGCCAAGTAGAGGAAGGACATGACCTCCCCAATTTGGCCTGCCACCGATAGTGTCCCTCGTCAATAGTATACTGGACCTGCATTGGATACCGCATCACTAGCAATTAATATCCATGCAGCTACTATTCAGGGTAGCCGAGTTGTTGCGGTCACGAAACGTTGTTGCGCACCTAAGAGACGATCCGATCAGGCAAAGCACAGTTGTTAACAGCGTTAGGGCTAGAACGTTCGGGACTCTGGGAGCCGAAAATATTACTTTCAAAATCATATTGTTTAATATAGTTTCATATATTGTAAATTTTAGGTTTTAATAAAGTCTTCAAAATAAATATAAAATGGCTAACACCTAGTACTGCTATATCATCTCTTTAATTATAGATAATATATACAGAGTAGCTTTAGAGAGACTATATAAGTAAATACGAAAAGTCAATTATAATATAGTAAATATTTTTGGAATTATTAAAAAGTACTTTCTACATTTCACCTAACGTTATCGTAATTCATTATATTCCCATTCTGAGCTTAATGTATTAGGGAAGCGAATTTCTGCGATGTTCTGAGTAGCAAGGAAATACTTTTCACTACTTTCTACAAACTTTCCCCCTTTTGTTGTGACTTTCTAAGCAATATATGTGTTTGTAAGCATGGGGAGCTACGTTTCGCGAACGGAACATCAGCAAGGGAGCTACCCTCAGCTTAGTGTAACGATATGAAATAGTCTATATGAAGGATTTGAACATATAGTGGCGTTGATCCCAAGCCGTCCCTGCTGTCCCGGCTCTCCGAGCATATTCATGAACCGTTCGTAGCAGACTACCTCGCCGTCCGCCTACCGTACATCAAGGTAAGTTCCCGACGTGCCAATGCTGGTTAGATGCAGCTAAGAACCCACAATCTTGCTGATGGAATTGCTAAACATGTCCAGAAATCTGAACTCATTCTCAAAGTTCTTTTCAGGGTCCATGCACAACGCACTCGATGATTTTCAACAGGAGATCTTCCAGAGCAGTTGGCTGCAGAAGATTTTCCTGTCGGAGGATCTTTGTGGTAACCTTTCCAAGCATGTCGGTCATATCGTATCTGTCTAGGTCGTCTGGCGAGCATGCTCCTCTTAGGGGAAAGGTCGAAACAACCACGTCTGCATTCTATCAGCATTTCCCATCAGGCAGAATACAATGCACAGTAATGCTGCGAGTAAGCGAGGCAGACTCACTGCCTATGCACCAAAGCCACAGCTGGTTGACTATCAAAACGACGGGCTGTTTCCGATTGTCTTGACTTTTCGTCCCAGATTCTGGCACCCAGTAGTATCTTCGAAGCCTGGATTCGAGTCAATGTCACTCCAAACTTGTCAACTTGAATTCGCGTCACCTCGAACACATCTTCCACCACCACCGGGGTAGAAGAAAGAATGCTCTCGGAATTACCCGAGGTTTCGAACAATACAGCGGTAAGATGTCTAATAATTGCTTTAGTAGCAGAGGACAGCGGAAACTTATCCTTGACCATTGCGAGCGCGAACCCTAAAGGTTTGTTTTTTATATTACGCTTGAGTAAATTCCAGTCGAGCCCATGGCGGATCAGCGCCTCTACTATATCCGGATAGCCATGCGAAATCGCCTCGTAGAGTATCAACGCAGTCTCCTCTGCGGGGATGACCTCCGCTCCCACCATTTCCACATTTTTTTGAGACGCTTCTGATGAGCTGTACGCTTGCTTCAATTTCATCCCGCATAACGCCCCTGGTGGCGAGCTCTTTCCGAAGCCTGTCTTTCAAATCACGATGGTAAGAGAGCAGCGTCACGACTATGTCAGCATTGGCCCTGCATGCCGCGAGCTCAAGAGAAAGATTCACTTCAAGATCGCCTCGATCGACCAAGGAAGCTTTCCACATCGCCGAGTACGGCGAGACGTGCTTAATGGTACATTTCGTTCGGGAAGCTGGTTAACTTGTGGACTCATGCTGGCATATTACGTCGACCGCTCCTTTGCTGCCATGGAATGTGGACCAGTGAAGCCATTGTCTGACTTGATTTCGTTCTAGCCATGTAGTTCCAGCCGCTTACGAGCGCCCAGACAGCCATTCAGCCATGTTCTGCTATACGAGCACGTGAAGCAAGGATACCGATGGTCTAAGTTCCTGAGAAGCTTTGAAGCAGTTCTGCAAATGAGTCCACTTCGAGAACAGAATGGGCTTTCTCTCCCAGCTGGTTGATTTATCGAATTCTCCGACCAAGCCCCTAAGATCATTCTTTGGTTTTAGCTTGGACATATGCAAGATCAGGTATCTGGCAGTATACTCTAGCCCAGGGCAATCACCTAGTGCGCATCAAAGGTCGAGCCTTGTCGGTTCCGTTATCTCCTGGGTGTCTGGGGACCTGCAAATACCGCATCCAGGCGTCGCGGTAACTCGATAGGTACGTTTCAGGAACTGAATTCCGGCCCTTAAGAACGAGGTGTGACCCTGCTCGAGATATTCTTCGCGGTGTAGCCGAATCATCTGGAAAAAAAGAGTTCTGCGCAGGCATTCGACTCCAGGTAGATACGGAGGGATGAGGCGACTTGTTCTGGCCGCACCGTTATCCTGGGAAACAGATCTCACCCCCAATAGGCTACATGAAGTAACTATAACAGCGGACATCGTATCGCCGACATCGTCCTGGAACCGGGCCGCGCACAACCCCTCTAGAATCAATGGCCTTTAGGCAGTAAGCAGCCATTGCAAAGTGGAAAGAGTCCTCAATCTGGCGCGCTGACGGATATCTAATGTGGCGTGGATGGTCCGGTGCCACATTTCGCAGACAGATCCAAGAAGCCGTGCAGTGTTTTGTCTCAGAGTCCTAAGAATGATTCGCTAAAATTTATCGTCGAGCCTGTCTTCTATCCAAGGAAACGTCTCCTGAATCATCTACAGTAAAGATACGTGCCTAGAGTCTTGAATCTGAAGAACAAGGGACCGCACAAACTCCGAAACCTGGCCGCGAGAAAGAGAAACAGGGAAGCCCAACACAAGGACTTTTTCCATTTAGCGACTCTTGCAAGGTGGTAGGATTTTGCATTACTGAATATGCAAGATAGATCTTGCCGCATCTTGGAGAGCCAATGATGCAGAGGGCGCTCTGCCCTTGCTTGATCCACTCGAGAGATTCGGGTGCATGGTAGAGCCAGAGACAAGTACCCAAGTCAGTTCAGACTTCTCAGGAGTGATCGAAGTGCGTCTCTCTACGAGTTCTGGCGAAGACTCGTTCCGCATCACTTTGGGGCGGACTCCCGTCTTGCCCTTCAATCTATCTTCGTATTTCTTCCCATTCTTCATCTTCAGTGGACTCACCCATGGTATCTTGCAAATTCCAGAATATGTTTCAACAGGAAGAAACGGACTCTAATTGTTCTTATCTGATCTTTAATATTATAGGTGTGAAGCTTCTTAAGTGTGTCGAAGGGCAATTCAACAAAGCATTTATCTTGACTATGAGCTCCGGCGATGTAATTGTTGCTCGATTACCATATTCAAACGCAAGTCCAGCCTTCTATGCAATCATGTCGGAGATTGCGACACGTAATTTTGTAGGTCTAATTGATATACTATACGTCCTTTCCCAGAGCTAACGCAACGCAAAGTTACGGGACGTCTTAGACATCCCTATCCCTCGTGTCTATGCTTGGTCAGCTGAGGCATCTAACCCAGTCGGTGCTGAGTACATTATCGAGGAGAAAGCTACAGGGCAGCCATTGGGCAAACTTTGGGATACATTACCTATACCAGAACGCCTGGAAGTAGTGAACCAAATCGTGGCTGTGGAGAAGAAACTCGCCTCAATCCCTTTTCCAAAACATGGATGCATTTATTATGAGTCGGATCTAAAGTCAAGGTCTCTCATATATGAGCGGCTGGATATACTAGAAGGCTTGGCTTCAGTATCATCTCTCTGTCATAAGAGCGAACTACCGGGCTTTGTAATCGGGCCATCAAGCAATCCAAGGCTTTGGGAAGGGAAAAGAGCAACCATGAACATTGACAGAGGTCCATGTATACTATTCTCGGGCATAATTATCCTAATCACAGGCTAGTGTGTTTGCAGGGAATAACGCCGCTGATTATGCCACAGCTATCGGAAAGAACGAACTTGAATGGGCAACATCTTATGCAGAGCCAAGATTGAATTATCATCGGCCGTTGGAACACTTTGAAACGCCAGATGATTATATTTCGCTTATAAAGCGCTATATAACAATTGCTTCATACTTAGTGTCCACTTCAATGGACACAGAGCAGACAAACAGGATCTCACACCCAGACTTGCATCTCGACAATATATTTATTGATCCGAAGACAAACAAAATCACTTGCATAATTGACTGGCAGCACGTTTCTGCTTCCCCCAGGATTCTGCAAAAGCTTTATCCACAGATGCTAGAAATCTCAGCCGCTGAGCAATCAGATCAATACAAACATGAGAAAATGCTTCTCGACCACTATTGTGATGCAGTTAAAGAAGCAGGTCCAAAGCACTGGAAGGTACTTTGTGAACCACATCTCACTATTAGGATCGACCCTATTTTTTTGGTCCCTGGCTGTTGGGACCGAGAAGATCTCTTCTCGCTACGCAATGCATTGATTACGGCTGTGGCTCGTTGGGACAATATTAACCATCATAAAAATCCATGTCCTGTCAATTTCACGGATGAAGAACTACTACAACACCAAAACGAGATGGAACTTATTAAAGGGATCTCAGCCGTCATGCACCAGCTGCAGGATGAAGATCTTATTCCGCTGGGAGGCATGGTACGTCCGCAGTATTACGAACGTGCTAAAGAACTGAACAACATATGTTAACAAAAATTTGTTGACTTGGCGGAAAACAACAAACAGAGGGAACTGCATAAGAAGGTTTGGCCTTATGTTTGACACAGTGTATATGTTTTGATTTCGTGATGGCATTAGAGACTTTACTTGATTCGGAGTATCTAATAGTTTGAATGATTGATTGGGAATTCACATACGCTGCACCTTCTGAGTTTACTTGCACACCTACTTGAGAAGCCGGAGTTCTGGGTCGAGAGTACCACCAGCTGGGTGAGGGCCTATGAAGCACCCTTTGATATATTCTTAAGTGCCCTACGCAAGCAGGAAGATATCCGTATTGATCGAGGTGACTTGAAGAGAAATCAGAAACTGTCTGCCTGTATGGAGTAAAAATGGGCCACAGGACGGCTCTGGGTGTTATATGCTGCCGCAAGAAGCTTTGCATTAGATGTTCTATTCAGGCAGATACTCGATGGTGTTTACTTTGGTTCTCGTTCTAGCTGGGACGAAGGTTGCGAACGACGGATGCAGTTGCTAAGCCCGAATGACCGGGTAGAACTTGAGGTTTTGGTGGGACAAAAGCTATCGGCTGCAGAAAGCAAGACTTAAAAGTTGTCTTGTATTTTGAATATTGATAAAAGATCATGTCTTGATAGATATGGCATAATATACTCTACAGTAGGCGTACACGGAAATTAAGTATATAAGGCTCCCCATCTCAATAGAACGTATGAATCTACCTCCAGCAACAGCTAATCCATTCCCCCCCCCCAATGTGAAGGTGCCAAATGTGGGCGGCGACCAGTTGATCGTCTCGCTTCGCAATATTCGCGTATCACTATGCCACGCGTCTTGGAGCAGGTGTTCATGGCATGGAAAAATCCAGCAAGATTCTTAGAAAGCTGTTCAGGGCCGTCCGAAGCAATACACTCATATTCTCTTAGGGGTATCTGTTGTATTCTCCGGAGACATAATCATTTTCTTAAGGAAGATCGAATTCGGTTCCGTATAGGCTGCGTGATATTCTATATGCTGTTTGAACGGTGTCAGGAGGGGCTTACTTACCATGTATGCCACACCACACACGCTATTCCTCAGTCAACCTTCCGGACAGGCACCGTGCTCGCTCACATAATCAATGAATCGAATATGCTATCCCCTGATAAGGCTGTTGACGAGGCAGAATTAAATAGATGGGTAGGGTGGGACAAGCGTTACCAACTTTTATCAAGACAATTGGGCGGACCAGGAAATTTGTTCCTCCTTCCAGACGAAGATACGGAGCGTTTGTCTGTCAAGCCTCGAAGCCATTTTTGCAACTATGTCTGACATGTGAGGTAGCTAAGCTGGTATCATAATGCCCCAAAGGGCTGGGTCTCCAGACGCAGTTCCCTTATCTACTCCCTTCTAAACCGAGGTATACACAAACTTGCACTCGATATTAATGTCCACAGGACCGCACGCAGTATTTTGGAATATTATTTGAATGGACTGGCTTCCAGCTTTGCCGAGAGAGTAAGAAGCGGGTTCATTTTGAATGTGGTAGAAAGGTGACAAGATATTGAGGACCTTATCCTGCTTGGTGAGCGATTACTATAAAATATACTGCCTGCTCTTTTACTTACATTATAAGTTAAATGGCCGTCAAAACCTACTGATACCATCGCTAGAGCTCCTATCAGCAAATCTGCTGCAAGTGTCGATAATCTTGTTGTATATTCCAACAAATGTTCCTGTGCTGGATTACCCCAAAGTACTGCCACCTCAGATACGGATTCTGAACTCAATGGCGGCAGCGCACGCAAAAGACGTTGTATTGGCACAGGTACCTCTTGGTCTCTCAATATTCAGGGCCCATCGTATATTAACAGTACTCACAGCATTCCGCTTACTGAAGCTCGAACAGCCAACCACAATGGCATTATTGTTTCAAAACAAGGAATTCCTTGATGTCTTAGGGCCGAAAGGTAATGATCATTAATCCCATTTAAAAGCCACTGTATGTTGATTGTTGTCTTGCAGGGCATAACAATCACAATGTCGTTCCTTCTATCGGCACTATTTTGAATGCTATTCCAGATAGACTCTCGAGTAAGCTTCATGTAAATTATCTAAAAAGAAATACTGACGGACGCAGGCTCGGCCTATCTTGTCGCCGGTATTCCCTCAGAGGCAGCAGAGTCTCCCGTCAGTAATTCTCTACAAATGACAGACTCAACGGAGCAATATTCAAATTGGCCGTCCTTACACTGTGAGTTCTTTAACTTTAATCAAGGAGCTGTTGGCCCATTCTCCTAACATCAGTTTAGATAACTCCTATCGGATGCTTTGTACCGATAGCCATATAGACGCCAATTTAGAATCCCGGCTACGCCTCCAGGACTTTTCGAGGGCAGAAGTAAATCAAGAATTTTATTCAGCCCATGCAAGTCAGTCACTTGGGCTGAAAGGCACCGCCAAAAAGCTACATCCTGAGAATTCTGTCTTGCAGTTAAACGCTGCTGGTGATGTTGACTCCTGGTCAAACTTCATCTCTGGAAACTCTCAATCACAAGTAGTAGTAGCAGACCAAGTAAGCGATCAAGCCGAGGCGCTTGCACTACAGGCGTGGCGTGCCCTCGAGTGTCAGGAGGACATTGGCAGGGTTGATATGCGATGGGGCCTAGATGGCAGGCTATATGTCCTCGAGATAAAGGGCCTCTAGGAAGCACAGCCCACTACGCACAAACTCAGATAAATGCTATTCCCGGCATGCGGCCGCTCTGGTCGACCGTCAACAAGACGACAGAGGCTCAAGGGATCAGCCGTCAAGAACTGACCGAGGCGGTGCCGGAGAGTGCGTTGGAAAGGTACCCGCAATTGAGGTGTACGAACTAGCTGCAAATTTCTCATTATGTTGCCTTCATTCATTACTCTTGCCTTCGGGGTCCTTCGAAATATCATGCAGACCTCACAAAAGACCTATCACCCTGAACACACAGCGATGGGAGTACCTTGCCTTGCCTTGCCATGCTTTGGACCCAAGCCAGAATTAGACCCAAATTTTCATGTAGAACAGCGAATTATAAGAGCTTTCTCACAAAATGACATCGAGCTATGCTTCCTTTCCTCCTTGTCCGTCCTAGAATCCCGTTCTCCTCTCCAAACCCAATGCACAACCAACTTGAATAACTTACATCTGCGTGCTAAGCAAATACCATCTCTCAAACTCCCTTGGTAATATCCTCTTCTTAGCCAGAAATACCCCTCCTTCCAGGCCGGGATACAGCACCTCTAGGATCAAATTCACGATTACTCTCCGCCGAGACCGAAGGACGTCACGGGTGGTGACTAAGATATAAACCAGCTGTATGTGATGCAATGTATACCGAGTTTCTTAGGATATCGTTGATAGCCTAAGTAGAGTGGGGGCCAGCCTAAAAAAGCCTTTATTTGCTTCTTTTACTCCCCAGATGTAGGAAGTATGCAGCGAAGTCGATGATTGTGAAGGTTATCGGATGTTGATTGGATTTTAAAGTCGTCAGTTTGTTAAACCAGGGCGCTTTTAAAGACCAATATGATTTCTTACTTGTTGAACTAGCTTGATCTAACTAAACACATCAAGTTTTGATGGGAAAGCAAGAACAATAGGGGAGAAAATAGACAATATAAGTTTTCCTTGAATCAATTCTGATACATACGACCACAGGGTGTGGAGAACAGGGCTTCCCGTCCGCTCAGCCGTACTTAAGCCACACGCCGGCCGGTTAGTAGTTGGGTGGGTGACCACCAGCGAATCCCGGCTGTTGTATGTTTTTCTTTTTTCTATTCGAATCTTGGTGGATTGTCCTTGCTTAGTATTTTGTTTCACCCTATTCACCCTCGTTCGCCTGAAGCCTCCCTTGCCAACCTGAACCACCCCGAACCCCAATAGATCTCACCCAGTGACCCCGGTTCCTGTCATCTGGCTGACGTGTTCTTTTCCGCGTCGCTCACCAAAGTTAATTCATTAGACGAGGCCTGCTGACTGGCATATTTCGCACCCCTGCTGACCTGCTGTTGACCGGGATCTTGCCCAGTCGCAGGGCGTCAGGCCGTACTGTCTGCAGTTCCGGCAGTGTCATTGACGCCACGGTGTCTCAGCGGCTCTACCTCGCCACCTCACTTATCAGACAGGAAGCTAAACATGGCTGGCTTGATAAGCTGCTTGGTGTGGGAATGCACATTCCTGCTTCTATTGTTAGCGAGGAATATTATTTACTATGATCTAGTGGATGAGCCTACTACTATTCGAAAACATCCTCAAGCCAAGAAAATGATCGAGGATTTTAACAAGGAGACCTGTCCCACAATGGTAAACTACACTTAATGAACTTCACAATGTACCTACGCTACTGGTTAAATAAGAAAGCTTTTGGTTACCTGTAGAGATAACTCAGGATTCAGATTAATTTTATCAAATTACCGTGAAATCAGGTTGTTTATTGAGCATATCTATTCAGGTTACCAAGACCCGTATAAAAAACAGTAATTTTATCCTGGTTAATCAGTACTTTTATGTATCTTCGCATCCTAATATGGAATTGTATGCTAAAATAGGTTCTTGGCGGGTAACCCGCGGGTCGAACCCCCTAAACCCCGTGGGTTTGCAGGTTTGTCTTGGGGTGAGTGGGCCTGAACCCGACCTGTGGCCAGGCCTACAGCAGACACAAGAAAATCCTGTAGTTACATATACGAAATTATATAACATATACCAACACAGCGGATGTTGGTTGGAGAATGACTTCATTATGAGAAACTGATATTTTATTGGACAGCTCATGATTAACTAGTTTTGCTCTTATCACTGCAATTCATTGCCAAATCACGGACACATCTGATATCACTTTTGGCCTGCCAATTGATCTACAGACCATACAGAAGCCCCATGGTGCTATAGCAAGCTCTGTAATGTTACCGAGGATCGGAGTAGGAGATAGATGCAAGCAAGTCCTGGTGCTCGGAGAAGCAAGGATCCTTAAAGATAAAGACTTTCCCTCCAGGAAATACATAATCTTGGATGATGGAGGTCGGTATGACCTTGAGTTGATAGGCCGCTATGCGTGCATTTTCGGCGGACTTCTCCATGGCTTCGTTGAAGCCGTTGGCAAAAAGTATGTCTTTCCATTCTGGAATACTAATTTTTTTAGATTTGTCGTTCACGGGGGCCACATTTAATTTGGCCTCCAGTTCACCATAGCTATTGACACCGAGGGAGTAGGTCTCTGTAATCGATTTGTCGATAATGTCTGCTTCACCATTCCAGACATTCAGTCGGACTTTAAGGTGTATCACTTGTCGCTGGGTGAGGATAATTGTATCATTAATAAATTCGACATCGAGGTAGTACTGAGTCTTTGAAGTAGACTTATATATTATACCAGAGCTATCTTCTGCCTCCTCAGATATCCATTTGAAAGTAATGACCTTTGTACCCTTAGGGCAGAGGTCAATTGTCACATCAGGTGGTGGATCAGTTGCCTTCCACTCAACTTCCACTGTTTTCGGATGAACTTTGAGAATGGGTTTGATCTGGACGCAGGCTTTCCGCACATAAGGATGAAGCTTTGAAATAAGAAAACGAGCCAAGCTGTTCCGGTTAACCGCGAGCGCCCCATCGCGACTTACAAGCTCGCCCTTGTCGACCCAATTCCAGGGAAATTGGGTGGCATTCCGCAGCTTACGACCATCCGCCACACACAAGTAGTTGAGAGTAGTGGCCCTCTGCTCCAGATCATCAGGCTTCATTATTTGATAGCCCTGTGAGTCAACATAGGGATTGACATTATATTCGAAATCCGTCACTTTCAAGGTCGGATTTGTTGTCTGAGGCCGTTCCCTGATCACAATGCCCAATAGCGGTTCCCCTTTTGATTTCATCTTTTGAAAATACGGACCGAGGAAGCTCTTCTGAAGCATTTTATAGGCGTCATCGTTCTTTGAAAGGCCATCGATTATAGGCAGAGTGTTTGTCAGATTCGCATTTTCAAGATCAAGCAGTAGTTGCTGGATGGAAAAGATCGTAGCACTGGCTTCATCTTGTCGCCGCTTGAGCGGTTCTGTCCTTTTCTGAACCTCCGCTGGAAGCATTCCATATCCGGATTTGAAATCAAGATGACGGATACCTAGTTTTACCTCGCTAGTGAAAATCCACGGCTGGTCCTTCTTCTGGGAGACATTAATCCACCGAGGCTTGTCATATGTACTGGGAATGAGTGCCACGACCTGAAATTCGGCACAGAACATTTTGAAATTAACACGGCTTGCATCAGAACCTAGTTTGACCACATCTGGCACTTTACTTGGGTCGTTCATGGGAAAGCCGAGGCGAGCCCGCCAGGCTCTTGTAAACCGAGCCTCTTTGATCTTCTTGACTCTAGGATCATGTTCCTCGTCAACATCATGAGGGATGTCGAAAGGATTCACATTTTCGCTTTTCTGCAGGAGATCCCCGAGCTTTATTGAAACATCATTGCCGTGCTGATCCACGTAGCAGTCGATGACCTCAGGTTGCTTAAGCCCGAATAGATATTGCTTCATTGTTGTATTGATGCTTTCCTGGGTGGTGGCAACGACAAAGTCGTAGCAATTGTCAGACGACAGGTAGGAAGCAGTGCGACTTGCCATGACCGCTGAGGGTTTGCAACACAATGATAAAATGATTTCTAGAGTATGCCGGTGAGAAAGCGATGTTTGTTAGCTTCTTTCTCCAGAAAAGTCGAGTTCTAAACAGGGCCTTTTGTACAGTTATCAATGTTACATGACTTCCATCCTTTCACTAGTCATCAATCGCCAATCCAATGTGGAGAGCTGAAATGACGACACCATCCCTGTTGAGGAGAGGAGGTCATGCATATCTAGTAGCTGATATTATGAGTTATACAAGGGCCACGCCATGGTTTTAGTGTTATTTGCTTATCTACTACTTATCTCTTTTCCGGGTTATTAATTTAATATGGAGAGCTGAAATGATATCATCTCTGTTAAAAAGAGGAGATCATGCATTTCTAGTAGCTGATATTATAAGGTATACAAGGGCCACACCATGGTTTTAGTGTTATTTGCTTGTCTACTACTTATCTCTTTTCCAGGTTATTAATTTAATGTGGAGAGCTGAAATGATATCATCTCTGTTGAAAAGAGGAGGTCATGCATTTCTAGTAGCTGATATTGTAAATTGTACAGGGGCCCGGACAGGGTCTTGATTTTCTCTTGACTGACTCGCTTTTGAATGCCCAATCACCCAAATGTGCTAATGAATTTTGTTACTGGATTATTTGAATGGCTTTTAACAAGGGAGGGCCAAACTATTACATCTGCAACCCACTGTATAGCAGAATTGCGACCTGCAAAGTTGATAGAGTAGTGTATATATACTGTTTTCTTGCCGCCTGAGCAAAGTGAATTCAAAGATATACGACTCTTCTCTCGGTCCCTTATATCTAGGCTCTTGGTCTACTGCACAACTAGTGCTTCTGTTATCACATCGTTAAATACTCTACTATCTCAGAATGCGGATCTTGGCACAGTCCGAGCTGATGAAAAACCAAAAGCATGCCGTGGTCATGGGGCCACAGCATGACTTCCAAGTTCTCCAGACCTTGGAAGGAGATGCACTATTTTTCTCTATTGGAGACAACGGTGTCTTCTACATGACACGCGAGGCACGCGCATCAGAAAGTGGCTGGAACCGAATCAACCTTTGCCACACGATTCCGAAAGGACACAGCAACGCAGCCACAGGCAGTGCAAAGGCGTTTGCTATTTCCCAAAACCCACAGAACCTCGCCGTTGATGTGGCTCTCGTGCTGACGCAAGGTGGTAGCGATTCGTTATATATATCAAAGAACAATCCTACCACCACTGACCACTGGAGGGAAAGGGTCTCCTGGATACCCATCCCCTTCGACTCTACCTCTATTCCGGTACCCCCGTCGCTCCAGATAGTAGATCTGTACATGATGACCATGCCATCAGAGGCTGGACCCGGCACCCTGACTTGTTTTGTGGATATTCTGCGCGCACACAGCGACGGCTTTCAGCTTTTGGACCGCTACAACATTGAGCCTGATTTGACTGTTAAGTGGGTAAAGCACACACTGCCTAATAATGTCGAAGCAGGCTCCATATCAAGCTGCTTGGGACGCCGCCCGGAGGATCCAGTGAGCGGAATATATACGTTTGGAAAGATTGGAGGTTCAACCAGTCTTATCTTCACGCCGGCGAAGAATGTCTGGTCCGCTCATTCACCCCCAAAGTCAACCCGTCTTGTTCATCCGACAAGAACAACATCCATTGCATCCACCCTAAATAAGAATAGATGCACAAACCTCTTTCTTGCTGCCGAAGGTGGGCTTTACCTTTTCCAGCCTAATCAGCAGAAAGAGGGAGCAACGCCGACTCTCGTACTCCCCTCATTCCCCGTGTGTGGAACCAACACGTTTGCTGGAACGTCGACCCTTCGAGCAGGTACTGTTGGCAAAAGCACGGCTGTGTGGGGTCTGAACCCTCAGCAAGATTTGGTGTACACTACCTGTCCTACTGGCCACGAGGCAGATCCTAAGATGTGGTCGGCGCCCATCCGTATTTGCTCCAAAGTTTTACATTTTGCATTTTACCTTAATATTAAAGCCTCCATGAATATCCTCTTTGCACAAGTTGAGGGAGGAAAACTCTTGCAGTTAACACAGGATCCTGGTATCAGCACCTGGTGCCAGCGAAGTATTACATTGCCTACCACATATTTGGACGACGTTGTGGAATGCACGACATTCACCAGCCATGTTAGGATCACTGATGACAATGGAATGCTGGCTAGCGAGAAACCCGTATTTATTCGATCAACTCAGCCAGTGTCAGTGTATATCAATAACGTCTACTTTAAGCTCGATTCGAGTTCATCTGTAGAGGTGAAGACAGATGCAACTGGCTCTCTCGCCATAATCCAGGAGACTAATTCCCTTCCTGCAATTTGTCTACAAGTCATCTGTGAAGATCAAACCGTCAAACTCGACCCCCAGTCCAAACTTATAGAAAAACTTTCGGCTGTTACTTCGGGGAATGATCTAACTAAGATTCGTATTACAGATGCGCAAGGAGATACTCACCCATTGGTCTCCCCCGATGTATCAGACAATGATAAGCAAGTGGTTGCATCATGTGTATCTCAGTTATTAAAGGCTAGGTCTACCCTTCCCTCTGACGGGTCCATAAAAGCAACCACCCTCGAGACCAGGGCCTCGATGCTGGAGGCATCCTACTGGGGAGTAGCTCGAGACACAAAGACGAATGCTTTACGCTATGTTGAAGGGGACAATTCATGCCTAAGCCTATTGTTCAATCAAACAGGCTGCTCCTCTCTGCCAGTGGTGGAGCTTGTGGCAGATGACGCTCTGGGTGCAATCTCAACCGCAGCTGGAGACCTTTTTAATTTCCTCAGAAGCGTCTGGGAAAATGTTGAATCATTCTTCGTGAAAGAAATAAACGGGATTTCCCAGTTCTTTGCCTGGATCGGCGGCAAAATTTATACAACTGTCCTTGACTGCCTTACTGCTGTTAGCGATGCAATCGAATTTGTATTCAAACATATCAATGTCTCTTTTGAAAAATTGGTAGCCTGGCTAGGCTTTTTATTCAATTGGGATGACATCCTCCGTACACATAGGGTGATCAAGAATGTCCTCAGGCAATACACCCGGAAACTGGTGGACGAGGTGGACAATTTAGAGGACCAAGTACACCGGGGGTTCGAGGAGCTAAAGCAAAATATCCATTCCTGGGCTGATCTACCAGACTCTGGGCAGACAGTCGCTGAACAGCAGAGAAACGCTCCAGAAGTGCCGGGTTCAGACAGCCCCCAGTGCAACTGGGCGCTCTATCATACCGCCAACGCATTTCCAAAGACAGATCAAAACGTTCATTATGAGCGCAGAGAGGCAAGTAATGCTGATGGAGACTGGCAACCTCTCATAAACACTTTAGATGAAGAGAAGAAGGTGATCATGAATACTGGGAAACAAATTAAAGAACTAGCCGGCCAGATCCAAACAATGTCGCCGATCAAGATCATCCAGAAGATCATAGGAATATCTGGGGAATTTATAGTGGGTTCAGCTGAAAACCTGGTCCTCGAGCTGCTGGAAGGGGTAAAGCAGGTCATTAAAGGCATCTGGGAGCTGCTCGACGCTCCGTTAGAAATTCCTATCATCTCGCCTATATACAAGATGATTACCAAAGGAGACACTCTCTCCTGCTTGGATCTGGTCTCTCTGATTGCAGCCATACCCGGGACGATTATCTTCAAGCTGCTGACCAGCCACACACCTTTCCCGAATAACTCTTACACTCGATCTTTAAGTATGGCATCCAGCTTCTCTGAGATATCATCTTTACTATCCGAGGAGCAGTCATCATATTATTTGATGTCTTCCCTCCAAGCGGAGAAGCAAGTCACGCTAAAATTGACTCCCTATCAACAATTGACAGGAGTACTCAAGCTATCCTCGGTCCCTATCGGCTATGCCTCTCTCTGGTTAGGGTTTTACAAGCGGGCGGTAGGTAATACCAGCAGCCCAATTCGGGGGATCTCGGTGGCCCTTTGGGTCGCAAATGCCACACCGGCCATATCAGCCAATTTCCCAACTCCCAGCGGGTGGACTTTGTTTGGCGACGGGATTATGACCACTGGGTTTATAAAAATCATCGTTGACAATTCTGGCCTGTCTGTCCGGCCCTGGAAGGATTACATTTCTCCTATTATGACTGCAGTGCTTGGGTTGCTGGGGCTTTTCCCCTCAATTGGCGGGTACATTGCTAAAAAGGGACATAAGACTAGTGACGGTCTCGCCCTAACGGCGAGCATCTTCTCTAGTGTCGGTAGTGTGTTATACCTTGGTACCCTTAAAGAATTTGGACCGGAAATTGTTGCCACAAGTATCGTCTTATCTTCGGGCTGTGCTGTCATCGGAAACTCGGTCTCAACCATTTCGGGAGTCTCCTTGCTCTCTGGGGCTTAATTGACATCTTTGCCTATATATATAGAGTGACCCTATGCCCTGAAACGAACAAAGTGAGAGAAAGGGGTGTACTTTTGGCCATGCACCCCCTGCTCCAATTTTAACTTCTCGCGATAATATGATTGGCGGGGTTGAATACGACACCTGCTGTTGTTGAGAACCTGATGGAGCATTGCTGCCTAGGATGGGTATATACTAATCACTGAACTTTATCAACATATGTTTATGGTCCAAATGTTAGACTTTTTGGTGGCATTCCTCAAATAATTTTTGATTGACTAGTAGTTAGGCTCCTGCACTACATTTATAAGCGCAAAACAGAGGTGTCAGTATCTATTTGTGACATTCTCTAAAAGTTGAATTACAAATCCAACAATGCTGGATACCATGAAAATCCCCCTGCAGAATGTTATCACATATTCTAATAACTCAAATACTGTTGTCGTGATGCCCCTGAAAGCAGATAATGGCAAGATTTTAGTATATTAGGTCACAAGTCTCACCCCTAAAGAACCTCTGGTGTGACTGCTGAACTGGCTGACTGATCACCTTAAATTCACTGATTAACTGAGTATTCACTAAAACACATGGCAAGTGGCGAATGCAAAGACAGGAACTAGTGAATTGAGATGCAGAGAACTACAAGGTCTGGAGGATCTTGGTAAAACAGTGAATGCCAAGGCAGGGTGTCCATACATATATATATGTAGCTTTGGTCACTCTATCCCAGACCTTCTTCTGTTCCCCAGAGTTGATATTCTAGTTTAGGAGCACCAATACTATAATATCTGCAATTATTTAACTAATTTCTTTTATTACTTTCTTTGCCAGGCTTGTCACATCTGGAAGTAAAATCGCTGAACATTTTTCCAACGACAATGGGTTCCATTGAAACTTTAGGCAGTGGACCAGCACCCACTGGTAATTCTTGTTCTATTTTTGTGAGCAATGGAACTAATATCTTTATAGATGGACTTGCAGGGAATTCCAGTGAGCGTCTAGTTCCCAAAGCCTTGGGTTGTCTTGAGACATATGGGCAGCGACGTGTGTTGGACACTGTCTCCCAGCTTCGAAAATGCGGGTTGGACAGCGTCTTATCATTACCGCAACTAGTTGTTTGCGGTGATCAGTCGGCGGGTAAAAGTTCGGTACTAGAAGCATTGACTGAAATCCCCTTCCCGCGCAAAGACAACTTGTGTACAAGGTACCCAACTGAGATAATATTACGGCATGGAACATCAGATTCACTCCAGATTAGAGTGATACCCGACCCCGAGCGGTCCGCTGAAGAGCAAAAGTCTATCAAAGCGTTTAGGGAGACCATAACAAGCTTTGATCAACTACCTCAAGTCATGGCAAAAGTAACGGAGCTGATGGGAATTGATAGAGCGGAGGATCATGAGGGCAGCAATGACCATCATCGGCGAGCGTTTGCACGTGATGTCCTCAGTGTTGAGATAGAAGGGCCGAATCGGCCGCAGCTCACGGTTGTTGACTTACCCGGAATCGTTCAGTCGCAAACGAAAGACACCACGCAGGCAGACGTCGATATGACGGTTGAAATAACAGAGTCTTACATATCTCAACCACGTACTATCTGCCTAGCCGTCATCTCAGCAACTAACGATTATGCCAATCAACCAATTCTCAACAAGGTTCGTCAGTTCGATCCCAAGGGTGAACGTACACTGGGTATCATCACTAAACCAGATCGGTTGCCGTCTGGTTCAGACACGGAAAGCCAATTTTTCCGATTAGCTAAAAACGAAGACATATATTTCGAACTGGGATGGCACATCTTGAAAAACCGGAGTTTTGAAGAGGCTGAATTCTCAATTCAAGAGCGAAATAGTTCTGAATCGACTTATTTTCGGAAGTCAATATTCGGAACGCTTCCTCCCACACATGTGGGAATCAGCAGTCTCGTAAGCCGCCTTAGCAGATTGTTGTTTTCTCACGTGCAGCAAGCGCTTCCCAGGCTTCAAGAGGAATTGGATGAAGCTTTGGAGAATAACAGAAAAGAAATTTCTGTTATGGGAGAGCCGAGGACAAGTCCAGAGGAATGCAAAATGTTTTTGACCCGATTGGGATTGAATTTCTATGAGATATGCAAAGCTGCAGTCAATGGTCATTATGAAGGGCAATACTTCATATCCGAAGGCAAAGGGTCTCATGCCCAGCGTTTGGCATTGAATCGACGTCTGCGTGCTGCGATTCAACTCATGAATCAGAAATTTGCGGAGGAAGTCCGTTTGAACGGACATAAATACCATGTTCGTGGAATAGAAGGAAATGCCTTGAGCACGAGGCAAGTGGATACAAAGCCTCCCGATGAAGAACCTTCAGAAGATGACCAAGAGGTACTCTCGGAAAAAGTTGTGACTAATTTGAATTGTCGACCCTTCACGAAAATCAAACGCCCCCAAAAATTGTCACGCCGCAAAGCTATCACTTGGGTGAACGACGTTGTTATTCGGGCAAGAGGACAGGAATTACTCGGGAACTTTAATCCTCTTGTGATTGCCGAGCTATTCTGGGAGCAGTCGTCTAAATGGCATCTGTTTGCTAAAGCACATATAGACGAGGTATCAGGGGTTTGCCAACATTTTCTGGAAAGTGTCCTGAAATACAAGGCTCCCCTGGATGTATTCCATCGCTTATGGCCCACTGTCTCGGAAAAAATCAAGATGAGACACCGAGACGCTCTGGAAGAGCTTGATAAAGTCCTGAAGGATACTCGAAGCTACGTGATCAATTACAACCATTATTACACCGATACCATTAAGAAACGACAGTCTGAAAGGAGAAAGAACCACATGAGCGAGTGTATCGAGAAAGCAACACAGTACAAAAACCTTCCAGGATGTCATTCAGACCACAAATTCCCAGACATTGACATTGGACATGCCCTGGGCCTATTTTCGGACCGCATAGATCCCAATATGGACAACCATAGCTCTGAAGAAGTCCTTGACTGTCTCTTTGCAATCTATAAGGTACGTACTCGCAGGTTTAAAGTAACTGAAAGCTCACCATGATTGGTATGATAGGTATACCAGAAATTGTTCATTGCGAATGTTACCATACAGGTTATCGAACGGCATGTAGTGCATGACTTGGAGCTGATCTTTTGTCCATTGACTGTTGCAAAGCTTTCCGATAGTGAGGCAGTCGCTCTAGCATCAGAACCCTCAGCCATTGAAAGGCAGAGAGAGTTCTTGATTGGTAGGATTGCGAAGCTTGAGCAAGGTCGTGAAATTTTGGGAGAAGTTATGTCAAGCAACATTTAATTACACTAATGTAGACCTGGCAGCGAACTTATCCGCGGCCAAATTATTAATAATGTCAATTACGGTTTCAGATAACTTTGAAGCTTCATGTAAGGCGGTTGCGGGCCTCCTGTTGAGAGAAAGTGTTTTATGTGTAATCCTAATAAAATTACTAACGCAGAGTATTCTCTCTTAAACAAATATAATTCTAGTATTTAAGTATTCGATTAACTTTCTTTTTTCTAATCTATTTCCTAAGACTCTTCTCAGAGCCTTACTATAACTTTATTCTCTTTGATTTCTTTAAATATTATGTTCTCTGACCAGCCGGCTGTCACGGTGACGGTGTGACCTCTGGGTACATTCAGAAGCTTGACCGCTGCACTATCAGCAAAAGACTAGTGGCGTAGCTCCAGTAGCCTGAGGCTTGCAGTATCTTAGTGCTTGCCAGCATCGGACTGTGTCATCAGGTTCTAGTCTATCCTTTAACTCTGCCTGGAGCGCTTTAGGTTGCCCTATTAGAAAAAGGTCTCCCAGTATTCACGTTTAGTCTTTTGAATAGTGCTATAGTAGACATTTCGGGCTTTTTTTAGCTCTTGCTCAGTTCCTAGACTGCTTTCCATGCTCCTTTGGCTCTAGTATATTCTTGACGACTGGTTTTGACCGGCGGTCCCCACCACCGCTTCGAGAATGGCGTCACCCTTACAGGCTTAGCATATTCATTAAGCACCTGAGTTAGGGTGTTTTGAAGCCATACTGCCTCCTCTTCTACCTCAGCCCTACTGCAGTTACCTAGTAGAGCTGGTAGTGTAGTTAATATGTAATATGATAGAGCTCGTGTAGCTCACGTGTGTGGGATTCATTGTCTTCAGGTCTAAATCTACTCTACAGAGACATTCCTGGTGTTGTGGTCAGGTCACGTGGTTGCTGCCTTAAGGCTCCCTATAGACTCTGACATAAATTATTAATATCTAATAGTATTCTAGAATTTAGATATCGTCTTTATATATAATCTGTAAAAGAACCGGCTTTCTATTACTAGTATATAATTCTGATTATCGGTTAAGATAGTTAGGTTAAGGACGGGATGGCCTTAAGCAACATCTACAGAGTGGCTCCAGGGAGTGGATTACCTGCCTGGCCTGTATATGTGCAGATGGGACATCACTGTCACCTGGTTTAATCTATCAAGCAGTATCAGGCAAGACACAGGACTCCTGGCTTTAAGATTTCAATCCTACCAACCATTCTTGCTTTTTTGCCTCTTCTGCATCTGGTTGGACGAATGATATACTAGGAATTGCATGGCTTCGTGAGATATTAGACCGTGAAACTAAAGATAAGGCACGGTGGCGCTGGAGGCTTCTAATACTTAATAGCCATGGTTCTTACATTACTAAGAAGTTTAATGAATACTGCTTTACAAATAGGATCTATCTTTTAATCTATCCTGTATATTCTATATATTCTCTATAGCTACTTGATATCAGCGTCTTTTCTCTGCTTATAAGGGCCCATAGTAATTATTTAGAACGATTTTTATATGAAAGCCAAGGTCTCTATAACTTTACTAAGCAGGATTTCTTCCGCTTATTCTTTTTAAGCTGGGAGAAGGTCTTATCTTAAAAAAATATTAAATCTATATAGAGATCTGTTAGTCTCTAGCTATTTAATCTAGAGATTATTTTAACACAATTTATAAAGCTTAAGAATGAAAGATCTTCTTCTAGTAAGTTATCCCGCTCCATTCTACAGGCAGAAGACTGGAAAAGAATTAAAAGATTTTTAAAAGAGATTATTACTGGTTTTTATAATTAAAATACTAAAAAACTTAGTTCTATAATTCATTATCTCTTTACAGAGAATATCTTGCTAAATCTCTGCTGCCAGGGCCTTAAGAAAGCTGTAGTTGAAGAACAGAAGAAACGCCAGTGTGGAAAGCCTATTACTTTTAAATTGCAATAACACGTGCTTCGAAATGGGACTTCCGCGTCTTTATAGTCCCACCGACCAGCCCTAGCAGAGAAGCATATGTAGGCCCCTACGGGGAGTAACTAGAGCCCTATTAACACGAGCAGTCACTCCGAACTTGACTATTATTGAAGAGGGGCAAGTGACACGTTACCTGTGATGAAGAAATCACTCAGGCCAAGAAATGCCCAATGCCTCCATAACACCTTCAGCAGCCGTAACCTTCTCTCCGCTATCAATGAAGACAGCTCCAATGATGGCCTCTACAGTAGAAGCCATAGGGCCCGGATAGATTGTATTCCCTTGGGATCGATTTTTATAGACACATTCTGCCAGACCCGTAGAAAAGCCTCGCTGCGCAAGATAGGTATTGGACAACTTCTCTGATATAATGTTGCTTATCTGACCTAAGATGATACATAGGTAAATTGATCAAGTTCATGTCATTATGGGCGGCGAGATGTTATCACTTACCACGGGTCGCATGTCGACAAAGGCCCTCCTTGACAAGAACCAACTTGATGACAGTATCACCTAACAGAGCGAGATACTTATTCCCATCCTGATGGATACTATCTGCTAACTGTAACGCTTTTCGAAGTTGAAGCCGGTCAGTGAACCGATGCGAGATGATATTCTCAGCATTCACAATCTTTCCATCTTCAAAGTAAGCAAGATGAAACATGGTTGAGAGTGACGAGGAATGAAAGACCGGGAAAAGGTAGATAACAAGAACTTGTTGTGGATTCTTGGCTTCGAGACGTCAAGGTAGCAGAAGTTTCGAGGGCCTCGTCGAGCTGCCTACATGCCCAGCACTAATGGTCAACAAACGGGATGTCAGAGAATCACAAACTAGAATGATCGATTTTTTTTTTTCCTTTCGAAACCCTATCTCATGGGTTACTGTCGTTGATGTGTGGCCCACAGGGCACGGCATAAGAAACCAATTTTGATATGAATAATAGACGTCATTATAGCTTGAGGTATTTTAGATTCAATTCAACTCTGGGACAAAGCCCAGGGCCATTCTTCAGTGTATCCGCGAGAGTTCCGTTGGGGTTTGAGGATAATTGCTAGCTGACACAAAAATATGTGCTCAAAAGGGGTAGCCACGGTTGATTGGAAATTAGATGGCGAGAATAAAAGTTCGCTCGCTGGATTGGAGAAACAAAATCCAAAATAGGAACAAATCGACGAAACAAATAAAAAAGGAAGGGAGACAGAGACACCCATAGAAAGACCGAGACAGGGTTGCTTTCACAAAGCATACAAGGGCCAGGACTATTACTTTGCCTTTTGGCGATCTTGCTCCGCCTTCTCTGAAGCATAGATCATGTTCTTTACCTCCGACAATTTAGCGACACGAGGCATTAGAACGTCCTGTGTATGAGTTAGCGACAAGAAAGAAATAATAGAGTTGGTGGGCAAGGAGATCATACCCAGACAGTTGACCAGCCGAATGTAGAAGCTAACCAAGTCGCAAGGGCGCCCCCTCCAGACCAGAGATGCTTTTTGGGATTCGATCGGATCGCGTTGTTGACAACGACCTCAGCATATGAATTAACCTCCATGGCGTTTCCCTCAACCGTGCTTCCGGCCGATGCTGGCTCAATCAAATCCTTGGCAGGATAATAAAGGGAATTTTCAGGCAAAGCTGATTTGCTTGGCAGATTGTCGAAAAAGCGCGTCTTTATTGCGCCAGTGTTGACAAGGATTGCACGGACTCCCCAAGGAGAGAGCTCAATGCGCATTTGATCGGTGAGCATAGCGACTGCAGCTTTACTAGCATTGTAAAAACCTTGCCATGGGAACGGCATTTTGCCAAGCACAGACCCAATGTTAATGATCGTCCCTTTCGAAGCGATCAAAAGAGGCGCAAAGGCTTGGGTCACGGCCACGACAGCGAAGACGTTCACATCGAACATTTTCTTCGCTACTGACATATCCGAGTCCAACAAAGGCATGATGTAACCTATTAGGTTGTTAGCTTACAACCTATCTCAGGGAATTGATCCACTGTTTCAAACTCCACTTACCTGCACCCGAGTTATTGACTAGGAAATCCAAATGACCACCAGTTGCGGCCTTTACAGTCAACACAGCTTGTCTAATCGAGTCTTCGTCCGTGACATCGAGTTGTAAGATGTCGAGACCCATGTCCTTGAGATGTTGAACCTTAGCAAGGTTGCGGGCACTGGCAAAGACGCGAAAGCCCCTTTTGTGAAAGCTTTTAGCCAGGGCATCACCTATTCCGCCTTCGCTGCAACCTGTAATAAGAACGGTTTTCTGGACCATAGTTGCGGCCAATGACTGAAACTGGGGGTTGATCTTCTCGAAAAGTCCTGAAATTATGCGGCTAGGAGAATAGCTGCCTTCCTAAGGGACCCCTGAAGGGACTTTGTATCAATAGGTGCATTATTCTTCCGTATATCAGTAATCTTGAAACCGACGTGGTGACGATATCGATTCTAGCACCTGCTGACAAACCCGAGTTTACGACTCGGGTCGGGCTGATTACGCAACATGTCCGATCGCCTCTGGCATTCTTTCTACGTTCACGCACTATCCACTTTTCTTTGCCCCATCGGAATGAGCCAACGAATTGTTAAATGGCAGGGTCTAAGCCTTATATCCACAGTGGAGCAAACTCTGTTTGAGCCCTCTAAGCATATATTGGAAACGGCTATGAAGCATGTAACATATTCTAACGGACCGAGAGATGATAGCTTAGAAACATAATGCAGTGATAGTCGAACTTGATTTGAACAAGATACTTCTCGACTAATTTCTGGTTTCGCATGAATTTCTCATTGCACGGGCTATCTTAGGCTAAGATGTCCAGTTGAATGCTCCTTGTGGCACCATACTTTGCTAAATAGTGATGTAATGCACAGAGAAATTCATAGGATGGTGGTCTCCGCTGATTGGAAATGATCATTGGAAGGATCGATTATCCAGTCTGAGACCCGCCTTTGTGATTCCGGGGTATTCACTGATAATGTATGTCTTGCTGCGTGATACGGCGAATACTTACCTAGTGTTCGCCGACGACCACTGGTAGACATTATTAACGATCATTTCTTCGTGATCGAGATTAAATCATAGACAGCATCAATTTCAACTATTCAAAACATGATACAATTTGCTATCTGACAGAAAAGATCTTGGCCGGAGCAGAACCCGCTAACTGACCTGTGAACTGTTCGACATAGAGAACAAACTGCTCACTAGGCCCATGACCTTCCTGACTAGATACTACCAGTACTGTCCGTCTACGGTGTCTCGTCAACATTGTAGACCAGTTTCTCGCCACTGACCTTGTCAGCCTTGAGCAGCTCCATTCCTTCCAAGACACCCTGCAGACCGCCCACTCTGACGCTCAAAGGATGGACCTTGATCTTGCCCTGGTCCAGAAGACCTTGTGCGATTTGAGTGAACTCATGGGCGTGCTGGAAGTCTTCTGGCTTAGCGGGAACAGCCATGTCACCGAAGTTGAACGCTTCACCGAGAACGGTGTAGGCGAGAATAGAACGACTGTTGACGTTATCGCGGTTGACCTTCACGGTCAAGAGTGCACAGTACTCGCCGCCCTCGGTGGAAAGAGCCTTGTCGCAGAATTCAGCACTAGAAGGAAGGGAGATACAGTCTAAGACTAGCTTAAGGCTGTTGTTGGTTTTCTCGCGGATTTTAGCGGCGGAGCTAGGATCCTTGTAATCGAAGACAGTGTCCGCGCCTAGACTGCGAACAAGGTCGAAGTTGTGAGGTGAACAGGTTGTGAGCACGGTATAGCCTGAGAGCTTAGCGAATTGGATCGCGAGGGTACCGGTCGCGGAGGAACCACCATAGATAAGAATAGGAGTGGCAGTGGCATCTTTCAAAGGCTGATTGGGAAGAGCAAGGCCCAAGGTCTGGTAAAGAGACTGGCCAATAGTCTGGATACCTGCTCCTAGGGCGGCAGCTTCCTGGAAGCTCATATTGTCCGGGATCTTCATCTGTAGATCCCCTTTCACGACAATATACTCGGCAAAAGCACCGTCCTCGGGCTGGACGGCATTTCCACCGTGGGTGAAACCGCAGATCCGATCACCCTTCTTCCAGGGCTTCTTAACGTCCTTGCCGACGGCCTCGACGATACCGGAGTAATCACATCCGATCAGCACATCGGGAGGAGAGAGAAACTGGACGTGCTTCCAGTCAGTAGGATTCAAACCCACACTGACGGTCTTCACGAGGACGTAATCATCTCGCAAAGTAGGGATAGGACGGTCAGTGACCAGACCTGCAACCTTGGGTTGGGTGACGATGACGGCTTTTTGAGTAGACATGATTGAGGAATGGTAAAGTATGATTGAGTTAGAAGGAGTATGAAGCGGATGGGAGTCTGTTTAAGTATAAGGGTAGTGGCGTTCTCCCCGTGGCAGTCAAGGATGCGTCCTGAATCCTCGCACAATGTAATCCCGATGACAGATTACCAATCTGACCCCGTTCGAATCCATTATGAGTATCTGTTGGGCATCCTAGGGATCGATTACAAATCATCCCGATTGTTCCATGGTCAATACCTTCAGGTATCCTAAGAAAATTGAGTTATCCCGAAGCCGATTCAAATCCCCACAAGCTAGTCTATGATTGAATCGCGAAGTCTCCACCCATTTGCTTTCCTAGGTCAAGTCGGTCTAGCGATGCATCCACAACGAGTAGCTTCTCCACAATAGTCGTCCCTCCACCTAAGGGCTTCAAAGATACTATATCTTCTGAGCATAACCTTGCAAGATCAGTGCCAACTCGACCGGCTCTGAACTCGACAATATAAAACACATCATCATGCTGAAAGATGACAGGCAATGGCTAGCCTATGGTTTCAATCTTCATTTGTTCTTTGTTAGCCCGTACCCCTCGGAGGATAACTTACCATCAATCCTCTTTGTCTTCTCCCACGGCTTTAGCAAAAGGTTTTTCTGAAGTCCTAACAGCTTGAAAAGGATGCTATCTGGACTTAGCATCGAGTGTAAGTATGGAAACTGAGCAGAACGCTGGGTCGGATCGTTCTTTGCACAACTTGTTCAATGTCGTATCTGTGATAAGAAATATCATTACTCCAATTATAAACACTAACAGACGAGGAGGTGAAACTGGCTCGAATCTAGAAAAGAGACAAAGAATATGAACATAGAGCACAGTCATCATGTTTCGAAAAGGGGGGAAAGAGGAGGAACTGGAAGTCGAAAGAGAAGAGAGGACGACTCTGCTATTCTTCCCAACACTTATGTAAATACGCATGATGGAGGGGACAAAAAGGCAAGATGTACAATGAGCTTAGAACTAGAACCGCGAAACGGCCACGGCTACGGCCTGGGAATCGCTGTGGCTGATGCTGACGTTGATCGACTTGACGCCAGCTTCTTTGGCAGCAGTAGCGGCGACCCCGTGAAGCTAAAATGGATGGTCTCCCGTTAGCGTTGCTGATCACCGATCAAATAAACATAATTTGTTCACATGGGAAGTACTTACGTTGACCACAGGAGCACCGTTAGCATCGCTTGTGATCTCAATATCCTTCAGAGCCGTACTGGAACCCTTGCTGCTTACACCAAGTGACTTGAAGACAGCTTCCTTGGCACTCCAACGACCTGCGAACGAGGACTGGGGCGAAGGGGCCTTGCGGCAGTACTCCTGCTCGCTGGCGGTGAAGTTGCGCTTAACGAATATCTCGTCCGAGATATTGATCGAGCCGATGCTCTCAACATCAACGCCGACCTTGGAGTTCGCGGTAGCATTGGCCTTGGCCAGAGACTCGACCACCTGACGAGTGCTCTCCTCGCTGGGAACCTCTACCTTCGGAGGAGTGGCCGAGTATTTCAACTCGGAGGTCTTCTTGTCAACGGTCACTCGGTAGTCAGGGTTTAAGAAAACCTGGCTTTGCAGGTCATCCTCGTAAGGAGCCTTGTTTTTGGCCACGAAGATGCTGTTGTTGATCAAGCCGTTGTGGAAGAAACGGTAGGCCTTCTTCTGGCGGGTCTCAACCTTGGCCTTGTAGGCCTGGTACTGGGTCTTTTCAAGGGTGGCATATACGTACTTGGGGTGAATCCCGATAATTTGAGCACCCTTCTGACCGAAACCAAAGGAGGTAACCGAGAAGGCCTTAACACCATCGGTTTGGATGCTGCGGCTGGGGTACACGACGTAATCGAACTTCTCCATCACCTTATCGATGTTATCGGCATTGCGGTTGCCGGGGACAAGTCCACTCTCTAAAACTTGGAGACAGCCGTTAAACTGCCAGGCACCAGCAGCACCCTTGGGGTGGCCAGTCAAGTACTTCTGGAAGATACCCATCACGGCATTACCCTTCTTGCGGCCAAGGTGCTTAAGCTGCTGACAGACCACATCGCATTCGTTCTCATCATTGGCGACAGTTGAGGTACCGTGGAAAGAAGCGACATCAATGTCGTCAACGGTCAGGCCCCAGGTGGCCAGGGCACCGCGCAGAGGAGCGATGCGAGGATCCTGCTTCCAGAAGTTGTTACCAAGGGAGAACTGGGCATCCTTCTCCTGGCGAGAGGCTTCACGCTCAATGTGCTGAGCACGCTCATGCATGTATTCAGAAGCATTGAAGGTCTCATCGCCCAGGGCCTGCATAGCATCAACCTCCTCCTGGAGGTACAGAAGCTCTGACTCCTGCCACTCTTTGATCTGCTTCTTCCGCAGCTCCAACTGATGGCGGCGGTATTTGAGATCCAGTAGAGGTGAGGGAAACTTGCCAGGGTTCTCCCGCGCAGTGGTAAGGATACCCTGACCAGGAGCAGGGACAGAGCGACCGATCTTGTCAGTAGCGGTCGTGGTCAGAGCGATGATACCGTGGATGGGCACACCCATATCAAGAGCAAGCTGAGCACTCATGATCAGCTGCACACCGCAACCCTGCGACTCCATGAAGCCGGAACGGGTGGTGGTAAAGGGACGAGACATCTCCTGCGGAGTACGACCGTGGGCAAACTCATCTTCAGTATTGCTGGTGGCCTTCATGTTGGCGAACTCGTACGAGCCCTCCTCCTGGAAGTCATCAAACCCACCAACGAAGCAGACCCGAGCTTTGCCCTCAACAATAGTCTCGTAACCGATATCAACGGATTCGACGGCGGTAGCACATGCACCGACGGGAGTTTTGATCGGACCAGTGGAAGACAGGAGCAACATGTTGACCCAAGCACTCATGGTATTGATGAACGACTCTTGCAGGATATCCTTCTGCACGGGCTTGTCGAGGTAACGATCCTTGTATATGCCACGCAAAGCGTGTGCTCCACCATTACCGGAACCAATGCAGTTACCGACTTCAGAGAGGTGAACATACTTATAGAACTCGTACGGGTCGGTAATACCTGCTGACAGCATGGACTCGGCGGTACAGACCAGGACGTACAAGGTCACAGGATCCACCTGTTCGATGATATCCTCGGGGATACCATAGCGGCGAGCATCCCAGCCAGTCGGGATCTGACCAGCGACGAGGCGGTCGAACTGGAGTGCCTTGGGAATAAGCAAGTTGGCTCCCTTGCGGAGGCGGACGGTGTATTCACCAGACTCAGGGATCTCAAAGATCTCTACTTTGTCCCCATGCTCGCGCTTAAACTCCTCCGCGGTCTCTTTGGAGGCTTCAAAAGGCTCCAAATCCTCCAGGGCGACAATTTCCTGGAGTAACCGTTTCTGCTTGGGGTCGTATCCATCGAACAGCTCGGGCTCAATGAGACGGATACCAGTGTGCTCTAGGATGAACTTCTCATACTTGGGCTTAATGTCCTTATCATCGACAGGGTCGCCGGTTTTGGCATCGACCCAGCCGGAGTAAGCTTTGCCCTTGAGAGGGCCGTTATGGTGCTTGATCAGACCCATAATCCAGGCCATTTCAACACAGCCTTCCAGGGAGAATTTGCCGTGGGCCTCCATCTCCCAACGAGTACGCGAGTTACCCCAGGGACCCACCTCGGCAAAACCAGTGACAACAACGACCTTGTCCAAGTTGACCATACCCTTGAGAGACTCGTTGATGGGCTTCACGTCGGAGTCCCAGTCAGGAAGCTTAGGGAATTCGAACTTAATATTCGCGCGAGGTTCGGCAACAACCTTCTCGTACAGAGCACCACTGTCCTCGCCGTTGACGACAGTGTTCTCGATAGCAGTCTCCTTGATGATAGCCTGGCGAACATCGCTGGTCTCCATGATATCAGTGCGGAGCTTGGTCATCAAGCCCTTGAGGTCAGGGATAAATTGTAGACCACCATTGAGATCGGCCCAGACCGGGTCAGACTGGCAGAGGTTGACGACAGCAGGAGACATCAGACCCAAAATGTTGAAAGCCATCTCCTGCTGAGAGAATGTACGAACACCGAGCTTCTCAACACCCTCAGCCACAATATTGTTACCACTCATCAGACCGGTACCGCGAGTCCAGCCAATGACAGCACCGCAGATGGTGAGGTAGCTGCTCCAGTTCTCAGAGTACCAACGGTTGAACAGGGTCTCCAGAGCAAGCTTAGACTCGGAGTACAAACCATCATTACCGAATGTACCATGATTAGGTGACAAAGGCAGGATGACCTGAGCGGGACGGGTTTCAAAGCCGTGAGCCTGCTTCTGGGTCTTGATCGAGCCCAGAAGACGGAGCAGGTTGGTCAGCATGATACGGTGAGCCAGCTCTGACTTTGAGTCAATGGAGTCAATCTCACGGCCATTCTCGGGAATGGCAGCAAACGGCACGACAAAGTCTAGATCCCAGCCCAGGCCCTTCTTAGTGTCGTAGATGTAGTCGACAAGGGCCTGTACATCCTGCTGGCTACCCTGGTTGAAAGGAACCACGACCAGCTGGGATCCCCGGGCACCGTAACGGGCATACATGGCCTGGTAGTATTCAGTCACCTCTCGAGAGAAGCGGCTAGTGGTGACCAACACTTTGGCACCACCGCTAATAAGGCCCTGCAAAACTTCCGCGCCGATAGAACCAGCACCAGCACCGGTCATAAGCACATTCTTACCCTGGAAAGTGAGACCAGCCTGAGCAGCGGTCTCCAGCACATTCAAGTAGATTCCAGTGAGCTTCTTATTGTAGCCCCAGCCGTGCTCGCTCTTCTTCTTGAGGTGAAGGAAGGGAATGGTCTCCACCTTACCGGGGAGAGTCGTAGTCCGCTCGAGACCATTGCGTCCCTCCTTGGCATAGCCGTTCTCCTGGGACATAATCTCGTTCTCGTCCATGCTCAGGGCGAGTAGGACGTCCTTGTACAGAGCATCAAACTGGAGCTGCGAGGACTTGGAGAAGTGATGTTGTCCGCGAATCAGCTTGTAGACGTTCTTCAGATCATTCTGAACCTTGGTACGGTTGCTGTACTCGGAGATCGGGCCACCCTCAGCCATCTGCTTCACATAGTGCTCCAGCTTACGCGCACTAGCACGGCCAACCTCCTTGTAGCCAATGTTTCCACGAGCATCGATGGTAGTTTGGGGACCAGTGGGGATGGCAACATCCTTGTAAATGGGAGCGGCATCAAGAACCTCCCGGCAGTTCTCGATCAGTCGCTGACCCAGCTCCTTAGCCAGCTGGTAGGTCTCACCGCGCTCGGTGGGGCAGTTGTCAATGTGGTATTGCATAAAGTCGAGAAGGAGAGGGTTAGAGCGGTTCATGATACGGATACACTCGCTCACAATCTCGCGGTCCACTACCTGTAGACGACCGAAAATGATGTCGTAGTACATGCTGAGAGCATCTTGACGGGCCCAATTCCAAGAGGAGTCGTAGACACGGGCCTTGAGGGGGTCGAAGGATGGCTCGATACCGGAGGCGTAGAAGTCGCCATGCTCGGCCTGCCACAGGTCGATCTGAGCCTGGAGCGCCTTTTGGGTTTCCTGAGATGTGATAAAAGCCTTGTCACCGGCACGAAGATCTATCTTCAGGTAGCGAGCAATGGCCTCCAGCTGCTGCTTGAACAAAGCCCGCTGGTCCTTGGTGAGCGCATCAATGGCTGCTGGGTCCATCATCATGCCGCCACCGCCACCGCCGCCACCGCTATCACCACCGGCCGCGGGGAATGAGAGATTAACGCCCGCGCTGGCGGCGTACTTGTTCGTCACATTATCGAGGAAGGCCTTGGCGTCGGCGTCGGACCCGAGACGGGAAGGCGGCTCCATCGTGATAGCTAGCAAAAGCACCCCATCTTGGCGGCCAGAGCCCAAGCCCCACCGAGTTTCCAGGTACTTGCGAACGGCGGTAATGTTGAAGCCACCAGGCATTTTCGAGGAGACCATACGGGCGATGAGTGAAGAGGACTGCTTGCCTAATTGGCCATTGAAGGTGGCCTGCATCAAAGCACCCAATTCATCAAGCGGGATGTCCTCTAGCTTCTCCGGTGTAGAACCAAATTCCTTTCCAAGATCTCCCAAAATTTCATTTTGCAATGTGGATTTACCTGTTCAGAGTGTAGAAAAAAACAGTTAGCTCACTTGTACCCATCTATTGAAGTCCTTGTACAGATTTGGCTTACCTCCAACGAGATCCTTAATGGCTTTAGTCAATGGCACATCGGCTAAGCTCTTCTTCAGCTTCTGGGCCACCAGGGACCACAGAACATCCACAGCAGTTACTGGCGCATCTTCCACAGCCGCTGCAGGGCCGGCACTGGGGGGCGGGAGTGCAGCCTCCGCTGCAGGAGGTGCGGGAGCCGCGGTCGCGGCCGAAGGAGCTGCAGCTGGGGCAGCCTCCGCTGCAGGCTCCTCAGGGTCAACATTGTAGTAAATCTCCTTAGCATCCTTGCTGTAGCAGAGGATTTGGCGTTGGACGGAAGTAGCAGCATCGTAGGCCTCATATTTGGAAGCGAGGGTGCGGCGGGCCATTCCTCCTAGGGTATCAACAGGGCCAATCTCGACAATGCGCTCGGTCCGTTGTTCGGCGAGAATAACGTCTTGGGTCTCAATCCATCGGACGGGCGAGGCAAACTGGTAGGCCAGCAGCTCCACTAGCAAGGTGTGAGCGAGCTCCTGTTCAATATCCGGGCGCATAATGTATGTATGTTGCGTTATAGGTCCTCTCTCTCTCTCTCTCTGGTCTATTGAAATTTCAGGAAGAGGGGGATATCGAAGATTCTGTTAAGGTAGGAAAGCAGGACACACAAAAAGCCCACACACAGGTGGTGTTGAAGTAAGGAAAGACAAAAGAAGAAAAGGAAAAGAGAAACGTTGAAAAGAAAAAGTCGCCAGGGGGGAATTAGAGAAGAGGAAGGAATTGGGCAAGTTCTGGGGAGGAGAGGACTAGAGTCTGTTGGAAGCCCTTTCACTTCTTTCTCCCAAGTATAAAAGGTGGGAAGCTAATCGATAGAACGATAGCGGTTGGTGTATGTAATTTTCAAGTTTCACGAATACGTGGAAGACAAGACACTACAGGGAGATGATCATAGCCAGGTGTATTTTTCTCGACATAACACGTCTTGATTATATGACAGATTGATATACATATATATATACATTCAAAAGGAAGACGATGTTTTGACCGAAAATACCATATCCGATGTTCGACTTAATAACCATGAAATCGAATCATCCCCTCCTGGAAGTACAGACAAATTCAACCGGATAGAAGGGATAAGTAGTTGAGTTGGTTTCTCCTCTTGATGGGGCTCGCGGGCCGTGGTGTCGGATCGGTTCTTGACAGAATTAGGCACCAATCAAGGGCTTCATAATGGATTCGATGCTCCCAACAACTCAATACTGAGCTTAAGACTGCCCCAATCTAAGTAACAGTTGAGCCAGTCAGCATAGACAATGCCGTTTGTGATGGAGCCAGGGTAGTAGATCTATAGTTAAACAAACTGTGATTACTAAACATTAATTTAAGTCGTATTACAAAGATAAACTGGATTTCTCTAGGATACCAGTGTTACCGGCCAGACGAGACCCGGCCGGCAGGAACAATATGAAAAACAATACCATGCTGGTGTTTACTGCGGTAGGCTGGTTTGGACGCTGAGGTTGACTCCTGGCAAAGTACAGACTCATGAACCAGGATTGGGGTCGTCGCCACCCTAAAGTATTTTGGACCGGGTGAAGTTCAACAGTGAAAGTTAAGCGGTTTTAGTTGGTTGGGTTGGGTTTTTGTTGCTCCATTTTATCCCACGTTACAGACACAGATATATTACGAAGCTCTTCTCTTCCCCTCAATCCCTTTCATTATTAGCCCTGCTTGATCTCTTTTCTTCTTCTTCTTCTTCTTCTTCTTTTTTTTTTTTTTTTTTTTTTTTTTTTTGTCTGTACAAGAGAAATCTTCTTCTAAACTTATGAAACCTACCTACAGAGTTCTCCCCAGGTATCTATAAGTCCCAGTTAGTCTCTTTGCGGGAATCAACTACAATATTATGAAAAGAACCGAGAGACAAGAGGAAAAATAAAATAAAAATGAAAGACAGAAAGAAACGGACTACATTATATACAGTATATTTATTAATTCTTAGACTAGAACAAATACTTCTCAATCCTCTTAATTAATATACTCTTTTTTACTCTTATATAGCTCTCTCAAATTCTCTTTATTGTCCTAACCTCACTTTATTTCCAAGTCTTAAAAGTTAAACGACAGGTTCACGGCTTCATTACCCGAGCCCAATAATAAATTAGCTCTGGATAATAAGTCCTCTTCAGTAACAAAATTAATCACCTACTATATCGGTCATGTAGCTTATAAAGTAGAAGAGGAGAGGAATAATATATAGAATAGCTACTCAGAAGTGCTAAAGCTTATATATATAGTGGCTTCCGCACTGCCAGTTATTGTTAATAAAAAGAACTATATTATAGAGGCCTATTATACTGGATATACTGCTGCAGGACAGCCTACCAAGCTCTATAACTTAGCTCTATTCTATATAGCCTCTGAGAAAGCCGCGGGTATCTATATTATTTTTAGTAGTCAAGTATCCATCATGATACTGGGCGCAGAGTTGCATGGGTTCAGGTATATGAACTATTTATGAATAATTTAAAAGCCCTAGGGTACCAAATCTCAGTGATATCATCTAAATAGTGCTACCAACTTAAAAGAACTTTCCTCCTAGGCCTACAAATATAGAAGATGGAAAATCAACTTCACATTTGCTCCCTTAATTTGACTTGGTTATAGATTTTATGGGATCTTAGTGAAAGTTAACTGTACCAAGAGAATGCAGTTGGATGCCTAAGGCACTAAAGCTCGTGCCGGCCGATCATAAAAAATAGGTCAGCCCCTTCCTCGTCTGCCTTGCGCGTCCCTTGACAAACTTATTCACCAATATCGCGTTCCCCAACTACTTGTACTTATCTATTGAATATTACTCCTGCACTATGGACACCAATGCGCTTATCGATCTCGTCCACGAGGTGCAGGGCCAGCTTTGGGTTCATAAGGTGAACCAAACCCATAGAACGGGCCGTCTCTGCCAGTGGGTGTCTACTTTCCATCCCGAAAAGCTTCCCTGTAAACTTGAGGGTACCTTTCACCATGGCGCATTTAATGCAGGCATTAAGATGGTCTTCGGTGACAGCACAGCCTGGATGGTTCGTTTCCCTCGTGTGGGGATGGTCTCTGACGACTACGCCAATGAAAAGGTTGCGATGGAGGTGACAGCCTTGGATCTTATCCGCAACAGGACTACCATTCCTGTCCCGGCAGTCCGAGCGTGGGGTCCCGCTACTAGCAACCCACTTGGTCTCGGCCCGTTTATCATGATGGACTTCGTTAATGGTGTGAGCCTTAGCGATCTTCTCCAGGATCCCAATGCCGAGTGCCCTAGTAGAGTTATGAGAGACGACATCAGTGATAATGATGTTAAATTTATCTACAGACAGTTAGCGAATTTTTTACTTCAGCTCTTCAAGCTGGATTTTGACCAGATTGGCAGCCTGCCGTTGCCACAGGCTCAAGCCCATAAGCCTACACTGCCCCGGCCACTAACGCTCAAGGCACATAGCATTCTACAGAATGGAGGAGTTAACACTTTTGGTACACACTGTTTCCTTTCTTTTCCCTTCCTCTTCTTAATACTCTGATTTATCGATTGCGGTGACTAAGCGATGATATGTAGGTGACCGAACTCAGGGGTTCTCAACAACGACCGAGTATTTTCAGTATGTCCTTGGCCAGGACTGGGAACAGCTCATTTACCAGCCAAATTCGATTGTCGGTGAATATGATGCTAGGAACAAATATCTGGCTTTCAAGGTTCTGAAAACCCTGATACCTGACTTAGTCAACGCGAAGTATGATCATTGCAAATTTAAATTAATTTGCGATGATCTTGGCCTAGCGAATCTGATTGTCCGTGGCAAGGAAGAACTTACTGTCATCGGAGTAGTAGATCTTGAATGGTCATATATTGGACCCGCCCAGCTGTTTGGCTCAGCACCTTGGTGGCTTCTTCAAGATAGGCCTGTTAACAGCACGTGGGACTATAATGGTGACACGCCGCCCGAGATCGCTGCCCGGTACTTTAAATATCTAGATATTTTCGTATCTGTTTTGGAGGAGGAAGAGGCAAAATTACCAGACTACGAAAAGAGGGATCTGTCCAATCTTGTCAAGTGGTCGCAAGCCTCCGGGGCCATGTGGTTGCATATGCTTCTCTCATCTGGCTTTAACGACCATCGCAGTTTTCCTTTTACACAGCTCCGCCAATTTTTCGGGGCTACCAAGTGGACAAAGTGTGAGAAGGAATTTGGCCACACAGAAGAACTTGAGGCATTTGTGTTGCGGAAGGTAAGCGAGTTGGATAAGTATAATAAAGCTTTGGAGAAGATGGAGGATAATAAAGCGCTCATGGATAGCGGGAATATAACAAGAGAGGAATTCATTGCCAAAGCTTCGATAGAACCAGGCTGTACCCCTTGTTCCTCATCGCTTGAGATGAGCGATGGGATGAGAAATGATGAAGGATTGTTCAAAACAGTGGCTACCTAGCTTAGCTTGCAAGCTGCAAAGTTTAGAGCCACTGCAAGGGAGAGATGAGACAGTTCCATCAGCAAAAAGACTGAATATTTGCATTATCCCGATAGAAAGCAATAGCTATTCAATTGTCAAATAGATTTATGCCATCTCTCGCTTCTGTAAAGTTTCTTTCCGCAATCTCAAGTAAACTACTTCTATAGATACAAATATATATAATCCAAAATTCAGTTTTTGCATTCATCCAAGACAATCCCCGACAATCGCCCCTCCAATGCTAGATGCCTCCTATGAGAAAGTCGACATGGGCTCTGGAAGTGGTGGATATATGCACGCAATGAAATAAACTTGGTCTTATCTTAAATTTTATCCAAAGATTCACTACATATCTTGGAATATTGAACTTGAAGAGATGCCTGGGCCCGATGTTTGAAGTGTTTCGCAACTTCCTGCCAAGGCAGACAGTGTCGACTTCTCAACTCAGTCAGCAGCTGATTCTCCGCAGGTGAATAAGGGCTTCGCTTATGACGCCTCCTGTGGATCGTTTGTCGCGAAGACTGACTTTGAGGACGACCTTCAAGACATGATAATTGTCTAGAAGACATATCTGGGCGTGATGACGGGGGTAGACGGGTAAAACATTACCTGGAAGAAATGTAAATCCCATGCTATATAGCTAAATACTCTATAGAGAATCTATCCTGTCTTCTATATAGATCTTCTCTGTCTAGCTACAGAAGATCTACTTCTTTTCTAAAATAATGATAATGTATAACCGCCTGCAGTGTAGGTAGACAGATATGATAAATTCTAGGTAGACAAGATTCTGGATAAATATTATATAAGAAAAGGATATAGCTATTAAAAATAGAACCTGGTAAAGTAGACTAGCTATACTTAACCCACATGGAAACCTGCCTTAATACTGGAAGACACAACTGTACTGGACTAATGATTACAGGACCCTGTGTAAAACAAGAGAACTACTAATCTATAGCCTATAGTAAATATATAGATATATAATAATCAATTACTGCTACTGTATACCTAAAAGCACTCTGGTACTAACAAAAAAAAAAAGAAAATAAGTTCTTTTTATCTGCTATCTGGTATATTCTCTATCCTCAGTTATCTAACTTCTCAATCACCGGACAAGTAAGAGAAGCAAGACTTGTAGACTTATATAGTATCTTATATCTATTGTTAAAGTTATAGCAAGCCTCGTGATTCTTCCACTTACATGCTGCGCAACTTCTACTTTTAATAATATTAAATTTATAGCAGGGGAATCTCTAAACTTGCTTTTAATTATTAGTATAATATAATTACTGCAGTGTCTTATTTTCTCTTGTAGTAAGTTATACAGTTATATAATATTTCCTATTCTCTTTATCAAGCATATAACAGACTGGGGCAAGGAGAGTATTACTATATATATCTATAACTATACTATCTCTAGGATTAACGTAATCGGTAAACGAGCGGCCACCTCTATCCCGTATAAAAAATTTAAATAGTCAAAACACCATGAATTTGGACTCCTATATAAAAATAAGTAGTTCTATCGATTCGGGCAGTGCGTAATTTTATGGCCCTGTACACCACAGCCAGAACATTTAGGTGGGGCGCGCCTAGGAGCCGATTCAGCAGGCAGAACCCTATCTGCCTGTATGGCTTCATCTGCCTGATTTCGGCGCTCTATAAGGATTCGGGCTTCAGATACTGACGTGCCTTCTTCAAAAGTAATCTGTTTAGTAGAGCGCTTTTGCTTTTTAATCTGTCTTTTGTTTTTGGCCTGATATTGCTCTAATTAATGCTTAAGTATTGTCATATCATTTATAGCTCGTTCAGCACCTTTAATTAGTTAATTTAAATTGGTTTTGATAGATGAATCTGGACTGCGAGACTGATTTCTAAGTAGCTTTTTAAAGCTAGATTCTGACTTCTTTAGCTGCTTAACTATATAAGGTATTTTAGATACTGAGCTACCTTGACTGCTAGGTCTACTACCTGGAGGTGTAGGAGTCTTAAGCGAGCTGGCGTTAGAGAACACCACATCACACGACGGAGCCGCGATAGGGAGACGAATTATGTGGCAATCGTCAAAACAACCAGGCCCACTAGTGCGGTAACTGTCCATCTCGAAGCTTGAGCGTAGGCTGATCAAAGTTGTCGTTGTTGAATATTGCATCGGTGAGGGAGGATGGCTGGCATAGGCTGTCATAGATATTAAAAGCGGGCCGATACCGCGTTGCATAGAGCTGCCGTGCGGCCTCTAGTCCTCCCAAATGGCTAGCATCTCGATGTATACCTCGTTGCTCTGAAACTTGCTCTGAGGTTTCAACGAAAATCGTCAAATCCCAACCATCATGCAGCTCTGGTCGCTGGAGGAAGGTGCCATCCACAAGGAGTATAGCGTTATTTGCGGCGAGGTGCGGTTGTTGTTCAATAGGCTCATCCTTATCAAGGTCAAACGATGCCGTGCGATAACGTCGATCACCATCTGGTCCTAACGGGGAGAGAAGAAGGGTGTTGATAGCCTGAAGATCACGCGCATCATAGTAATAACCCTCAGCGGAGAAACGGCCGCGCGCATAGCGTTCGATCTTGGGTCTATGAAATCCATCAATTGAAGTACGAATAACGTTCCTTCCTTTGGCTGAGAGGATCTTTGAAAGCTCGTCGGCAAGCGTAGTTTTCCCAGATGCTGTTCGTCCGTCGATTGCGACGCGAGTTGGAGAAGGTTGGTTGATGCCTAAGATCAAAGAAGCAAGCTCTTCAAGAGCCGCAGCCCTTTGCGTAGATGCCATTGCCAAGGTCCTTGGCTAAATAGTAACAGTTTTCCGTGTTCAGGGATGCTGTCGGGGAGAGGTGATGATCGACGTGATCTTCCGGGAGGAATCCCTGGTAGGTTCGTGGGGATATATCCACGTGGCCTGACGGGTACCTTGTAGGTGGCGATACAGGTAATGTAAAATATTTTGCGTCATGGAACGACCAGTACCATTCAATACATGAACCGGTAACAGGGGCTTTTGTAAGCCTTTACAAAAGTGGCCTAGCGTGTTTCATATGAGCGTACCTGAAAGTATTCAAGAGCATAAACATTTGCGCCGGTATTGCATCCAGCTGTACCTGCGTCCCACATCATGACGATTGCGAGGGTGAAGCTTATCGAGATCCAGCTTATGTGGGTGCAATTTATCCATAGCTATGGCTTGTACAGCTCACTAACATCTGTATAGTGTCTTAATCGAGGGGTAAGCAGAATACTTTACTAATGTAGGTATTGCTAATCTAAGTCCCGAAATAGTACCCATACTCGTATTGGAGGTGTTCGATACCCGACGATTACTTCTAGTCTACGGAAATCCCATTGGGAAATATGAGCTGATGCGCATGTCAAGGGGCCTTATATTCCCATCCAGCTCAGCTAGTTGATCTCTCTTCGATGGTTTTTGTCCCATTGGCTTTTTAGCCTTGGAATGGGTGTTTGCGTCCTGGTTCTGCTAGGGTTTTTCCCATACTGTGATGTGAATGCAAAGGCTGTATCCTGTAATGATTAATTAACCTTAATGGGAGAATGAGCAAGCTAGATACTTACTTTCTCTATTTAGGAGGGGCCATACTTCCTTTGGCAGTACTCAGACTGTAGTCTGTAGGCCAGACTGCAATAGTGCTCCATTAAACCAACGCAGACCTGCTGGAACTATATGATGTTATACTCTACCAATGGTTATCTTCACAGCTCTTGCATAGTGTTAACATGACACTTTAGGAACATTATAATACCTGATGCTCTCTGTCTAGCCAATGCTTTGTCAAGTTTTGATTTCCATGGAGGCTGGAGTTCACCATGGTGCTAGCAGTATTGGATTGATCCTTCTAGAGCTTGTAGACAGATGTGATCCGCTACCTGTATTATTTCTGCCGGAGTGAGCTAGAGACTGGGATATTTGGTAGCCAAGGCAATGGTCAAGAGCCTCTTTATCCTGTTACAGCCTCCACATCCTGAAGCACTAGGGGTTTTGCAGGGCCAGTAGTTGAAAGGCATTATAGTTACTATTTGTTCTGCGTATTCGGAAGATATGAATAGCCTGGAACATCATTTCGGACCTTCTAACGTCTCAAAGCGGGGCAAGTAATCCCACGCCCTATCACGCGTTTGAAAAGTCAGTTGAGAGCCTGGGCAAGAGTCACGTAAAGCTTTGCTTATCCTTCTCATTGCAGGTCAGCGCTAGCCCGGCGATGACGGAGTCTCTAGTCCTAGTTTTCCTGCCCTGCCTTCGTTGATTTGAGTTGGGCAACTGCTGGTCGTCAAGCGCTCATCTTGAGGACATCTGGCTCCTGCAGGCGCAGAGTGGAGGATGTTGTTCACCTATCATCGGAGATCAGCGCCCTGGCTTCTTGCACCAGGTATCTCTTCCTCGCCACTCTTCACCTCGGTACAACCGCTGCCGGGCTTACGTGCACCTCGAAGCCGCTCCCATCCGTGTATACTACTCAGGTGTCCCATTTGGCTACGAGACCGCCATGGGTCTCGATGGTTTGACCGGTTTTGTCCCGGACTATAGCTTTTAGGGTTCCACACCAAGGGAGGCGCCATGTAGGGTTGCCGGATCGCCCAGCGGTCCTAGTACTCGACGGCCGTGCCTTTCCTCCACCACCGCTGTGTTTTCCAAGGGGTTGCACCAACTACGTGCGCGTATGTCCGAGGGTCTCATGCTCATTTTAGACCCCGCATGAGGGCATGCAACGAACCGGATTGACTGGAGTCCAACCAGGAGCTGCGAGAGATCGTGACTGGTTTGCAGATATTACATTTGATGCTTCACTCTATAATGTTGCTAGAAAGTAAGAATGGAAAGATCAAGGGCCATTTATTGTAAGTAGAATTACTTCCCCTGAATTGGAGGCTGGGAAACTAGGCAGTTGGCTCTTCAATCCTAGATGGTCACTCATACGCTTGGTAACGACAGAAACCCGCTTTTGGTCGGCCAAGCTTAAACTCCGGTGGAGACCTCCATACAACGACCAAATCAATGCCAACTAGCTCGCAAACCTGCATTAACAACAATACTAGTGTTGCCAACTGTATTAGCATTCTGCAAGCAGTAGATGCCCTACTGAATAGATGGTGGGCACATACTCGGTAAATACCATGGACAAAACATCCGATAAAACATGGTGTTCTGGAACAACACTCTTCAGTAGAACCAAAATTTTTATGCGCCACTGCATCAGCATATTCTTGCGCCAATGCATTTGTAGCTTCTTGGGTCCATAGTCTCTGGGGAATATAGCTTGCTGTTCCTAATCCCACCAGGATAGGCAAAAGGATAGTTGAAATCTTCATATTGTTAAAGCGGCATTGAGTACAAATTAGAGAGGACTGATATCTGGATTAAGAGTACGATAGCTATTGGTATTTGAAAGGGGAGTTGGGTTAACTTATTTCGAGGACTCTTCCTGCCATACCGTTACAACAACACAGCACTTACAATACATTCACCAGTAGATTTAATTAGTCTGCTACTGCAAACATCACTGATGACGCAGTATATAATTATATTGATTATGACATTCATAATCTTACTATTAACTAGTAAGAGAATCATGACTGATAGAGGATAAAAGGCGTCACCACTGTTGCTTGCAGTGATAATCTAGGGTTGTGTTATGACATCAACACTGCAGGGACAAGCAGAATTGCGGAGAAATGACAGCCAACCAATCCTCGACAGGCCCGACAAGCTCAACGACCCATCGTTCCTCCTCACTCTGCACCGCTGGGCATCGCCTACCAGAAACAGAGCCGGTTCCACGACGCCGAACGGGCCTGTAGGGCTAGGACTCACGCGCAGCCCTCATGACCCGTTCATACTCATCACGCTTAACCAGCTTGGCACCGTCTACCACGCCGCAAACAAGCCTGCCGCCGCTAAGACCGTCTTCCAGCGCTCTTTGAGCGCTGCAGAGACTGCGCGTGGGCTGAACAACACATCCGCCCTCAAAGCCACATTCAACCTGGCATGCTATACCATACACAGGGCAGACTGCCTGACGCTAAGGGCATGCTAATGCGCGCACTGCACACGATTCAAGAAGATGCTAGCGTCGGATCATCTCAGCGCGCTACAGATGGTGCATGCCCTTTACCCTAGCCTACAAGGACCAGAGCAAGCTAGCGCAGGCAGAAACCCTGGGCCAGCGTGCGGTGAGTGGGCTCAGCGCCACACTAGGCAAGTCAGGCGTCCGGACGGCGAATGCAATGTGAGATCTTAGGCTCTATCACAATAAGGGTCAGATGACCGAGGCAGTGACGCTGCGCCATGCAGCATTCACAACGCTGCAGGCCACCCTGGAGGACAGGCATCTAGAGATACTGAATGAGCTGCATGACCTGGGCTTAGTGCATGGGTACTCAGGCAATCCGGTGCGTGCAGAGGAGATTTGCCGGCAAGCACTGCAAGGTTTCGAGCAAAGCCCGCTGGGCGCAGACCACGTTACCACCTTACTGGCAGTGTACTATCACAATAGCATGCTTCAATCTTCATATCACCTATAGTACAGCTGGTGAAGCCCTAGGCCAACCCACATTGAGCCTGTTCAGGGGTCGTTCTAGAAGCTTTTTTATTATATTTTATGTGATTTATGTGCCCTGGATACAAGCGATGCAGGGCTAGCCCATGACACCCAACGCAGCACAGGAAAGTATGTCGGCAGGGTCTTTGGCCATTTTGGATCACTCAACACGACCCTTCTCATTGTTACAGAGTCGAGCATATCATAGCAAAGGAAGTAGCAGCATGAGCCATCCATTATAAGTGAGAGGGTTTTACCAGAATATATTGTATTCTGGAGCGAGAATCGAGGGCAAACTTGTGCTCTCTTAGACTAGACTAGCTACAAAGTAACGAACCAGAAGAAGGAAAGAGAGCATGCTCAAAAGGCATACTTTCTATGCAGACAACCTAGAAGCAGACGAAGCTATCCAGAACGGCATGATCACCTGTCTCCCAAAGCTGCTAGTGGTGAGAGGAGTTGTCCACTGCCACCTAATAGTGAGGAAATCCAGGCTCAACCTGCTCTCAGGAATATAGCTGTCGATTTCTTCACCATCTTCAATCTTCAACTTCGAGAAAGAATGATAATTACTATCAGCATCCGAGAACGCCATCCCAATTGTGCACTGTTTCATCTGCTTCATGTTAGTAATCGAAAACCCCCTAAAACTAAACAAGAATACTGACCGAGATCAACACATCCACTCCCCTCCTGCGAATCATCATATCCAAAGAAACGATAACAGGCTTGAGCTTGAGATCCTATAATAGTTACCCAACTACCAGGAGTATAAAACGCATTTCCCCTATAGGCCAATTAGCACCCACTTATCACTATAAACTTCCCTTATTTTACCCTTTGGCGGGATAAACTGTCCGATTATACGGGTTATTTAACACTGTGTAATACTTATTTAGATTGAAAGTTGCCTCTGCCTGAGTCCCATTTGTACGCGTACATTTTACTGAAAGTATGAACAGTGCTTCACTAGAAGCAATATTGGAACAAGTCCGCAAAAAATTCCCTGGGTCACCAAGGCAAAAACTTGCCCAACTGCTAATAACAACCAAGCTGGATAAGAGCAACATGATATAGACAAATTCAGAATCAATTTACCTGCATAGATAAACTCACCATGGTTGGAAATCTTTCAGTCCTTATAGAACCAGTGCCCGTCTTTGGAACGAAATATATATTGAAGTAACATGAAGGCAGTAAAGTTATCATTAAAATACGGAAATTTATGACTGTTTTGCCATGTTATTTTAGGCATGGCCATGGACATTAAGCTGGCTGCCAGGTCGCCAATCCATCAGGTAATATGTAGTATTATGACTAGTGTCGAGTTAGTGTTATGTTCTGGATCATGGAACCTAACGAGGGTTCTGCCGCAGTCCAAAAAGGATCATATATCCTTGAACATCCAATGCTATTATCTATAGTCTATGGAGCGTGAGATCAATATCGCGTGCTCTGTCACCATTATGTATAGTGCTTCTCCACAATATATCAATTGCCGAGGTGAAGAAACCATTGGCTCAAGTGGGAGAGTCTAGGGGCTGGGCTAAGGCTAAGCCAGCACCAGACCTTCAATTCCGAGTTCCTCCCCCATATAGGGCGCAAAGTGACATTCAGACTGAGTTCTTATCGGCGCTGCGGGGTATTCTTCCCCTTACATGCATGAAGGAGTCCACCTTGCGCAATCCACACCGACTATTGCAAGACGGGCTATGGGGTCGCGAGATAATAATGGTCGCTTTCCTAACAATATTACAGTGCTTATAAATTTTAAGGATGCCTCAAAAACTTGCACAACTTGCACTTGAAGAGCATTGGGAAATTTCCATTAGCCAAGTAAATCGAGAAGATGACTTCAAGATTGTCTGAAAAAGACGGCAACAACCCAGTTGCCAGCGTTGCGAAGAATGATACTGGAAACGCTACTATAGCAGAAACGTCAACTCCGGGTAAAGGCAATGTACACTACGTCAATCGTGCTGAAAGTGACCCCCTTCCGGAGTATGAAGGAGAGCTCATTCCAGGGTACGACGCAAATCTGATGCGAGCACGAGCAACTCTTAGTAGCGCAGAGGAAAAGAAGCTCTTACGAAGAATCGATTGGCACCTCATTCCGCTCCTAGCAGTGATTTATATGCTGAAGAGCGTTGATTTCACTAATGTAGGTGCTTGATATGCTTCCAAATCGACGGTAGTTAGATCCCTCCTTACGACGAAATAGGTCTCCTACGCCCGAATCATGGACAAAGGGTCGCCTCACAATATTCTGACGGAACTCAAAATGACATCCGATCAGTACAATCTGGTCACAACTATGTACTATGTGCGTCTACCCGGAGGTTGAAGGAGGACCTAGGTTGACAGCTGGAAGATCCCATATATTGTCGCTGAAGCACCGTCCAACCTTCTCATCAAACGCGTACGACCGTCTATCTGGCAGGCCCGAATAATGGTAGGTGACTTGAGCTATTATGCTAAGAAATAGCCCAAGTTCTAAATCTTGCAGATATCCTGGGGGATTGTGCTCTGCTGCCATGCAGCTGTGATTAACCGACAAGGCCTCTACACTGTTCGCTTCTTCCTCGGTCTCTTTGAGGCCGGTCTATGGCCCGGAATGCTTGTCCAATTATGCTACTGGTATCGACCAGATGAAATTGCTCCTCGTATAGTACTTGTAACAATCCTAGGGAACTTCAGTACCGTTATCAGCGGTGTCCTAGCATTTGCGTTCAATGGCGTCTTTGCTGGTCAGTTATCCGGTTGGAAATGGTAGGGGAGTGATATTTCCTGACAGGAAAGCAAAGTTAAGTTTATGTTAATGCTTGTTGATGCTCTTGTCTTAGGCTGGTCTTAACCGAAGGCGTTTTCACCGTACTTCTGGGGGTTTTTATTTATTTCTTTCTCCCCGACTGTGAGTATCACTGAACGCGGATACCGAGCTTCATTAATCCTTCTACAGTTCCCTCGACGTCATCCTGGCTGTCGGAGAAAGAGCAGATCTTCATCCAAGCCCGTCTCCCTAGTAACTCTCCGCGAGCGGCCGAGGCGAACTTTGACTTGCGCGAGCTTATCACGACATTCAAAAATAAGCGAGTCTGGCTCTTCCTCTTCTGCTGGGCCTTCTTCACGGTGGGGACCACCGGGCTTACCTTCTACCAGCCAACGGTAATTGCAAACTTAGGCTTTACGTGAGTTAATTTAACAGGCCGAGTGAAGACTAGATTTCCTAACGGACATTGAAGCTCTATAAGCGAAACACAGCTGTTAAACATCCCATCCGCAGTCTTTGCAGTGATTCTAACAGTATTGTTTGGCATCTTAGCTGACACCGGACGAATTCCCCTGCCGGCGATCCCACTGGCGTTCATGGTAGTGATCGAAGCGTGCTATGGCGTGCTCTATGCTTTTCCAAATACTGGCGGCGTCTATGGCGCAACTATTCTCGCGGGGGGTTTCTCAACCGCGTGGTAAGCTTTTCGTTCAACTTACCTTTATCCTGGTGTGCTAATGCCAAGTAGGTACGTGATGATGTGGCCCTGGCGAGTCCAGACCACCGAAGGCGCCACGGGCTCGGCATTTGCGATTGCCTTTGCTAATAGTTACGGGCAAATTGGCGGAGCGGTTGGATCCCAACTGTTTAATTCTCGCTACGCGCCGCGATACACAACATCCTTTGGAATCGGGATGGCGTTTGTGGGCATGGCGATCATTATGAATCTTATTACTTGGACCTTCACGTGGCAGGTCGACGTCGATACTAGGAAATTGAAGCGAATCCGGCTGTCGGCGGCGAAGCAGAACCAGGCAGTGTTAGATGATGTTGACATCCATGCGGGAGAGAAGAAGAAATAGGAGGTGGGTCTGTATGCACATAGCCCTAGACTGAAATAGATATACGCCATTGCGAGGAGCGATGGTCTTATCGCATTAAATCATTCAACTTCCCCTCATCTTTCCCTTGGCAAGAATCCGATAATCCTTCCAACGGACTAGCAGCCATGAAGTCCACGTATTTATCTTGCCTCGCTGCCCTAATTGGAGCGGTACTAGCCTCGAAGCCACAATAGACATTGCTCCAACAGATGACGGAGTTGGATTTCGACCATATAATCTCCTCATCTCCCCTTCTCTCATTCCACAGAGACATTGTGCAGATCGCCTCGATCAGTAGACACGAGAAAAGCGTCGGACAATTCGTCCTCGATTTCCTTTCGTCGCAGGCTCTGACCGTGGAGAAACAAATCGTCATCCCCGGAAGCGAAAACGAAGAGGAAAAATTTAATGTCTACGCCTATGTTGGGGAGAACCGGCTTCCGGACGTCTTGCTCACCAGCCACATCGATACTGTCCCGCCCTTCATCCCTTACTCCCTCCATGTCCTTAGCTCGAAGACTGGGTCATTCAACAATCGCACAGACCTAGTAATTGCGGGATGGGGCACCGCCGATGCCAAAGCCAGCGTAGCAGCGATAGTATTCGCCGCGCTGGAAACACTCCGCGACAACCCCGACGCCTCAATCGGCTTACTCTTTGATGTAGGCGAGGAAAACGGTGGTGTGGGAATGAAGCATTTCTAAAACTCTGATCTTAATCCGGCACGTCCTACATTCCACACCGTCATCTTTGGAGAGCCAACTGAGCTTAGTCTCGTCGCGGCGCATAAAGGTGGCCTGGGGTTCAAGCTGGTGGCTGAAGGCAAAGCCGCGCATTCAGGATACCCTTGGCTGGGCAACAGTGCTATTTCGTCAATTCTTCACGTGCTAGCCCATCTTGACTCCCTGGAAGATGTTCCGCCCGAGGACGGTGGTCTCCTTCGGAGTGAGACGTTGGGGAAATCAACATTGAATATTGGACTGGTGAGTGGCGGCGTGGCCGCGAATGTCGTTCCAGCGCACGCTGAAGCAACGATCTCGGTTCGGCTTGCGGCAGGGATCCCGGAGGACACCAGAATCATAATAGAAAACGCGGTAGAAGCTATTACTGGGGATGACGCAGGCGTCTATCTGGACTTTGTGGATCGCACATCGGGTGCTTCTCCACAGTATTTCGATGCGGACATTGATGGGTTTGACGTTATTACAGTGAATTACGGGACCGATGCTTCATCGCTCGAGATTCATGATCAGGGAATGCGGAGGGTCCGGCGATATCTTTATGGGCCTGGGAGCATTCACGCCGCGCATGGAGATAACGAAGCAATCACGGTAGGGGAGCTGGAAGAGGCGGTGCGTGGATACAAACGTCTTATCTCTGCTGTTCTGTAGACCAGCGATGATAATAGATTGCATATTTCAGTGCTGCCTTCATCTTCCCGGGCGTCCACTTACACTTTTAAAAGAGCCTTGAGGTTTGTAGCTCAGTCATTATTGTTGAACAACATCTGAGGCCGTAAATCGGCCGAGCAATGCATCCCGTAAGTGTCGCTGGACATCAAATTCAAGAAGATAATTATAATGGTCATTTGGCATAATACCTGACCACATGTCAATTGTCGATCCGGTTCTCAGAGTCAGAGTTGCTTATTCCAGCGCCACTACGCAAGGAAGTTCGTAACCCTTAACATAACGTAAGCCTGGGCATCCCTTGTCGTATCCGAGGGCTCACTGGGCTAACTCTTAGTCCGTCACGCCCCCAATGGTCAATCGGCTTTGGGTCTCATCTGGGCTCCAAGAGATGTAACGCGATATATCATGATCGACATTGCTGGGCCTCATGTCCACCAGGAATGCGGACCCCGGTGTCCATAGTGCCAATACCGAGTCCCCTTTCACGAAGGATACCAAGAAGATCCCGACAAGAAAGAACAAGTTTGTTATGTAGCTCGTCCTATATTGCAGGAGCCCTAGTATTGGCTCAGCCGATACATAGGAAAGTGGCGAAACAGGCGAGAAAGCCGATGTTCGCGTGAATTATCCAACTATCATGCTAATGTGCGTAGGATGACTCGTACGCTTTGTCGACAAGGAGATAAGTACTGATGATTAAAGGACTATTCGCTTGGTCTATGGTCCAATACACACATATATACTCCGACAATCAGCGTGCAGTCCCCCGGAACACCACCTAAAGGTCTCTCCGCTGAATCGGATCTCACCGTCGTATATAATGACGAAGACCCTGCGTGTCGTAGCTTGTGTGATAGGTAAGAATGCACAGCATCCAATTGCGGTTCCTAACTGTTCAATTTAACGAGTTGGCAAGGTTCAGTTCCAGATTAATTGTTCTCCCAGAGGCAGTAAAGGTATATATAAGCACATTGAATTTCTCTCGTATCGAAAATACGAATTCCTTAGTCGCACTTTGCCAAACATGGACGACACTATTATCCCCACTCTCCAAGATACCTCATGCCCCCACGTCCGATATTTTAGCCCTTAGAAAGGAATACAGGAAAAATATATCATCGAAAAAGTGCCTATCAGAGCAGGTATTTACCGGGGATGATAATCTCAATGGTGAACGCAGGAAATGTGGAATACGTCGCGAGGGCGATTGATGTCGTCGTTCGGAAAGTGCAATAAGGGCGCTTTTAAGATAACGAAACGGGGCGAAGGAGACATCTAATGGCAATATAGCTGGGCCACCTATTTGAAGCCAGCAATCAATGACAAACAGAGTTGTGATATTTCTCATGGTGCGTGCGGTGTAGGCCTCGGTCCTCATAGTTAAAATGCTAGAATGAAACGCGATAACCAATGACACATTAGGAAGCTATTATTATGCGATGTACATACTAGAACTCCCTTTACACTGAGCCTATAATTCGTGCTGTATGTTCCTACTCGCACACATATTCTGATGTAGGGCTCTTCGGATCCGAAATTGTCCGGTGATGGTGATGCTATGCTTTGGGCAATACTCAACTGAATCTTGCCGACCTGTCGAAGTCTTGCAAAATTGCCTTTTAGGTACGTCGATGTCCGGTGTGTTTCCAAATTCTCGGCTACTGGTGCATTCTTGGGGTCTCCCCTGCGATGCTCTGCTTTGTTCATTGGTAAGTCGGGATGGGGTCTTGTCGATGATAACCCTTGGTAAGGCTGGACTTTCCGTATTGATAAACCACATCAAGGCATCAAGGACCACCTCGGACTTGCTGATCCGCCAAAATTGGATAACATTGCTCCTACCAAACTCACTAAGTCTGTGGGTTGTGTCTGCGTGTGCGCGCGTATCTGTTCCGGCTTGTGCCATTATACCACCATGACCTATTCCTCGCTCTTTAGGGCAGTGGCCTCAAGAAACGCCGATGTTGAGTTGACTGTCCGTGGTCAGTTCCGTGATGGTCATGCAAAAGAATGTATTGCCGATAGCTTCATGCACAAACGCATCTGGACGAGCCCCTTAGTGCCAACAGTAGCTGGCAATAGCTTATCGTGTATAAAGCGCCCATCCCGCCTGGGTAATTGGCGCTTCCAGTGCGATCAGTATATCAGGTCGGTTTGAAAGTTGGATAGCACCATAAACCGCATGAACAACAAGACTTTTCGCAATGCTGATGATAGGAAGCTGCTCTATGTAGGGCCGAATCTGCTTATTACTCTCAGAGTGAGGCGCTGGGCGAGATCCACAAGCACTAGACCTGATCTGCCAATCGTGGCAATCTCAAATGCTTCATTGATCCTGTGAGGCAAGTTGGCGGCATTTTACAGCATCAAATTCCACTTAGTACATCCGAGGGATACTCCAAGAATATCTGCTTCCTGGAAAGTATCGCTTCCGATGGCACTCGTGGACACTGGGCAGCTGAAAACAGGCATTAGCATAATATGTCAAGAAGAACTCTGATACACTTGTGGAGGGGAAGGATGAAAGGGAAAACATGAATAAGTTATGAGATATCCTTTTCTAGGGTTAGATATAGATACACAACTCAACCCTTCGAATTAAGAGCCATCACGCAAGGTAATATAAGACTAAATATGCTCGAATAGAATAGAGAATAGCACCTCGGTCAATTATCTCCACACGCTAGATGTGCAATCCATTGCTTACTCGAGAGTCTCTTGGTTCGCAGTACCCAGAAGAGACTGAAGTAGTTCACACTGATGTCCAAAACAGGCCAGGCTGCCTGGGTCATTCCGAATTGTGTCGTCTATGGCTTGCCTGTTATTATACGAAGATAATTATTAACTAAAAGAGAAGGGTCGAAAACCCATACCCAGATTAAACTTTAACCAGCGGTATGTCTCCGATGCTAGTAATTTTAATTGTTATATCCCGTAGAATGCATACTATAGAAAACAGATCACTTACGGTTACCTCCGTTCAGCTTGCTGGGACTACATATACACCCAACCGTGGCCCGATCAGTTAGATACCATTCCCAGCAAGATGACTCCGTCACGTTGTCGAAGGCATTTCCACTATTCAGAGTTAACCACCATCAGTGATGAGTTTAGAAAAAAAAACCGGAAAAGAAAGGAAGGAGACATATCCTACATACCCATCACCTGGCACTATCCTTTTATGATCACAAGTCGAAAGCACTTATTCAGTTCGAGAACGGTCGAAGCTCTGTTCCATTACCTATTGGGCACTCTGCCCATAGTTTTGTAAATAGAAGGAAGGAGTACCCCTTTGCGGGTCACAAATCTATTAGAATCCTGAGATATATCGGCAGCCAAAGTTGCCAGAGGCGAGAGGAAGTAAGGAAGAGACCGGAGTGCGCGCATATCAGCAGATATGAGTAGATAATGTAAGGCAAACAACCTAATATATATTGTGTACACACTCCGAAATCACCCGGGCACTCGCAGGTCCTCTTGTTATCTATCTATCTATTTTCCAGGATATCATACTTCAAAAATGACTTTTTCGACGCAGGGTTATAAACAGGGCAAGCTGGGAAAACGCCCGCTTTCATTGTGAATACTTGGCATCTTGGGCTAAGCTCGATCCCTTTGATCAATGGTCTTGGCTAGGTGTGGATTTATTGGGATATATCTACAGCCAAAGGTGGAGTGATCGGTCTCTTTTTTCATTGGCGCATTGGTCAGTCCGTGAGCGCTTTTCTAATTTTATTTTCTAACTCTTTACCATGTGCGTATGTAGTACTGGAGTAGGTTTGGAAGATCACGATTTGATTGTCATGCAGAATCAAACGAACGCTACCTGGGTGAAGCCATTGGCCATCAGGATCAATGAGTAGAGCGTAGGTTAACCTTCGGGGGCATTATCGCGTGCAATTAAGGAGGAAAGATTAGACCGTTGTCACAAGGTCGGTGCGAAACCTCTCTCCCGTGCCAGCTCATTTGTAGTACGAACCGAACATACACGGGAAGTTGAAATTAAAACTCACATTGCTTAGCGCACGACCTTGAATGACTTCCATCTCATACACTATATAGGGTCATGACGGCTTCCACACTAGTTATTATCACCTCCGCACGCTATTCGTTTCCAATAGCACGAGACTACCTACACTAGAGCGACCCCTAGCAGTTTTAAGACTTGATCAAGATATGTAGAATGCGGGAGGTGGATACAAAGTCATTTCTAGGTATCCCCTTGCACGGTAGGACATTTGAGAGCGCAATGAACTCTTTCCACGGAAATGTAATATATATGCGAGGCATGAGACAGCAACGCGTACGTTGAAATGGGTACACATGATCCGTTAATGTCCTTACAAAGCCCTACCCCTGAATCTTGGAGAGGTATCATCCATCGGAGACTTGATAGCCTACTGCTTTGTATCTGACCCCCTACCTGTTTACCACCAAACTCTTAATCTCATTGCCGTTAACGGTATACTCCGCCTAAGTTTCATTTCTCCTGTCACAGACTGAGGAGAAGATCGTCGATATGCGGAGGTTTACTTATCCGTGACGTATTACGTCGAATAAGCACCAAATGAGGTGTGGGGGACGGTAGCTGACCGGAATGTTGAGTCCCTTGCTTAATTCAAATTATTGGGAGGAACTCCTCCTGCACGTCACACCGATGCTCTCTGAAAAGAAATTGGGTATCGCTCCAGGCCCTGTGGAACCAACCTTTGCATTGCTCTGATCCCCCCAAGATCACGGTCAGAGCCTTTTCCACCCATCCTGACCACACGACCTTCGTATACTCAACTTTGGTGAGAGTGTCTATGGGGCCATTGAGCATCAAAATCAGATGGAAGCATCCTCTCCTCATATTAAATTTTCATCGCAAAGAGCCATGATCGCACAACCAGGAGAGTCTTCAGTGATCGCGTATCTACAGCAGAATCGGCTCGAACTGACTCCTGACGGGCAACATATTCGTTGGAGTCATGGAAATGCAATCCATCCGAGGAATTGGCCTGTGTTACGGAAGTCTTTTGACACTGGACTCATCTGCCTCCTCGACCTTCTTCTGTATTCTCATCCCAGCCCTGGAACCCAACATCGCTCGCTAATGAAATTGCAGCACCGCCTCTAGTACTGCTGGTGTGAGTGATATAAGTGCCGCATCTTACTGCTTACTTCTAACAATCATAGGCCGCGGCAGCCACTGAGGCGAAACAGGAGTATAAAATTGAATCCGAACTGTCTACATTCTGTTTTGTGACCGTGTAAGCTATCATGGGCACTGGATCTCTCTCATCGTTATCAACCAGGCCTTCGTGAGCTAATCTGCCTGCACTAGATTCCTGCTAGGCCAGGTCGTGGGGACAATTGTCCTACCGCCATGGTCAGAAGCGTTTGGTCGCAAAAAGCTATATCTGATCAGCAGTGCTTTAAGCTGCGTATGCTGCGCAATAATTGGCGGCGTCCAATCCCTCGCTGCTGTCATCGTCGGACGTGTCTTCGCCGGGTTGATTGCGGCCATTCCATACACGGTCGGAATGGGAAGTGTTGAGGATATGTGGTCTTCTCGTCCACGCATATGGGTGACCTTCCTATGGACCATAGCCTCGAACCTCGGATTATGTGTTGGTCCTATCATGGGCACATACATCAGCGTTTTCCTAAACTGGTACGTCGGGGGGACCGTCTTCTGCCATGGGCGATGCTTGACTCACACATTTCATAGGAGGTGGCTCTTCTACATCTATGCAATCATGATCGCGGTCATCGCTGCACTGTTCTTGTTTACTCGCGAGTCCCGACCATCGCTTTTGCTCTCGAGAGAGGTTGAGAAAATGCGCCATCACACGGGATCCAGGTTTCAGGCCCTAAATCATGATTATATACCGGACCTGCGCACATTTGTCAAGGTGTCATTGTTCCGGCCCGCGATACTCTTCTTCAGGGAGCCCTTGGTCTTTGTTGTTTCCGTGATGGTGGCTTTCGCCTTCTCCCTTCTCTATATATTTACCGAAGCCCTGCAGCCAATCTACGAGGCGCTGGGTTTCACCCGTACCCAGTCGTCTCTGGCCTTCGTTGCCATCGCGTGTGGCATCTGGTTCAGCTCTCTGACTCGAATCCTCGACAACCGTATCATTGATACTCGACACCGGAACCAGCAGCCGGTGAAGCCTGAAGATAAATTACTTGGCCTTGCGATCGGCGCTCCCGTGTTGGCTCTTAGTATGTGGTGGTTCGGTTGGACGATTCCCCCAAGGCAGCAGGATGTACACTGGATCGTGCCTTCGATTCCGCTGGCAATGATGGGATATGCGTTGAATGAGTTCGATACAGTACTCTATGGCTATTTAGGAGATTGCTACCTGAGCTACTCGGCTAGTGCTACCGCTGCTGTGGCCTTCCTGCGCGCCTTGCTCTCTGGGGTGTTCCCGCTGTTTACGAAGCAGATGTTCGAGGCGCTGACCCCCAATGTAGCTGTCTCGGTACTTGCTGCGCTTGCTACAATGTTTTGTATCGCTCCTCCATTGTTCATGTGCTATGGAGAGCGAATCCGAGGGCGAAGTCCGTTTGCAAAACATAGTGTTGAGGTCGAGGCTGAACTTGGGAACAAAGATGAGGGTTACTGATTTGGGTGTATGCATAATCCAAGCGTGCGTACCGGATGATATACAGCTTGGCTGGTGTATATCATGAAGTACTACTTCCCCAGTAATGATGGTCTTCGGATGGTAAAGGCGCCCGGAGTTAGAACTCCATTAAACGCAAAGGAAAAGCAGCACTGGTCTATCAAATGATATATCAAGGTCTCAGCTCCGCCCAAGCACACAGGCACTTTTTTTTTGTTCCCCATTCCGTAGCCGCCATATATCCCCATCTGGGCAGCTCGCACACTTGCTCTCCGGATGCGGAAGCTTCCTCGCCACGGACATTGGGAACGATTCGATAAATGGCGCGTAGCTTTCCTCAATCAGTTGTCGCCTCCAGTCTCCTGGACGTTCCACCCTGCAGTTCGTACCACCGTCTGCATCGGACAGCAGCGATGCGTACCGACTATACCGAGGATCCGTCTCTTTCTTTGGTTTAGTAATACCCCTCCGCAGGGGGATACACGATTCTGGGGGCTCTCGTTCATATAATTGCTCCAATCGTTGGCGGGATTCCCGCAGTTTAGCCAATCCTCTTGCGATGTATTGATTATCATCCTTCAATTGGCGATTAAACTGGAACCCAAATATCGGACGCCGATGTTCCTCATCGTCATTCGCATATGCGTACTCATAGGTCGCTATTCGCTGGTATCGGTCCTCCTGCCGGACGTCACCTTGTGTCCAGCCCCGCCACGGAAGCAGGTGGATCAGACTGCGAACATATAAGGGGAACAGGTTAGGGGAGAGGCGGAAGAAGAGACGCCCTGGGCCGTGGTTGACTGGGGCATTTTTCTCATGCCTCAATGCATCGCGGGCATGACGGAAGCTGACGGGGAGGCCGGGGGGTGCAGGGGTCGTTACCATTAATCGGGGTAACGTTCCGGCAGAGTATTTGAAGAATACATTGTTCGCTGCTGTTTCAGTGCCTTCGTAAATGACCAGGTTGATGCCCTTGAGGTTCAAACGGTCGAGTTCTAGAAGACTAGCATCCCAGAATGTGTCTCCCAAGGCTAAGGGGGGATACTGTACGTGTATTTCGATTGAGATTGCGGACAGGCCTGGGAAGCCGAGGCTGACTAGTGATAAAGTCTCGTTCCATTCCGCGAGATATGTCTCCATTCCCTGTCGTAGAGGGATACGGAAGGCTAGGTTTGCGAGGGAGTCAGCTTGCCAATGCTTCAAGCAATATGTGAAGTTCGCAAAACTGCCGAGCTCTTCGGTCCAGAAAATGGCTTGCTTGTACGGTAGACGTCTTGCTTCTTGGTAGACCTGGCGACAAGCCAGGAGACAGCTGAGGTTCGTTGGATTTCTCTCCAGAGACTGTGGGCACGGGTAGTGGCTGGACGCGATCAGGACGCCATTTCCGACGTATATATCGGTATCAAGTGTTTGTTGTTGGATCCTCTGACATTCTGGGTGTGAGCAGACGCGTGGTGATATGTCTCCCATCAGATCTCGCTGGGCCATCAGGCACCGATTATCCACAAGACATCGAAGGGGAATTGGTCTGCGTCGGATGGGGTACACCTGGTACTCGAACACAGCCTTGTAGATCAGGAGACGTATCTCCGGAGGCAACAATAAGAGATGATGCCGTTTAGGCCTCGGCATGATACTGTATCGCTATTAATAAGGAACATCAATAGGAGATAAGCTACCTACCACTCTGGGTCCATAGCCATCCCCCCGAGGTAGTTGCGGTATTGTGCGGTACATAGTAGAGGGGAAAGAAACAAAAGGGAGTTTTATCACAGGCGGGGGCCGAAAGATTACTTAACTAGTCTGAGTCCATCCTATAAATTGGTAAGCGGAATGGGGCAACCATTCCTGCCAACTGGATTTGATCAAGATACGCGAAATGTTATATTCATTGCAGCATCACAAGGCTCCCAAAGGACAGCTTGAAATGATTTCGACCGTGATAGTATATAGGATTATCACTATTGTGAGAAGCGAAAGAGCGGCAACGCATATATTTATAATCAAGTATCACTCTGTTAAAATTGCGAGCCACCTCTCCATAACCCTGCCATCTTACTCGTCACGACAGCGATGAGCTCTGCAGCAATGGACTCGATCAATTCTAGTTTATTTTCATAGTAATCATCGGACACGTTTACTAAGCTCCGGAAGAAATAAACTGCCTAGTAGGTGACGTGAGGCTTTCTATGTACCTTCCAGCCTCCTCTAATACGCAGCTTCTAGTACCCAATAGAGTACTCATGCGGAATTTCGGGCCACTTGTCTACACCGTCTAATAGTGCCAGCGCCATGCCCCCACTTAGGTGCACCTGGATATGGCAGTGGAGTAGCCATGCGCCGGGGTTCACAACCTGATAGCGAATCGCTAACCAGGTGTCTTCAGTGGCAGAGGGTGGCGTGACGAATGTGTCTCGGATCTGGGGAGTCTTGAGGTTGAAGCTCTTCGGAATATGTTGCATCGCTTCAGCCACGGAGGAGTAATTCCATGCGCCAGTCCCCTGGCCGATGACATAGAACTTGTTCGCATGTTTATGGATTGGATGTGGGGGGTGTATCTGACCATGGACGTGGAAAATGAGATCGATCCATGTTCCGTTGAGCGTCTTGATTATAAGGTCCGGGGGAGCAGTAGAGGGGTTGAAGAGCAGTGGCGACGTTGCCTCCAACGAAAGAGGGAAACTAGAATCTCCCAGGGTCCAGCGGTAGGAGGCACCATAGTGACTGAGCTTTAGGATATGCGTCTGTGCAACCTTATCACTCGGTGCCTCAATCGGGAATGGAATGACGGTAGCTTCGTCCAGTAAAGTATAGCGAGGAGACTCGACTGAGCCGTGGATGCCGATCGATGGCACCGATGCATGTTGTTGTGCCTTGGGCAGTTTGTCGTAAGTCAACATCGCCGTCGCGCTAAGGATTTGATTGATTCCCGAGTTCGCTACACGAATGGCATAATCTCCAGCGGGCTTATCCAACTTGACAAGTACCGAGTATCGGTCTCCACTTGCAATGGTGACCGCGTCAACCAGCGTTGGATGAATGTAGCGTCCATCAATAGCATAGACATACATTGGATGCTCATCAATCGAGAAGGTGGCCATCGAAATCCCAGCCGCACTTATCAGATCATAACTCACATACTTGCCGGATGAGTTCACCAGGAGACGCTCAGTACCGCCATCTCCTGACATACAGCCGGAGAACATAGACGGAGGTATTTCGCTAATGTTGTGAGGAAAGGTTCCCTGGAGAGATGCTAACATGGGGGAGATACATCCGGTGTCGCTCAGATTCTGGTTGCCCAGGATCAGCTTCTGCTCAGCGCTAGCGAGCTCATTCAATCGTTCTTTACCCGGGCAGGTAACCGACCCTTTCCCATTGATGAGAAGCGCGTTGACACAGTATGCGTCCAGTCCAGTAGCCTCCTCGGCCCGCCACAGTTCCTCTGAGGTCAATAGACGCCAGTCGGAGAGCAATACTGGTTTTGTCATCTCCTCCGCTGCCTGCATCGCGTGCAACTCGCCGGTATTGTTCGTAATCAACCTGAAAGGCCTTTCAACGGAGTCATCTGGGCGTATGTAGATCGCGCCATAGAGGCCATCATCGACCTGGCCTCGACTATGAGCGTGGTAAAAATAACTTCCATAGTGAGCCGCGCGCCATTTGTAGAGGAAGTGGCCGCCAGGCACGATAGGCTTCTGCGACAAACCAGGCGTACCATCCGACCAGGGAGTGCCACTCTGGTCGATTCCTGGAAAAGTATCCGGTCAGACTAGGAATATTCAATGCACACCGTAGTATGAGGGGGAGGCTCTACCATGGAAGTGAACAGTCACATCGGTGGGAAGACGGTTGATCACCCGGAACTCGACATCATCTCCTTGCTGCAACTGCAGAGCTGGGCCTGGGAGTTGACCATTCATAAGGATCATCTGTCGAGGAATGCCCGCTGGGGCCCAGACCTCCCAGGTAAGCGTGAGATTGAAACACACCGGGCCAGGGAGGTTCTTGCCATTGGTACGGGAAACCAGGCACAGGACGCATGCCAGCCATGCCAGCCCCTGGCGGAAAGAATTCATGCCGGAAAGATGGATGAGAGCATCTGGGATGGGACAGCCAAGCTGTCAGGAACCCAAATGGCTGGCATGATCTTATATGCCGACGTGGCAAGTGGGAAAAAAATCAAGGGGGAAACAGATGCCAAAAAAAAAAAAAAAAAAACAATTGCAATCCTTCATTCCCAAAGAGAACGGTCTTCTTCCATTGATTCCCCGTGCTATTGTGGCTTGTTTAGTGGGCGTGCAGGATAACATGCCGTCGAATAGAAGCGAATTCAGGACTCCATAGCATACCGATCTTGTGCACAGCAAACCTCTAATGATGCGGATCGGCGACAAACACATTGAGAGTGGGTTTCGATTGTCGGAAAAGGGGGCTCCCACCAATCTACTGCAGTGATAGTCCTCAGTAGTGTGCTGCGGCTCCCTACATGGACTCAACACTGAACTCAAATGTCTCTCAGGTTTGATCGGAACCGCAGCTGGATCCCCGTAAACATGACACGACCCACTCCCCAGGATCGGATGGAGCGTCGCTTTGCTCTCGCCGCATCGTGAAAGCCATGGTCAATCGAGTCATGGAAGGGAAAATCGGCCCATCAACATTTCAATAGAGTAGTAACTTTAAACATGGTACAATCTAGCAGACAAGAGTCAAAATGTTTTGGCCTGAAAGTCAGAAATGGGCATTATCCATAATTGCCCTTTTTGATCCCTATAAAATATATGAACTTCTCATCAATTTGGTGCACGGACTCCGCAAGGTTGGGGAAGGTTGGCGAAAATCAGGCGTTAGTATCGAGGCCGAGAAATTGAAACAAGAGAAAGAAAATGATCTTAAAAAGTATGTAGCATCGGTCTATACACTCTCCTAATGGCCCATATCTCGAGAACTACGCCTCAAGAGATGTATGAATATATCTTTCTCACCAAGCTCAATTTTGTGATTAGTAATGGTTGGTGTATCTGTAATACACAGTTCTTCACATTAGAATCCCAGCGACCGAGGTAAGATGGTAATACTAATACACAATCGAAGGAGCCATGGAAACTTGTCACCCTTAAAGTCGATCGATATTGTACTAGGGAAACTAAATAGCTGGCTGGACTTTGATGTTCTTCTTGGATTGGCGGTCCTAGGTGATGTGTGTACAGACACCCAGCTATACTTGCAAGCTGATCAGCACAGCACTCCGTCTGGAGATATCAAGTTACCGACCTCACAACCACCGATGGCAGATCATTACCCCAGATTATACGTCCAAAGTTAAAAAGAAGGGTGATCCAGGGTCCTAACAAGTAAGATACCAATCAATCCATCCAAAGTATACTATCAGACGACGTTGCCTCTGCCATCGCCACTGATGTCACTCATGACCTCATCTGGGGTCTCTGATATATGTTATAAGGGGAGGTCCAGACTGCTCCTCAGTGGTAAATATCTACTAAGATCAGACCAGATATACTTACACAAACCCACATTTTTATCAGTAACATAGCACCGCAGCAATGACCTCCAACTACAACACCAGACAATGGGCCAACCGCGTCCGCGCCAAGGATGACGAGAATGTCTCCCAAAAGGAAGACCAGCAAGGTGGCTCTTCTCCTTGGGAACCTACCAAGCAGGTATCTTCAACATGTGTGTGATTCGTGGTTCTTTAGTGATACTAAAGATCGTAGTACACCGCGCCCTCTCAGTCCGCCGGTGGACGCTCGCAACCCGCCGATGCCTCTGCCAGTGATCCTTCCTCTCAGCAACAGCCCTATAGCTCGAAATATCATTTCACCCATGACGAGCTGGCTCACCCAGACGAGTAAACCGTTGATCCTGATCCCAGGCCGAGGACATGTGGCGGCTGTATGAATCGATCTTTTATTATGAACAACAAAACAAGCGGTCTCCGACCTCAATGTATCAGAAATGAGTAATATTTAGCATAACACATGAATTGTGCATATTCCCTCGCTTGCCATGGAATGCTTTGAATATGAACTGATTGAATGTGAACTGAATGGTATTTCACAATTCAACATGTGCGTTCATCATGGAGATAGGTGGTTCCTAGTAGACGAGTATCAACTGAAGTAGGGTATTACAATATAATCCACATCTCTATACCTATCTTAGTATCCGTATGCTAGAACTAATCCGAAGCAGCACTATATAGTACATTGTTGATGTGACATCAGTGTGTCGATAAATCGTCGCTAAATCGCGACCGTTTGACAGTTTTCACTCAGTAGGGCAGGATTGCCTTTTTAAGACGGACCACCATCTGAGATAAAAAAGATAAAAAGAAATCCACCTATTGAAAACGATTATCGAGGATGACATGTCCGTGTAACCATGTATTGAGGTATTATATATACATTCCATTGATCATCCGATGATTTTTCTATGTTACATAGTAACCACATCCATGTCGCACCGCAGGACAGTCATTTAATCTTATGTCTCACAGAGACAAGACTAGATCCTTTAACTTCTTGAAATCGGGCACACCCAATCCAGTCACAGGATCCCATCCCACTGTCGCATTCCAATGCGCATAGGGGATGATACCACCTCCGGGCACCTTCTTGCCGGTCTGAGGGTTGACCCCATTACATCCGATGGAGGACCCTGCCGTGATATCAGTGAAGTCCTTCAGAGCTCCACTATACAGCAGAGGATTCAAGAACCCGAGAGAAGGCTTCCCAGCGCGGAGCCGGGCATCATTCAGCAACCCAACAATTCCGGCGAAGACGGGGGAGGCGGCAGATGTTCCACCGGATGTGCCACGTTGGCCCTTGCGGATCACCTCGTAGCTGTACACAAGGTTTATTAGTAAGATAGGGATGCGGATGGGGTGCGGCGACTTACTTGGGGTGCAGGCTATGGGCAGCGACGTCGGGGAATCCACGACCAGCGAAATTGGTGTATTGCGTGTAGTACTCCTTGGTTTCGGAGGTGATGTGGTGGTCGAGGTACTTGCGGACCGCAGATTCCTGGTACCAGGGGCGACTGAAGTAGTTGCTGAACCCGCCGGAGCCGGCGTCCCAGGCGACTTCGGGGGCATAGGACTGAGTACCTCCCACGGAGGTCAGATAGGGGCAAGTACCAGGGAAGGTGGGCGTGAACTCGGGAGTCTCGGTGCCATCGTTGGACATGCAGGCGGACCCAATGCCTATTTCTATTAGTACACATCGAGAACAACATCAATGGTCGGATCGCATACCTGTATCACCTGAAGACTCGAGCACGGTGATACCGCGAAGACCCATCAGGCCGATCAGGTTGCACACTCTCTTGGCGTAGTATTCCGGAACGGTCTTGTTGGACTCCAGTCAGCTTCCCTCTAGCTTAGAGAGTTACAATGTGCGACCTACCTGCTCATCATCGCCGTACGAATTGGAGATTACCTGGGGCAGAGCAGCGTTGGGCTTCGACAGCAGGTACTCATAGTACTCCAGGTACGGCTCGTTCTGGTTATCCGCTGCCGTTGGTTCGTCGGCGTTGGGAATAAACGGGCTGATATGGATTAGCAGAGCCCTCCCAATAGTTCAACTGAAACTAAACACGTACGGTGTACCGCTAGTGATGAACTCCACCACGGGCAAGGGATGGCTAACGCCAACGATCAGCTCCACATCCAGGTTAGCCTCGCCCAGGGATGCGGTCGTCCAGTTCTGGTCATTAGTCGCCCCGTTGATCAGTTCGACGGAGAAATTCTGACCAGGAATGTTGAATCGTTTTTCGTAGATAGCCAGGTCCGCATAGTTGGCCGACTCGTTCAAGAAACTGCCAAAGCCTACCCGACTGCCGGAGGATGCACTGGGCTTGTAGCCTCGGAAGTTGTACATATCCGCCAAGCAGTCCGGGGTGATGATGTCGGCACAGGAGACATTGCTTGCCGCACTCCTGGTCAGTTTTGGTTGAAATGTGGGCAGAGGTATGCTCTCCTGCTCTCTACCAAAGAAAACCGTCGGAGCGACAAGATCAATGGCTTCGGTGAGGTGATCCGGAATCGAGTACTGCGTGGTGCGCAGTTTCTGCGAAGCACCGTTTTGATAATAGGAGAAAGTGGTGCCAAACAGCTTGTTCACCGTCCCAACCGTCGAGGCGAAGTTCACCAGACCACCCTGACGAGAGACATGGGTAATGCCGGCGTCTTTGAGCCAACGAAGGATGGCTTGGTCGTTAGCCGTGGGAAAGAGGGTTTCAACCCCCGACTGATCCAGCCATTGACCGTACTCTGCGTTTCCTGGGGTCGCCAATGCGGTTAACTTGGACTCAAGCTGGTCCAGGTTCTGGCGCGCAAGCGCAATAGATAGGGTAATAGAGTCGCTCTCCGGTGCATCTTTGACGAATCTCCAGTCACTAGGAATAGAGGCTAGCTTTTCGTGCACTACTCCCAGTGCTGGTGCTGCCAGGGAACAAAGCACTCCCGTGAGAAGTGCTGAACGCATAGTGAGAGGGGTTAAGTCTTAGTCGAGCACGGAGTTGAATGCAGAGACGAAGATTCAAATGGTGAGATTTCCTTCATGGTATTTATATATTAATTGGCAGCCTGGCGAAGCCTCCCCGTTTCCCTCATGAGACGGAAGCAAGGGCGATATGAGATCAGGTCCTAGTGGTCAGTTGCAGCGTCGGCTTGCGTGAAGGAGCTTTTCTATTACGTTATTTCGTCCGGAGAAGAGACGGGGTTCGGGAAGTCTTAGATTAAAATCAATAGAATGGCGCGATAACTGAGGTGATTGTCCCATTCTGTTGGCAAACCACATTGCTTATCGGAGTCAAGCCTTTCCCTTGAGGGCCAATCAGATCAGCGGAGAGGCCGATCAAACCCCTTTAGAGAAGGTGACATTGGAATGGATCCTTCGTTTGAAAATGACTAGTTTAGTGCTGGACTAGTATTTCATCGCTAGCCGAATTGATGCAACACGGAGGAATCGGAACCCCGACTAAATGGTGTGGAGGAAGCAGGGTGTCCCTTGCAGAAGGTTGCCTTGGTCCAACCGAAAAAAGAAATAACGTGAAACAATACATAGTATATGAATAGATATAGATATAAATATACGACCATAATCACACAACCGTTGAAGTTGTCTGAAGGAGGGCTTGTAAGGGTTTAATGCGACCACGTGGGCTGTGGGCTAACGGCATTGGGAAGGTGGTTATCACGACTCTCCAAAATCCACAAGAAGAAACCGGGAAAACTGGAAGGTGATGCCCTTAAAATTGATAGCAGACATCCAATAGCGGGATTCCCAAGTCAACTAGCGTCCTGCTCCACGACCTTGTTACAAAGGCATCAAGACTGAAGAGAAATTCTGACTTCCAGCTCACGCCTTCATCGCACGAGCTGGTCTCGTTGTGCGAGTCCCGGCTCGTCTTCGAGAGCGTGTTGATTTTCGTGGCCTCCGTATCATAATGGGCATCGAGCGAAAATGTGTTCGCAATTCCCGGTTTCGCTGTCAACCCACTGCTTAGGTCGATGAGGCCTCCTAGAAAGTTCACTGCCATCTCAACCGTAACGCTGGCGGTGGCGTCGGCGCGAACATCGGCCTGCGCTGAGATGTTGGCATGTGGCTTGTACGAAGGCGTCCATCCGCTGGACACGGTATTGACACTGTTCAGCAGGTCGACATGGACATTCCCATCGGGCATTGAGATAGACAGACCCGCCGTTACGTCAACGGCGGTGGAGGCGCTGATGTCCACCCCCACACCGAAGGCTACGCCGGGACCAAGCTGTACAATGCCCGGGACATTAACGAGGGTGTAAGTGAGATCCGAGGGCGCGTAGGTGAAGGACTTGTCGTAGGCAGCGGCGACATTCGCGGTAATGGCCATATCTGCGGAAAAGCCCGCATCGATATCGAAGTGGAGTTGCCGCATCTTGAAGGCCCAGAAGTCGTAGTGCAGGTAGCCCGAGAAGGTAATCTCCGAGGAGAAAGTGGCTTCATTGGCGGTGACCGTAAGGTACGGAGGTACACTTGCCAGGACAGTATCGCTCTCCAGGGCCTTGGAGAAAGGTATGCTAAAGGAAGGATCGAGTGTGAGGCGTTTGGCGAGTTTTCCTGCCGGTACCGACGAAAAGGCGATTTCGCATGATTCTGGATACGTCGGTTTTAGCTCCCTAACTGTAAAAAAACCAAGATATACGTACCAGCGATATGGTTAATCTGCTGCTTGGATGCATTGCCGGTGATAGACAGATCGGGCTGGTTTGGAATGAGGTTATCAACTTTGAAGAACCCTCTCTCAAACTCAACATCACAATTGCCAAGATGGTTGGTGATCAAGATAAGACTCTCTCGCAATGACCAAGACTGAAAGGCTGTTTCAAATCCAGCTAAGCTTTTAAAGGCCACAATCACGGAACCATCGGAGCACTGGACACTCTTGATAGACTCGATATACTCCAATACCACGGCATCGTGGGAGAATTCCAGATTCATGTTAACAGAGCCAGAAGTGACGGCAAAGGAAGAGTCGCCGGCATCAGTATCAGATGGTCCATAGTAGAGAGAGATATTTGCGGCTGGAATCAGATTCGCCGGGTCAGATGTGTCAATCTCCGGTGCAAGCACTGGCCCAAATGTTGTTGTTGTGGCACCTGCGGTCGATACTGAAGGCGGATAGTCCGCGGCACAAAACTGGGCAATTACCTGGCCCACAAAGCCAAAAGAAAGTATTTGTAGAGCGGCCACTCTGGGAAACGACCATTGTGTTTTCATCATGGCGTAGGTCTTGGTGGAAGGAAATAGAGGCGAAAAAGAAAGGAGAGACAAAATATTCGATATGTAGTATAATTCAAAGGAGTGTAATTAAAGGAATGACTTCAAAAAGTTAGATGCAAAGAGTGACGACGCTTGAGAGTGCCATAATGAGGGACAACTTGTAGACTTTAAATATAGCATCCTCTGTGCCTGCGAAGAGGGTGGGGTAGCATTTGACAGTTCTGTTGGCTTTGTATACCCATCCTTAACAGTACCCATTTTAGCTTGTAAAACCGTTCGACCTTCTGAACTCTAAACGCAGTCAAAGGATCACCTTATAGTATAGCTCTGAGGATCTATCTATGGGTTCACGACTAATAGATACTACCGCCAAGGAGCTATGTGGTGTTCCGGTGGAGTTAAAAGCGAAGTTATTACGTGAACCGTTGCCAAGCCAGCAATAAATGTTAGACTTACTGACGCTAGATGGCATTATTGAAATGATGGCTTGGTCTTGGGTAGCATCGGGTAAGAGGCAATGGACTTGGTATATCAAGGAAGATCAAGGGTTAATGCCAGACCAGATGAGACACAGATCACAGATTTCCTCTCTATCTTTAGGCGAGGTCAGACAATCTGATTAAATATGGAACTGCGAGGAAGTACTTCGTGCTAGTGCTCCTGAGATGTTTTGTGGTGTACAGAGTCGGCTCTCCAGGTACGCTAGAGGAAAGGGGGAATACTGGGATTCAGAGAATCCTGCAGGGTCTAGAGGATAAACTTTATTCGTGAGCACCTTGTGACATGCAATACCCCAGTCATCGATATTTTTATCCATACTTGCTGCTTGGCGTGGGGAAAGGGGTACTGGTAATCAACTCAAGAAGGCTAGGTAGGTGACGGCCAGGGCTCCCTTTCCTACAATACACTATGAAATCCCCTGATTCTCTACCAATTTCTGTCCGATCTAGTTCTCACTGATCGTCTTCTTTTTGTTCTGATATTATTCGTTCTTGCCCAGAATTTCACAGAAATAGCAAAGGATAACCGCGGAGGATAGCAATGTCTAAGAGGCGTGCCCCGGCTCGGAGATAGGAACAGATCATTACCAGAAAGAAGTGCGTGCATTGCTCAGCCCTGTGTAAACCCGTTTTGCTAATCTCCGAAGTTAAGGTTGTCTAAACTCGGGGTCTTCGCCACATAGCCAAGGATACATGACCCACAATAAGCACCCTACTCATTTCTACAAGAAGCCCCGTCCCCACAGTCTCAGATTCTCGCCCTACCCATCGAAGTATCATCGGGATAGTTGAAACAGGGCCAGAAGTTATGACCTTACAGGTTGTGGGATGTTCGCAGTCATCCAACGAGATGAAAAGAGGGCTACATACTGCGCTCAAGCACTGTCTACCGAGGGAGGTGACTATATCAATTTCTTGTCAATCAAGGTGGCGCGCGAGAACGTCAGGTCCGTGCTACCGTGGCCTACGCTGCATTTGGTGTGCCGTTCAAGTTTGGTGATCGTGATATACCTGCCAAGCTGGAGGACAAGGTTTTTCGGAGAAGTTTTGTTCTATTGTTGAGAGGCTGCTGACCGATGGAAATTTCGATCAGAGTTCATCCTCCCGAGCTGGGCAGCAGTGGGTTGAGGGATGTTCTAGAAAGACTCAAACTGTTGAAGGCAAAGTTAGCGGGGAGAAGCTCGTATATAACATTGCAGACACCCCGTAGGCTCGGACCTTGGTGACATTCTACGGATATGCTGATTACTCCTAGCATACGATTGTGGTCATGGCTACATTCCTCTGTGGTGGTTGAGATGCTCCAAAGCCAAGTATGGTATAGTATGCGGTAAGAAATATGATAAGAGGCCCTTCTTCAATTGACTTGCTCATTGATCTCCCTATCTTGTAGATGCACTGGGATAATGATAAAGGTCCATAGTCTCGAAACCAGATAATGCATCATGGGCAATGGTCTGCAATTAAAGATAATTCATTCCAAACGACGCTGATGCAAATCAATCTTTTGACTGTCTTTCCATCCCTGCTTGTAGGCGGAGAAGTCTTTTGTGGCTATTCGGCGTGCTTTTCTCGTGCGCAATTTGATATTGTGTTTTTTGAGATAATCGTCTGCCACTTGCACAGACGTGGCGCGAAACCGAACCAACTGCGTCTCAGACATCCAGGGGGAGCTCGGCATATCCTCGCCCTTAATAGACGAAATACATCTCGTAAGAACTTCTTGCTTTACCGAAGGAGTGGGAATTTTGTCAAAGTCAAAGATTTCACGCGATTCTCTCTTGAGGATTCCATCGATATTATCATCGACATCGCCTGTCAGATCGATAATCATCTTATCGTTCTCGTTAAAGTCCGCCTTCACCTCTCCAGGGTCGGAGGGCCCGCCACCACTATTATCGATTCCTCGGGAGCCGGGACCCCCATCCTCCGACTCATCCTCTGATTCAGCAAGCTCTCCCGCTAGGGTAGATATATTGTAAAGCCTCTCAGTCTCCCTCTGGCGCTCGATAGCCTCCTCCCGCTCTCTAGAAGCAATCATATCCAGCTCCTTTTTCCTTACCATTTCGAGCTCAACCTTCTTCTCGCGGTTGGCCATGGCGACGAGGCCATCGGCAACCCCAATACAGTAGCTAAACGTGGTCGATCCGCGCTTGTACGAGCACGCCCAGTCCAAAATCCTATTGTGCGCCATTTCAAACGCCATTGCAGCAGCGACCGTGTTTTCCGCGACGCCGAAGAAGGTCCACATCACGGAGGTTCGGCAGTGAGTTGAGAAACGCTGGCAATCAAAGAACGTACACATGGCCATTGCCAACTTTCCGACGAAGGTCTCATTGACAACCCATTTAGTATGGTCCTTAGTGTTGGTTATTGTCACGATACTCCTTCCTCCATAACGTGCTTTGCTTCCATCATCGCTGTTGGCCACCAGATCTACCTGGGCAACATTATATTGAGCCATAAGCTTGTGGGCGAGGAAGAGGGCGGCTTTAGCCTCTGACTCGGTGGTACTTTCATGGGTGGCTCGGCTCAGACACTTTCGAATCTTGCCAAGCACGTCTTTGTCCACAGTCTGAGTCGTACTTTGCGGTTGATCTCGAGCCTTTTTGGTCACAGCTGCCTTCTGCACAGGCTGCCTCTGCTTCCTTCGTCCCATCTGGGCGGGGCTGCGGGAGTGCGGTGTTGTATTGGTCGACATTCCGTTCAGTGATGTTTTTAGGTAGATTGTAAAGCTGTAAAAAGGAGTGAGGATGCGGGCGTTTTGTACATATGGCAGCCTACTGGCAATCCCTGTCAAGGTGACAGCCTTGGGTTCCTGTGAGCCAAGTAGAGTAACTGCGCCACAATGATGTTGATCGTGTCATTGGCTCCGCCCCTCCGTGATGTGATGGCAAGATGCGCCACTATTATGAACGACCAATAAACCCGCAATTCTACGGCAGGATAGTCAATACTATGGTTCTTTTTTTAGTGTGTTTTCAATTATAATCTATTCATCGCATTTTATGTGCCAGTCGCTTGTCTTTCACTCATGAGCCATGAATCAGCCTCACTATGAAATTGAAGAAGGCTGAGCTCTACACAAGACTAACCCCGTGTTTCCAGATACCCTAACTTCTCCCGCATTCTCCCTCGAAATATATCGATAGATTACTGGACGTAAAGGGATGTTTTTTTGGTACAACCCCGTAACCCACGCCAGTCCGGCCTAGCGTGGGGACCCTAGGGTACATGTACAAATCGATCCTCCATCTTCTGCTTGTTATAGTGTGTTTGCATTATCATTACCCACCAATCCCCCTTAACATTTGGCGCTTAGTTCTATATTCACCCGAGTACCCCGTAGCAGTCGGAATCTTGGTCCTTCTCGTGGCCTACTTGCACTTGCAACGACCCCACCTGTATGTGTGCGTTGAATGGTAGTAATGTCCTCATCATACTGGACCTCTGCTCTAAGGCACTTCCCAACGACTCACAATATGTGGCTCTGAAGATATACCTGGCCGGTAAAGCGGGAAAGAAACCACAAGTTGAACATCTACGACTGGATCCACTGCACGGGGACGATCACCCGGGCAAAAGTTGCATTTGCAAGCTTTTGACTCACTTCTCCAATAAAGGCCCGAAGGGACAATACCTATGCCTGGTGCATGGACCATTAGACATAAGCGCAAACGATGTATCAAAGTGGATTCTGGGCAGAATGATGGCTCTTGAAGGAATGAAAGCATGTATTCGGCAGCTGCTTATTGGCCTGGGTTTTTTACATTCCGTACCCCGTGTTATCGATACCGGTAAGGTCTCTATCAGGAGTGAAGTCTTTGACCTAATGTTGATAGACCTCCAGCCGAATAACTTGCTCATGCCCGCGCCAGATAAAACAGCGCTCGCTAGTTTCGAAGAGAAGGAGAACAAGTCTCCATCGCCAAAAAAGATTTTTCAACGAGCGGAAAATTTATACCTCGCCATTCTTCCCATGACGCAATGGGATACCCCTTTTAAGTGACTTTGGTGGGGCTCGAGTTGATGACGGAGAGGAGCATGGAGAAATCATCATGCCAAATCCCTATCAAGCAACGGAAGTGATCCTCAAGGCAAACTGGGACCGCGAGGTGGATATATGGAATGCTGCCATGATTGTACGTGCGTTTAAGCCCTTTAATACTATGCGGCCATTAACCTCGTCACTCATTGAAGGCCTGGGATATTGTCTGCTCCCATAACCTGATACATTGAAAGAATTCCGATGTGATATTTGATGACCTTGTGAATCTCGCAGAGTTAGTTGCACTCCTAGGTCGTCCTCCCCCTAAGCTCCTCAGCAAAGTGATCTGAGTACCGTGTTTTGGGATGAAAAGGGTATTCTTTAATTTCTAAGCCATCTTTTATATGTCAGCAGTATACGCTCTTTCAGTTGAGAGAATTAAAGGTAACCTCTAAACAACTGGAAGGATCTGGCTCCTATTCCCGAACTGACCTTAGAAGGTCTCGCTACCGATATCACGGCTGATGATAAGGAGGGGTTCTTGCGATGGCTTCGAATGGCACTACAATGAGACCCCGATGAACGTCCATCTGCCCTCGAGCTTTTATATGACGAGTGGATGATGAAGGGGCTTAAACTCCAGAGTAAACAGCGGAGTGCATGAGATCGAAACACGCTCGGATTAGACACCCGATACATCGCTCATGGTCTGTGCCTCGATGGTTACTAATGTGCCGCACCTCATACTATACCTATATCATCGGGTACTAACCAACTGAGAACAACAATCAATGGTTTTGGCAGTTTGGACCTAAGTGCTGCGCCCCACCGCCAAGGAGCGCAAGTCATAGTTTCCTAGCAAATAGAATAGTGAGACTGTTGTTTGGATCTCTTGGCTATCCTTTAGAGTTGTCGTGTGTCTATCAGTCTAGACCCTATTGTCCCTGAGCTTTAAGATCATAATAATGGGCATTCTAGAAGGACTAAGAGAAAAGCAATACATAGCTATAACTCGTCTCCCTAAGACTCAGTAGCCCATATTACTGTGCGGAGAACAATTCCGCAACTCTTATACTACTAGGTCACGATGCACCTGCACACCACGGTTGCCAGAAGAGAACAGGGAAAGTAGGAAGAATAAAGAGTTGATTATGTGTTCTCGGGTCTGGACCCGTCGAAATCTGTCATGGAAATGCCGAAAGCCGGAGATTGAATTGCCCATTGGTAATCCCGATGGGTCCTCGTATTAGGGACCCATCAACAAGGTCATTCATTAATCTACCCTGTCTTCTACTGAATACCTACACATAGCCAACTTCACTTTATGAGCTATCCTAATACTAGAGCATTGTTAGGCTTAATCGCGCAACATGGCTAACGACAGAATTGAGCTCTCACGAGTCAGGGAGAGTCCTGCGCAAGGCCGGGATGAAGATACAGCTGGTCAACAAACTTCATATGCGCTAGAGGAGCCTGAGGTAGAGCGTGGAAAGATTCAGATATTTGCTATCATGTTGGCTCTATGTGTAAGTTGTTGCTGTCCCGACATGTTATACATCTTTTTTTTATTCAATCTTAGCGGCTGAGCCCCACGTTCTATAGCTCTCCCTCTTCATTGCGGCCTTAGATCAGACTATCGTTTCTACCTCACTTCCGACAATCTCTGCGCGCCTACATTCTGCTAGTGGTTATACATGGGTTGGGGGCGCGTATCTACTTGCAAGTGCTGCAGCGGCCCCAATCTGGGCCAAGCTATCGGATATATGGGGGCGCAAGCCCATCCTACTTATTGCGGTTCTCTGGTTCTTCCTCAGCTCTATCGTCTGCGCTGCCGCTGTAAACATGAAGATGTTAATTGCCGGCCGAGCGCTGCAAGGTGTGGCCGGAGGTGGTCTCTTGCAGCTAGTCATGATTGTCGTCTCAGACCTCTTCAGCGTCCGGTTAGCAACCCTACCTTGTTTCTGTGACGCACCTTGCTAAAAGTAATGCTGATTCTGACCGGTTTCCAGCCACCGAAGTCTGTATATGGGCATCCTCGAATTCATGTGGACAATTTCCGGTGGTCTTGGGCCGATCCTCGGTGGTGTGTTTTCGGAATATGTTTCCTGGAGATGGAACTTTTGGATCAATCTTCCCATCTGTGGATTAGCATTCGTACTGCTTTTCTTCTATCTGGATGTCCATAACCCTAAGACAAAGGTGACAGATGGTTTGAAAGCAATTGATTGGCTCGGAAGTCTGTCTGTCATTGGCTTTACCTTGATGGTCCTCCTCGGACTCAACTTCGGAGGCGAAACATTTGCCTGGAATTCTCCGCAGGTGATTTGCCTTATTGTATTCGGTTCTCTGTTCTCGATCGTATTCTTTTATGGCGAGAAGCGTATTGCCAAATATCCTCTTATGCCTCTGGGGATCTTGAACAACCGATCAAGTATAGCTGTATCACTGGTTACTCTCTTCCATGGCGCGGTGAGTCAATACTTCGGCGATACAGGAGGATCCGTCGTGCTGCAAATTCCGCAATGATGTAGAGTTTCGGCTTTTAGAAGTAACATATAGAGCTGATCATGTCTAGGTGTTCATCGCGTGCGAGTATTGGCTGCCCTTATACTTCCAATCAGCGAAGCAAGCAAGTCCGATGCGATCGGGACTATTAGTTCTCCCCTTAGTTCTCGCCGAAGGGCTGTTCAGTGGCATCTCTGGCTGGTTAATCCATCGAACCGGCAAATACGTGGAACAGATCTGGATAGGAACTATCCTTTTAACCCTCGGAACTGGCCTGTTTATTCGCCTCAATCCAACTTCTCCTCTTGTAGAGCTGGTTATCTTCCAGGTGATTGGCGGAGCAGGATCGGCCATTTTATTCGCGCCTCCCCTGATCGCCTTGCAAGCTGTGGTCTCGCAAGATGACACAGCCAGTGCCACGGCGATGCTGGGCTTTATCCGAACTCTCGCCATGTCGATCTCCATTGTTGTGGGGGGTGTTGTGTTTCAAAACAGCATGGCAGAGGAACGGAGGATGTTGCAGGGAGCTGGCTTGATGGATGAAATAGTCGAACAACTGACCGGCGCTTCGGCTGCTGCTAGCACAGAGATCATCAAGACTATCCATGATCCCTCCAAGGTTCGGACCGTTGCCGACGCCTTTTCCTCCAGTTTACAGAACTTGTGGATCATGTACACTTGCATGGCCGGTATTGCGGTGGTTGCCAGCGTGTTCATTGTCAATAAGCCGCTGAGTGAGGAGCATACCGAGACGAAGACGGGTCTCAAGGAAGAGTAGCTAGGGGGGTCATTGCATTTTCTAGACAGCTGTTTATGGTACGAATTAAGTGAGTATGAAATTCTACACCCTCTGTATGGGCGTTCCAGAGAGTAGTTTGAGACGGTTCAACTGAATCATTATATGTAAATTAGTTTCACAGTTTAAGCACCCCACTCTTGCACCTTATGATGATTCTAGCGGTTTTTGAAAGCTTCTGGGAGTAAATAAAGTACACTATGCTTATGCTAAAGGATATAATATGACATGTCGAGCCGCACAGCCAGGTCGGGCACGACTGAGATGACTCGGCTCCAATGGATAGGAACGCGCCTTCGAGATATTTCCCTGCGTGAAGATACATCCAACTTGGTGTATCAAATCAAATTATTAATTGGATGGCACCATCTTAGAGCTCATGATCAAGTACATCAGATTTCCCATTTCTCCTACGGCACTTCTGAGAAGCCTTGGACATAGGGGCACAATTTTCCCACTGATTTTTTGCGCCAACGCACCGCGAGCTGCACCAAACGCAGCCAGCGAGAAGTCCTTCTTTGAACCTCCGACGATCTCAATGCGCTCTCCAAGAACCTCACGCACTGCCTAGGCCCGTAAATGACCGTCAGTACCCACAGGTCAGCAACAGGACGCGGCCAATGGTTTCTGGTGTTTCAATGTTACTGGCAGCCTCAGGTAAACGGATAGCTTTTTCACGGTCATTAAGTATACTAGACACTATAGAGAACTTTACTTATCAGGCGATTGCTCACATCTCTAACTAGACAGGTATACTCTTAAATTAGAAGCCCGTGTCGCAGCAAAATCACTTTCCGCAGCCTGTCCTCCTCCCAGGACAGAACCGCCCGAGTGTTTCCAGATCCCCAGCCATTCAGACAAAGAGGGTACTCGTCCAGGTAACGACACTGATCATCGTTGCTGCCCAGCAGATGTTAATCTATGTTTTCCCGGATCAGAAATCGGGCCTTCCGAACGGGCTCCCAGAGTCCATTTGCGAGGCCCCAATTACGATCTCAACGTTCAGCTCCTCTACACGATCGACGAGCCGGTTCGTGATTTTTCGATCAATATACGAACTGCCATATCTTAAAATAGGAAAAAGGTGATTTTTAGTGCAATCCTGCTCCTTTTTCCCGCCATCGTGCATCGTGCGCAGATCGAGATAAAACATCCCATGGTCTAAGACCAGAGAGTTCAGGCCAGGGGGATCTGTCAACGTAGATGTGGTGGTGAACGAAGACATAATCGTTCTCGGAGCTGGACGGACCGCCATGCGTATTCCTGGGTCTTTACTTGCATCCATCACCATGTCGCAAAGGGTCTGGTTAAAGAAGTCGGGGACGGCGACGATTGGATAGTTAATATTGATATCATTATCCGTGGCAGTCCTCTGCTTGAGTTGAAGCAACATGTCCACTAACCCTTCTTTGACATCTCCTAGGCTCACTTCCTCATCGTATCCAAGATGAGCAAGTAACCCCACATACACGATTGCTTGCCACAAACTGCGTAACCGAGTCCTGTATCGCTAGCTTCTCCAGTAAATCATCGATCCCCGTCATCACCATCAGCTTTTTACTGAGCGTGGAAAACAGCTTTTTGATGGCCCATTGCGCTGAGCTCTGCCAGGGACATCCAATATCGTACTCACGCGCGAACAGCATCCGGAGGAGAAATATGTTGGGAGTATATTCATCACCTTTGATCATAGTAATCACAGAAACGTTATCCGATGCATGGGCATACGAAGCCATGCTGGAGACTAATCAGTGGAGAGTATATCTCAGAGCGGAAATTGGATACAAATATTAATTCAAGGCCCAAATCAATCCCGATGGGTTGGAGTGGGCGCCGCGCAGCCACCCATTGGAGACACAAAACCAGCCCTAACACCACGACCGGGAGATTCGAAGCCAACATGCTATTCCAATCGACGAAGCCGTGCTCCTCTGACACTTCTGGTGGAATGAAGCTTGTATTTAAACAGTGAACTGATGTTCTTTTCAGTCATTTCCACTGCCAAGATCCGCTATTTCAGCTACTTTAGCACGAGTCCACGAATTCGGATACGATGGGACCGTGGATGTGCGGCATTTTTCGCCCGGAGCCAACAATGCTGATCGCTTAATCTATGATTTCTGGGGCTAAATTTGCATAATGGTACACTCGCAGAGCCTCTACTAGCTGCATAGGCAGTGATCCCAAAACGTGGAATTAAGGCCCTGATATAGAGGCAGTCAGTACACCCAACTTGCCTGACTACGCGAGAGCAGCAAGCCTAGGAGAATAACCGGGAAAAAAAGAAAAAAAAAAAAAAAAAAAAAAAAAAAAAAAAAAAGCCTTAAATCAGGAATCACTAGTAATTCATAAATTCAGCAATATCGCACCAGAGACCTGCAAAATGGAATATCATAAGGCGTCATAAATCAAACCGCTAAACCTGACCTTCCTTCTTCTCATTCGCCCCAATCTGCTTGTGCACCGCCGCAGCCACTTCATCCGCCTTCTCTTTACCCTCAAACACTGGGATATTCAGTTAGCCGAATCATTGATCACGAACGGGAAAAAAAGAAACATACTAAACGACAATTCCTCCAAGGTCCGTCCAGACGTCTCCGGGAACAAGAAGTAGATAAAGACCAATTCAAAGGCCAACCAGCAGCAGTAGACCAACAGCCATCGCCAACTAATATTCTTGAGTCCGACGGGATTGACATATGTGGCGAAGAAACCGGCCCCACGACCATAGAACTGGAACCAGGAGAGACCCCGGGAGCGGCCAAAGTAGGGGAATATTTCCACCAGGTAAGCTGTATCATTAGTGAGCGTCTACTAAGACGTGGAAGGGAACATACTGTATGTTAGAGCATTATAACCCAGGTTATATGCAGGAGAGTAGCAGAAAATGAAAAAGATAGTCAATATCGCCGCTGCCTTGACTCCTGTTGTCATGAACCGCTCCATGGAAATAGTCCAAGCAATGTACACGCAAAGCAACGAAGTCGCACAAGTCAAATACATCGTTCGGCGCTTATACCGCGGCACGGTGAGAGCCAAAGCCGTTCCGCAGACCAATCCCCAACAGGCAATGCCGATGTTGATTTTGGACTTGATCACTCCGTCGGTGATCCCGACCATATTCAGCAAATCGCTGAGATAATATCTACACATCATCAGCACCAATCGCCAGGTCACCCGGGTGGGGACATACGAGATTAAGGTATTTCCGGACCACTGGGTAAACAGGCCCAGAAATGCGGATATGAGCATTCGACGCCGCATGCCTGCAGTGCGGAACATATCCCACCAGCTCTGTTTGGCCTCTTCGAGCTCGAGTTTAATAGTTTGTTCAATTTGGGTGATCTCTGCGCGCACGATAACGGAGTTGCGGTCTCCTTCAGCATGATATCTAGTCAAGATATCAAAAGCTTCTTCGCGCCGGTCTTTGCTGATCAGATATCGGGGACTCTCTGGTAGAAAGCTACGTCTATTAGCATCTGGTTGCCGGAGTGTCGCAATTTATAACTCCATGCACGTACAAAACAAAGATGACCTGAATCATTGCTGGCGCCAATTGGAGGAGTGATGGGATCCTCCACGCCCAGTCGGTTGCGATAGTCACGGTCCCTAAGCCCACAGCGGCAGCGACAATCTGGCCAATAAAATACGAAGAATTGAATAAGGAGGTGAGGATCGGTCGTTCCTTGGGATAGCCGAGTTCTCCAATGAGGGACGATCCAGCCACGATGCAAAAGGGAATACCGAAGCCCAGCATTATGCGTGCGACAATATACATTGCGACTATCAAAGGTTAGCATGTATTCTTCTGGGTAGGCAGCAAGACAAATACCTCCGTTCGCGAGCCCCTGCAGGAGCGCACCCAGCAGGCTAATGCAAGACCCGAACAGGATGGTCCATCTTCTTCCAAAGCGCTGATTGATCCATGGTACAAAGGGAAGAGCAAGGATGGCTCCTAGGGAATAAGCCGCTCCTAAAAAGCCCTTGAGGTTTGCTTCAATTTCATACTGGGGCTTCCCATCCACGATTTTACCCGTCCGGTGCCCAAAGTCTGCGGATCGTGTCAGCAGTCAATCTTCAACATAGGTGAGGCACTCACATTTATTCCAAGTATACACAATTTGCACGGTATTGATAATCTGGGAGTCAAACCCCGAGGTGATCTCAATGCCCATACAGGCGGGGAAGAGGATAAAGTACAAATGTCTCAGGTTAGGCTTCTTGTACCAAGGCGTTCGATCATTGGCCAATAGGTTGGCCAGGACGGGCTCGGACACATCTTCTTCACGTTGCTTTCCTACTACAACCATGGTGACTGCTGGCCAAGTGCGTACTCTGGAATGTCGCGAAGGTGGGACGCAAAAACGTCTTTATACTTTTACTCTGTCAGTCCAGTCCCGGCACCAGACAGCCAAGAAGAAACCGTTCCATACACGAGAAGGATTATGTTAACTACCGGTGAACCCACTCCCTCTCATTCGCTAGGGGGTTACTTAGGGATGGAAGGAGACCCTTGATAGAAACGGCAATGAAGCCCCTTACGGCAATTATAGGGTGATTCCCCACCAATTGTTGGAGGTGTCTCTGCAATTAATCCGGGGAAAGCTCCATGACTGGACGCTAAGAGAGGCCTAAAAACGAGCATCAGGCAGTGGAAACCAAGCCGTATTCAACGGACCAGTTGTCGTCCCCGAAAGTGGATCACCTCCATACCCCGGATTGTAGGTGTTTAGATGGGCGTAGGGGATATAACGCTCCCCCACAGCTTTAACTTAAACTCTGGATAAATTGATTCGGTTTATCCGGTGAATTGTTGCCAAGCCCATACATCGCTGCAGGCTGACACGACCATCCTATCCCGTACTGGGTCTTATGCGATGCCCAACTCCACGCTACAATCCAAGCCAATAACGCGTCTTGTCCACCCGAAATGTCCCCCTCGCCAAGATCTCTTGGCTTGATATACCAATCAAAGCTTCGTACACTCCCTCCTCGCTTGTCCACATGCCTTCAATTTCGTCCCAAAAACTTGTTGCGTATTTGTCCAGGGAAATACGGACCGTCCTCTCTTCTCCTGGGCGCAACATAACCTTGGCGAATCCGTGCAGTTCCTTGATCGGTCGAGGTGTAGGTGAATGAGGTGCGGATATATACAGCTGGAGGACCTGTGCTCCGGCTACCTTACCGGTATTCTTGATTTGCACTGCAACAGTGGGCGGCTTCTCGGGGTTGAATACCTTGTGGGAGAAGACGATATCGGGGGAAACAGTGAATGTTGCATATGAAAGGCCGTGCCTGTATTATTAGACACACTCCAATACCAGAGAGTGGGAGCCTACCCGAATGGAAACAACACCTCCCGTCCAGTTTTCTCATAGCATCGATATCCCACATAAACATCCTCACCATACAGCACTCTTCCTCCAACACTGGCATAATTTAAATAGGCCGGGTTATGCTTTACATCCACTGGCCATGAGAGTGGTAGTTTACCGGATGGATTGACATCACCAAAGACCACATCCGCGATTCCATGGCCCGTCTCATTCCCGCCGTACCACGCCTGGATAATTCCTCTTGCTTGAGCAGCCCAAGGCATCGTCACCGGTGTCCCTGACTGGTTTACAATCACCGTCCGGTCTGCCGCAACATCCAGCACAGACACGATCAACGCATCAACCCCGGGTGGGAGGTCCATGTGCGGCCGATCGAATCCCTCAGATTCCCATTCGTGATTCAATCCGGTACAGATAATAGTAAAGTCGGCCTCTGCAGCGGCCTTAATCGCGCTTTTCAACATCCTCGCTGGATCGATATGTAAGCATGCTCCCAAGTGCGCCGCACCCCCACCAAAGTGTACCACGCCAACTGCTTTCATAGGGCTTGTATTCGCAGAGCCATATTCGATTCGGATCTTGTATATTTGCCCCGCATTGAGCTTTTTCTTTCCCAATACTTGGATGGTTCCTTTGCCAAAAAACGCCGTTCCTCGGGTCTGATGTGTAGCGTTGTCGATAACTAATTCGTCATTGATGAACAGTTTACCGGTACCAAAGACAGTCAGGCCAAAGTCCCAAACACCGGAAACGTCGGGTGTAAAATCGCCGGTTAGTGTCGCAAAGAATAGGCCTCTGTTAAGCTCGGGTGCATTAAAATCCATGAGTTGGAAGGCAGTTTTCGATATCGGTTGTGTGGCGCGCAATATCCGCTCCGTTCCGACCGGTTCGTTATAGAAGCGCATCACCGCGTTACTAAGGAGTCGATCGATCACTGGAAGCATTTTATGCGCATAGGCGCCTGGCTCATAGATTATCTCAGCGTCCGGGAGGGCTTCGTTCACGGCATCATGCAATGACACCGTGTAGTACGGTTCCAGAGAGGCGCTTCCACCCCCAGAAATTGCCGGGGTCTTCACATGCGAGCCAATCAGGGCAACCTTGTTGAGTGTCTTGGGTAGGGGTAGAATATCATCCTTGTTCTTCAAAAGCACAATACTGTTGCCACACACGGCTCGGTTCAGCGCCCGGTCTTCTGGATAGTCCCTCACGGTTTCCACGGCAGATACGGGCGCTCTGCTGGCTTGGTCAACAAATTCCAAGACCTTTCGTGCGCGGGCATCAATCGTAGATTGCTTGATCAACCTCGCCTGTACAGCAGATTCAAGATATCGGCCTCGATATCGCGACGGGCCCGGCATTTCCAGATCCAATCCTGCATTCATCGAGTCGATCGTTGTGTACGTCCCCAACCAATCGCTCATGATCAACGGATTCCACTCCCACTCCTTTCGGACTATATCCAGGATCGCCTTATTCTCCACGACGTGCTTCCCATTGATCTTGTTGTAGGAAGTCATAAGGGCCCCTGGACAGGCATCACGCGCTACAATCTGGAATGGTCGCAGGTAAATCTCTCTCAATGCGCGCTGGGTGACCAGGACGTCCACAGCCCTCCGCTCATGTTCCTGGTCATTTCCCACAAAGTGCTTCACCGCGGAGATTACCCCTGTGCTTTCACAGCCCAAGATCATCGCCGCCGCCAATACCCCGGCGAGATGCGGATCTTCCGCAAAAGACTCGAACCCCCGGCCGCCCAGCGGCGATCGCGGCATATTGATAGTCGGGCCGAGCCAGCAGTGCGCACCCTTTGCCAAACATTCCTTCCCTAGCAAGATTCCCGCATTGCGCAGCAGATCCTGGTCCCAGGTAGAAGCTAAAGCAGTCCCACAAGGTAGACAGGCGGCCGGAACACCTGCGAAGAACTTCGTTCCACGGGCGCCATTTGGACCGTCGGTAGAGCGGATGGACGGTACGTTCAACTCCGGGATGGGGTGGGTATGCCAGAAGTCGATCCCTTGCTTAATTTTTAGTTCCGATTCTCGGATATTAGGAAGGGTGGAGAAAACCTGCGAGAAGGGCGATTTTGTCCTCCTGGGTAATGTGGGAGAGCACGTAATCGATGTCCAATGTCATTTCCGCGACCAATTGAGCGTTTCTGGGATCCCACTCGTCTGCGACAGAACAGTTGGAATCAATAAATAGTACCGCGGCGGCAGATAGACATCCTATTTGATGTCTCGGCACTCGCCCCGAGGTCCCGTTAAGTGGGGAGACACTCCACCCGTCGAATCTCATTCATGGATAAATCGTGGGGGGAGAAAGTCTTGGAAATCATAGACCCCGCATGTCGGGTTAATGTACACTCGACCTCTCAGGTACAGAGGATGTGAGTGTTGTCTACCCCATGTCTTTGGTGTATGGATAGATGGATGGCGACCTACTCTTGAGGACGAAGGCATTTTACTACTAAAGTCACAGGCATGGTTAGTGGATTTCCTATTCAAGATGTATGCTTAAGGCATAGGGCTCGCGGTTCTGCAAGGTTGAACCCCCAATGACCGTGTCTGTCTCAATTAAAGGTCCCCTATCTCTTGTATAATATAGGTAAAATCGTAGGGAAAAATCAAAGAAACTCATAGATAGATACATACATTTGCAATATTTGTAGTCTCTTTTACGTGTCTTCTTGGTAGAGAAGTTAGTAATATGAAATCTCGGGAGAAAGAGATATATATTCATTCCCCTTAACTATGAGATCTCGCGACAGATACTATAAACTTGGCCCGAGTTGACCACCCCAGCCTCACGACTGTCGGAGATTTGGTAATGATAGTGCACCTAGTACACTACCTTGCGGAATCTAATATATATATTCTCATCGACATCTGACTACGTGCCCGAATATTCCGGTCTTGATCGTGTTATGTTGGAACGGGGATATTGTTCTTCTGGGTGTGCCTTCAAGTACAACTGAACTGGAACAACAACATCGATGGACATCATACATCCGAATGGAGCTTGAACTAGTGGTGTTCGATTGAAACCTCAATCATTCCAACTGTCAACGCTAACTAGGCATGTTGCATACTAAGAAGGGATCGGTGCTTAATTTCGATTAATGAATAATGGCCTCCGCCGTCTGCAATCCGGCCGCAGCAATGTTTGTTGATCGCAACCATCACACCAGCCGGAAACGGTCAGCTCTTAGGATCTAGATCATCTATCGCAACAGCATACGATACCGGCGGAATGCACATGACAAGATTGAATACCTCGCCGACGATCACAGCCGACCGCTCGGCCCCTCCGCCTACTCGTCTGACACAGGATTGACAACGTGAGATAGCAACAAAAATTCTCCGGGGGGTGAAAAGTTGCTAGTTCAGGGAACAAGTATTGTCCCTGCATATAATAGCCTCTAATATTGACGAGATGCGTCGCAAAATTTTCTCCAGCAAACCTCTCACAGCGCTGCCAATACATGCAGCGCCCTAGTAAACAAGAGTATCCCTCGGAAGAAAATGGAATCAGACAAGAGTAATCGAGACTGAATACTGTTCTAGTTCGGGCATTGGGTCCGCAGGCATCTCTTCCTCAGGTTCTTCAGTTAGGGCCTTTTCTGGGACAAACAGCCGTGGGGTCAGGTTAGAGATAGAAGACCTGTTTTCAGACTTTGAGAGCCTTTGCAGAAACCGGAGCAAGCTTTCGAGAACGCAAAGAATGATCATCCAGAACCCCCCGTAGGTAGCCTTTTGTAGGATTGGCGAGTCGATAATACCAACTCGTTCGTAGACCTCGTTGTCCTTCTCGGTGCGTTTAACTAACAAACCAAACCGATGGTCTATGAAGGGAGAAAACCCAGTGTTGCCATCTGGAAGGCGAGCAAGAAGGAGAACAAACAGTTGCTCCTGAAGTAATAGTGGCTCAGAATCGAGATCAAAACCGGCTTGGAGAAAGAACTGATCATGTCCAACATCGACTTTCACCAGTTTATCTACAACAGGGTTCCGCAGGGGCAGTAGCAGCATTTCAGAGAACGGCGAGCTATGGTCCGTTGGACAAATAGTCTCAATAGACAGGAGCGGTGCATTCAGACGAAGATAGCCACCGCGGACAGCGCCATATAAATCTGGGCTGTCTGGTTCCACATTGCAATCAATGAATGTCGCCAGTGGCTCATAGTCTGCGATGGCACGCTTCCACCTACACCGGTCGATGAAATGGTAAACAATAAATTTGACTGGTCCCTCGACAGAAACCCAAGACCAGGATGGGGCGCGATATGCCGTTGGCTTCATGAGTGGCTCCTTGCGGTTTGTTCCAGACCATAGTAAACCCTCGATCAGTCCTTTCTTCCAAAGCCCAGCATAGTATACGTCCTTCGACTTCTGCGCCATTGCGTTTGCCACACCGGATAATGCAGGGAGCCGATCTGACTGGATCGAGATTGACCGTTGTGTATACTCCTCAATCATTTCATACCACCCTCGATAATTAACTTCTGAGTCGCCGTTCGGACGAGGGCCGAATACGGACCTCTCAATCGCCGCTGTTCTTCTGAGCCGATCCAGGTTATGGATATTACCAAGCCTCACATCACCATCTTCGGCCTGGCTTAGTGTCCGACACTCCCAAAAGAGCTGCCTCGCACCGTACAGTAAGATGCGTTGGGACAGATACCGCTCTTGCAAGCACCAGGCTCTGCTTTGAAGTGGCTCCGGTGAAACCGGATCCTGGCCAGATGTCCATCGCTCACCGACTGGAGGGAGGAGGGATAAGTTCAAAGAACTGACGGGTCCCGCATGAGGGGATTCGACAAAACTGAGCGAAGCCCGATGTTCTCGAGGGCAAAGAAAACCTTGATCATCGGCACTCGACTTTGACGCTCCGATCACCAGAAAGGCATCCATGTATACTGCTGCCATTCTCCCGGCCTCGACCTGCCAGTCGTGTCGATCGTTCTGAACAATGCAAAGTGTATCGATCCAGAGATATCGGATCCCAAGCCGACGAGTGATAAGAATCGCCTCTTGGAAGACTTGAGACATGTCACTGATGCGGATTTCCCGCTTACGGTCCTCCAGGTTCTCGGTTGTCGTCGCGAATGGAAGGCATTTGCCCCAGCAGTGGCTTAATGCAACATAACGACCGGTGTGATCCTCCTTATTCTGGTCGTCCCGGATACATACTGTCCATACATCGAGCTCCGGGGAGCTGACATCTATCACTCGTGTTGGTAGTCGTGGTGGTTGTGGAGATTCCTTGCAATGCGTATGGTGCTCATTGATACACGAGTTCACCCACGAGTCGATCACCAAAAATGCCTGCTCCCCATCCGCAGCTGCCGCGATAGTCCGACCTAGGATCGCATCTGCCAAGGGGTCGTCTAAGAAGGATTAAGATCGAGTCGAATGTCAGAAGAAGAATGATCGCGTTTTCCCGTACCATAACCAGTGGCTACGCAAATCTCTGCTCGGAGAGTCAACCCCCATGAGAATCCTGACGAGGTGGTGACGACAAGAATGACATTGGCCTTGTCATTATGTCGGGGCTTGTGCCCACCGTCCTCATTAGATAGAGATGCGCATACTTGTAACGACATGACCATGGGGAAGTCCAGGTACCCGTCTATTTTGCCCAGAGGTTCTATTTCCGGGGATCGTGAGGGGGGGCTCTCCCCGCTTGCCTCCTGTTGTGCAGCTTCATATTTGAAAGAAGCCTCTAACCCTTGTCGGACCAATGTGCATAATACACAACCCGATGATGCGGACAGTTCACCGAGACATGAAAACCACGGAATATTAAAAGACACACGCGATTGGTTAGACTCTCTCCATAATGGGAGTCCTTTCAGGAGGAGGTCCTGGAGAGAGATTGTCTTACAGCGAGAACAGAGGGAGCGCATGGTTGTCAGTGGCATCGTCGAATTGAGGGTGGAAGTTCTATTTATTATGTGGTCCGCTCCCGCTTTCCACCAATTAATACAATCAACCAGTGTCAAACCAGTATTATTCACGCAATACCTTTCTATACAACCCGATTAGGAATATCAGTGAATATGGACACCTACTAGGATCGTCCATTGCCTTCTCAGTCTTTATTCCCTCAGGTTGCCCGACTTCGACTTCCCACTTTCTTCTTCCTCCCACTATCTCACAATCACAACCTCAACAACGCGATCTGAGTTGCCATTTCCACATCTCAGTACTCATTTGAGCTTATTTCTTGTCATCACTAGTCTTGTCACCTTCATACTGCGAAAATCTCACCACATCAGGTAAGTTGCCCTGTCTAATCTCCTTCTCCTGGCCTCATCCAAGCCTCAGATCTAATCTCCTCCTATAGCCTAAGTCACTGTTTTCCAGCACCGCCTCCCTTGGTAGGCGCACTGGCTCACGTCCTTCAGTGTCCTCTCACTTCGCTCGCGCTGTTTAAGATTTATCTGACCCTGTCTGCTAATCCTGGATTCGTTATTCTAGATATATCTTATCCTGCAGATATATTTTAAGTGGACCTGACTCGCTCTTCGACGCTGGAATTATTCGAAATCCTTAGGAATCTTCGGAACTACACTCCTTTCTGTATAGTGGAGACGAAGCTGAGCGAGAGACTAGGGGACGCGGAGTAAACAGACTCGTGTGGGCGAGCGCTCAGGCGCGTGCGCTTAGGCATTTGGAGATTGGCTGCTTTTTGTCCGTGAATAAAATCTCTGGTAAGATCCAAACTGTTCACATTAACCTAATTATCATACTTAATCCTACGTTCCACCGGTATTTCTATTCGATGATACGGGAGTATCATCATCCGTATATATATCCCTATGCTCGCACTTAGCCCTCGGCCTTTTCCCTCGGATATGGCCTTTCATGTGCGGAAGACTCCATGTTTCTGATCCAGGATCTGTTCCCAGACAGATTGTGGGGAACCATAATATTCAATTTAGTGATTGCTAATACATGACATAGTCGAGATGTCGATTAAAATAGGATATGACCCCAGGATGGTAAAATAATGGGAATCGAGGGCGTGCACTATCCCAAGCATACATTAGAAAAGCATGAGGATGTCCCTGGGAACTTGGCTGAGGGTTTTCAGACTGAGTTCAGCCAATCAGCTCCAAAGCCTATTTAAGACCGAGAATCCACTTCTTCCCTTTTTGGTGGAGTACGGTAACCGATGGAAAGTTAAGAATGATCGACGGGGTTTCATAGGGGAAGATGGGGAGTTTAAGTCGGGTGCGTCGCATATGCTGTGAATTTCCCACAGCCAGCCACTGAAGTATGTCTGGTTAGGCACAGCGATCCCTAACGTCGGCATGTCTAACGATACCACGAAGAACTTTCTGCCTCTGGTCACACTTTGGTACAACGCCCGTATTGTTAGGCCGGACACCACCCAGTTTCTTGTGCAAAAGGCTGGAAGCCTCGATAACACAATGATAGATATTTAGAATCTGGTACATGCGTAGAAGCTCCTAGTATACTCCTTTAGGAGGGGCGGCAGGCCGTAGCAAGGGTAACCGGGAGAATAGTTTCGTTCTACTACTAATCTTCTACCAGGAGCCTCTCACAGGACGATGGGTGCGGATGGGCGGTATCCCCATTGGTGTCAAGCTGAAGCTAGATATAGAGGACACAGGCACAGATCCGGCGGAGCATAGGAGGGTAGCGAGAGAGGGAGATCTGGGACGATCCATGGCGTAGCTGAAGGGGGTCCTGGAAGACGTACTCGGCCGCGATGTGATCGGATTCGACAACACTATCCTTGACGGGTGCAGTCAGTGTCATAAGTTAGGAAAGTTAAGGAGCAGGTGCTGAACATGCTGGCGGAAGCGGCTGTAGGAAACTCCACGAGTGCTGGCCTCCGCGTCTCACGGCCAGACCTCTGGTTCAATAGCTGGCCTGCAAGAACATCAACTATTTGATCATCGACAAGCAGGCTGATATTACTGTAGGCCCCGACGTCGTGGCCGGAATCAGGCGGTTTGCCAGCGCCATGACAGCGGCTGCCCGAAAACATTTGCCTGAAACACAAGCTAGAGCATGATGGTGAAAGAGAACCTCGGCTTATGCGGGCCACTATACCGCCATGTCAGATGATAACGATTGAGTTGGAGAATTGTAGGGAGGTCCATGATGAGCACTCGCGACAGTCCAAGAACCTGCTCGTTGCAATTAAGCGCTAGAAGTCCGAAGAGAGGAAGGATTGCGTCAAGCTCCCAATGTTTGCTACGGATTATGGATAAGGAGCATTTCTTCGAGAAGCCCTATCGCTGGATGCTAATCTTCGCTATGTGGTCCTTAGAGCTCTGGATAATAGAGATTTTTCTTGACCAGCTGGGCCTGCCTTACACTATTATCCGCTCCGACATGAACAACGACCATTGCGGCCGTGCGGCCGAGACATTCAATAAACAACCCACTTCGGCAACCCAGATTCTACTATGCACGACGGGTGTGGTGCGACCGGTTTGAACCTCTATCAAAACTACTGGATAGAAGAGGCACAGTAATCTGAACACTATCCTACAATCGGGCGGGCAGCAGCTTCACGCAAAGAGTAATCCAAGGCACAGAAGATTTACATTCTCTACCAGGATCGCACGGTGACCACTTACCTGCAATATATGCACTTCGAGAAAGCCACAGCCCAAATCGCCGTGGCGATGAGACCGGAGCTCGAGCCAATTATAGACGCCCTGAGAGAAAGTTATTGCACCAAGAGAGTCGATGATTTGAGCCGAGACGTGACCGACACGGCAGCGACTGAAGCATTTGCTCTGGGAACCAACACCGAATTGACCGCCTATACAACCCCGGAGACGGTGTGCAAACTGCCGAACAGGAATCTTAGTACTAATGAGCCTGAATCCGCCGACTTATCCAAGACACCCGGTATAAAGGCGCTGGATCAATGAGCCGAGAGCTTAAAAAGCAAGCAGTTTGAAGAGGTGAGTGCTTCCATCTGCTAGGTCTTAACTTTGCATCCCTGGGCGGAAATGGCACGGGCGGTGGGGACTTCTGCCTAGAAACAGAAAGGGTGGGTATTGAAGACATTGAACTTGACCATGACTGATATATTGAAACTAGGTCTAGGATAGAGCTCGGACTAAATAGGGAAGAGGGTGTTTGGAAAAGATCTGTCTAAGAACCCACTATCTGGATTAGCTGGTTGGACTTCCCAGGGTTACTCATTAGCATTGACGCTAAAGGCCAAGGCCACAGAACCTACTGGCGGCGAGGGAGCGACACTGGGAAGGATCTCAAGGAAAAGGAAGCTGATACTCTGTCTATCGCTCCAATCCGTGGAAAAAAGCGGTCCACTTCTGAAATGACTGAACTTAAGCTAATACCGTGAGTGACGTAAGCCCTTGATTCAGTAGAACAGAGGGAGCGCATGGCTGCCAGTGGCATCGTATTCATTCTGACATTGAACCCACTTAGTCTCTCGGCATTAACGACAACCTCGGCTCAATTTAAATTACCCAGGACCTGCTTATTGGATTGCCGATCGCTAGGTTGTAATGAGATCGTGCGATACGGACATTGTATCATTGTGGATTGAATTGAGAGTTGAGATTCTATATACTACATCCGCCATTGCCTACACAGGTTTCCTCAGACCTCAAGCGACAAGCCAACTGTATGTACTGTGTACAATAACTCTTCCATCCAAACAATCAGAAGACCAGCAACGCAGCTCTTGCGGTCAACGCCATCAAAATCCCCGACGAAAATACGAATGTCGAGAAGCGCGTCATAACATGATTGGTCGTACAGTGCACCAGACTGTGGGTAATCCGGACAGCCACATAAGACCACGCCAAGAAAAGGTTCACCGGGTCATCATCACCTGCCACTGCCAATGCCAGAGCGATAGCGTAAAACTGGGTGGGCTGCTCCATGAGGTGGTTGTAGTTGTCCGCCTTCCACCGAACGTTGGCCGGTGTCATTCTGTCGAGTTCAGGCTTCGTGATTGTATTCGGGAAGTTCAATTTGGTGAAGACTGGAATGCGTACTTTGTACATCCAGATCTCCATGAAAAAGGTCCAGACATTGAGGGCAACCACGGGCCGGAGGAGGCCTGGGATCTGCGTGGTGGACATGATTTGAAATCAGATTTGAACCAATTGGAGTGTAGCTCCGCGTTGAGACAATTGATCCTACGATACAATTAGAAGAATGAAGCGCGATGTATCTGATCTTTGGCAGCAGTGGAGGAGAAACCGTGGGGGCGATTCCCAATTCTTATATTGGACCCTGTCACCTGACCACACACTAGTGTTGTGAACCAAGGCTCGATCAAGTAAACTATAGAGCTTCATCTACGGAATAAAATCCGTATGGAAATAGATTGATTTCCAATCAACCTAATGTTCATGTTGTATATAAACCCTCAAGTTTACGATGAGAAAATGTAACAATTGATCTTCCTCTGAATTACAACAACTAGAAATGTTTCTGCCTTACGGTTCAGGATAAATTTCTCGGTAACCCTACCCTTTCTATTAATAATGCTTACTACAAGTCAAGTGAAGAAAGAAGAGGAGGGAACCAAAAGACCAAATATAGGTAACTGCGGATCGACAGCATGATCTCAACTCTGCCATTCATTACGCCGCAGTACATCAATGAACTTCTCCACTAGGCCACTCTCAATCAGCTCCACACCTCCACTGAGTGCCGGACTGGCCGCTTGGGTCTTCATCTCAAAAGAAAGCCACACGCGACCAGGATTGTCATTATCATATTTGTCTGTGGAGAAGTCCAGCAACTCGATGGCTGGGTTCTTGCGCGGATCCTGTTCACCCTCCGTAAGGGTTGCACCCACTGCCTCTTGGGTAGAACATCAAACTCTAGCCCGGAACGGCGAAGAGCCGGCAATAGATCTTCAGCCAACCGAAAAGTCTTCGCGTTTTGTACGTGGAAAAAGCATCGGAATCGCTGGACAACTTTTTTGTGTTCTCGTTGGGGTTGATCCCCTTCAATTGTAGAACGGCGTTCGCCACGATATCCGCTGGAAGCTATGATGGTCTCATCCACCGCTGGCAATGATTTCAAAATAGATGCCATCTAGAGCAATAGTGTAATAGCATTGGTGGCGTTCCATTTGCCTGTCATGCTATCGCCGACATTCTGTCCCACCCGCGGAATTCTAGCAGTCATACTTGTCTGCTTAGCGGCCACATAGACAATCCGCTCTGCGACGAGCTTGGATCTTGCATAGCCCATGTTCTGTGCCCAGGATAGCTCAGGAATCGGTGCCTCCGCAATAGTGGCCGGTAGACGGGTGGCGGCCGCGACTGAAATCGAGGAACAAAAGTAGAACGCTGCTGGTGAGGGTCTCTCACTAGAGAGACAGTGGTTGATCAATTTGTGGATTCCCCTGATGTGCTGCGCTTCAAAACTGCGCTCACCAAGCGTGAAGTTGACCGCCCAAGCAACATGGATCATCTCTGTGAATGATCGACGGAGCTCCCCAAGCACAGACGGAGATAGCTGTCTTCCAATCCGAGCTGAGAGGGCAAAGCTACGATTTTGGAGATATTGAGCATGGCAGCTCTCTCGAGGCTAGGCTAGAAAGGATACGTTAAAAGCATTGCTTGCGTCTGCGGCACGTACCAAACAGTATATCGTCCTGATAAAGTCGTGTTGCATAAGTCTCGAGAGGATGTATACCCCTAATGAACCGGTGGCTCCGGTCAATACCTGGAAGAGTCTGTTAGCAACATAAGACGGATTTGTGATAAGTGAGCCTACAATAGTCTCGGCGTCCTCTCTTTCGTGGCACAAAGCTCGAATACTTGTCAATCACCTCAGTCATTGCCTTCAACTCATCTTCTGCTCTATAGGCGTCACCTGTACGGAGAGCGTACAGATGCGCGGCAAGGCGTCTGACATTGGCAAAGTCGTAAATCACGTTATGGCCGAGTTCGGCTGTTCCAATATCCACTTTCTTCTTGTTGATACTCCTGGCTTTAATTGCTTGTGTCGACGCCGGTTACTTGTGGTGTAGTTGGCTCTACAAGCTCCGTGCATTTAGAAAATAGGTTTCGGAAGGCCTGTTGAGCCCAAGGAGCGGATGATGAAGGCCCATTTCTGACTGAGTTCAGGTGTTCCCGTCACGTCTAAGTTCGATGACTCGGTGCATTGAGATCGAGGAAGTTGAAGAAGTACATCAGCCAAAGAGTCGGCTGAGAAGACTTGAAATGGGCATAAGTCCCAGAGGCATTGGGTGGACCAAACCATCATGTAGAGATCAATCTTTCTCACTAACGTGATCTCCTTCGGGTCAACCTTGGCGAAAGAACCAAATCGGGCATACTGGGTGGATGATTGTCCGACACCCTTGAGGTACTCGACATGGTGGGTATTCTCCTTGCCATGTAGGGTTGTGTCTGCCATTGCGACTCCAGATGTCTCAATTAATCTGTAGTGGACTTTGGAAGGGATGCCCTAAATAGAACATTGGCCTTGACATGCGGAGGTTGGCGCCTTTCATGGGACTCCCAGCTGATGGGCTCTGCTGATATCACTGTCCCCATGTCCCCACCTCCACGTTTAGAGAATCTGGGGTCACTGAAGAGTCAAGGCTTGCCAAGCTCATGGCTGAGGGGAGAGCCCAACCGTGGATGTGAAGCCATATCCCTCCACCTCCGATTGGATCGAGGCTCGAGATATTCGGATATGCCTGTATATTTCCGACCTTCTATCAACTAGGTTTACTTAGTGTCGGAAAACGACCATCGTTAATATGTGACATATCCAGAACGTGATCATAGCCTCTGCAGGATGGAAGTTTAGCGGATATAGGAAAACTTTACAGAGGCTGGTTCGTTCACAGACTTCTACAGCTCTACATCATGTTCGGCTCCGCATAATGCCCCCGATCCTGAATGTGGGTTGATGTATATTAATCATATCCAGACATTAATCGCTAACCTCCTTGAGCGAGACACTCTTGATCATTCCCGTTTCAGGCAGGCAATTAACATACTCGAAGTGCGCATCGCCGCGCTTCAACACCGACACCTCATGCCACGTGCGGAATTTTCGCTTCTCCCCGAAGGTTTTCGCATGGCGAATCGCACCGGTATAGATTGCCAGGTGCGATGGATGGTGCTTTGCCCAACTCTCCAAATCCGCCAAACTGGTGAAGAATCCGGTCACACAGGATTCGTTTGATTGCCCGGACCACTGGGGCGATGAATTGGGGACGTTTTGCAAGTACCTCAGAGCCATCGAACCGGATGTGGTGGGATTCTGCCATAGATACGATAGCCCCTCCCGGAGAGTCGGCTCCAGATTTTCTTCGTATGAACGCTTCTCATCCTCATCGCAGTTGTCCCAGAATTGACCCGATCGGATATGCACCATGTTCTGGAAGTTGGTGCCGGTCAAGTGCTTGCCTACTGAGGACGGGACGGGGTCCGGAAATGCCGCTGCGATAGAACCTCCGTCCCGGTCGAAGAGGTCAAAGGCCGAATCGGGGATTCGATCCCGCGCAGCGCCCCAATATGCCGTACATGAGTGGTCCTTGGTACTCGTGCCGGGTAGCTGGGCAAGACCCGGGAGATAGTCAGTTCCAGTATAGTTGGTTTCCAAGCGAGGGATGTGACTGATAAATCGTTCACACCAGAGACCAACCGCCGGTTGGTCCGAAGGATCAAGCTCTCTGTGTAGCCGACTGAGATTTAGTCGTCTGATTCCCTCTTGATACTTGATCTCATCATTCCAGTAACAAGCGAACACGAGGGACTTGGGGGCATCGTTCCCGTCAAGAACTCGAAAGCGTTCCACCGATGCCGGCGCAGTGTTCCGATTCTGCGACAACCAAAGCTCAATGGCCGCGTGGCACTGGGGAAGCTCTGCCTGAGCTCCGGGATGCTGTTGGACTCCGATATACGCCGTAAATACTTTATCCAGGTTGTCCGGAAATTGCGCTAACCAACGCGGCATCGGAGGAACATGATTCTTTGGCCGTCGCAAAGGAAATATTCTCACCGGACAATCCATATGTGCCCGAGAAGAGCTGTATTTCCGGATGAGGGGAGCTATGGTACGTTTTGACATTTTCAGGTAATCCACCGTTGTTTCGAATTGAAGTATTTGCGTAAAAAGGGGATGATGGGAGGGGTGGGATATATTGATCTGCGATATGTAGCCACATAAATTATTGAATTTCAAGAGTGGAGTAGTAGTAGATCTATCATTCTTCAAGTAGACCCAGTAGAAAGAATGGGAACGGATATTGCGGGGAAAACCGCGGGAAACGGAACGGACCGGGGAACCAGAGTAGGGCTTAGGGCTTGATATCCCATCTCTCGACGTCCTTCCCAACATCCCTCCAGTCGCTCATCTTTGGTTGACATATCATACCTCTTACACGTCGAGGTGATATATTCGATCCCATGGAAGACACCTAGCTTTCCCCCTCCTGCCTTTGTTCCCCTCGTTAATCCCCAGTCATGACATTGATCACCGACAATGTCCTCCCTTAGACTCGCCGCGGCCCATGTCGCTCCCGTCTTTCTCGCCGCCCGTGAGACCACCCACAAGGCCGTTCATTTGATTGAACAGGCTTCCAGAAACCAGGCCAATCTCGTCGTTTTCCCAGAGTCGTTCATATCCGCCTTCCCCGTGTGGAGTGCTTTACGCCCACCGACCGAGAACCATGATCTCTTCCGGCGGATGGCCCACGAATCCATTGACGCCGACGGAGAGGAGATGCAGGCGGTTCGTGCGACTGCAAAAAAGTGCAATGTGGTGGTCAGCATCGGCTTTTCCGAGAGGGTTCGACCGGGCCGGGCAACGTTATTCAACTCGAATATGATCATTAGCAACCGTGGGGATGTTCTTATCCATCACCGCAAGCTTGTGCCCACATTTTTTGAGAAGCTGACCTGGTCTCCCGGAGACGGTCACGGATTGCGGGTGGCGGAGACGGAGTGGGGGAAAATCGGGGCCCTCATCTGTGGCGAGAACACCAATCCGCTGGCTAGATACGCTCTCATGGCTCAAGGCGAGCAGGTCCATATCTCCACTTGGCCCGCCATTTGGCCCACGCGGGTGCCATCCCCATCCGCACTGGGAGAGTCCAATCCACAGCCCGGTGCGACCGCCACAGCGAACTACGACAATGTCGCCGCGAACCGCATCCGTGCGGCTGCCCATTGCTTCGAAGCGAAATGTTTCGGGGTTCTCTCGGCGGGCGTCTTGGGAGGGGATGCGATCGATATCATTGCGTCTGGCTCACCGTATCTCCGGCAGGTCATGGAGCAATCACAACGGGCGGCGACCATGTTTCTCGACCCGACGGGCGCGCCGATTTCGGGATTTACGATGGCGGAAGATGCCACCCGCCAACCGACCGATTTCCTACAGGCGACGGAGGGAATCCTGTACGCCGATGTGAGTTTGGAGGACTGCATCGAGGGCAAACAGTACCACGATGTCGTTGGTGGCTACCAGCGCATGGATATCTTCGACCTGAATGTAAATCGCACGCGTCAGCAGCCCGTACGATTTACGCAAGTGGTTAATGTATAAACTGGTGGGAACTCACCCCCAAGGAACAACACGCGATCATCCTAAGAAAGTTCCTGTTTTAGAATAATCTGGACAAGATCTGGTGGGTACTGACCGATGGTACCCCTGAAGAACATCGCGTAACCATGTAGCTGTGTAGATGAAATGGAACGGGAATCGAGATGAATCCGAGTTCCGCACATAATATAAATTCAGCTCATTCCGAGCATACCATACAGTCCCAAGTTGCATGATCGGAGTTCTGCATTGTTCAATTAGCTCTGATGTTGGCAAAATATATAATTCAACAACAGAGATCTACGATCACCATCGCTATGAACACAACACAACTCCCAACATCCAAATCTTATTCATGATTTCCCAACAGCAAATAATACCCTACTGTAAAGGGTTTGTAATTAAATTATGTACGTTTTCTTTGGCAAGCTCGTGGTTCCCTCTCAGTTCCCAGCAACAAGAACGTTAAATGTCAATTTCGGCGACTGGAGACGATATGATTCTACGAGGGTGCACATCGGACAAGCAAGAAGTCAAGCGCAGCTTGTTCTACATCCTCATACATCCGTATATGACAAACAGTGCAGTGGGCTGATGTATGCCATTTCACATCACTAAAGTAGGAGTGAGCTGGACTAAGTTTGACGTCCAGCGTCCGGTGGGATGATGCGCCCAAATGTTTGGCAACGATCGGACCGCCGCGGCAATATTTTGGAACCCCGTCTGTGCGAACACCTGGTTCATCCGCTCAGTGAAATAGGACCGGTGCTCTGGGTCCGTGCTATCAGCGGCCGCCATGAAGCACACCCAGACCAGGGCATGTGCGCCGGGTTCGCTGGGGCCGACGCGCGACACCAATTGTTTCAGGTGCTCCAGCCGGCCCCACTGGTCGCCGTCGGTGGTCGCTCGGAGAATATAGATCTGCGAGGCTTCAATGAAGGCCTGTCGTACTACACACAGAACGCGGTTGTACTCAGAATCGGGGGGAAGCGGATAGTAAGTCCAGTCGAGGTAGTACTCCACGTGAAAGCCAAGGGCATTCATTCCCTGGGATTCTCCAAGTAGCGGTTGCCCCAGGAACTGGTACCTACATCAGACGTTAGTGTCTCTACGAGGGAGATACAAGGACTACACGGCTTACATATGAGTTTGCTGCACAAGGAACTGATATGCTGGCGTCGGTGTCATGTGAGAGAGGCTAGGTGCCACAGAGAGTAAAGTTCGGAGCAAGTGAATGTACTCGGAACTGCCAGTGATAGTTTCGCCTACTAGTAAGACGATCAGCGTGGCCCACGTGGATAGATTGAAGATGCGGTCTGGCGAAGCCTGTAGAGAGTCACGACGAAGGCGGGAAATGATCGCTGCACGACCAACTTCTGCAACCGGTCGAAAGCGTTCCTCTCGTAGGGCCAAGTGTTGAGCAGCCACAACTCGGATGGCACCGCGCAGGACTTCATCTTCGCAGGCGAGGGGTAAGAGAATATCGCGGTAGCCATTGGCAATATGATCAAAGATGACCATGACGGGGGCAACGTCACTGGCAACTAGGAAGTTTCAGTTGTTTTGCTGCAGGAACATGAGAAGGGAAGGTAACGTACAATGCGACAGGTACATTCGGTCTTCGGGACTCAAAGAAGTAATGGATGGCGTTATGAACGAGGCTGTGATCGGCCTCAAGGCCCACTGGGAACGATCATCATGTACTCGATTATCTTCGACGGAATCGGTAGAACGCTGGACTAGCTGGATTGCGTCGCCCTGAGAGCACCTCGATGATCCCGACGGGGTCTCATCAGAAAGCGCATCCTGAATCCGAGAATGGAGAGAATAGTGTGGGTCGTTTGCCTGTCTTGCTTTCGTCTGGATGTGATCGGGTGCGGATCGCTTTTCCGCCTTCTGCCTGGAACGTTTCGGGCGATCATCCTTCCACCGAATCTTCTGCGGCAGTGCGTTCCCCGACGGTAGCTGTTGGTTCCCATCCGGTCCAGGGATCGCACATCCTTTCAGTTTCCCCCGCGTGGCAACGCCCGGGGAGAAGCGAAACCGTCCCAAGCCAGAGCATTCGATTCCTTTCTTCTGGCACTTGAAACAGATGGGATGGGCCCCGTCGCAGATGATCCGTCGCTTGGTACACTGAAAACAACCTTGAGCATTCAAAGGTTAGCCAGTCAAATCTGATTGAAACAAAAGGTATACAAACCTCGATCCTTTGCACTTCCGAGAACCATTTAGCTGGAGGAATGGAGACTTTTGATGACAAAAGTTCAGCTTCAACTTTCGCGTTTCCTTTGTTTTGCGGGGGAAACCACGCTTGTCCTCTTCCGGTTAGGCGCACGGGACCTTATCGATAGTCCGGAGAAACGGGCCGAAGCGATAAAGAGTGTTTAATTTTATACATTTATTTCTCTTTTCTTACTCTCTTGCTTGCCTATTCCTCACTCCCTCGCCAAAGTCGTGGCCCTCGATACCACTTCCGTGCATACACTGCCCAGTTCACCCCAGCCACAAGACCCATAACTCCAAGGACCGCCGAGGTGTAATCTACAACCGGTCAGTACGATTTTAAACACCAAGCGAAAATTGATCGTCTTAACTCACTCATATTACTCCCCGTCACAGGCCGCACCGTAGGAAAGTCGTAAAATACCAACACCAAGATGGCAAAACACACGGTGATCAGATTGGCACCCCACCCCACTATATTGGGCAATCGGAACGTGCGCGAAACCGGCAACCAGGTCGCGGATCGGCAGCGATACAACAGTAACGCAGCAGGGAATGCATACGAGATATGTTGCAGAACTAGTCCGGTGCCGATGAAGGCGCTGAATGCCGATGAGGACCCTAAATAAATACACCCGATCAGGAACACCACGGCATAGTTGAAAACCAGAGCCCTGACCGGTGCGTCCAGTCTGTCATCCAACTTTCTAATCCATTGACTTCCGACGAGGGCCTGGTCTCGCGCCAAGGCCCAGGTGAGACGCGACGCGGTTTGCTGAGCCCCTGTCAGCGCAAAGATGGCGGCGAGTAAGAGGAGGCTGATGAAGACGGTCGCTACGGTAGGGGAACGCGTCGCCTGATGCCACATTTCGTAGATGGGGACTCTTCCCAACCGATTCAAATTAATCCTGAAGCGGAGGTTGGATGGGGAGGGGGTTTAAGCTCACCCAGTTGCCGATGCCACCACGGCTTTCAAGTCACTGGTACAGTACAACATGGTGACCATGAACGCAAAGGAGGTGGCAAAGCCGATGATGAGGGTAATCATCAAAGCACGGGGCACGGCCGTTGCCGCACTCCGACACTCCTCCGCCAAGTGCAGTACACCGTCAATGCCTGCGTACATGTAGTTGGGGGAGACCAGGCCGGTCAGAAAGGCCACTCCATCTGAGTTCCATCCACTGTCATTGAGAAAGGTCGCCCATACCATATCCGACGGCTGGTACAGGGCTGCGGAGCGAGCCAGGCAGGTAACTATGATAGCGACAAAACTGGTGAGGTTTATCACGACTACGAGCCTCATGAGACGGTCCGGTTTGAGCCACTAGTTCGGATGCCGAGACACTTACAGCAGATATCATGAAACCAGAGGGACTTTTTTAATAAGGTGATATTGTACAGCAGTACCAGCCCGTTGACAGATTGGTAGATCAGGAAATAGTGCCACGGCTGCGAATGATAGTCTGAATTATAGAAGAGGACAATCCCTAGGATGAGCTGTGCCGGGATAAGTGCAATCCCCGTGCAGATGGCAATCCACGCGAGCATATTGCAGACCCCACAGCAATAGCTCTCGGGATGGGGTCAATGTTTGCCCGAATATGAGTCCTGCCAAGGGGGTGGACGTACCAATGCCCGACTCAGCGGCTCAGGAGCCAAAATCGAGGTCCAGTGATACTGCCCTCCGGCGGTTGGGTAGATGCTTGCCAACTCCGCTAGGGTGAGTGTACACGCTCCGCCGAGGAGGAAGACCAGAATTAAGCCATAGACCAGTGTGACTGGCCCACCCTGCACGATGGCGAGGGTCACGGTGGCAGCCACTCCCGCCCAGCTATCACATATAATCCAGCTGGCGGATATCGTTTGCAGGGGAGTCAGGTTCCGCGTTCCTTGGGGCTGAAGAGCGAGTCCTTCGAGGCATGCCAGATCTCCATGATGGATCGTGTCTGTGTAGGAATGGAAAGGGGTTACTATACCGTGTATAGAGCCCAGGAGGAGACACTTACGGCTGTCAACATCTACACTTTGTGCTGTAGTCGGTCAGTAAGATGCACCGTAGTTGTTTTAAAACCATTCCAACCCGTACCACGCTTTGATTTTCTTTCACCTGAGTCCATGCTTGCTTTACCAATAGTTAGTTGTCGCTGGTAGACAGGACCTTGAAATGAGAAGAATCCTGGTGGCTTTTCTCAAATATATGCTCACTTAAGAAGATAGATATAAGGGACATGGATTATAACTTGGTCCACAAAAAGTGAGTTTCGTGGCATTTGTGGGGTTTGGAGCTTATTCCGCATTTCCCAAACGAGTAAAAAATCAGAGATAATTAAAATTGATATAACATGCCCTGATAAGCTTCCTGAAGGCTCCTGACAGCAACCATTGGTGACAATAATACTCGATTATATCTCTACATGATATTCATACATTCTTGCCGAGACCTTCAGCCCGAATGAAGGTGGGAAAAAGGGGACAAAAAAAAAACCCCAAAAAATAAAGAAAAGGGGGTGGCTGGTATTTCCAATTCACTTGACCTCCTTGCTTCATCAACTGTAGGCATACATTAGGTATTCCTCCAAATACAGTAGTATTTACAATAGAGAACGAATATCCGGTTGTGGTCGCAGCTCCTCCAGTACCGTCATCGCTGCATGAGTACCTTCTTCGATCGCTCCGTCGATAAAGCTGCGCCAGCCAACCGCCCAGTCGGAGTTGGCAAATAGGACGTTTCCATGCCGGGATCGGAGGACATCCAGGGATTTGGACACGAGCTGGGGAGGAGAAAAGAACCATGCCCCCTTGGCAAACTCATCCTTGCACCAGTTGTGAAATACCTGGAGCATTTTGAAGTCAGCGAATATACACAAGCCTCTGGATGACACGTCTAAGATGAACCATACCAGTCGTTTGATATCCATATTTCCAGGAGACAAGTTCTCCACCGCTCTTTTGGTTTCGTCGAGGTCCTCCTCGGGCTGCAGGTGGTTATGTGCTCCCCCGAAGCATACAATGTGCGTGTTCCCTGCCGGTGTGGTCCCATCCGCGATGGCGTAGGTAAGTTTATTGAATGGGTAGGAGATCCCTGTCCATGACCGCATCTTGGGGCTGGCAATCTCCGCGTGCACCTTGACACATTGGTTAACATGACCGGTACTCAGGGCCACTGCGCGTCGCGGGTCCAGGGGAGGGTAAAACGAGACAGAGCTGAGCACATTCAGCGGGATCGTAGAGACAAGACGCGCACTGCAATAGTGACGACCATCACGGGTGTTCACCACCACTTTGTGCCCCTGGTCGTCGATCGACTGAACGGGGCTGTTGAAGGTGTATGATAATCGCCCGGTTGCAAGTGATTCCCGAAAGAATCTGATCGCGAAACTGGACTGCCCGCCCTTGAACTTATAGGAAATGAGGTAATCCATGCAGCCTCGGTAGGAATATCCACACAAAGCCCACCAGTGGAGGAATTCAAAGAAGCTGGTTGTGTCGAGCGTGCCGCAACTGCAGAGCAGAATAAAGCTCTCCACTACAGCGCGCTCATTAGGTGTCAGAGACTGAGACAGCTCATTCAGGCGATCTAATACAGACATGTCGTCATACTGCCGGGAGGATGGGTTGTGAAAAGCGTCGTGCGGATACGGCATGATCTTCCTCCCCATCTCTCCATCGACATCGACGAACTTCTGCAACGCGCCGGCGAGAAGCGTGTCCTGATGGTACGGTCAGCGACAGATCGTTGAGTAGTCCATTCCACAGACCTCTTCTTCATGACTAAATACTGACGAGCCGTGGTGAGTGCGTAGTTGGAAGTGATTCACCCCGTGGGAGAAGTCGAAGGACGGCTCCAACTCGCTCCTCATCTGATATCGAGAGATTTCTCGCCAGACATGAGGCTGGCCCCAATGCACCCAAGTGCCCCCCATCTCAAAGGGATATCCCCCGATATTAGATGACCACGAGCGACCCCCAATGCGGTCCCGCGCCTCGATGAGAAGCACGCGGAGCCCTGAAACCGTTGTTAGGAGACTATACTGGATTAGAGGAATACACAACATACCGGCGAGACAAGCATCTCGGGATGCCGTGAGACCCGAATACCCTGCACCGACTACGATTACATCCCATTGGTTGAGGTTTGGCGGCACGTAGGTGGGTGGCGAGATGACGCTAATTGAAGGGACGCCTTGTAACAGACCCGTCTCAGCGGTCCATTGATATCCATCGCGAGAGCTCATGTTGTGTAAATTCTCTGTAGTCATTCGTTCATATACCATTGATAAGTGCGAAAGAAGGAGAGAGACAATGCTATCCTTCAAATTGGACCTAGGGCCTCCAATCGAGATATAGAATCAATGGCAATTCACCCATGTGCAATGATACTAAGATAGTATGTTGAACTTGCCACAAACGGGTAAAAGCATGAGAATATGGTCCCATAGATACCCTTACTTGCCCCATTTTGAGCTTCTTCCATACGGCAGTTTTAGCCAATGAGGGAATCTTCATCTTTCGACAGAAACATTGCCTTTTGCCGACCCGAAGTCTACCACAAATTACCGCATTGGGGCACTAAACAGAGAAAATTACGGAGACCGAGCATCTCTAGCCAGACAAGACGACAAATACAAGATTAAAAAAAAAGAATTTGAGGAATTGGGACAAAGGGAGCGGGACAGGGAGCTTTTACGTTTTGTATGTTCTGCGAGGATATGTTGCGTGTGAGTACTGAAATAGCTGCCTCTGGTGGCAGTGGAGATAAAAACGGCTTTTGACCCCGAGCATTTCCCCCGAGCAGCTCCCCAGAGCGCTGCAAGTGGGATGTATTGAAGGGTGATGATGGGCACCTGAACAACCAAGCTAACTGTGACATGGGGTTTCGACGGCGATAAAGGCTAACCCTAATACCTGGCACAGCCAGGGGGCTACACTGTAGATGGGTTAAGCAGCGACAAGCCATTTGTAAAGCAATGGACTTTGAGGTGGGACGATTGCCCAGATGTGTAGACCAGCACAGAATCAAAGGACCTGTGGTGTCAGTGCCATTACAGCTAGATTGGGCAACAAGAACGTCACTTGTCAATCCCCGGCTGACTCTGTGATGCCCTCGAACTCACAATCGCGACACATATTAACCCATCGTTAAAGCCAAAGCTTCGAATGAGAAGCCCCCGAGTGCAGACCCAAACCAATACAACAACCCCAGACAATGGGCGTTAGCTGTGGGTTGGTCACTGCCGCCATGAGGATACAAACCGCTACGTGACAAGGTGCCAAGAGTAAAACGAAAATGCCCAATGGGCTTAGGGGATGCTAGAAGTAGGCGCTACCCAAGGGGAAAATCCCTGCAGTGGCAATATTAGATGATAGACTGGCCAAACTTGAACTCTTGAGCACTTGAGACCGGCTCTTTTACTTCGCATAGTACGGCTCGGACGAACCTGAACGGCGCTAGCTATATCGTAGCGCAAGAACCAATAGACTTCATTTTCTATCACTTGTGCTACTTGGCATCATTGCCGCGGTTGCTCTTAAAAGGTGCTATGTAACGCCACTCCGCGATATTCCGGGTTCCTGGTTGGCATCCGTGGCGAGCCTGTGGCAGGTATATCACCTCGTGAAAGGCCACACAGAGTAGGAGATTATCAAGCTCCCCAGAAGTCATGGTCCGTCGATCTCCAATGAACCACCGCTCCGTCGCAACCCGCTGACTTGGTATAGGCAATTTCGTTCGGGTCGCCGACAACGGAATCAGTGTTGCCCATCTCGATGCGGTGCGCCAGTTGCTCCACGCCAATATTACCAAGGTATAGACTATTATCCCGAACACATAGCATGGTTTGCTGTTGGTTCCCTAAATCTCGTTAGGGATCATGGTATTCGATCTTTAGCTTGCCTGGCTATCACTATATGAATCAGATGTCCAAGCGAGACCCTCATCTACAAATTCAAGCATCTCGTAACGTGGCAGCTGGCTACGCTTTCTCTAATATATAAAGTCAGAGATTATGTCGATCACCTGGAACTTTTAGAGAATCTATTATAAGCTGATAGGTCCAGGCAGCCGGTGGCGTTCGATTGCTGGTTCAACTACTCCGATTTCGATGTAAGTCGGCGAGGTGACCTTTTCTAGCCAATTCCAATTCTTCCCAACGGGTAGCAATATTCGCAATGCCATCGCCAATACACGTGCGTTAGCTCTGTATATCGCCATCATGGGTCATTATGTCTGGCTACATAACCTCTCCCACGGAAACCCGCTGCTCAGCCGGATTGGCTTGCAGCCTCCCTCCCACATTTTTGATACATGTCTCGCTGCTATTCAGCAAAGAAAATGCAGTTCTGCTGGTGTAAGACTCGATATGATGGGAGGCTCGCTACGTGTCCGTCATCAGTTACCTGATCGCCTGAGCGAGTCGGCGGTCTTCGGGGCTGGCTGCTGTGGCAAATATCGGTGCTGGCGCCGACACAACCGGTGCAACTCTACAGGCATTTTTCTATTATCTGATCCGCCATCCCCGGTACAAACTGATGCTGCTACGAGAAATAGAGGAGGCGCAGATTGGGGGCGATTTATCTGAAGTGGTGTTGTACGCGGAGGCCGCAAAGCTGCCGTATCTTCAAGCCCGCGTAGGTGACCTAACGAATAGTAATAGGTAACCAGGTTGGTAAAGCAAGCTCATGATAGCGGATCAAGGAAATAAACAGCTGCCATGCAGCGATTGAGACGGGGCTGCATCGTGTAATCCCAGCAGGCGGGCTCACCGTCGATGACCAATATATCCCAGCAGGAATACGTTCCAAATCCGTGTAGTCTCAAAACATTTCATGACTGAACCTGCTAGCATAGACGGTCCCTCGTATAGATCCATGGGGCTTTCACCGCAATCCCGGTCTCTTCGGGTCTGACTGCAACGACATCAATCCCTATCGTTAGTTGGCTCCAGAGCGAGCAAAGAAGATGGATACCTTCCTTCTCCAGGTAAGTTTGATTCGGTTTGTCCGTCTTCTTTGTCCGGCTCACCATCTGATGCCAAATGGCGGCGAATGCTGGTTATACATACCTTTCGCCAGTGGGGAGCAAGGTAAAATCACTGTCCTGGTCGGAACTTGGCGCACTTTGAGATCTCCAAGGTCACGGTCACCAATCATCCGAGACTATGAAATTCGACAGGCAGATCCCAGAAGCTCGTGGAGGTTTGGAACACACTTCACATCTGTGCCTTATGGTTGACCTTGTTGGTTATACAGACGGGGCCCGAATCAGCGTCGAGCGGATAGACTTGATATGGTTTGAGACGCACGCACGCACTTGTAAGCTATTGTACCTCCCCAGGGAGGTACAATACACAGGCTAGCGTGATACATCTGCATGCAAGGTGACAAACCTTCCGTTAACTAGCAATGTATACGCCAACGTAGGACCATTGTACCTAGTAGGTTGATGCCCTCAGGCATCATAAGAACCAACTAATTGAGGAAATAGAAATAAATTCCAGCCCATTGATGTCGCTATCGAGCAAACCCGTGAAATGGAAATAGTCTGCTTCTAGAGGTACATAACTCTAGGGCTGCAGATTGTAAGGAGTTACTAGATACATTTCGTAGCCTATATGCTGTAGTTGCTTTAATTGAACTAGATCCATCGTCAAAATTATATTAAGAATTGATGACCAAACAAATAGAGCGTGAAATAATTATGTTATTCTCCTTCAGTCAGTCTCATTCTCGGTGAAGCCAGTGTTTAGAGAACGACCGTCAGCTAAAGCATATATCGGAACCCAGGCGATCTATCGCCTAGCTTTGCCATCTCAATCGCATCGTAGCGGGCTATATCAACCCGATCCCGCTTCCGGTTAATATGCTGGTATGTTAGACGCAGGGCGATAGCGCTCAGAATCCCTACCATGCAGAAACCCAACTCCAAGGAGTGACCCAAGGTATACTTTGGTGCGTCTTGGCTCCGGTAGAAGTTCGAGGCCATTGCTAGAGAGACCCAACGTTAGCGTAGGACTTCGGGCGATATTAAAGTGGTATATGGGTTGAGATTGGAAATAAAACGGAGAAGAAATACCTCCACTTAAATTTCCCAGGCCAATTTGGGTGGCCATTCCCGCCGCTCGTTTGTAGTCGCCGGCCAAGTTCACACTGAGCCATGTTACGTTTCCCGGAAAAGAGGGATAGATACCTAGGATGAGGGTTGAGCTGGGAAGCGGAATGGTTTTGTCGCCGGTAGGGTTGCAAAGATATGCACTTACCAATCACAACAAGGAATACACCGAAATAGACAACACCGGGTACCCCTCGTCCCGTAGAGGCGAGGACGATGATGAAGCCTAGGGCGATTAGGGACATGAAGAAAAGAATGAACGGGGACCGCTGCCCGTATCGATCAGAGAGCCATGCAGCTGCCACTGCAAGTACCGCGGCGGTAATATAAATAGGCACCGTAAGGAGCTGCGCCGTTGACGAGGTATATCCGAGATCCTTAATGATGGATGGAAGGAAGAAAGAGATGCCATAGAGGGGGCAAGTAATTCCCCAGTATACTATAGACGTAATTAACACTTCAGGCAGTATTAGAGCGTCCACGGGGATATATACTTAATAGACTGACATACACTTGCCAATCAGTTAACGCATCTACCACGTAAGTGATACGAAACTTAGCCTCCTCGCGTACAACGCCCTCTTGACGTGGTCCTTGGTTATTGGTCTGTGATTGCAACATATGAAGCACATATTCACGCTCCTCATCGGTAAGAAAGGTTGCCGTCTCAGGGAAGTCATGAATGAAAAACGGAGCGATAAAGGCGACTACAACGGTGAGCAGGCCTTCAAGAATGAAGATCCAGCGCCAGCCGGCATAGCCACCAACCCCGTCCATTTTCTAGGCTACCTTAGTGATTCGAGACGGGGAAGGATGATCCACGTGGGAAGCACATACGGCAATCGCATACGCCAGAATTCCGGAGAATGCACCGGCAACGCTCGCTGCACTGAAGAATAAAGTCTGACGATATTGAGCACGGTGACGAGGATACCACAGTGTGATATAGTATGCAATGCCAGGGTAAAGTCCAGCTTCTATGTCATTACAGGAGGACGCGTCAGTCGTATATCAGTGACTGAGAGTAGACAACTGACCCGCAACACCGAGAAAGATACGGGCGCTCAATAGCCCCGCGTATCCTTGTACTACTCCCATCAATGTCTATGGAAGTGACGGTTAGCCCAGTGGCGGACAGCAGAACGGGGTTATGAAGAGCCATGTACCATGACGATCCCCCAGGCTACCATAAGAAGAGGCAGCAAACGCGACGGTCTCAGTTTTTTTAACAGCAGATTACTTGGCAACTCAAATGCACAGTAGGTGAAAAAGAAGACCGTCACTAGAATCCTTTAGCTCATGAACTTTCATTACACTGTGGGGAGTATACATACAGCACCAATTGTATTCCTGCCCCGTCATATGTAAATCGTCAAGCAGTCCCTCAATTTTAGCATTACCAATGTTTCCACGGTCTAGAAAGGCCAGGAGATAGAGGACGGCAAGCATTGGAATGAGCCGCACGTCCATCTTGCGGAGCACCTGCTTCTCAAAGTCCGGGGTGTATATCATTGCAGCATCCGTAGCTTTCTCCGTAATTGCTCTGATTGGTGTTCCAACCGCTTCAAGGGCGATCGTGAAGGGTTTTTCCGTGTCTTCTACTGTCGGCGCCATGTTGAAAATAATAGAGATCGTCGAGGAAAAGGTGACATTTGTGAGGTATATACTGAAGTAGGTATTAAGGGATATGTAGAATTTATAGCTCAGTATACTACTACATATCCCCGCAACCTTGGCATTGATAGCACCCCATGGGGCAGCATGATAAAAAGTCGATCGCTGGTAGGTCGTCCGGCTCATGGGAACTTAACCCCAGGAAGATAGTCTTGCTATGAACGGCTAAAGTAAGCACTAAGTGGAGGTTACGATTCCCCGACGAATAGAAATCAACGAAGCTTGGGCCGCTCACATCGGATCCGTCCCTCGTACTTGATCGGAACCGAACCGACGTTCTGGGGCTAGTCAGGATCCTGAGAGTGGGTCTCTATTACTTACTACATAGCAATTCGGACGTTGGAAGGCCTTTAAAAAAGACATCTATGGCGAGGCTGCCTTCGATTATAACTGCATAACCCGTCGTCTCATAGAACTCACATAAACACAGCCATGGGAGACTCCAAGGCTGCTCATGGCTCGGTCGTGATCATTGGCGCCGGCACCCAGGGTAGGCGACTGGCGTACATGGTAAGATCCAATCTCTCAGGGTCTAATTGATGATATATTAACTCCTGGGTGTCTCATAAGTGGTCAAGCAGAGGAGGTACTGTGCATCTGATTGATCACAATAAACAGCAGCTCGAAGCAGCCTTAGGGTATGTGCTCCAGCTTCGAGCAAAGCCCACCGACGAGAGTGGGAACTGGGGCGACATAATTCTTTCCTGTCCAACCCAATTGGCATATGTGCTGCGGGATGCTTGGTTGGCTGTCGAGGTATTTGAACCCATCCATGAAAGTGGTAAATGGAGAGAAGAGTAAAAAGCAGAGAGAAGGAGGAAAGGCCACACAACAAATTGAGAATCACCCCTAACTGAAGGTTATACGCAGTGCGTCCCAGAAAAGCTGTCGTTGAAACAGGAGGTCATCAGCCAGCTCGATAATCTTGCCCCAGACCACGCGATTATCGCTTCGAACTCCAGTAGTTATGGGATTGGGGAAATCATACAAGGGATACAGCTGAGAAACGACCAAAGACTATTAAGTGCCCACTGCTGTAAGAGATCTATTCTTCAAATTTAAGGATTTCGCGATTGATCAACTGACCGCGGAGAATTAGACTGGCCACCCGAAACCTCAGGTACGTCTCACTACTTCTACATCTACTAGCCACCATATGAATGGCTCTATCTGACCGATCGTTGGCTTGGCTTTGAAGCGATCGAAATCATGGGTCATGAAGGCACCGATCCTTCATGTGTCGCTGTCCTCCTAGATCAATGCAGGGAGCACGGATTCTCACCTTTCCATGTTAAACAGAATTCCATTGGGTATATATATAATAGGTATAGTAGAAAAAATACTGCGCGGTATGTTAGATTGCACGCTAACTCCTAACGATACCCCAGAATATGGGCTGCCATCAAACGAGAAACCCTGCTCGTGCTGTCTGAAGGGGTCTGTGGGCCACAGGAGATTGATGCCATTTTCAAGGACGTTTTGCAAACACCAAAGGGCCCCTGTGAGCAGATGGATGTTGTGGGCTTGGATGTCGTGCTAGATATCGAGAATCACTATGCGGAGTCGCGAAGTGGCCTTCCAAGCGAGCCACGAGAACTGCTGAAAGAGATGATACGGAACGGCCTCCTGGGAGTCAAGGGTCAACGAGGATTCTACGACTACAGAGACGCACCGGAGCAAGTACCCCGGCTTTAACCAAGTGGTTGTTCAACTTGTGCCCTTGGTTGGAAGGACTTTAGCAAATATATATGTGCTCCCTTGCGAGGGAAGCCTTCTTCTATAGATCAAATAATCATCCTGTCCTAGAATGTACGGAGTCGAAAAGACACACCTTATCGCCTTGGACCTTCCCAGTAATAAGTATCGCTGTGGGTATTGATGTCTATGGGACTATGTACATAGATATCAGCATCACCTGTGCCATTGTGGGTCTATACTAAGGTAGGGGACTAGTGGTTCTACACCGGAGTGCGAACTCCTTTCTGAGAATGCCCCCTTGGCGGCTTGGACAGACTTGGAGCTCTGTGGAAGGTGATCCAATGCACGAGATAAAACCGATTGCAGGTTTTTGTGTGCGTCTCCACCAATCCTGCCGAGGGTCAAGTCGCGGTCCACGGCCTTATGCACCAGCTGCACAGCGGCCACGATATGGTGAGGATAAGGATCAATGGCGACGATAGGAACAGGAATCCCGTCCCTTAGAGTACAACTAGAGTTTGATTTCTGCGGAATGTTTAATGTTACGGTGTTGCTGAGGCCAAATATTAACGTGTTGACTACCGCATTCTGAGCATCTGCACTTGCCTCGGCCAGCTCGGCCAGTAAGTCGAGGCGACTCGTGGCCTCGGCAGCGTTGACGAGCAACAGAATACTGAGGTGATAGTGCAACATCAACGAGTCTGCAAGAATGTTAGCTGATCGCACCGATTCACATGGGAACAGCCACTCACACCAGCGGAATCTAATCTGCTCCCCAAGAAAGGGCATCCGCCGCTGGCATGCCTCCAACGGCTCACGATAGATGTCATTAAACTCCTGGATAAACCCGGAAACCAGCCGAAACGCCCGCTTTACTTCCGATTCATCATGGCCATCCCTGAGGGCTTCCTTGAAGACTGCGGTCAGCTTCCACGCCAGGAGCTTCCACGCGGACCCGCTGGCCACGATCTGACTCGCTCGCTCATCCGTTATTTCGCTGACAGCATGGGCATGCCATTCCTGCATTTGCTTCTGGAATTTGACGGCTCCGGCCCTCACCAGGCGCCACGGGAGTTCCGCCTCGAACCCCAGGAGTCCCGCCGAGAGGAGTGGCCGGCAATTGAGTGTTAAGGACGCCGATGTATCAAATGTCAGTGCGGCCCAATATGCGATGTTTTCTGCGGTGAGAAACCCCTCCGTTGCCACGGCCTCCGGAATGGCTACGATTGCCCTGGACCTCGCCGGCTGCGATACTTTGGTCCCATTAAATTGCACGCTCCGTTGGCGCGCGCGGAGGGTCTGGATCTGTTGCAGCGCGGCGTGGATGCATGCCTGGCCCGAGATGCCGTCCAGCTCCTCTTCCTCCGAGATCCCCGCCGGGATTGGGGTCAGGGCGAACAGGAAGAGGGTCAGCATCGACCGGTATGATGGGCGATTGATCACCCGCATCATATCCCGACGAGCATGTCGCCATAATGCATGCACAACGTGATGGCACCACTGCGTTGCCTCCGGATTCCCCGAGGTGAGCGGCAACCATCTCGCTGAGAAGGCGGCGATCGAACCCCGAAGAGAGTCATTCTCCCGATCACCACCGCTGTGTTCCGGGACCAAGATCATTGCCGGATCGCGAAGTGACATCTCTCTCATCCATCCATCGAGATGCTCGCAGATCTCCAATATGCTCGGGTTGTGGGCACCGACACTGTTTTCAGAGCTGTCGCATGTCAGCCACGTGGGGCCAGGGGGAAGTGGCGTGGCAGGAAGATTTGCTCGTACAGAAACGGGCAGCCATAACTGCTCATCCACGAGCTAAAAATGGCGTCGAAACCGGCGCGATAAATTTTCCGCAGCAAATGAGCGTCCGAGGGGTTCAGAATTTCGAGCGGGGAAACCGTCACGATCGCGTGGTCCGGCGCAGGTAGTAGGTTTGACTCGTTTCGAAACCGATCCGGGCTCGCGGTTCTCGGTCGGCGGCTCGCTGCTCTTGGGTCGTGCGCATCACGAACAGACGAGGTTCTCTTACTGTTTGCGGTTGCCGGGTGTTGTCCACGGCCTCCGTCGCGAGGTGATTCCCTGGAGACACGGCGCCCGACGTTGCCAATCCACTACGACAAAGGTATCAGTGACGCTGCCTTGTCTCGGACGAATTCCGGTTCCCAGGGACGCAGGGGGCATACCTTGAAAGTACATTGCCGGTGCCGTTTGAGACATCGGCTGCAGGAGTCATTGGCATTCCTCCTATTCAAAGCATCGCACCTCACGCGTGATCGGCGACATTCATCGCAACTTGAGAATTGGATGCGGCGCGGGACAATGGTACTCTGCATGCTCACGATGGTTTATCTCACCAATAAAATGGAAGGTGAGGAGTGTCAACAGAGTGTTAACCACGATGAGATCCACCTCCTTACGGGGCGTACACATACTAGAGTCTACTAGTCTAGTGATGTGATAGAGACTAGTAATACCGTGTCGTGTAGTATGTACACTGTGTACAATGTAGATAGAGTATGGAGTGGATTTGTTGCGGGGAATCCAATCAATCCATTGTGTTTGCATGGTTTGCACTTGGTCACGAGTGGAGTGGTGTCCTGCCTCAGGCCGGAAGGTATACTTTCTCAACTGTGCAGTTCGCGAACCTGAAAATTACCCCATGGCATTCTCTGTATTCAGTAGTACTCCACCCGGCAGCATGTAACAGCAAGTTGTATGCGTACCGGTGGGGAACCAGTTTTTGTTCCGCTTTATATGCAGAGGGCGTCGGATTATTGGAAATCTGATCCTATTCCTATACGGGCGAACGCGCCCATCTTACGAAGCTGGTTTAGATCAAGAGGAGTTATTTAGGGCTCAGAAACCTGACTGTTACTACTGTTGTAGCCAGGAGACAAAAATTCACATTTAGGGTTAGGTAATCAAAAACCTAAATTCAGAACGAGAGAATCAAGGTTATAGATATAGTGGCATAGGGTGTCCGCTATAAAGACTTTCAAAGGACTAAGTCAGGATATTCCTTTTAACACCGCAGCATTCCGTGCCAAGCATCTCCTCGGCCAAGAATAAATACCTAGAACCCTGCATAAGAACTGTGATTTGCTATTTTACTGCCATTTTCAGTCAATAGCTGCTTAACACCTTCTTGCCTTTAAGGTGGGAAAAGATCAAAATAAGATTCTATATTTTCTATGTCTAATGATTGATAAACACGTTTATACAAAATGTGTGCTGGTTCTCCGATTTTTGCTGAACACTTTGTAGTAATATTCATGCGCCAGAGCTTGGTCCCCGTGTTGGTATGTTTTTGGTAGTGATAGAACTCTTAGTTAGATCTCGTGGAGGCCAGTGCCATTTAGGTATGGATTTTGGATTGGCGATCATTTGACAGAAAGTCTTTAACAGGATTCCTAAACACTTCCGTGAATATGAGCAAGATACATTCTTGTTTTTACTTAGGGTTCCTCTGCGGTGAATACTCATATTCGTACTTTCACTGCGGAGTAGGTATGCCTGTAGCCTTGGACTTGGTCACTCTATAAACAACTAACTAATTAGAAGCTGTGGTGTACTCTGTAAGCTAATATCCAATAGTGTGGATGGATAGCACGTCCCTAGAGTACAGTACCTGGCTTAGTTACTATTATTCTTATTATGAAAATCGAGTATACTAGCACCACTGCTACACTGCCTTTACCTGGACTATACCACACCACTCAATGCCGCGAAAAGTTTTCTATCCGCCCCCAAAATTGAAAGTGGGCTAACGTAGTGACTACCACAGCTTAATTTTCATCTTTGTATTGATCTATCGAATAATTGGCATGTTTGTATGGCTTCTAAAGCTCTTGATCTAACCAACTATAGTAATAATACCTATGAAATGGTATACGATGTAGGTAATATGGTTACGTTGAAGAATCTGTTCTGCACCTCCCCTGGCCTGTGCATGTATGGAATTTGGCTACTACCTGCAGCTCTCCCCACTATTCTGTTACTAATATAATATTGATAAGTGAGCGTATGTCATTCCATGGGAGAGTATTCGGGTTTCTATATATATATACAGGCCAGGGAAGGTATAGCCAAAGCTCCAGATCCGTGACCTCACGTATAATGGTTAAGCTGTGATATGTCTAATGATCTGATCGGACTAACAAGATAAGCTTCTCTTAGCCAGGGTTCAACCCCTTTCCTCAGCTCGGATACCGAAAGAGGGAAGTATTCTTTAGGACTGACCCGAGTAGGGATAAACTAATAAGACCAAACTAATGAAACTCCTGTTTGGTACGGCTAATGACCACCTATATCGTATGATATGTTATGGGGTCATCCCAAGGCAGTGATGATCAAATTCGAACCTCAATAATTAGAAGATATGCATATCCTCTTAGTCGGATTTAGGACTTCAATATTCAACAGCGGGCTTTGAGGACCGAGGGATAACTGAGATCCGGAGTAAAAGATAAAATGATATTAGTCGATCTGGAAAGTTTTATAAGTCTCTAATGACCCTTAGTAAAATCTTGTATGTTACTCACTCAACCTTTCTTCAATTTCCCCGATCATTCATCCATATACGTCTATAATCTGTTATCAACATGCAGTGGAGATCCTCCTTTATTTCTCTTCTTGTTCTCTGGATCTTCTCGTTCACCAATGCGATGCCTGATAAGCTCTGCATGGATAATATAGCTCCAATCGGCGAGGTGGCAGAGAAACAATTGGGCCCTACTATGGACAGGGACGTCTGCAAGAAGGGTATAAAGCCTAATAAGGCGGATTGGAAATGGCTCGAGCCTCACATGCAGGAAGCATTATCAATAATGTCAAAAAATGCTCCCAGAAACCAGATTTGTCAAATTACAAACCAAAAGTCGAAAAGCTTGCAGACGCGATTGTGGCAAAATGCACAAAGACCTCCCACAATTACTGCAAGGAAGAAGACCTTAACGAAGTCAAATCATGTGCAGTTTCAGAGGCACTCGGGTAGGACATGATGAATATGGATAAGCGGAAATACACAGACAAAGCCTGTGAAAAGCTTGCCCCTGTTTGAAGAATCCAAAAACCTGGGGGTTTGGCAAAACGTTAATAGTAGAATATGCCAAGTATAGAGGGTAAGCGAAGAGTCCCTCAGATGATTCCTTCATATATATTAACGCAATATCATAGGGCAAATGTCTAGACAGTTACAGCCTAAAACCTCAGTAAAGTCCTTGTATGGATGTGCCTACCTAATGGGCAATAATGGGCGCCTTATGGGCTGTCGAAAAGAAATGAAGCAGCAGGCGTTTGGATGGATTCAGCCCGACATTTATGGAAATACTCTATGATGTGCTAGTAATAACGCCAAAAATTATCATCCCAATATCTTGGATACTTCCAATTTCTCCCCGATACCCGCTACTGGGTCTTTGGCTGCTTAAATAATGGAGCGTCTGTTTCATCAATCGAGCACATTTTTAAGTTTCTGTTTTTGCTTCGAATGCTAGACCCCTTCATCCTATGCCTACGGCTCGCTCCAACATATCGCTGTGTTGCAGGCGGTTTATGGGAAGCACCACATTATCTTCCTCATTATCACTAATTAGTCCTTGGCCATCAAGAAGCACTATACTATTTTGCTTATCTTAGTAGAGGTGGTGGTATGGTGAGGCCTATGGCAATGTCTATTAATTGAGAAGGGGTTGTTTGTATAGCTTAATGTAGGCTTCGACGCTTTAACAATACGCCAGGCACCAGTCATATAACCATTCCAGTCCCCTCTAGCGAAGATTAGTCGCCAGTGTAAGTATGATACCAATTATAAACAGATTATCATGAACCCATCTATTTTGCTATAATAATCAGTAAGTTCATCTCTTGCAGCACCTAGACTTTCTGCATAAATTGTTTCGTTTCCAATGTTGATGGCTAACCTCTCAAAGCCACTGCTCCTTTACGATCTGATCAGCAACGATATGCCCAGCATTAAGTAGTAAAAGAGATACGTCAGCCCGCCGGAAAATTCGCTTGATCAACTCAGAACATTTATGTAATGCTGCTTCAGACCACGCGTATACAGATCAGTACTCAGTTGAGCTGTCCCACCCTAGTAGCCAAGTCAGCCTGACCATTTCTAGTCGAGATATCAGATAACATCACATAATACAGGCTAATCTAATTTTATAAAATATGTCTAGTAATTATAATACTTCTGATATATATGTCTTCTCCTATTTTATCTTAATATACTAGTCTCTGACTAGTTATTAATAGAACATTAGAAAAATTCTAAATGATTCTTAATAGCTCTATTTTGTTTATTTATTCTTAATATACATAAAAATAAAAATTTAAAAATAATAATAGGAACCATATCGAATATCACGACTCACGAATAGCATTATGCATATGTTGAATGTATTGAGGTTGCAAGACCTCCAGCCGATGTTGCTTTTTGTTTCAGTGGGAAGAGCAGAGTATTCCTCAGCACAGTCCGCTATTCACGAAAAGCTAGTATTTATCGCCCATAGAACAGTTCTAATGAAGGTAGTTACTTAATGTACTGATTCGATTTGGTCAGAGTTATGCTAATAGTGAGTTCGGAACCAGTGTTGGTAATGCTATCCGTCACCGGAAGGCGAGGAGACTCGATTTGAATTCGGATTTTCTATGTAACTTTATGAAGGACTCCATATCATCATTTCCCGTTTTCGTTGGTTAGCTGGCCGGCCGTTTACTGTATGTATAAGACATGTAAGGTTGGTTGGAGACGTCTTTGACGGCATGTACATGACGTCTACGACTTTCTGCTCAGTCGATTGCAACCTCAACTCAGTGACATGTGGTACCGAAGGTATCAGACGTTTCTGTCTACCAAGACAAAGTATTTATTTCCGGAGCTATTTGGCTTGTGTCTCGCCGAAAAAAAATTGTGCTAATGAAGATTAATTAAGCAAGCCTAAACCTTTTGATAAGAAAGTTCCTCAGTCAGAGAAAAGGGCAATATGAAAATTGAGCACTATGTTATCCATATACTCAGGTTCTTCGGCATATCTTCCTTAATGGAACCGGAGCAATATCCCTTGCATCCTGTCGATGGTGTCACTACGGTGAACGAGTCTCCAGAGAAGCCACCCATATTCCCTGCTCCGGGAGGTGGATCTGGGGATAACCGCATCAAATGTGATTACAGTCGTATGGGATCAGACTGGGAGCATCCCGATTCTCCAAGTGAGAGGCGTGTCTGGCTTCGAAATAAAAAGACCAGCAAGGAGTTCAACATCTCCACCGATTACGAGAACGAGTGGCCACTCGGGATCAAGAGAAAGGTACGCAGGTCATGGAAACTACTTCGTTAGAGGAAACAATGCTTACTATCTAAACAGTACCATGTCGAGATACTAAATGACACACATGCCAATTGGGATGGAGTGGAGTTCCACGGGGCAAAGCTGATTAACGGGACCTTTCCTGGGCCATGGATTCGTGAGTGGAGCATGTCTAGTAAGAATTGGGCGATGACTGATACCAAGACTAGAGGCCTGCTGGGGCGACGAACTTGGCAAGTATTGGCCCATCCTCGTTTCCAGACCAGTATACTAACATGAGCCGACAGAAATCACAGTTACAAACAAGCTTTCCTATAATGGGACTGCGATCCACTTTCACGGACAACGTCTGCTCAACAACAGTCTAATGGATGGTGTGCCAGGGGTAACTCAATGTCCCATTGCACCAGGACACAGCTTTACCTACAGGTTCAACGCAACGCAATACGGCACCTCGTGGTATCATAGCCATTACTCTCTTCAATACACCGATGGAGTTTTGGGGCCCGTAACTGTCCAAGGACCAACCTCCGATAACTGGGATACGTCGGTCGACCCAATTCTCCTAGGTGATCATATCCACGAAAGCGCGTTTCAAAGGTACTATCAAGAACAATTCGCAGGCCTGAAGGTCAAGGGGAACCATGTCAAAGGTCCACCAAAGATGCAAAGCATTCTTATCAACGGGCGAGGTACGTCCACAGGACCCTAGATTCGATTCAAAGGAAACACCATCTCAGCCAAGCCAGGCAGTTTTGCTGGTATAAAAGCCGAAAAATACAAACAGAAGGTTGAAGGAGTAAGTCAACCCTTTGCTATAACGATTGGCATATTGCCCTGCATAAAAAAGAAAGAAAAGAAAAAGTAGATGGCCAATAACTGCCGCCAGGGTAAACGCTATCTCCTGAGATTGATCAATACTTCCACCGATACGACGTATATATTCACTATTGATAACCATAACTTCACCGTGATTGAAGCGGACCTGGTTCCTGTTACTCCGTACAACGCAACTTACCTAGCCATTGGGATCGGTATGTACTTGATGGCTCTGTTTTCTCCGGTGATTTATACTCACCGATGCTAAGGTCAACGATACCATGTTGTGCTCAATACTTGGCCCAAACACCAGCGCAATGGGACAGATGACTTCTGGATCCGAACTATTCCAGCTGATCACTGCAGCAACTTTGATGCTTCTGCTGGGAAGTACCTTGAAGTGCGGCAGGGGATCCTTTACTATAATGAGAAGATGGGATGGCCGGAGACAACTGAAAGTGAAAAGGTCAGCTATGAATGCCGCGATGAACCCTATGAGAACCTAAAGCCAGTATTGCCATGGAAAGTCCCCAAGCTGTCCCTCGACGAACGGGGAGAACTTTCTACCCCGAATTCCACTATTCGGCTTGCAAATTGGAGCCTGCCAGCTGAGCCTAACGTGCCTGCGGGTCCTTTGGTCAACAACTGGAACATGATGGACTACCCAATCTGGGTGGCCTATTCAAAGCCCACCGTCAAACATTTGGATGGTCCGTTTGATAAGCATGCCGTAGTCTATGAAGTCTCAGACAATGAAACCAGCCACGAGAAGTGGAATTACATGGTGATCATCGGCAATCAGACAACAGACCCTGGCCAGGGAAAGAATGGCAGATTGGTCCCTGCCGCACATCCAGTAAGTCCATCCCAAATCTTGAAAGACACGCAGATATCGAGACATTGCATCTGACCAATATGATTGCATAGATCCACTTACACGGCCATGACTTCGCCCTCCTGCAGCAGTCGAATAAGTCATATGTTAATTCATCATCACTGGATCTGAAGTATGACAACCCCCCTCGACGTGATGTTGTCCTTCTTCCAAAGAACGGGTTTATAGTAATTGCCTTTCGGACGGACAACCCGGGAACGTGGGCTGCTCACTGCCATATTGCCTGGCATGCTTCAGCCGGCCTCGCATTCCAGATCTTGGAGACCAAAGACCGATTCAAGGACCTCTTGAAAACAAAGCCTCTCGATGTCGCTCAGTTGGACGACGGCTGCAAAGCGTGGGGTGAATGGTTCAATAACTCCCAGAACCATTGGCACCCTGGTGGGCGTTTCCAAGATGACTCGGGTATTTAGAGCCGCCGCCAGGATACATGCCGTAGGGGTAAGTGGAGTCTGGTGAAATCGAAAAAATTAGGGGCCTGCGTTGCAACTGGTGGGAGTTGCATCTAGTTGAAGGGCTAAATGTGCGAAGGACGTTTACTTCATGTCGGTAACGTAGACCGGATTGAGTCCCGCTGGTAATTATAATAATGAATCCGAAGTGAGGGTGTGATATATCATAGATACTTGGAATCCCCCCTTATGTCGGTTCACGAAGGTAACTTCCTGTTGTTGAATTTGCCCTAGGTTAGTCAATTGAGGCCTGAGTCTTGGCCAGAGGTGTTATCAGGTCAGGGTCGGGTTCAAAAAATTAACCCTCAAAAGAACCACGCGAATCTATTCCAGGGTATATACAAACGATCCGTAGTTGGAATATAGTAGTATCTTTAAGGGCATGAGTTACATCATCGCTTCATACAAGAGATGGACGGGATGGGGAGAAATCCGTATCATTTTAATGTACAGATGCACAGACAAATGTCAGCGATATATATTACGATACAAATTCAGCAGTAAAATCCCTCCCCCACAATTACTTAATATATATCACTTTTCTTAAGAAAGCGACATAAGTATTAAACTAAAACAACCTACTAATGTAACCCATTTACCCAACCAGTACCTAGTATTACGCTTGAATTCTTCCCTGGCTGTATTTTACAGGTCTGCAGGCAGCTTCCCTGCTACTTCCCCTCTTGAATGCAATTTATATGATCCAGCCTGCCCATTGATGTAACACTCCGCAGAAAAATTGGACGATGATCAAGATGTTCAGTTTGGCGAGAGTTTGACTGCAACACAAGCTACGATTTCGGCTACCTCCATACCTGGCCCCAATGTCATTTAGTGGACAATGGCTCCTCCAACCGGCAAACCGCAGAGAGCAACGACCAGCCCAAACACCCCAGAACCCCTCAGTTCCCCTGCAACATTCTGTATACGTCGTATTCTTCACTCTGCTATACGGAGCGGCAGTGTGTTATTCTTAGGCCATCATCTGCATCCTCATCGCCTTATCGGTGCAAATATCTAGGGAGCCGGTGAGCTTGATGACATTCCCAAACACCCTCATCTTAAGTGTCCGAGTACCTCGAGTGTTATCATCCAAGAGCGAGAGGTATCTTAGGGCGGCGAGGATTATCCGGTCCCTAGTGTTCATGCTCACCATCCACTTTCAGTTCTGCTGAGTGCTCCCAGGCGGCCGTGGTGTACATCCAGTGGAAGCGAGGGGACAAGCACCCGACTCTCAGGCAAAGCATGGCCCTAGCAGCTAAGAGCTGGAGCGACCTTGTGCTCTGGAAAATTCTCGTGTGTTGGGAAGGGGGGGGGGGGGGGGGTTTGGGAATAAGTACAGGCCCTCGCTACTACTCTTAGCCCTGTCCCTGCATCTCCTAGGCGAGTTCACAGCTCGTTTGTTTTATTTTGCGGCACCTGACCTGTTTACCCGTTTTCTTTTCCGTTTTTCTTTACAGGCTACACTTATGCCTTTAATCAGCATATGGGTATAAAGAGGTTTGAGGACCAATTGGTGCCGACGAGTTGGTTACAGCAATGGTTATTTATTATCTATATATCATACCAGTCACTCCGCATGTAGAGTGGATACGCCAAAAACAGCTTAAATGTAGCTCAGTAGATATACCCCTAAAGAAATAAGCCGGAAGGTTTATGCACTATCAAAGTTACACGGCATAAATTCATCGTACGCGGTCTGGAGCGTCGGATGGAAAATCGTGTTATGCGGCAATGCCGAGTCCATAAATGCTGACATGCCCGTACTATGCGTTATAGAGGAGACTTGACTATGTGGACGATGTATAGGTTGGAAGTATGAGCTTTCCAGCCCACCAGCAGGGGTCACGGCCGTAGTAAGATCAGGCTGTCTGTTCTGTTCGACAGTAGAGCGCAGAAAAAGCCGGCGATAAAGGCCTTTGCAGACTTTTAGAGCACGTTGCGCAGCGACACTATCGGTCGCCAAAGCGGAAATCCAGTCAAGTGCTTTTTCAATAAGTGAGTTGATCTTCACGGTATTATCGGCGCTGGCTCGACCGCGATATTCCAACTCTATCAGCAGCACGGTCACTGATTGCATGAGGTAGTGCAGAACACACCACCAGGGGGACACTTGGTTCAGCCAGATGATGTCAGGCTCATCAGGTAAAAGGTCGAGAATTTGGCATGCAGAGTCGATACATAGCTCTGCTGTCTTTCGGAGCTTCGTGGAAGGCTCGGAGCCTCGTTCCTGTCTCCCTGACCGGCAAAGAGAAGGTCGACAAATCGTAATTCGTACACTATAAAATCGAAAGGCAAGGCTCCATCTCTGTCTCTCAAATTGATGCGCGTCCTGGTGATGCATGAAGTGAAATACCTCGGGGAGCCCAGAGAGCCACTTGTCTGTGTCATCCACCAGGTCTAACATTGCTGCATTAACCGTAAGCCAAGGTCGTCTAGCAAACCCCGGGCTGTACAATGAATCAATCGCTCGACGCATGATTGCTGTAAGCTCAACAAAGTAGACGAAGTACAAGGAAGTGCTGGGAGCAATATCTGCCAGGTATGAAGCCGAACTCTGACCGCTAGCCTTTTCTGCAGCCGAATCGGGTGGGCTTGGGGGTGTGTGCTTTGTGGCCGTAAAGGCTCGCATATACTCGGCACGAAAATTAAAGTCAGCTAAGAGCCGGGTTACAAATTGTACATAAAACTGCTCCTCTTCGAAAGGAATCGGTAGGGGCGTCGTACAGAACCTATCTGCAGTTCCTGTAGGCCGGCCGGTCATGATTGAAAGTGTGTTTTCTAGTGTGTAGAGTGACCACCAAACACGGTATCGGATCTCTTTAGAAATATTAGATGTATCCTTACTCTCACTTCGAAGGTTGATTCCCATAGCGATGGAAGACCTTATTGCGATACCACATGCCCTCCATGACCTGCAATATTGTAAGTAAGAGCCTACTGCGTGATCTACAAACGGCGGGAAGAATGGAATCACTGTCGCACCTATTGATATGGCCAAAGGCCATGCATAAAAATGCAGTGAGACCTTCAATCTGGACCTGCTGGAGATTGGGATGGTCAGTCAATTGACTACCTGTAATGCTAAGCCGCTGGGCCCGGGCGAAGTACACCATAGGGCTGTCCATGGACTGCACCCAGGGCTGAGGTACCAAATGCGCGAACTTGGCAGCCGCGGCGAGAACCAAATTCAGAATTGCCAGCCACCTCTTTGTCGGCCGCAGATTAGGATTGGCGTAATAGCTCTCCAACTGCTGCGTGAAGGATATTCTGCTAACGATGGGGAAAGACGGATGCACAGTGTGGAAATATAGATGGAGCAGTCTCTCTGCGATATCTGGAGGAGGCCGAATGTGAGGATCAATGTTGCCATCAATGGTCAGCTCCTGGTCGTCTAGGAAGTAGCTCACCTTACTCAGAACCTGGGAGTCGTCGTTCGGGGCTTGGTTCGGAGTGTTTGCGTCCGGAGTCGCGGTGTCCTTCCCCACTGCCCGGTTCAAATCTCGAACCCAGGACACCTCAGAAGGACCACCGATGAATCCAATGGGTTGCAAACCTTTGTTACCGTGAAAGTCTTCTTGTACACACTCTATCCCAAAACAGGAATCTTCTGTCGCAGCTTGGGAGGGGTCGTACTCTGTCGCGGCCTCGTTCGGTTCGGCCAAAAGTCTGTACTTGGAGGATGTTAACAGTGCCGGCGACCGGGGGTTTTTTATCGATCCAAGGGTGGGGGTACTTGGGCCAACGTCCTAGCAATAAGTTCTTCGTCCTCCGGCGCCGCTCTAAACTGCAGTCGGCGAAGCAATTTCTCGTACGCCTGAACCTGACTTTCGAGGTCTTGAAGTCTCCTGGGATGTGTTGGTCCACGGAACGTCGGTTCGCGACACACGGACGGTCCGAACGCACCTTTCCTGAGTGTCCTTCTTCCCATCCACATAGACGCAATCTATTCCGAGTCCCACGCATCGACAGCATGGTTGGTATCCATCGCACTTAGTCTTTTGGTCTCTGCACTCCTTACATGCCTTCTTAGCGCGTGGCCTAGCAGCCGCCTCGTTGTGGATCGGCAATCTCGGGATAGCGACCTTTGAAGGAGGTAAAACGCAGGGAGAAGGAGATTGCAATGACATATTCGATGCCATTCTCGATACAGAAAATGTGGTTTGCCCTAGCTGTTCGCGCGATAGCCGTATCGGTGATGAGGTCGTGACTGGGCTAGTTTCTAACACATAACGCCGTTCGTGCGATCTTATCATTAGTCACTGGTAACGTGGTGAGGGTGACCGAGAAATTGCCCTTTTGTCGTTTTGTGTGGAGCATCACTGATTAATTAATACAGTAACTGATATTCCAAGGTCGGCGCGTGGATCGCCACATATGATGCGCTGTTGGGGTCACGCATAGGGTTTCCCCAGTCGGTCGATGAGCAGACAACAAGTTGCAGCTCGACAAAGGAGCTCTCACCGCTTTCATTGGGTGGCATTTCCCTGCAGTCAATTTGAAAATTGAACAGGCAACGAATGGCGATGGTGATTAGTTGGCAAAAACACCCGGCGCCAAAAGCGTATTGAGGGAGTCCCGCTCTCTGTTACCCTTTCTTACGCTAGGACCTTTCTCACTAATGCATCTTGGTGGGTCCGTCCGGCCCCAAGATGATGTCAAGGTCAAGGTCTCCCTCCCATCTGCCCCCCCACAAGCTACCTTGGTGGATCCCCAGAAAGTGTAGCGGTTCATATACGTTAAAACATACACGCGTGTCCCTTGACTAAGCGAGTCCAAAGGCGGACACTATACACGAGAACCCCGGTTATTTCTGGACCTCGTAGCCTTTTGTCTAGAGTCTACTTTCGAACCACCTCGGACAAGAAAAGGAACAGATACGGATAGATAGATGTGATATACCATCGGCAAGCTTTATCTGCAAGTAGAATAGTGACGTGTGTCGCCAGCCCCTCAAGCAGGAGCCAAAGCTGCTATGGAAGATCCCATAGAAATCGACTATGGATTAACCTAGAAAGCCCAACTGGGCTGCATATGCTGTCAAGATCATCCGAGATTGCTTTTACCCATCGGCATTCCATCGTCGGATGTAAAAACCCCCCCATTTTAGGACCGGCCGACAAGGGGTTGCGGCCCGCGGGCACAGGTCCTTTTGGCTTACTCCAACGTTCGCGTCAAAAGTTGGGACATATAACTACGTGAGATTGCGAGAGAGTGTTAATTAGCATGGAACTCTCCCGCGGGCTCGTATGGATCGAATCCGAACCCGATGGAGTCCGATTGTTCCTCAGGAACTTGGGAGACGTCCGCCCCGTTGGGATAGACGGTTCCCGGTCGCTGGCTCTCGGTATGTATTTGTGTTTCTTGGCTCGTTGTATTCGTCGGCGCTCCATCTTGGCCCTTCGTAGCTGTAGGACACTGCGCAGGATCGGTCCGGTGTCCCCTCTCAGGCGTCTTGGGGGCATCATCGCGGCTCTGCAGAGACATTTTTCGGTTGTTGCTTAGTAAGGATGATGCCGATGATAGTTATCTGAGGCGCGCTAATCTGGCATGAGATAAGAACATCGTACTAGTGATTAAATTGACCAGACGTACTGACAAGCCACCGATCAGTTCAGCTTAAAAAGGCACACTCTTTTGTCGTGTCGCTTAGGATCAACAGTGGTAAGGATCATTGATGATCAGTAGCAGCTCGAGGCTCGAGGTTGGCATATTCTGAGGCCATAATAGCTCGCCCAGTTTTGTCGAAATGTGTCAGGCCACCTGGTCCTATATATCCGCGAACACGAAGCCACCCCCATATTCCCCAGTACAATGATGCAAGGTGCACGTCACAGGGATTTTTGAGAAGATGCTCTAGAGTGTTCAAAAGTATTGTGCAGCAGCACCACATGAAGGTCGCCTTGATGTAAGAGCTGCGTAGGTAATCTCCAATAGGTTCACAACAAGGGCGAACAATTGCCTGTATCGATCGGGGTTGGCGATAATACCCTATAATACCCTATACAGGCAGCCAAATAAGAAGTCGGCCACACACATGTTATTAACTAGTTTAATAAACCTCTAGGTTTGGCCTTCCATTACTACGGTTCACCAAACCATTACTCTGGTCGTAGATCACACGGGATAAGCATATACACGTGGGTCCCATCCATCTGGTAATGCAAGAGCCGGTTAGAATACACCTGATGAATCCCATTAGCTCATTGTTACAGGACCCTTTGTCCAGCGCACCTTACTAAAGGCGGACGCACGAGGCAGAATCTATAGAATAATAAACACCAAACGACACCCGAAGAGAATACATATAGTATTAATTATCCATATAGGCCGAAGCGGCTAGTTCTTTATATATAGAGAGTTACATATGTGAGATGTCCTGGCGATTCTCACGGACGAAAGTAAACCCTTTCACTCCATTCGGTCGTTCCAGGGCATCGGAGGTATTCCTGAAACATTTGGTTCCGTGTCCTGTACGGTATGGTAAGCAACGTCTCCGAATTATGGTGTTTCAATTACCTGCCCGTATCAGAGGCATGGGGGGCTACCTCGCTGCTCCACCATGTATTTATTATTCCTTCAACCGAGCAGGGAGACCTTCCTGGGAGATCCTGTCGACCATGTCATGCAGTAACGCAGGATAGCACCCAATCTAGCTTCCTCAAAAATTGGAGATTATCCGTGATATGCTAATGAGTAAAGAACTCGAAGAAATCCGTATGGCTGATACTGCTGGCTGTAATGAACGGTGTTTCAGGACCAAGTAGTAGCAACCCGCACTATTAGCCGTGCCGTTTAAAAACCAAGGACTGGTCGAAGAAGTCTGCAAACCAGAAGGCAGGAGAATGAAATGCCGATTTGCGTGACGATTACTTTCATCTTATTTCTGGATTTCTCTCGTATCACCTTGACACAACGATAGAGAGAGAGCCATGACTGGTCGCCTTACTTCAAAAGCCAAGTGCATGCAATAAAGTAGTAGAGCCAGTTGGGGTGTATAATACTCATCACCCAATAGCAGGCCAACTGGTTCAATGCCCCTTTTCAGTCATGTCTATGGAATGGTGTAAGGCAAAAGAAGGGCTTGTATATATATGGATCTCCAGCACATGCTCCCAACCTGTCCACAACCCCCCACAAAGAGTGAATGGCTGGGACGACAAATAGTAGTTCAATGTGTGCTTCGCTGAACCTCGGTCAATTACTCGTGAACCAACCCGAGCTCGGCTCGGCTACCCACTGAAATTAGGCCGAAAGCAGTGCAAGGTGTTTTTCCTTGCACCAAGGACACGCGTAGAGTAGTGACATGGCGTGAGTTTGGTATGGAGCATGCTGCCCGCCGAATGCCGGTCGGCTTTCGGTAAACCGTATAGTTTTTTTCTATCACTGATCCACAACCATGTGTCCGGAAATTGTACTACGCCACGACTCATCCCCTTATACTCTGTTCTCTTCTATATGCATTCTGACATTTTACTACTCTCAAGTGGAAGGTGACTTCCCGAAAACTAACCTCCATCGTCTCATCTCTTACATCCTGCGCGGCGTGATCGCCGAGTAAAGATGGACTTATTTAATAGCCCGATCTCCCATTTCTTAGCTTCAATCAATCTATGGAAAGTCGCAACCATCATTTTGCTGGCGATAAATGTGAAATGCTTGCCATTCGTATGGCATGTATGTCAGTCCCCCTGGCCTTTGAGCACACCATGGTCATTGACTGCAGGCTAGTATCGCATCTTCAATCCGCTGGTGAGAGCTGCATGGCTGAGGTTTCGCTCTCGCTCCCGGCCAGTGTTGGCACCAGACTCCAAGACCCCGGCCGTGTTCCTACCCTCTATAACCAGCACATACGCTCCCTTGCTGGAATGCGATTATAATCTCCACAAGTCCAACAGTACATACTTCACCGACTTGGATGCAAGCCGATCATATCTTCTCTCCTACCTCTGCTATGATGGTTTGGCGAAGGTTGACCGCGAGCTCGCCACCGAGGGAAAGAAGGGTATGTTGGCAGCTATTATCGGATCAGTTACCACTAGCTTTAAGAAGGAGATCCGAATTTTCCAGGAGTACGAGGTTTGGTCTAGAATTATTACATGGGATCGGAAATGGCTCTATATTGTGACCCATTTCGTCCAAAAAGGATCTGTGAAACCGGCGGGTTACGTAGCTGCTAGTTCTACACGTCTTGGATTGAAGAATTCGGGTGGGGAATCCAAAACCGGCTCTACCCAGCCGATTATTTTCGCTACGTCCGTATCCAAATACGTGTTTAAGAAAGGGAGATTGACCATTCCTCCGGAACGACTTCTGCGGGCTTCCGGACTGCTGGAACACGGTGATGATAATGGGGTACGAGGAAAGGATATGGACCGGTCCGTTGATGGCCACAAGAGTGCAAGCGATTCGACTCTTCCTGAACATATTGAGTTGGAACGCCTCAAAGGTATGGTTTACGCTGAGTCCTGGAACCGACTGGACTCACTCCACGAACAACTACTCAAGGAAGACGAGATAAGCGAAGGGGTGCTAGCCATAGATCATGTTGGCGACATTTCGCTCCCATGGAGACGGTCTCCGACCGTCTAGAGAGTTGCGGCTCCCGTTGTCTGACAACTACGCCGGTATGTCCCGTTTCCTGCACCATGGCTATAGTCTTTGTTGTGAATCTAGGCTCGGTCATTGTAAGCATTAGAGCTTCGTATACGGATTCTTTCATGTTCATCTTGTATATAACTCTCAAGTTGTCAGGTGAAAGTAATAATAAACCTTCAGAAATACAACGGTTTTAATAGTGTCCACTGGGTTTTCAAAGTCATCTTAGAAAGGGAAATTAAGTCTATAAACCAGTGCTCCATGCCGTTTATTAATTATAGATGATACAGCAAAATTAACCGCATTTAGGGCTGAGGGCCAAGAAGGGCGGAGTATCGTCACTCGAACTGTGACTAGAGAGCAGGCATCTACTTTCGTCATGCAATTAATACTTGTCTGGATGAATCCGAGGGCACCACTAAAATTCTGCTTCATGTGCTTCGATGCGACTTACTCAAGACAGCCTTAATTATAAAGATAAGAGTGGCGCGAACATAACCGTTCGTGTTATTTCCTTTCATGACTTTTTTTCCCCCTCTCTCTGCCACGCCTTTCCCATAGCAGTAGACCTTCATGCATCCATCGAATCTTGCTCAGAACCTTGACCCGCTAGAGCACAATATCCTGAAACATCGAGGGGTTTCTGACTTTCCGGAGAGATCCATATGCCATACCCTCGTAGAGCTATTTTCACCTGGGTCGCACCCATCACCTATCACAGATCGCCGGGAATTCCTACGTCACTATCAGGATTCGATATCGCCTCCCTTACTTTTCATACTACATGCCGTATTCGCTGTCGCATCAATGTTTTATACAAGTGGGAAGGTATTTGACCGTACAGGACTTTCTGTTTGGTCAATGAACAGCCTCCGGTAGATGTCATAGAAAATGGCGTATTCTACTGGAGCCGTTTGAGTATTGCTGCTCCGGCTCAGCCACAAGGATTGCACCTTAAGTTAGGAGCTCTCACTATTCCGAACTATACGCGTCTTACTGATCTGAATTTAATTGTGTAGCGAGAGAGTTTCCTCTCATGGTCTGTCATCTCAAAGGCTATTGCGGTAGCAGTAGCTTTTGGCCGGTCAACACATACAGGTTTGCACCATTGCACCATTGGACTATTAACTCAACAGGTCTTTATTGAAGAAAGTGCGTACCTTGATAATTCTCACGTGGATTCAGGAGTAAAGCCCTCTTTTTCATAAAGTATGTGAAGCTATGGTGTGTTCTGGACAAAGTGCCTTCGCCAGCAAACTCTTCGACTTCTACGCTCGAGGGTCGAATACGTCATGTAGTGGAGAAGGAAATAGAGCTGAACGCCTGGTATAATAAGTCTTGCCCGTCGAAAACGCATTGGAGACCTTCCCATCATAAGTTCTTGCTGTCTCTTCTCTACTCAAGTTACTTGTAGGTCCTCTTGCATTCACGATGGCGGCCAACTCATTAACCGGCCCTCCTTAGTGCTGCTGTATGTAGCATTCAGCTCTCGCTTTTCCCGCGATTGCCGGAAGAGTCCCGAATATCATGCTTCAACGCTGCGACTATGATTCTTTCGGTACTTGAGACTCTATACTCTCATCGGCAACTGCACTACGCTCGAACATTTGTGTGAGTGATCGCGGATATAAGCCCTTGAATATTTAGGCTAATTAACTGACTCACAAGTTAGAATTTTGCACGCACTTCTGTCATGCGTGTCATTCAAGGTTCAGCTAACGGCCTGGTTGCCGTCACCACTGCATATGGTAGAGAGGAGCATGGGAACAAACATAAGGCTACTTCGGGAACTGTCCGTGGTTTGGCCTATTGCTCCGCCTATGGTGGAGCTTCTATAGAATGCTATGCCGAAGTATCAATTTCTAGAGGCTATAACAACGGCTCGTGCCAGGCTTCAACAGCAAGCAAATAGTGTCTAGATTCGTCTAGACGAACCCTAAGGCATGCACCATTCAGAAGATCAAAGCTAAAACAGATTTTACTTCCCCGCAGTCGCATTATTATGCAATCGATGAGTTCGGGGGTCCAGCATCTTGCCGCATATAAGGATGATACAACGGGCGTGGCTATAATCGATCGAAACTGCTCCAGGTAGTAGAGGACCTACAAGAGCTCTAAATACTACCCAATCATCCCTTGAGTGCGACCCAGGAGTTGTAATACATACTCTTCGTGAATATATCAAACTTGGGCCATCTATCCATAATGGAACCCACACTATGCATAAAAACTGATCTCCAGTATCATTCGAGTTTACATAACGCGTCCTTATGTCATCAGGGTACCTTCCAACCTGTAATACCGAAAAATATCACCACCAGTGTTTACAGCCTTGGGTGTGATCATCTACAGCAGACATAGATAGTGTGCACCTGAAACCACTATTGACGGAGTCAGAGCTGGGGCTTCCTGAAATGAAACCGTCTGGGCTTGGCAACCAGCGTTTAGGCGTTTACTGTCACAACGGCCTGTCGAATAACGCCCCATCTTGATTGAGTCTAGTACGCGAATAGCCTCGCGCTTTAACGTCATTTTACTCTCGCTGTAAGCCGGGGCACGTGCAGCTTCCAATAATTTCCGGTCCTTGATAAATTCAAAGATTTCCTCGACGTGTCCAATTTTGTCTACCAGCCCTCGCTTGAGAGATTCGCGGGCATGTAAAGGGTTTCCATTAGCAAACGCCGAAAAATTGACTGTAGAGCGTGGTAGGATGGCTTTTATAAGGTCTATTCGAGGCGCAATATTCACAGTGGACGGATTTTCACACATGCACAACGTAGAATTAGACTTGGATTGGATGCGGAAGTCATGGCATAGAGCGAAAAGAAAACCCAGACCAACAGCACGGCCATTGATAAATGCGATTGTTGGCATGGGGTACCTAAATATCTCATTAGTTGACTCGAACATTTCCAATAAACGGAAATCTCCCTCCACCAAATAGACTCCTCTATAGACTATATGGCTTAGGGTATATGCTTACGTGAGAATCTGTGTCAATAGTGGCCATGCTTGGCGCTCCCACTGCTCATCAGCGTTTGAGGGGACGTCTCTGCAGTAGGAATGTGGATTTCTGCTTGCAGTAACAAGCACGCCAGGCGGGTAGCTTTCTTTAATCGTTTGGAGACAACTCGCAAACGTGTCAAGGAAGGATGGTGAAAGGTTGTTGTCGGGTGGGGACTCAAAAACAAGAAAGTACACGTTTTCAAGGGGCATAGCACAGATAAAATACACCCCTGAGGAAACTGAGCGAGTAAAAAGGGCCATGTTGTCAGACACTCAGAAACCTCTTAGAAATATTTGAATTTCCGGCCGGTCACACACATATGCAATATAAAATACGAGATGAATGCACCTTCTTCTGGAATATCACAGTCAAATGACCCTCTATATAGTCTCATTTCTGCTTTTGATGGCAATCATAGTATATATTTCGTACGCATATCGGGTCCGCCCCATTAATACTATCCGTGCCAAGCGGGTAGGTGTGGGTGGCGCTTGGCACGGATACCGTTGTTCGTGTCGGCTGCCTTTACCGAATCTGATGGTCCGAGCCGAGCTCGGTTCGGCAGTACATCCGACAGGAGTCAAGCTATGTGGATCGAGCCTTTTCTGTTCATATATCTAAAGCCATGCCTTTACGTTTCATTTGCGGGGTCTTTTTTTCTTTTTCTTTTTTTCCTGTTCACGTGGCGTTCGGAATCCTTAAGGGGCCTGGCACTCCCAGTGCCGATGATATTGGGATCCCGAATTCGGGTCGGTTTTCGGGCCTAGAATGCCTCTCTGCCTCACAAGGCCAAACTCAATCCTTATTTTGAGATGATTTCTGTTAGGTGCACCTCAGAGCCTGCGGTTGATATATATCGTAGCACGTGGAGTCACGTGCCAACCGCTGCGGTAAAATCCTTACCATACATACGCCAATAGCTTTAGGGACTAGTTATCAACCTCTGTATACGGTAGTTGATCGTTCAATAGAAACATGGTCCCCTGCTCCTGCCACTGCGGCGCTGTAGCACGCTATTTTCCTACTACCTGCGGCTCCCTGAGCTGCAATTAATAAGGAATACTAGGCAGGGTTCTCGAAGGGTGCGTAGAGAATCCAATATAACACTACACCAAGCATTTATTGTAATGTACGTAAAGAGTCTCAAGGTAATTAATCTATTTAACTTAGAAGTTGTTGGGAATGCGGGACGCCGTATTCATTACCTGCTACTCTACCGCTGAATTCTGAGGCATGCAGTCTTGAAATGAAGTGGCTTGATTTCTGATCTAATGATAAAATGAGCAATATTTATAGGCCTAAAAATGATCATTATATGATGCGATATCATGGCGATATCCAGCTGTTGACCGTCTTGTGTAGCTATATGCACCCCAGTTTCCGTCCGTAAAGCCTTTCAGCATCTGGGGCTGACCCTTGTATATGAGTCTAAGGCTTTTTCGCTTTAAGGTAACACAGAATGTGTCGAGCGAGTTTTCTGTGTTGGAGTCCAGGATTTGCTAGTACCTGCTTGCTATAGAGAGTGCATACGCGATATCTCCCCTAATCCTAAGCATAATATATATCAGAGATCCGATTATATGTTGTTACTCAATTCTTTGATCCGAAGGACAGATATATTTTGGTCTGTTTTCTGGCAGAGATGAAGTTTCTATCGGCGTGCTGATGGGCGAGGTGTCTTCCATCCCGGACTGATGAGGGATCTTGTAAATGTAGGTTTCTTGACTTAGATAGAGCATTCTATTTTGTCGAACTTGTTTGAATGGACTTGCCGAGAAAGTAGCTGCACTGTCCTAGATCTGTCATCGGAAAACGGTTTCTACGGCTCCGCTTGATCTTCTTTATCTCTGCGATGCTTGGTCTAATGGTCATGAGGGCCGTCAACGTATACTGCAATGTACATGCTGCTTCGTACTAAGATACCAAGATCAACGTTGAAGAGAGGCTGCGTAGGAAGTTTGTAAGGGTCTGGTACGAGATATGAGGTGCTTGTTTCAGACCGCAGAGTGCTTTCAAAGTTTGCAGACCCTCGGAGTGCCGTCTGTCATGTGGTGAGGCTGTTCTACGTAGAATTGCTTTTATGCTGGTTGACAAGTGTGCTCGCATCCCTCTTGAGATGGTCTATCTCATCTTCTATCTAATCAATACAAGACAAAACGGAAAAGAAGAGGAGGTCCCCATCCTCAGTCCACATCCACATCAATCACCTGCTGGGTTGCGCAGTGAATAACGCCCCCAGCCAAGGGAAGGCCACGCACATGGACTGGTCGAACTACCCTGTCCGGGCATAGCCTCTGGCACAGGCCCACGGCTGCTTGGTCCCGCAACGCATCTCCAAACTGGGGAACGATCAAGCCCCCATTGACAAAATAGAGATTAACGTAGTTCGTCGCAGGGTCCTCATATGACAGCGGATCCAGGCATTTGGGGTCTGGCTCATCCACGATATGGATCTCAAAGGGTCGACCCTTGGCGTCGGTTGACTGCTCCAGAATAGCTCGAATCTCCTCATGTACCTGCCACCACGCCCTTGGAACACTGGGATGTGGCCGTGAGAGAACTACTACTCCAGGCCGAATAAAATTGACCTCGGCGTCGACATGAACATCAGTGGAATCGAGTCCTTTCTTACCAGGGAACCAAATGATCTTCTCAACTCCCAGTAAGCGGCGGAGTTCCGTCTCAATATCCTCGCGTGAGAGACCGTGGTTGCGATTGTCATTAAGAATACTGCTTTCCGTAGCTAAGAGCGTGCCTTCACCATCTACCACCAGTGCGCCGCCCTCTAGACAAACCCTTGAATCGACCCGTGCCACCGGCGAGGGAGATACATCCCAGTCGATCACACATTTTGCAAAGTCAGCGTTTTCCTGGAGCTGTGCACGGTTCATCTTAGGCCACTGAATTCCGTCGGCAGCGCAAGAATCACCGCCAATCTCATCCCGTCGGCCCCATTCCCTGAAGCCAAAGTTGATGGCAAACCGGGATCTACGGTTCGCTCCGTCTTTCCCACGCACATAGACAGGGCCGGTGTCACGGACCCAGAGATGGTTGGTCGGGAATGGAATAATTGTAATGTTGGAGATATTGCCAATCGACTGTTTAACCGCCTTGTCGACGGTGGACTTTGCTTTGACCGCATCTGCTGGTTGAGCGTACAACCGGACAGGCTCGAACGTTGAGATGGCAGCGGCAAGTTTTGCAATGTCCTCGCAGGCGCTCTCGTAGTACTCAGCAGCAATGGAGATCTTGGATGGGAATCCCAGGATTGTCGCAATATGGCGAGCGGAACATGCTGGATAGATATATCGGCTGAGGTTCATGTCTCTGGAGCGCCTGGGTTACCCGCGTTGTGATTTAAGGGAATTGAGAAACAAAACCTTTACAATTCAATTGACAGCTCCTTTCGCTTATTAAGGCTTTCTGGCTGACTCTGATACTTATCACTAACTCTGAGTATTGCTCCTTGAGCTTTGTAATTAATATCTCGTTTTATGAATTTTAGGCAGCAGTCATTGTTATGCTCTTCGCTAAGAGAGGGGCTGTTCAGTGATTCGTCCAAACGGCAACCCGCGGAATCCGAACTAAGGTTAAAGGCGGAAACTCCGCTCTTCAAGCGGGATCACCAAAGACTTTAGGCTCACTGTGACTACAACATGCCCGGGCCAGCAAACCGCTACTAGAACATGCACATGCCCCGTAGGAAAACCCGGCGGTGCTTGTTATTTGCCTCTTGAACATTTCAGATGCCTTCCACTTCATATATGGCATGTTGGCTAATATGCAAACAAAGGAACTACTTGTATTCAGAGCCCTGTAAGAGGAAAAGAATCGGAACACGCGAAAAGAGTCGACTTTAATCATGAAATGCTGTAATAAGTAACCTTCATATGCCCAGTTCCCATGTACTGTATATTTAAGGAAGTAAGTGCTTGGGCGTAAAGTAGAATGAGTAGCTGGACGCTCAGCCGGCATGGCCACAACGTTACAACTGAGACACCAATTTTGCTATTGATATGAATCTATACGAGACACGTGATCTCCTAGCGGCTTGGCCGGATCACCAACTCCTTTAGCCCCTGAAGGCCACGCATCTCAAGGGGAATAGAAAGACCCCTAATACCACCTATTTGACCTATACTGCCTACTCTAATCGCTTGCCCCCTCCTCCTGATGGAGGTGGATGACCCTCCTGCGGAGGGTGCACCCCCGGGGACCCCACCCGTACCTGAAAACTCTGACCCCCTCCAGGGGCCTACCACCTCTATCCCCCTCCCCCGCATCTCCCTAAAGTGGAGAGCTCTATTCTCTCCTTAGAAGACTCCTACAGTGTATCCTGCCTATATGCCTGATAGGGCCTTCTTCCTATCTATTTATTAACAGATCAATACAGTTATTAATAATTAGCTTTTTCTCTTTAGTAACTAGAAGCTAGTACTATCTTTTTTTATAAAGATACTGGATTTAACTGTCTTCTCTCTACAAGACTGACTAAAGGAACTTACTCAGGATCTGGTAGCTAGGTTTATTACACTAGCCAAGCAGGATTCCTTCTAGCAAGGACTATTAAATCCTGCAGTAATATCTTTTCTACTAACTAAGCAGCCTGTACTAGTAAAGTAAATAAAGTATATCCCTCTAGCTAATTAAGCTATATAGATATTTTCCTAGGCCTTACTAGCAGTATCTAATACTAGCTAGATAAACTAATAAACTATTATCTATAAATACTATATACTGACTAAATAGTAACCAGTATAATAGAAGCTATAATAGCTAAGAAAAATAGATTTCTATATCTTTCTCTAGCTACTAATCTTCTCTAGTCTATATACTATTAGACTATATAGTATCTATATCACTCTCTTAGAGTAAATCCCTAGCAGAATTAAATAGATATAGACTATATCTATAGACTTTACTATCTTTATTATAGAAGAGGACAGGGTCTTTCTACTCTCTATATAGACTAGGAAGCTAGCTAAAGACAGATTCTTTAAAGCTATAATAGAGTACTACTAAGTTATTATCTTCTGGATCCTGAGATAACTCTAGTCCCTAAATAGATAGACAGATACCATAATTAATAATATCAGTATAGAGACAGAACAAGTCTCTAGTATTAAGCTACTCTTAACCAAGCTCTCTAAATATCCTGTTAAGAAGGACTCTATTACTGCAGTTATAGTCTTTCTAAAAAAGCTATATTATATCCTGTAACTCTTTAGCTTCTCCAGCCTATCTAGACTAACCAGTTCTAAGTAAAAGTCTCTTTAGTACTCCTGCTGCTACTACTTTTATAATTTCTGGGCCTACTGCTTTAGTGAGTGGCCTAGACTTGTTAGGCCCAGCCCACGAAACCCGGCCCAACCCGGCCCAACCCGCCAAGTAATGGGCTGGGTTTGTGTATACGAAAGTCCATACCGGGCC